ATCCAATAAAATAATAAATTTAAAAAGTTACATTTCATTTTTTAAGGGAATTTTCGCGGTAAAATTTATTTTTAAAAGCGTTTTTAGCTTTTTTTAGAGCATTTTGTAGTGCATTTAAATCCGGGCCAGACTAATTACAAAGTTCGGAGGATTTCGTTGATATCTCGAGCTACAAAGATAATATAAGAAAAAATGTTTAAATAAAAATTTTTTTTTTAAACCAAATTACTAACGAAATGTTAAGGAAAGTAGCACCCAATAAACTGCACCGGAAAAAATGGGCATATTATTGTTTTAATAATAACAATATAAACGGAATCGAACGTTAGTAACATTATTTAATTAAACACTCAAAAAAGTTTTAAAAAATATAGTTGATAACATTATGACTTCCCCTCCCCTTCTTTAGGGGAGAAAACTGTGTTGTATTAAATAAATAAATAATTTAAAAAAAAAGTTTCAAAAGGAATATTTTTTTAAAATTTAAAGGCCGCTTTATACGAAAATACATCAATAAATTACTATCGTGAATAATGCAAGTGCGTTATTAATAAAAAATCGGCTGATTAATTATTATAAAACGTCGACGAGCCATACAAAATTAATACAAAAAACTTAACAATTTCACTTGTACATTTTTTTTTTTCATAAAAAATCATAATTTCAAAAAAATAAAAAAAACTTTCAGTGCTTTCACGCTTATAAGTTAATGTTACCGAATACCGAGGGAGGGAGGTATAACCTACATAGATATAGTATAATAAATTTTACCATATTTTTTAGTTATTTTTTTTTTATTTTTTTTTTGACAAAAATTAATTATAATCTTAATACTAATTAGTTACCCATTCAAAGTTTTCCGTTCGACTTTTCTTTTTTACGATGAAGATCAAGGACTTTTACTCGGCAATTTTAGCCACCTACACTAAAATATTATATTTTGTTCCAAGGAAAATTGAATTACAGTAAATCAAAAATAAAATCGAAAACATGATATTGAGTTTTGACAGCAATAACAGGACAACACGTCGTGTTAAATAAATATAACGTGATTTTATTTATTCTATTACTTTGTTATTATTTCTCAATTTTCCGAGACCTAATAAAAATATAAAATACTTGCACATAATATTTACCTTAATTTAAACTTGTACAAATTCCTTCTTTACAGTAGTTATATATTTGATTTATCGACATCGCGGAACATAACTAAATTATTTCCACATCACTGAACCGAATACTGGAATACAACAAAAGAGAATAAATAAAAAAAATTGTTCATTAAATATACAGATAGGTTTTTATAGAGGCTACAGAGGTGTTTTGATTGGCTTCTTTTGTTGTTTAAATACAATAAAAAAAAAAAAACCCCGATCCAATACACATTGCGATAAATAGAATGTTTTAAGAGGACGTCACAACCGAATGTGCTGTTTCCGTATTACAAACGTACGACGTAGCAAATTTGTATTCGGCCGAGACAACTCTGTACTGATAATTTCAATATTAGAGTGAATTGACCTACCTTATCGTAGAATCAAAACTAATGATAATAATACTGTACGTGCAACTACGGTGATTTAATCCCGATATTTTAATTTATAAGTAACGTAGTATGACGTAGGTATGTGAAATATCACAATTTCATCATGCTTATATCTCGCTTAAAAATTTAAATACCGAAATATCCGATATAGTTACACTGATGATTGTTCTTATCTGTACATATTCGATAATAGGTAAAATTATTTTAATGTTACAACTATGTAGGTACACTTCTTGATCTCCCCGTAGACTTTTTGGTATGTTTTTTCTGTTGTTATTTAGTAAATATTTTACACAAAACCTTTTCAATAAAAAATAATAATTTTTAACATTATTTATTTTGTTCGTTATTTTAATACCTACAATGTAGGTATCGGTCGTACAAACTATATTTAGGTCCTATAAATAATTTGTACGACTGATCGCTACCATTCTTCATCCACCAAAATCGTTGTTTCGTTGATCCCCGTAAAAAAAATTTGACTGCAGAATACCAATAATGAAACGCCAGTCTTCGGCAAAATCTGTTATAACGAATTTTCTCGCCGTGCTTACATGAATTCTGTAAAATAATGCGGTAATAATTGTATCGACATATTTCAGACTTAATCTGTTAATCGTGTTATTAAAGTGTCAGAGAGAATAATAATAGGGGTTCTGTTTAGTATATAATGGATATACAATATGTTTGAATGGCCCGCGAAAATAAAATATTAATTTACTCCCAAACTTTAAATTTTAGTAAGGTACCTCTATAATTAATTAATGAACAGTTATTCGGTTAATATTTAATCGTATCAAAGTACCTATTTCGAGGTTTTAAGCGAAAGATACGCCGTCGTATATATTATTACACATTATAATATGTATGTAGGTGCCTAAGGTACACGGAGTTGCTGTTTAAAAATTGAAGATGTTTTGTACGAATTCGGAGGAGAAGATTAAAAATTAGATAAATAGAATACAGGTAATAGGTACAGTGAGCGGAGATAGATATTTATTTTATTATTTTAAACATTTCATACTCATCAATTATCGTGCGCATGCTTATATATATATATATATATATATATATATTATATTGTTGAACCAGTCCTTAAGGCATTATTTAAAAAAAAAAAAAAAACAATAATAACAATACGAAAATTGGCTGTATTGAACGCATGAAACGCTTAGATTATATTATTATAAATCGTAATACATTTAAAAAGAAATATCCGTAAAAAACCAATTCCAAACGGAGTTACGCTGAAGTTTGTTAGAATATTGATGATGATGATTTTTCGATTTTTAAAATATGTATTACTGTCGGTGCCTATACGTGGATACATTTTAATAAATACTTAATGTGAAAAAACGATTTTTTTTTTTTTTTTTACGATTTTTTAATAGTTCACCAGTTATGAAATATTAAATTTCATACCTATAATAAAGTAAATAAAAATGAAAAATGAATACGAAATTAATTTATTTTAATTCCATCGTAAAAACGTTAAATATTAAAATTTTAACAAAATATATACTTAAGAGTCGGAGAATACATTACGAGATTTTTAATTATAGTTTAATAAATTAAGGTGCGATAAACCTTTTTATGAAATAAAAAACTACGTATTATACAAAGTCGTCAACCATCACTATATACTGACAATTATAAATGTTATTCATAAAATGAATATACAGGGTGTCCCATAAAGATAATACCCATTGCGATATCTCGAAACGTTTTCTCTTTTCGGATAATTTTTTTGTTTTTCATATTATAATATCGCATTACCGTTATTTTTTTGTCACTCTTCTTTTGGAGGTAAAGCGACTAACTCTTATTCATTTTCAAATATCAACCTATATTAAAATTTCCATAAATAGATTATTAGTTCGAATACATGTTATTGTAGACATTTATGATTTCCGTCAAGAGTAAAAAAATAAATAAACACTTAACGGCCTAGATAAAAATGTCTTCTTATAAGTTGTGAAGTTGTGGTTACAATAAATGTACGAGTTAATAGTAGGTATATTAGAATAATATAGAGTTTTCCTTCGCTAAACTGTTTATCAAAAATGTTTATAATACATCATGACAACACAAAATAATACTTGTGATAATGAGTCCACAATGACTACTTGTACATATTTTATTAATGAATTGATTTAATTAAAAATAATGAACGAAAAATCAATTTGTATAATGAAAATGAATTTGAATATTTATGAGTTGATCAATTTCCAATTTATTTCATTATGCCACGTGAAAATTGTCTATACACAACTCCCTAGACACGTGCGGCGTCACAACCTCACAAATAAAATCAAAATACGGGTGAGTTGATCTCAAAACGAACAGTCGAAAAATCATAATATGTTATACTATTGTAATAATAAATCGAAAATTTACAATATTATTTCTATATTCTATATTATGAAACATATAAATCTGAAACGCCGGGAGAAAGATTGCAATATTCTTTATAATAGTGTTATTGTACGTGTGTCTTTTGTTTTACTTAAAACATGAAATTCGTATATATTACACGAATGTGCTGCCAAAAAGGCACGGTTGGGTCGGCCAAAGAGTGGGACGTAAAAGAAATATCGAGTAAAGGTTTCCCCGAAAATACTTTTGGCAACAACTTCTCTGGACATATTATTATACACTACCTACGTACTACGTATACTGTAAATCAAAGGCTGTATAGACTCGGAAATGCTATTCCCACTATTATATTGTATGATTCATGATCATTAAGTCGGCTCTATATTAATATTATATAAATTATTATTTAGCAAATATATTGCTCCGTTGAACTGTCGGACCTATCGATTTTCAAATCACACTGGTACGATCAATTAAAATCGATTTAATCAATTAATCGTTTAAATTATTTTTATAGAGGTTAGGTCATGGTTAGATAATGACCGAATTTCCGAATTCTATGCATACTGTACTGAACACATGAATACTATATTACTGCTGTACAGTTTATCGGGGTAATATTGATAACTTTTTATTATTATTATAATAATGTTGTATAAATTACGAGAACCGCGTTTAAAAGTCCGTACTGTATGCATAAATCCGTGCGCTGAGGGGCCTATGCTAGGCCTCTGCTTTTTGGGGAACCCGCGCGTTTAATTAAAATTAATTATCGCCATTTTTGATATATAAAAACTTTGTTTTTTTTTTTTCACAATAAAAAGTTTGATAAAACGATAAATAATATACATACTAACTTTAAAAATAATTTCAAATTCAAATTAGTTGCGATTTGCACACCGAACAAGCAACACGTACGTTTCGCTCTCGCAGTTCGCGAAAATTTTTGATATATAAAAACTTTTTTTTTTTTTTTTTTTGTCAATGTTTATAATGCAGAAAACCGCCTAGGATGGTTAGTAAGTTTTTATAAATAAACATATTTTAAGTTGGTCACACGTAAACTGATCGAATTACAATGTATGAAAATATTACAAATCCACCACATAATATTGTAATTAATGTGAGTATATGGACACAAATTCAAAATGACAATTCAGCCTTGAAACAAATGGTAGCGGAATTACAATCAAGCATTAAAAAATTAGATCTTCAGATTTCTGAAATGATGATTTCTGATGAAATGACCACAGGGAGCTCAAAAGACAATTTGAGCCCTTCTAAAAAACCAATAAAAGTGCTAAAAGAAATTGCGAGAACTTCTATAAAAATTCACAAACCACCTCTAATAACAGTATGCGGTGTAAATGATTTTAAAAAAAACTAATGGATAATCTGAAACTCGAAAAAGCTGAGGGACATGAGTAACAATTAAAAACTTTGACTAATGGTGAAATTAAGATACTAATGGGTGATGAACACCAGTTTCGCTTAACTATAAAAGTATTACAAAAACAAAAATTTGAGCACCACAGATACCAACTCTTTTTCCCTGAAACCGACTTTTGTGACATTAAAAATTAGCTATCCAAATTAGGATATATTTTACATAATGCTACGAACATCTAGATTAAAAAAAGTCGACCCTAACAACAAGGGCAGTGATTTTATTATTGTGAGGTTTCCACTATTCTTCGTTGATCTGGAGCCATAAGCAAATAATAAAGATATCTATGATCTTAAAAATTTGTGTTATCACAAAACTAAAGTGGAACTACCAAGAAAATGCAAAATTGTCAAACTTTTGGTCACACTCAAAATTACTTTTTTAAAGCACCAAAGTGTGTGAAATGTAGCGACACACTTCGCTGAATTGCACCAAGTCTAAGAAGTCCAAGGCTAAATGCGCAAATTATGGAGAAGGTCACACTTCAGATTGGAAAGGATACTCTGTTTAAAAAAAGCAGTAGAGAAAACTCATCTAAAAAAAAATATCAGCAGTAGTAAGAATAAAATAAAACCTGCGAAACCAGTAACTCAAAATGTTTCTTTTGCACAGATGGCAAGATCTTCGAATGATAAACACAAGGGTCCACAAACTCAAACTCATACATAATAGGAAAAAATGTGTCCATCGCTTTTTGACATGATGGCTGAATTAACAAAAATAAACCCGAGATTCGACAAGCTCAAAAATAACCAATCAAAAAACAAAGTACAACAAAATAGAAAATGAATAGAACACTTTAAATTGTAACATGAAACGCGAACGAGCTTCTACAGTGAAAACAAGAACTTGAACATCTTATGCAAAATTAAAAAATAGACATACCTCTAATTTCAGAAACACATATTACAACATGGACTAGTCTAAAGATACGTGGATATCAAATATATACAACAGAACATCCAAGCAACCGCACTCATGGAGGGATTGCAGTAATAATAAAAGAATCAATCATGAACTTGGAAAACATTCTCAAAAATATTTACAAGCAACAAATATCCGTGTAAATGACGGTGATAACGGCTCTACTATATCTGCTATATATTGTCCACCACGATATAAAGTAGACAAACATACTTTCTGGGGATCGAGATTGATCACTACTAAAGGACGTGATTTGTTTACATCTGTAAATAAAATTAAAGCACCATTCATCACAACTATAAAATCAACCTACTGGCCAACTGGCCCAGATAAACTACCTGATCTTATTAACTTTTATGTAATGAAAGGAATTTCATCAAATTATGAAGAAGTTGAAGGTCTAATTGAGCTAACATCGGATCATATTCCCGTGCTTCTCTCATTAAGTTCCAATGTAATAGTGAAACAAAAGAAAATTTCCATAGCAAACAAAAAACGAATTGGAACTTATTTAAAAGTTCTTTCAATGAAAACATAACTCTTTCAATTAGAACAAGAACAATAGCCGACATTAAAAAAATTAAATAATTGACCGACGATATTATTAATGCGGCAAAATTAGCAACTCCAAAAGCTACCAATGGTAAACGCCAGACTACATACCCACTAGATGTAAGAAATCTAGTTCAACAAAAACGCCGGGCGAGAAGAATATGGCATAATACACGGCATCTAATGGATAAAACCGAATAGAACCGTGTAAGCAAAATACTTCATAACAAAATTAACGAAATGAAAAATTAAACTTTCAGATCATACGTAAGTGATCTCTCTGCAACGGATAATACCGATTATTCGTTATGGAAAGTCACAAGACATATGAAGAGACCTCGTGTTCAGGTATCACCCACCCACAAGGAATATGGCACCTGGGCTTACAATGAACAAGAAAACGCAGAAATATACGCTTGACATCTTCAACACGTATTTCTACCACACGACATAGACTCTAAGCTTGATATTGTGTAATGTCAAAAGCTTAGTGCAACACGTGAAAAGATTAAACATTTCATTCCATTAAAAGTTGCTAAAGTAATAGATGACAACTTAAACCCCAAAAAAGCACCAGGCTATGGTGACATAAGTCCAAAAATACTTAAAAAGCTTCCAAAGAAGGCTATCATTCATCTTACGCACATATACAATGCTATTTTTCGCTTGGAATACATTCCAAAGCAATAGAAACGGGCACAAGTGATTATGTTACTCAAACCGGGAAAATCACCAGAAGATATTACATCATACTGACCGATATCACTCCTTCCAAGTTTGTCTATACTTTTAGAGAAACTTTTACTTAAACGTCTAAAACTAATTATAGAAGAAAAACATCTTATACTAGACCATCAGTTTGGATTCCGCTACAAACATTCGGCAGTCTATCAAGTCCATCGCGTCACTAACGTTATAAGTAAAGCTCTTGAAGAAAAATATTACTGATGTGGAGTATTCCATGACGTAGCTCAGGCTTTTGACAAAGTCTAGCATAAGGGTTTCCTCATCAAATTGCGTGATAAACTGCCACATATCTGGTGTGCATTTTTCGAATCATATTTAACTGACCGTTCAATGCCGAATCATACATAAAGAAGCGGTAACCGAATAGAAAGATATATCAGCTGAAGTACCACAAGGTAGTGTCTTAAGACCTATCCTGTACTTACTCTACATAGCTGATATACCAAACGATTACAACATAACAATAGCTATGTTTACCGATGATAAGGCAATTTTGTCGACAAGTAAAAATCAGCTAACTGCAACTGATAATTTATAAGAATTAATTGACAATGTCTTTGCCTGGACGAGACGTTGGAAAATAAAGAAAAATGGTAATAAATCAGTACACGTCAATTATACGTTACGTAAAACTGAAGAAATCCAAATTATGTTAAATTAAACATTAATCCTACAAAAAGATTCATCAAAGTACCTTAGAATACACCTAGACTCCCGTTTAAATTAAAAACACCATGTCAGCCAGAAAAAAATACAGATTAAAGAAAAAAATGCGAAAGCTCTATTGATTAGTTAGACTCCACTTTGAGTTCACTATAGAAAACAAACGTCTACTATATGTAGCCATCATAAAACCAATTTGAGCCTATGAAATTCAACTATGGGGTTGTTCCAGTAAGTCTAACATTGATATAATACAACGCTGTCAAAACATCGCTCTTTGGACCATCACTGCAGCTTATCGATTTGAAAGAAACGATGCCATTCACCGCGATATAATGCCGCCTACAATAGCTAATGAAATCCAAAAGTTTGCATACAAACACGAAAAAGTATTAGATCACCATGTCAATCCACTGGCCATTCAATTATTAGAAAACTCAAAAAACATTAAACGCCTTAATCGTCTTAAACCATACAACTTAGTTTATGAATTTAAATTAAGGGTAGGAGCCACAACATTGAAAATGTGACTTCATAAACGTGTAAAGTATATATTAACATCTAATATGTAAGATATATCTTGTTAAATACATATATAGACCTTCAAGTCGTTTAAATAAAAAAGCCTCTGGGTATTTGAAAAAAAAAAAAATTAAAACTATTAATTGTTGTACATAATATTACTATCTTATAGGTAATCGAATTAAATACAATATTATCAATATTTTATTTTCGATAGTTGCGAACGTTTTAATTAAATTTAAAAAAGAAAATATACACATATATACTCACGGTGTCTTCAAAAAATGTATTTATACTATGATCAAAATTAACATACCCGCTTCACTGCAGCGAATTATCGCGGCAGTATAAAAAAAACAACTAAGTAATATTACTGAAGTGCTTCCTTGCGCTCGTGTGTGTGTCTCAGACCCACCGTTTCTTGGTATAAATTGTCGGATATGAGTTTTTTTTCTTTTTTTTTTCTTTCATATGATACGCAATTTTTTTTTCACGAATATATTGTCTCAATTACTTTTCATAAAAATTGTAACAAAAGTAATAATATAAGTCTACTGATACGTTTTGGAAACGGCGTTTTAACGTTCATATTAAAAATTATTGTTATAATATTATATAACATGTGCTCGAGAAAAAAAACAGACCATTTATTTTACTTCAGAATTATATAATAATAATATTATCAATATGAACAAACTGTTTGTTTTTTAGTTTTATAATGATGTTCATTTTTTTTTAATATTATTTCTACCAGCAATTTTACTCCGATTTACAATGATAGCACTTTTTCTGAAAAGAAATCTGACTGGGATGGCACTTTAAGGAGGTCATTTTTTGACTTTCCCAATAAATGGAAAAAACGTAGGAAGAACGGGAAAATAAATACAATATTAAACAAATATTACTAAAGAAAATATAATATAATGCATATTATGTAATTATTTTACCACAATCTAACAAATTTCACATTATAGCAAAGCAATACTATAAACGAAACTTTGCTCAAAATCGTTTTTCATTAGCAATGGTTAATCGTTGCGTACAGATATACATTAAATTTCTCCTCTACCTTCCCAACTTCTCGTCTACAACAGTAGTCCATCCATGTGTGAAGTATAACCATCATGTCCTCTATTTTACGATCTACTTATTTAAATTAAAATGCGTGTCGCAATTTTAGGACTTTTCGAATTATTTCCAGTTTACGCTGCAATAAGCAATTGTAGAAATTTTTTATACACATATGATTCAAATTTATTTCAATTAGTGTGAACAAAATTAATAAAAAGGTGACGATTTTTTTTTTTTTTATTACCCCATTGCACCACCAAAATATTTCATTATTTGATTTTTCACTTTTCTAATGTTGGTCGATTTATCTCTATACGCGTGTGAATTCGATTTGTCTAAAAAAAAAAAATCTATTCCAATGTTGTAAATTAATTATTTTTAGACAGTGTAACGAAAAAGCTATTGGTTTTATACTAACATGCATTTTTTTTTTTTACCGAAAACCCTTTTTAGGTTAATAAAAATGCTCTTATTATATCTTACCATATTTTCTATATCGTACCACGAAATATGCGGATTTTTTGATTAATAGTGGCATTTTATTTTAAAAATTGTTTTAAAATTCTCAGCAATCTACCCACTAGATTTTTTTTTTTAGTATTCCTCTTAGAAAAATAATTTTTCGGTTAATTATAGGTAATGTCCCAAATCGTTCGCACGATTTTACGCCTGAATGGTTTGTTTAAACAATTTTTCTAGATTCCCGATCGTCTCTAACAATTTTGTGTGATAATACTATTATTAACAGTAAATGTGATGTACATATACAACGGTATAATTCCCCGTTCGTGGTATTTGTGCTCGTATACATCAAAATGTCTTTATTAATATTTAAAATCAATAAATCAAAAAAAAAAGCTGATAATACGGACGGGCGTAGCCTCTGTTGCTTAGGTGCAACTAAAGGGATGCTAAAAGAGATACTTCAATACCCCCAAACTCTAATTTAGCATCCCCAGTTCAAAAACGACAAAAATTGAAAAATAGTGTGGAAAAAATGTCCAAGGATAATGAAGACGGGTGCAGCCACTGTTATAGATAATTTAATGTATAATTGTAATTGAAATCGTACTGGGAAGGTACTATAAATCTATGATAAGATCGTTTTTCGATTTTCTCAAGAGTTTTCTCATTAAATGGGAAAAACATCGGTAAACTGGGATAAACGTAGGAAAAACGAGAAAATCGGTACAATATTAAACAAATATTATTAAAGAAAAATTATAACGTATAAATATCGAATATTATTCAATGATTACTACAAATATACGGATAAAACCCATGTGCAATATTCCGCACCACCTTGACTATCGACAAACGCCAATGAAATATTATTAAGAGTATTTGACGTAAAACGTAAATCGTATCAGGTTTTGCACGACGCTCCTAATCCACTGTGTCGATTAACCTAACCTCACCTTAAATCCATAATATTTTACTTTATAGCATAATATGATCACCGAATCCCGATCCTCGTTCCTTAAAGTCATCCGCAGCTACCAGCAGTCTTGGCTCGAAGAGTTCACATGCAAATAAACTGGGGAAAAACCATAAAGCAAAAAAATGAGATTTACGAAAAGATAGAAAATACTACTATTATACCGATAAAGAAATTTAATTAACCGATGAAAAAGTTTAAAGGAATAATTATAAAAACATTTAGAAAAATAAATGTTTAAAAACAAATTTAAGAAATATAATTTATTACGATTCGAAATTAAATACGCGTACAATAAACAAAATCAATAGTATTGCTAACATTACTAGCTACCACGTAGTTTTGAGATATTTATTATCGTTCAGATAAATAAATAAAATTAATGAGTAAACGTACCTACAATTTTTGTTACTTTGGCGCATTTTGGTACTGATAGTGCAACCGATACGTGTTTCAAGCAAAGTAAGGTAAATATCTTAAATAATATCAGTATACAATTGTATGATTTTACGATTGATCGATTTTTATAAAAAATTGAGCTTTAAACGTACATACAAATAAAAAGATGGACATACTTCACATGTGAGTGCAGCCACTGTTGTAGGTAGGAAGTTGGGAAAATAGGATACAGATGAGAAATTAATGTATATATATCAGCAATGATAAACCATTGCTAACGAAAAATGATTCTAAGCGGAGTTCAGTTGAAAGTGATGTTTTTTTAACAACATATATGTCATATTATGGTAAAATAATTCTATAAGCATTTTATATTTTCTTTAATAATATTTGTTTAATATACCGATTTTCCAGTTTTTCCTCGATTTTTTTTTTCGGTTTTTCATATTTATTGAGAAAAATTCTGGGAAAATCAAAAAAATGACCTCTTTAAAGTATCTTCCTAGTCAGATTTCCTTTCAGAAAAGGTACTACTCTTAAAAATCTAAGCAAGATCTCTGATAGAAAAGTTGTCCATAAAAATAAAACATCTTTGTAAAACCATAGACTTCTTTGCTTTACTCAAAATCTAAAAAGTGTTTTCTTTGTTTTACATAGGATTTTTTTTTTATTTGAGGTTTTTTGCAGAAAGACAGTTTTTTTGTGATGATTAGTTATACCTATAAAATATTAGGTACGTAACATCGATACTTTCGTTACAGTCTGATAGATTATAATTCTTCAGTCAATTACAATCCTGATGAGTTCTGCTGCATGTGAGAGAAGCTTCTCGTCAATGGGTCATCTAAAAAAACTGGCTAAAAGCAAGTATGAAACAACAGCGTTTTTTATCAATATTAAATATTGAAAGAGATGTTATCAATAAAATTACTTCTTCAAAAATACTGAAAAAGTATTCCATTGGTAATAGAAAAATAATATTAGTGTGATATAATGTATGTAAATGTAAATATATTATGTTGAATTATAGATAGATTTAACTATACAATGTACCTTATACAAGTAACTGCTAAAAAATTTAAATTGGATAATTATTTTAACATAATAGTTACTAATCGAAATAATTTTTTCAGTCTGTTTATACTTAGTCACAATTTTTGTTACCCTAAATAATATAATACCTATTGTATGTATCAGATATATTACTTTTTATATACTTTAATATTAGTATGCTTATCTTTTTACTGTGCATTTAAGAATGTTTATAGTAATTATAAAATTAAAATATGGTATTTGGGAGTATGGAGGCGTGGCCTCCACGAGTTTGTGTCCTCTACATCATTTTAGCACCCCCAGTGTTAGGCCTCTAGTTGCGCCTATACTCTGTTGTAGATGAAAAATTGAGAAGACAGAATGGATAGGTAGTTATTTAATTTATATCTCTACGCAAAGATAAACCATTGCTAACGAAAGACGATTTGGAGTGAAGTTCGGTTATACATGTTTTTAAAGGCCGTAACATTTTATATTTCTATTTAACAATTTCTATTTTTCATAAATTTTGATTTTAAAGCTCTTATAAAAAGAAAAAGTGAACATTACGTAATTTTTTTTTTTTTTACCACTAAGTACTACTTAAGATAATGAACCTCCTGTCAAATTTTCAAACACTTTTGTTGTGTCTAACAATTTTATCTGTCAAATAAAAATGACATAAGAAACTTTTAAAATTAAAATGTCTATAAATAGCTCAGCAAAAAGCATATATAAGTTTTCTGCCAAAATTTCAAGTTTCCACGAATATTTTTAACTAATTTACAATACAAAAACAAAATTTAAAATAACAAAAGCATTATTTGCGTAAATTGTCTCAATTATTCTGAAAACCGCTTGGAAAATCAAAAAAAAAGGTAAAAGACTTAGTACTAATTAAAGCAAATTGCCTTTAATATAGGTACTATATAATGTTAAAAAAAAAAATAACTACTTGATCTATTAATTTGATTGAAAAAAAATACAATTCTCATCGGAAGAAGTTTAGAAAAATCCCGCGACCGAGGAACGTATCGGTTTTGCAATAATGTTTACTTAAGATTCCAAGCGGAACAAGGAAACTATTGGTTTTTCACAATGTTGCGTATTTCTTTGTATTTATATATTTTATTGTATGCGTTTTTTAGAGCAAAAGAGTACAGGAATACTTATATATATATATATGTATACATATATATTTTATACGGTACTCCAATCTTTTAAGCTCACCTGCTATCCGGGAAAATTTTTTTATCTAGTTTATAGTTTGAAAGAGACGATATTTTTCAATATACGTATATTCCCAATAACCTTTCGAAACGCTTGTATACGAAAAACCCGAAGGGAATATCGATTACCGCTATAGCATTTACGGCAAACGACCCGGTTTTAGTTTGCGGTTATTTTGTTGTAATTTCAAAAACGACCATTTTCTATATCATTATTACATAATATTACATTCGATATTATTATAAATTATGTAGTTTCGCCGTTTAAAGACAAATATCATAATTACTATTGTGGCTGATGCATTTTTTCCACCTATTTGATTAAATTCACAATTCTAATTCGGAGTTGTTTTTTTTTTTTTTTTTCAGAGTTCGTTTTTGATATTACGATATCGTAATATGTGCGTCAATATTAAATGATCTGAATCTAATTTTCAAATAAACTATAGCCAACGGATAAAATAATCGCAGGAAGTTGTCCGTACAAGTACAGTAGCACAGTTGACACTTCACCTCTGAGGGGGGAGTGAAATAAAAGGAGTTCAACCCTCTCGAAAAAAAAAACAGAACATATTTTAATTTTAAAAACAAGATTTTTTTAATTAATTGTAAATATATCAATGACACCATCGACGTGTAATACAATTGATATATGATTAAGCAATGCCAAACCCGATCCTAGCCCATTTTTTAATCTCAGTCAAGTTTTTAATCTGTTAACAAAATAATGAAAGTAGCATAATATACGACTGATGTATGGATATAAAAAAAAAGAAAATGTTAAGTCAAAAAGTGGATGTTAGAAGAGTAATAACCAAAAAAAAAAGAGAACTTAACTATTATATTACCTAATAAAATCTAAATTAAGAAAAAATGTTTATTTATTGATTAGATGTATAGAAACGCTTATAAATTCGACACACATAAAACATGGTTTGCAAATAAATCTCGTGGGGGAAAGGGATAATTGCCCCAATCGCCCCTCTTAAATACGCTACTACGTAGATGTATAAGTAATTTACGCGTTGTTTTACGATTTTGTTGATTCCCGGTAATATTTACCGGTTGAACAATGCACATTTCTATACGGCTATGCGCAAATGAATTTGAATAATCTGAAAAATGAATCACGTCTTCCTCGTGCTATAATAGTATTATTATTATAGAGTCGTACGTCTCGTGAATTTTATTATGCGAGTGAAACACGAAATATTTACTACAACGCAAAATCGTGTAAAAGAATATTATTAGTAGCAATGACTGTACTGATGCAATATTTTCGCAGTAAGTCATCGCCTACCTCGCCCACGATGTGTACAACAATATGTGATTATTAGTTTTATACGCTCGTGTAATCGTGTCTCTTAATTTTTTACTAGGAAATCATTTTCCGAAGAGTTAAAAGCGCTCAAAAAATACCTCGTCCGAGACGCCGTTATAAAATATGAATTTTTCAAGTTACCCATCTTCCAAGAAATTCGAAAAGTCCAGGCGAAAAGACCAGGCGAAACTCGAGGGACCGTTCAATTAACATAGGTGTATAAGTATTTCGACCCACGACATTTGGAACGAAAAATCCTGCCAATTAAATATACGATTTTTTTTTTCGGGAAATCGCTTTTTTGGTAAGTAAAATTGCTTTAGTATTCATGAAATACCTTAAAAATATGCCGAATTTCCTCTAAGTGGTATTTTATTTTAAACAGTATTCGCAATTTTCAAATCTTTTTTCAAAAAATTGCGTTTATTTTTTATTTGAGCACTTTTCTGATTAGCAAATTGATTAGATTTATTCACGTAGTATTTACCTTAAATGCTATTCCTACAGGTGGTACTTTAACATTTTCGGCAAGAAACTCGTCATTTTTTCTATTCTTTAGCAGTAAGTATATAACAATTAACAATATTTAACATAATACAGTTTTAACTAGAGTTATACAGTTTGTTACCACGGATTTTTGGTATTAAATATTAACATTGCTATATCTTTCATAAAAAAAAAAATTCTTTAGGTATATTATAATATTAATAATTAATATAAAACACCTATAAAAATATGATGCCGAGAGGGAAACGTTTCGTGCTTAAAGGTAAAACCTGAATTTTTGAGATCATTTATTGCCATGTGTCCTTTGGTTAGCTATTTATATTATGTATACCTATAACAACAGAATCGGAACTGGAAGAGCACAAAAAAAAATCTTCGTTTGGACACTGGGTACTGGTAAAAGAATGTGACGAAAATCGACGAAAAAATAATTCTGAATCTTCCAAAGCGGTACCTATTAAATCTTGACTATTGTTATAATATTTTTTACGAAAATGTGTAGGTGCCAATCAATAGTATAATATGATTTGGGTAAATAATAAATACAATCGAGCTTTCGGGCACCTAGTATCTACTTACCTTTTTGTATTTTTTTTTATTAGATCTCTCAAACATTCATTCAGAAGTTATTTATTTTATCTATGAATTTAACAATACCTATAACTGATGGTTGGTACCTAGTCTTTTTCGGATAATTTATACCTACTGTTATTTAAAGGGTTGCTGCAGCCGGAAAACGCCGCAGGGATTTGCCGCTAAAAACATAACCCAAATCCTAAACGGTGCCACGGAAGGTTTCTTGAACGTTTCGGGCAAAGGGTACTTGCACGTGAACGGTGAAAATTTCACCGGAGAATTATTCGACCGGATAAACACCGTAAACGCGGACGACAACCAACTTCGAATTGCCACATTCAATACATTCAAGTCCCTTCGGCGACTGAGCCTGCGTCGAAATCGCTTGAAATCCGTTGACCAGTGCGTACATAATAAATCTAGAACGTCTGTTCGATATTCATTAATCCATTTTCATCAATAGTTCGGTAACTTTAATAAGAAAGTGAGAGTAAAAAGTAATAGATACATAGGTTACACACGTCATGTTATTGCAATATACATCTGTAAAACAAAATAATTCACGAACAAACGATAAACACTCTATCTGATATAAACACTAAACAGGCACCTAATCAAAGGAAATGTGTATGTGTACTGTAGTACTGTAGGATTATTAAAAAATACTAGATATTTAAACAGAAATCAGATAATGATTAAAATGTATTTGTTTATTATTTTCGGTACATTTTTATTATATTATATGATTACATTTATTTCCACACATAATAATTTAGTACCTATATATCGGTATGGTTTTAAACGTTATGTTAAAAGTTTCGACGATATTATCGAAAGATTCAAGTAGGTACAGATATTATTATCCAACTAGCAACACAATATTCATATTATGTGAAAAAAATATTCATTCGATTATGTTTGAATAATCATATACCTAACATTCTAAATTCTACTATCAACCTGCTATCAATCTGCTAATCTCATCCAAAAACGGATTGTATACATATATAATTTTAATATCTATATAATAAAAAAAAAGTAGACAAAAATGAATTAATTCGTATTAATTCGGTATGCATAAAAACTAAATACAAATGTGATATTAATTAATATGATAATTTTTAAAATTTAAAATAATAAAATATGCTATTTCTTTATCAACTAAACATTCTAAACATTTATTTTGCAGAATTGGCAGACATTTAGACGAGACATTGGTTCGTTTAGACGTGTCAGAAAATAATTTAAATCCGTATGATCTATACCGCCTATCAGCCTCTAAAATAAAAGAACTACATTTGTCAGCCAATAATCTGACGACTATTCCTGAGGAGATTTTGGATGACCATTGCTTCTTGTCACTTGAACTTTTAAACTTAAGTGACAATTGCCTAGCCTGTCCTCAAACTTTCTACATCCTGTCAACTCTACACAATCTACACGAATTGAACTTGAGTGGCAATCAAATATCGTTTATACCATATTTAGTAACATTGGCAACGAAAAAGGTGAGATAATATTATTATGTACACATATTATATAATTTTATATATATATATGGGTGTCCCACCATGTTGTACGGAATTTCAGATTTCTATAAATATTAAATTTAAATAGATTTTTTGTCAATCAAATCACTTTTCGAATGTTCAGTGATTAGATGGTAAAAATACAAATGTAATATTCTTTCTCCGTATGGGGGGAAAAAAAAAAATTGTAAAAACTAATATTAACAGATATAAAAATCCGTAAAACACTTGTACATGCTGCACACAGTTTTGTGCGGTACTCGTCATCACATTCTTTACTTTTCATCTTACCAAAAATTAGATGGTATGATTGCATAATGAATTTAATTGAATTATATTATCGTTTGTCATTAAACAGTCCCTTGATATTGAAAATATTAGTGGAAAAAATAAGAAGACCATTAATCACAAAAAAGAAACTGATGGATTTACTAAACACCAAAATGAAGACAACACAAATAGTAAAATTAATTTTTTTTTTTTTTTTATTAAAATTTTATTACATACGTTTTATGTTACGAACGTCATATATTTTAGGTTTTGTATACCATGTACAGCATATTCCATTTGTCAGTCTTAAGGCAATTAATTTGACAAACAATTTAATTACGTCAAGTTCGTCTGTGTTATCAATGATTTGTTGGCCATCGTTGAAAAATGTCATACTAACGGCCAATATTATTAGTTCAAATAAAAATATTTTAAAATATAATAAATTGAAATCCACCTTAAGTGTGTATGAAATAAAACTAACACGTTAGTGTGGATTTTTAAGAAATACATTTTTTTTTTACTTAAGTTATCTAAATATTTTACTTAGTATTTCTACTTTACTAGATCATGATTATTATTTAATGTTTCTGCTGTATTTTCTAATTCTAATTGTGAATTATCCATGTCAATTTATATCGTATTTATATATTTATATCGATATACATACCGATATATTTGTATCGGTAAGTTTGTAGACATATTTTGGATTTTCTATGAACCAACGACAAAGCAACATAAAGTAATTTTAATGATATTCTTGCTTTTTTTTTCTTATATTTATGGGTAATATAATTACTTTGGATTTAGATAATGCTGTTTTGAAATTATTAGTCATTTGCCTAAATGGAATGGTCAATGTTGTCTGAGAAATAACTCATTATGATAAAGATAAAACGTATACAATTTTTCTAAAGATAAAAAGATAAGGCATGGTCGTTATTTTTTTTTTTTTTTGAAGTAGAATTACAAAATAAACGTTTATACACCATTTTTTGCTTGTACTTTGTAACTTAAAACAGTGGCAAATTAGTAGGTAATTACAATAGTAAAAAATAAATTGGCACAAATCAGAATGATTAAAATGTGGTTTATCGTAAACCAGTATCTGTAACCACATATTACTATTGTGGTAACCAGTAGTCTTGGCTCACAGTATACCGTGTGCAATAGATATAGGGATGTCCCATCCGTGTATATATATTTTCTAGGACTTTATGACGATTTAATTTCCTAAATACATACTAAAATGTGTAAACGTAAAAGTTGGTAGTGTTGTATGGTGGTTTTGTGTCGCGCGGCGTTTTGTCGGATTTTAATCCGTAGATTATTATCGTGTGGCCTTATCTCGGATGGTTATTTGTCGGATGGATTTTTGTCGTGCTTCGGTCGCAGATCGGGGTATCACTGTTTGTAAAGAATAAACATTACGTTATCAGGAGGTACTATAGCGCATCAACCATGAATTATTTTCATTCAATGATTGAACATTTACTATACACTACTGATACGGGAGTTGCTGAATTATTACAAATTATAACGGTTCAGCCTACGTGAGTAATATTTATTTACAAATGTGTACAGTGTAAACACAATACTTACATCAATTTTATTTGTTTTCTTGCTAGCTTTCAAACATGTCGAACGAAGCCAAAATTACTGACCCGTTAAACATGGACAGTATATTACTGAAAGCGTCGCAAGAGATTCTGTCCAAAAATGATAGATTCTGTTTCTCAGTTGATAATGACGAAACAGTAAATGAAAAAACATTCTATAAGCCATACGATTCTAGCGAGTTGGCCGAATTTATTAATTTACATGATAAGTTTTTATTATATTACATTATATATTGAATTGAAATTTAAAAACCAATTAAAACATAAGCAGGGCAAGTTGGGTGTTGTATACCTATAACTTTTCTATCTGACTGCAACACTTCTATTAATTTGGAATCTTTAAATTTAAAAATATTTTACATTATAATTTATAAATTTAATGGGAAATTAAAAAATAAAAATGTTTAATAGTAAATGGGAGAATAAGCTATTACTGACTTCAAGGCGCTACCTGTAAACCTAGAATGTAATACAGCAATATTGTACGTATTTGTTTTTAAACAAGCACTATATATACAAATCAGTCATTTAAAAGTTAATATGTACTGGTGAATTCCTGGCCCTAGTTTGTGATAGTTTTAAGTTTTGTCTTGTATATAGACATTTTACTGTGCATTCAAGATCTTCTATATCTAAATTATCACTTTGCACCACTATTATTTATCTACTTACTTTAGACCACTGCTTTACCCTCTATACAACTACTTACTTCAGACTATTGCACTACCCTCTATACAACTACTGCTGATGACAAGACACTCCTATCCTGGTCTAAAATATCATCCAAAAGCATGTAGATCTTTTACCGCTCCCAAGTTAGAGGATTTTCACATTGGTGGGCTTACCTTCTCACTTATCTTATATTGTAAGTATCTATTTAAGTTACCAAATTTACTTATTGTACAATAATTGTACGTTTTTTCCTAATAAACTTAATAGTTTTTTTCTCAACCTGGTATAGAAGTCAATAAAGCAAGATCCACTCAATACATACTTTTACGAGTTGTTTGCCCTCCTATCTATCTTAATCACCTACAGCTACCGTCTGTCTAAAGTGTCCATTATCTAGGTCTATATTTAAACTTTCTTACCAACTATATTTTTGTCTCGCATTTGAACACAATAAACAAATTTAAACTGCTTCAAAAACCACTTTAGACCTATGAAGTTCTAATATGGGGAGCCATCAAACTGTCCAACATTATAAATACATTCCCATTTACTGTGGCATTTATACATAATGTTCAAGGTCAGTGAGCATCATGTTAGTTAATAAAATCAAACATATAATTTAGTATAAAAGTGGCCATACTGCAGTTGTGAGCAGCGAACCTTTATCAACATTGTTTATGATCACAATCCAATTCAATAATTACAAAAAAAGTTTTTATTTAGAGTAATAATCTATGGACTGAGATGATATCAAACTCTACCATTTGATAGCAATATATAACGAAAAACCCACGGCTNTGTTGTTGGCCCAGGGATAAACTACATTTTAAAAAATCAAATCCCAAGACCTCCTTCCCCCTTATAACTGCCACTGCCTATTTAAATGACTTCGTCAAGTAATCAAAACCACATACATCAAATGATACTCTTTATAAAGATATCCTTTTCAAAACTTGTCAAGAATTTCTATAAACTTTTCACTCCAATCTTCACAGCCATCACAACCCTATAATTTAAAAACTGTCTGTTCCTACTTGGTGACATGATAGTATTAACTGTAGTTTAACTGCTTCACTGATATTTTATTCTTATTGCAGGAGTTGGCCAAGTTGTACCTGAAGACAGTATTGTTTTATTGCATTATATTGGATATGTATCAAACTTTCATGAACCTTTTGATGTAACTTATCTTCAAGGTAGGCGTCCTAAAAGCTTTAGATTGGGAATTGGTGATCTATTGCTAGGGTTAGAGGTTGCCATACTAACTATGAGATATGGTGAAAATGCAAGAATTATTTTGAGCCCAAAATATGCTTATAGAGAAATGGGTTGTCCACCTCGTATACCACCAAATGCCACTATTGTATTTGATGTCCATCTTGTCAGTTACTACCCTTCAACTAATTCTCGTCTCTGTGATGAAGGTGAAAATGATCTAAATAAATTTCAAACAAACCTAAAAATAGTCAAAAAACTACACTATGAGGGCAACGAATGTTTTAAAACTAATAAAATTAATAAAGCTGTTGTTAAGTATGAAAAGGCCAAAGAATTATTACATTTAACTGGATGCAATAATGACCAAGAAGAAATTGAAATGTTTAAATATCTAGATAAATTGTATTCAAATTTAAGTATCTGTTACTTAAAGATATGTGTTTTTAACAAAGTATGTCGTATGGGCTCAGAGGCGATGAGGTATTCAGGAAAATATTCTAAAAACAATGTAAAATTATGGTTTAATTGGGGTAAAGCTTTACGGTTATTGAAAGATTTCACAGAAGGAAAAAAAAAGCTCCAAAGAGCGTTAAAACTTGAACCTGAAAATGAGTCAATACATTATGAACTACAACGCCTAGAAACAGATAGAACATTCCATTACCGTATTAAATCATTGAATACATTCAAAAATAACACAGTTAATGATAATAATAAACGTTTACCATCAGAATTTTGGCAAGTATTTGATACAATCATAAACGAGTTTGTTGATGGTACTGATGAAATATTAACTGTTGCATTAAATAATAATTCTGATGATATTGAGTTAGCAAAATGTAAAGTAAATTTACTTGATTTACAGTTTCAACAAAATGAGAATGTTGATTCTCATTGTTTTACAATAAAAAAAAAGTTGTAATATTTGACTGAAATTAAAATTATTTTAAACAAATTAAAAATGGTTATTTCTAACTGATTAAATGCTAAAATTTAATCATGTAAAAATGTAATTTTATTTAAATTATTTTTTACTCTTGTGATATTGAGTTAACATTGTAAAGCAAGTATATAGTGTAAAATCCAAACTTCTTTAAAATGCTAATGTTATTCCTAATTATTTTACTATAAAAAAGCCAAAATAAAATGTATATAAAAAAAATTACAATAAATCATATTGTTTCTAAATTAACAAATGTTAAATTTAATTATATGAAAATGTATGTTTTTTAATTTGTTCTTATTATTGATGAATTAACACAACATTAAGCAAATGTATATAATCTAAAATATTAAAGATATTATCAATTGTTTTGAAATAAAAAAAAAAAAAAAGATAATTTATATTTTTGTTTTATACACCAATTAAACAAAATTTAGTTTTTACCTAAACCAAGAAAAAACAAATGCATTTTGGATGTACCTAGAGACACAAGCCATCACTTCCTCGTACTATTTTAGTTGCAAAATACCCCTCGATTTGTTGTGCAAACTTTTCTACAAGCAATTTCTTTCCGATTTAAAATGATCCACTCAGTATCAAATACAAGTTAATTATGCAAATGTTCTTAATGAACACTCCTCGCGTACTGAGGTTCTTATTTGAAAAACCAAAGTTGGTGTCACTACTTTTTTCAATCAAATTACTTTTTGAATGTTTAGTGATTATTAGGTAAAAGTGCAAATGTAATTCTATCTATAGAATTTACACCTTAAAAAAAAATTGTTTATCTATTCTTTTTTAAAATTTTGTTTAAAATTTATGTTCTAAATAAAATTTAAATGAAAAAAAATATTTGAATTTAATATTACTAGAAATATGAAAATCTGTACAACATGGTGGAACACCATATATGTATAAAATTATATAATATGTGTACATAATCATATTATCTCACCTTTTTTATTACTAATGTTACTGAATATGGTATAAATAATATTTGGTTGCCACTCAAGTTCAATTCGCATAAACTACGTAGAGTTGACAAAATATAGAAAGTTTGAGGACAGGCTAGGCAATTGTCACTCAAGTTTAGAAGTTCAAGTGACAAGAACCAATGGTCATCCAAAATTTCCTCGGGAATGTTGTCAGATTATTGGATCACAAATGTAGTTCTTTTATTTTAGAGGCTGATAGGCGGTATAGATCATACGGGCTCAAATTACTTTCTGATACGTCTAAACAAACCAATGTCCCGTCTAAATGTCTGCTAATTTTGTAAAATAAATGTTTAAAATGTTTAGATAGTAAAGAAATTACATAATATTTTATTATTTTTAATTTTAATAATTATTATATCAATGGACATCACATTAGTATTAGTTTTCACGCATAATGAATCGATATGTATCAAGGTAAAAATACAAATATTATAAAAATAATAATATAACAATTTTTTTATATACCAGTACCATCATAATCGATCCGATTGAAAAATAAAAAGAGAACTGATTCTGAGGATGGGAACGGCCACTGTTGTAGGTAAGAAGTTAAGAAGGTAGGATACATAAGGTTATTTCATTTATATCTGCAAGCAATGATAAACCATTGCTGGACGAATGAAGATTCCAGGGCAGTTCAATAATAGATAATTTGAAGTGCCGTAATTTTTTTTTGCGATTTTCGTTTAAATTTGATTTCAAAACGCTTATTAAAAAAAAAAATTGTTTGATGATTTTGGAAATTTTACCACGTCTAGGTAAATGATATGTCCAATATAAGTGTTATTACCAATTATCAAGTTTACGTGTATTTATAACTGAAGTACAGCAAAAAAACTTCCAAAAATTAAAATTCCTTTAAAGCTCAAAAGTGGCTCAATAGTTTTAGCGATGATACAGTAAGAAAGTAAATCAAAAAGACAACATAAAAAAGATTTTGTGATTTTTAGATTAAATCACTTTTTCTGGTATAAAACGTCGTCCGTGTTTTTATAAAATAATAAAATCGTGAAATTGTACGTTTTCCTACGTTTATTCCCACTTAAGTACTTTTATTTAAGAAATGGTATCGAAAATCAAAAAATTAATTTTTTAAAGAACCATCTAGACAACTTGAGCTTTTAGAAGAATTGCTACACGTAAAAATCGGAGCATGTTTACTCGGAAAAAACCGTGTCCTAGAAAAAAATTTAAAAATTAAATTTTAGTAAAACCAATAGCTCCCTTGCTACGCTTGATATCTAAAAAAAATACTGTTAACAGAGATATATAAATCCGTACAACACCTGTATTTATATATAATGTTATGTCGTTATTGTCATCATATTCTTTAATTTTCCTTTCACCAAAAATTATGTAATATTATTACATAGAGGATTCAATTTTCTAATATTATTGTTTGTTATAAATGTCCCTTGATATTTAAAGTGGAGAAAAATGGAAAATCATTAATCACAAAGAATAAACTGTTGGATTTACTATACACCACAATGAAGACAACACAAATGGTAAAAAAGTAAAATTAATTTTTTTTATTAAAATTTTATTGTATACGTATTATGTTACAAACATCATATATTTTAGGTTTTGTACACCATGTACAGCATATTCCATTTGACAGTGTAAACACAAATAATTTGTTCGCTACAAGTTCATCAGTACTAATAATAAAGTACTGGCCACTGGGTGCATTTCAGTGTTTAAACGCTCCTCGTACAATTTATTTATCATCATTAGACAAAACCGGCGATTTTTAACCCTTTTAATTATTAATTTTCACTTTACAGAAGGTACCTAATGTTATTTATTTTGTAATATACTGAAATGCTTTAATATTATTTTGTGTTCTGTTTTTACTTCATTACTACCCGACCTAGTCATAGAAGTAGTTAGAAATTATTTTTTTTTGACTCCTGTTCCATCCAACCTAACTTAACCCGACCTACTTGTAGAAGTAGACGATGAAAATTTGCGTATAACTTAGTTATAGTTATTTATTTTTATTTTTTCTGAAATTGTATGAAGATGATATTTATGGCTATTTAAACATGAGAAAAAATTATGTTTTAAAAAAGAAAAATTGGGAACGAAAGGGTTAAATAAATAAATAATTTTTTTTACTTGTATTATCCATCATAATAATTTCAGTTATTTTTAGATTTTTGCTCTATTTGTTTAAAGAAATCTCGGGCTTCTGTAAAATTAAAATTGTTTTCACTATTACTACTACTAGGTAGCTGCATGCTTGAATCATATGTAGCCGTCTTAACCTTACTAGATACCTTTTTAGTATTATTTTTAAATTTTAACTTTATCTTTGAATCCAACAGAGTCAAAGCCTCTTGGAGCGACGACGCACATAGTATAGCATTTAGGTCCGATTCGTTTACTGTGTATAACTTATCATCTATTGTCGTTTTGTTTTCATTGTCAACTGTATTCATGGAAATTTTGTTCCGACTGGTTTGTTCTGACTGCACAAACGTTTCTTCAAAACTATCTGTGGCATATGTTTCAACATCTTGTACAGATAATTCGGATTCGGGAATGTCACATGATTTTACTCGTAAATTATGATCAGAACTTAATTGAAATTCGTCGGATGCTTTTCTATGTTTTGGTATATTATTTAAAATATCAACATCGTTTGTATCGACCGTGTCACAAAATAAATTTGGTTGGGCATTTTTATTTTTAACTTCAGAATTTTCAATTTCTTCAGTTGTAACTATATCATTTAATTTATTTTTAGATTTACTTCCAGTATTGTTTAAAATACAAGTTAATGAAGAATTGGTTGATAACAATAATTCTTCAGTTGTAACTCTGTTAAATTCGCTTGAATTTTCAACTGTTACTGCAAGAGCATCGTTAGGTAATGGAATATCTATTGGAATTTCTGTTTCAGTATGCATTGTTTGTTGAAGTATGTCTATTTCCATTGTTTTTTGAACAGGTAGTAAGGGGTTTTTATTTAATGATATATCCTCGGTTGGTATATCAGTTTTAGTATCTACATCAATTGGAACCTTTTGTTCGGTTGTCTCTTTCAAAATTGAATTGCCATTCGAAATGTTAGTTTCAGGTATTAAAATATTTAAATTTTCTATTCCACATATTCTCTGTATTTCTAAATCTTTAATTTCTTCTGCTGGAGAGTCGTTCAATACCAAATGTTCGTGTTTAATATTTATGTCGATATCACTTGTGTTTATAACTGATTTTAAAAAAGCATCGTTCGATACTGAACATTCTGTTGTCATATTAGTATTATCATCTATGTTTTCATTTTCTTCATTAGTTACAAGGTCAGTATTATATATATTAGATTCAAATGAAATATCTGTTTTTTCAAGCTCATCTACCGATTCTGATTGAGAACAAACTGTAACCTGAGTTTCATACACAGTGTCAATATTAATTATCATTGTACTTGTATTTTGCACCGGTATTAGATAATCATCAATCGTCAATTGATCTTCTGATAAAAATTGTAACTCTACTTCTTTATTGAGAGTTAATGATTCTGATTGGATTTTATTTATAACTATAGTATCAGGTGTAGCATCAGTATCAATTTCACGTTTATTTTCTTCAATAGGTATTCGAGATTCATTTGATAATAGCATTTCTGATAAACTATCTATTTTATTTTGGGTAGGTTCTTCGTTACTTTTATTGTCAGTATTGCAGCCCAATATTTTTGACGTTTCTATTTCCGAATCTTGATATTTATCTAATAATTCTGATTGAACTTCATTCATTACTAAACTTGTATAAGCTGTATCATCATTACCTGTCTCATGCTCAGTATTTTTATAATTTTCAATTTGATTTGAAATACCTTCGAATGAGATATCGTTTGTTGGTGGGTAAACTGTTTTAATATCTATTTTAGGCTTAATTTTTTCTTCATTATCATCAAGACGAGTGTGATCTTCTAACGTCATTACTTCGGTTTCTGATTCTATTTTATTATGATTACCTAATAATTCTGATGAGTAATCTATAAATGTCCCAATTCCATGCATATTATCCATGTCAACATTACTTGTGTTTTCACCTGGTACAGAAGGTGAATCATTTGAAGATGACGTCTCTGATGTCAAATCAGTAATTGACGTGATAGGATTTTCATTAGTTTCAAGATCAATATTGACTATGATCAGCTCTGTTGAAATTTCTGTTTTTGAAATTTCATCTATAGAATCTGATTGAGAATGATTTGTAATGTGAGTTTCATGTAAAGTGTCTATTGTTATTTCGCTGGTATTTTCAACTGGTATGAAAGAAGTTTTATGTATAGTTTCATTCAGATTTTTTATTTTTTCTTCATCGTCATCTGTTCCAATTATCATTTTAGCATTGTTGGATTCTTCAATATAAATATCTTCTAATATCTCCAATGTTCTTTCTAACTCCATGTGCGCATTATTTATGTCAGTGTCACTTATGTTCATAACCGACGCTGTCAAAGGAGAATTGTTTTCGTTTGATAATGTATCCGCTGTTTCAGTATCTATTATATCTTTGACAGTTTCATTAATAGTAACTAAGGCTTCACCATCCAATACACTTATTGAGGTAGATTTTAATTTTATTTCATTATTAGTGTTTATTGATTTTGTNTGTAGTATCAACAACAATTTCACTTTCATTTTGAACTGGTTTGAAAGAAGTATCATTTGATAACACATGTTCTATTGTCATATCTGTGTCATCCTTAGCATCCTTGGTTATCAATTCTGCATTTTTATCTAGTAAAGTTGAATGTGATTCAATAATTACTGAAATCTCATGAATATTGGTATTATCAACTTTATGTTCATTTACAATCAGTACTGATGGGACTTCGTTTGATAATGAATCTACTTCTTCAATATCTGTTTTAGCCTCAATGGATTCTTCAATATCATCTAAGCTTGTATCATTTTTTAACTTTTCTGATTCTATTTGATTATGTTTGTTAACTAGTGATTCAAATGGACAATCTGTACATTTCCCAACCTTGTATACATTATTGATGCCAACATCACTTTTGTTTTCAACTGGTATTAAAGGATTAACGTCTGGTAATGATATCTCTGATACCATATTTGTGTTAGCCGTAATAGGGTTTTTATTAGGTACAAGATCAGTATTTGTTATTATCACCTCTGATGAAATGTTTATTTTTGGAAGTTCATCTATCAATTCTGGTTGAGAATAATTTTTAACATGAGTTTCGTGTTTAGTGTCTATTGTCATTTCACTATTATTTTCAACTGTAACTAAATGAGTTGTATTTATAGCGTCTATTTCAGTTTCATTTTGTTCTTCGACTTTTTCAGAGAATAATTGATCTACTTTCCCAGTCATGATTTTACCAATGATGGATTCTTTCATACTATTATCTTCTATTATCTCTGATGTAGTTTGTAATTCGACTTGTGCATTTTCCGGGTCAGCTTCACTTGAATTTATAACTGTCACTACCAAACTAGAATCGTTTTCATTTGATAATAATTCCCCCGTTCCAATATTTGTATTAGTTCTAATGAGTTCATCAATATCACCTTGGACAGTATCACTTTCTAAAACCTCGAATTGGGTTTCTGATTCTACTTCATTACATTTATCCACAGATTCTGATAGACAATCTAATTTTAACAAAACCTCTTGCGCCTCATCCATGTCAGTATCAGCAGTATTTTCAATTGGTACTAATTCAACATAATTTAAATATTGATTATCCACTACTATAAGTGTATTAGAATTAATGGTTTCTACATTAGTAGCATTATTATTATTATTAATGATCAGATTTGATGTAATTTCTGATACTGCATTTTTATCACATAACTCTAAATGACCATCATTCATTACCAAACTTGTATGCGTATAGTTATTATTAATTTTGGTTTTATGTACAACTGGTACTAGAGGTATATTGTTTGACAATAAATTCATTTTTGATGCATCTGTTTTATTCTTGATAGGTTCTTCAATACATTCGAGATTTGAATTATTTTCTAAAAATTTATCTGATATAGTTTTTAGTTCCACACTCTCATTCGATGATACTGATTGATTTTCATTTAAAATTAAAGTGTTTTGTGTAATATCAATGACAAATTCACTTATATTTGCCATTCGTAAATGGTCATTGTTTAATAATGGAATTGTTGGTATTATATATGTGTTATTTAAATCAGTTTCTGATTTAATATTTGATTTTGAAGGTTCTTCTATTAATTCCTGATTAGAACAAATTATAAATTTAGTCTCAAGCTGAGGGTCTTTATAAATTTCAATTTGATTTGAAATGCCTTCGAATGAGATATCGTTTGTTGGTGGATAAACTGTTTTAATATCTATTTTAGGCTTAATTTTTTCTTCATTATCATCAAGACGAGTGTGATCTTCTAACGCCATTACTTCGGTTTCTGATTCTAATTTATTATGATTAACTAATAATTCTGATGGGTAATCTATAAATGTCCCAATTCCATGCATATTATCCATATCAACTTTACTTGTGTTTTCACCTGATACAGAAGTTGAATCATTTANAATGATTTGTAATGTGAGTTTCATGTAAAGTGTCTATTGTTATTTCACTGGTATTTTCAACTGGTATGAAAGAAGTTTTATGTAAAGTTTCATTCAGATTTATTATTTTTTCTTCATTGTCATATGTTCCAGTCATCATTTTAGCATTGTTGGATTCTTCATTAAAATTATCTTCTAATATCTCCGATGTTCTTTCTAACTCCATGTGCGCATTATTTATATCAGTGTCACTAATATTCATAACCGACGCTGTCAAAGGAGAATTGTTTTCGTTTGATAATGTATCCGCTGTTTCAGTATCTATTATATCTTTGACAGTTTCATTAATAGTAACTAAGGCTTCACCATCCAATACACTTATTGAGGTAGATTTTAATTTTATTTCATTATTAGTGTTTATTGATTTTGTTTGAGCTTCAATTTTTGCCAATGTTCCAGGTGTAGTATCAACAACAATTTCACTTTCATTTTGAACTGGTTTGAAAGAAGTATTATTTGATAACACATGTTCTATTGTCATATCTGTGTCATCCTTAGCATCCTTGGTTATTAATTCTGCATTTTTATCTAGTAAAGTTGAATGTGATTCAATAATTACTGAAATCTCATGAATATTGGTATTATCAACTTTATGTTCATTTACAATCATTACTGATGGGACTTCGTTTGATAATGAATCTACTTCTTCAATATCTGTTTTAGCCTCAATGGATTCTTCAATATCATCTAAGCTTGTATCATTTTTTAACTTTTCTGATTCTATTTGATTATGTTTGTTAACTAGTGATTCAAATGGACAATCTGTACATTTCCCAACCTTGTATACATTATTGATGCCAACATCACTTTTGTTTTCAACTGGTATTAAAGGATTAACGTCTGGTAATGATATCTCTGATACCATATTTGTGTTAGCCGTAATAGGGTTTTTATTAGGTACAAGATCAGTATTTGTTATTATCACCTCTGATGAAATGTTTATTTTTGGAAGTTCATCTATCAATTCTGGTTGAGAATAATTTTTAACATGAGTTTCGTGTTTAGTGTCTATTGTCATTTCACTATTATTTTCAACTGTAACTAAATGAGTTGTATTTATAGCGTCTATTTCAGTTTCATTTTGTTCTTCGACTTTTTCAGAGAATAATTGATCTACTTTCCCAGTCATGATTTTACCAATGATGGATTCTTTGATATTATTATCTTCTATTATCTCTGATGTGGTTTGTAATTCGACTTGTGCATTTTCCGGGTCAGCTTCACTTGAATTTATAACTGCCAATAAAGTAGTATCGTTTGATAATGGATCTACTATTGTAATATCTATTTTATCCTTGATGGATTCATCATTATTTACTAATTCTATTTCATCTTCTTGTATGTTTTTTGATATATTTTCTGATTCTATGTTTTGTCTATCATTTATTGATATTGATTGAACTTCATTTATTACTAAAGTGTTATGTTTAGTATAAATATCAATTTTACTAGGACTTTCTAATGACATTATATGGTCATTGTCTGCTAAAACACTCACAGGTATTATATTATCTGTATTACCTTTTATATGTTCTTTATTAGGTAAAAATTGATTATGGTCGATTATTGACTCTAATGATTTGATTGTTTGTGATTCACTGTGTATGTCTAGCAGTTCAGATTCTTCTTTAATTAATTGATGCTGTGTTGACATATCTGACTTATGTTTGAATATGTTTTTATTTATTTTATCAGTATTAATTATATTTATTTCTGATCCTTTTTCTGATTTTATAAGTTCATCTTTTGATTCGGATTGAGAACAAATTGTGAAGTGAGCATCGTTATTAGTTTCTATAGCTTTTTTAATTTGATATATAATTGTTTCTAATGGAATATCATTTGATAATGGATCTACTGTTTTAATATCTACTTTAGCTTTAATGAATTCTTTAATATCAACTAAATCAGTGTTATCATCTAATATATTTAATTCATTTTCTGATTCTACTTGATTATTATGTTTTACTAATATTTCTGATGGACAAACTATTAATGTCCCATCTTCATGTGTTGTATCAACATCAACCTCACTAGTATTTTCAACTAGTACTACAGGATTTATATGCATAGCAGCTGTGTCAGTTTCAATTTTATTATCATTTTTTTCTTTCAATAATCGGTCTTCTGTCTCAGTTAACATTGTAACATTGATGGATTCTCCAAAACTATTATCTTTTATTATTTTTGATGTGATTTGTAGTTCTACTCGTACATTTTCCATATCAATTTCACTTGTATGTACAACTGCTAATAAATCCTTATCGTTTGATAATGGATCTACTGTTTTATCCTTAATTGATTCATCATTAGTTACTAAGTCATTATTATCTAATAAGCTTTTTGAGGTATGTTCTAATTTTCTTTCATTATTAGTATTTATTGATTCTGATTGTGCTTCATTTTTTACTAAATTCCCATGTATAGTATCAATATTATTTTCACTTACATTTTCAACTGATTTTAAAGAAGCATCATTTGATAATGTTTGCTCTGTTTCCTTTTCTGTTTTAACCTTGATGGTGTCTTCATTTGTTATAAAGTTACATTTATTTATTTTCGGTTCTGATGTATGTTCTATTTCTGAATTTTTATCTAGTAAATCTGAATGCGCTTCATTAATTTTCGAAATTGTATTTATACTATCATAATCAATTTCATGTTCTTTTACGTCATTTACCGATGGGATATCATCTGATAATGGATCTATTGTTTCAATATCTGTTTTAGTCTTAATAGGTTCTTTAATAATTAATAAATCTAAATTATCTTCTAGATTTTTTTCTGGTGTAGTTTCTGTATAGTTTTTGTGTAGTATGTATTTATGTTCATCTTGTAATCTGGTTGGTTCCATAACGACATTTAAGCCGCACGGTTCTTGAATATTTGTAGTTTGTTTTTCGAAGTCTTGTTTTTTAGATTTTGATTCTGTTGTTAATACATTTTTGTTTAGGCTTAAAACTGGAATATCAGATTTATTTTGTATAGTTATTGTGTTTGGTTGTTCTACTGATACAATTACTGTGGTATTCGACAACGATTGTGTGTCTGTAGTTTTTATTTCTATATTTACTATTGTTGGGTTATTTGAAAGTAATTTGTGAGGTTTAGTTTTTATATCTTCTGAAGTAAATTTTTCTGTAACAACAATATCTGTTAAATTAATTGGCTGTAATTTTAATTCAGTTATTTTGTCTATTACAGATTTTTCACCATCTACTTTATTGATTTCTTTTTCCCTTATAGTATTTTTATCTACTGCTATATAATCATTATTATTTGATATTATAGTAAACGTTTTATTTTTTAAATCAACTTTATTTGATGCACCTAGCTCTCTAGAATCATTTGGTATTATTGATGGTTTTTTTACTGAAGCGGTATTTTCATATTCCGTGATTTCAGTTGTAGTTTCTATACCTCTTACATTTGGTTTGTTAATTGTGGTGATCTCTGAAACATTTACTACATTTGATTTTGGTGTAGTTTTTAATTCAATAATTGATGTTTGAGCGTCATCTGGTTTTTTAAAATGTAAAATTTCTATTTCTTCTTTAATAGATTCTTCTATTTTACCAGTTTCAGATGAATTAGATATTGATGTGTTACATGTAGTATTTAATTCAATTGCTTTTATATTTTCTACTAATATTATATCACATGGTTTCGGAGTTTTATATTTAGTTTCTTCTTTTTCTAAATTTGATTCAATTATTTTTTCTGTTTCGGCAATTCTTTCTAATTTCGAAGCAGGTACATGATCTACTTTTCCTATATCTGATATTTTTTCGAGTTTGTCTGTACACATTTTAACATTATTGATTTTTTCAAATTTTTCGTCTTTTTGTTTATCTTTCGCTATTTCTTTAGTATTATTTGTTATTGATGTTTCAAGTATTTTTGATTGTATACAATTTATTTGTTCTATGTTTTTATCACAGTTTACCATATTATATTGATTGCTATTTGAGTATATTTCTGTTTCACAGATACTTCCTACATCATTTTGAGTTATATTACTTTTAATTATATGTTTTACATTATTCAATGACTTGTTGTCTACTAGACTTGTAGATATTTCATTGATTTCATTTTCACCATTTTTATTTTCATGTTTTAACTGTGCATTATTTGTGTGGTTATTAGATGGGAATTCATGTAATTCGTTGAATGGTGTTGTATAATTATTTTCGAGTAGTTGAATATTATTTTGGTTTGATAAATTCTTATTTAAATATAATTGTACAATTTGTTCAACCATATTAATTTTAAAACTATTTAGTACAGGTTCAATCAATTTTTCAATCATTAATTTTTGGTTAATATCTTGGTTTGAAGATAGTATTATAGTTTGTTCATCTGTTTCACAAATATTGTTTATTTGTGATTCATGATATAATTCTTCACATTCTGTAGTCTCAGGAACTGGTACGTTAAATGAAGATAGTACTTTGTTGATTAATTTTAATTCATTTGTATCTAATGTTTCATTTTGTTTTTCAATTTTATTTATTATTGATGAATTATGCATACTTAAAGTTAAATCACATTCTTTACAATTATGTTTTAAATTTGTATTGATATTTTCATTACACTGATTTGACTTCAATATATTTGTATTGTGATTTGTCGGATTTTCTAAATTTTGGGTTTGTTCTATTTTATTAGCTGAATCATAAATTGGATCAGTATTCGTAGATATTGAATATTCCTGATATTTTGATTCATCTACTTTTAAACTTTGTTTAATGCATGTGGATGTAATTGTATTCGGTATATTTTCTACAATAATTTTATCATCATTGTATTCATTTGTATTGATTATTACTTCCGTACTTTTAGAATTATTCGTGTTGTTACATAGTTCATCAGAATTATAATTTGAGAGTTCAGTTTGATTTTGTAAATGACATTTTATATGCTTATCAATTATTGTGATCGAAGATTTTGAATTTGCAGAGTTGCCATTTTCAAAGTATTCATTTTTATACTCATTCATATTTTTTATAATATTTTCAAATCCATTATTTTCTTTGTTAGGTTGTTCAAGAATATTTTCAATTTTTGGACAATTATCATTTGAATTTGCATGTTGTATTATATTGATGTTTCTAGGTACCACTGATAATATTTCTAATAACTCTTTAGAACATTTTTCACAAACTCTATTTGGTTTTGTTATACTTGCAATTATACTTTCAATAGGGAAATCAATATTGTTTAATACAGAGTCTGTATTTTTTTTATCTATACAATCATTAGTATTTAGCTCTAGGTTTTTTATGTTTTCCATTAAAATTTCAGTTTTTTTGTCCTCGTCAAAATAAAAATTTTCATTTGCTGTACATTGTTCACTGTTAGTACTATAGATTTCTGGTAGTACTTTAACAGACTCAATAGATATTTCATTAATGTTTTGTCCCAATGGTTCATTAAACTTGAATATTTGGCTGTAATCTCCTATTATATTTGAATTCTCATTATCTTTACCGTGAACTATTACACTGCTCATGTGTTTTGGTAAAGTTGGTAACACATTTTCTGTTTGGGTTATATCGTTAATAATTTCATTATTTTCTTTGGGTTTGATTGTAAATTTATTTTGCTTGTTATAATTATTGATATCAATAATATTTTTATAATTCAATTTATCGTTTTCATGATTAATATTTACATTATTTTTTTCATAATTTCGATGTGTTTCAATTTCCGGTTTCACATCCAATGAAGTTGAATTTCCATCATTTAAATCATATTCATGACTTCTTTCAGTGATGCTAATCATACGTTTTTGAATTTTTTTTCTAACTCCAGAACTTTTAGACTCAAATTTAGTTACTATAGACATGACATCTGTTCCTGTACAGTTTTCTTTAGATGCTGGAAGTATATCTTGTTTAACAGTTGTTTTACTAGATTCGATTGTATGATTGATATTATTAATAATTTTGTCTTTGGTTTCAATATTTCTATAATTTCCTTTGTCAGACTTCATTGCCATTCTGTATTTCTTCGTACCTAACCGAATCCGAGATCTGGAATTTGTTGGACTTTTATCTACTGATACATAATACGGTGAACGACAAATTGATAAACCGTTTTGAATTAATGTTAACGTATGCACACCCTCCGTTAACGGTATATACGTCACTTTTATTCTATCTTCATCATAAATATAACTGATGGGAATCGATGTTAGTTCAATAGAACTGATGGAATTTCGTTTTGATATTGTAAGTTTACCAGATTCACCATTCCGTCCTTTGAGTTCAACAACAATATTTTCGAAACTATTACTATATCTTGAATATAAATAAAATTCTGTTTCACGTCCAACAGTAGCAGCTATCAAACCCAAGCCACGTGCTATATAAGAATTATCAATTAAGTGATCGACAAATTCATTATTTTCTTTGCGTGTAATCAAGGTTTGAGTATTTTTAATCAAATCATCCACTTTTGACTCATTCTCTGCAACTAACTGAAAAATAAAAAAAAAATTACTCTCTTACATATTCCAATATATATTACCTTTTTTTAAAACATTTATTTAAATATATATAATTTATAATTATGGTAACAATAAGCATATTATAAGCGGTAACACTTGACATTTAAAAACGAATATGTAGATTAAGTACCCACCAATGTATAAAATGATATTCTAAATAGCTATGGCCCATTTGCGCCCCTAGGGATGTGGACAAATGCGTCCGAAAGATAAGGTACTACCTGCCAATGTATAGCCCATATGCACCAATTTCGCATACATCGTTGCCGTGTCATGATTAAATCCTCATAGTCATTTAATTTTGATCATATCATGTAATGTGTATATATTGATTTTGCAATTTACACGAAAAGTTAAAAAAAAAAACAAATTAATCTTAAAAAAGAAAATAGATACGTAGATTAAACAGATTAGTAGATTTTAATACTTTAATAATAATTTTCTTAAAACTATAATTTAAATTTCATAATTTTATCAACATTTTGTGTTTAAAAATATTAATTAATAAGACAATAACCCACTTAAAATACAGGATTTATTAATTGAACAGAACTTAATTAATTCACACAAATTGTTATTCATTGTAATCAATCTCACAAAAATAAAATGGTATAATCAATAATATACAAATTTTAAATTTTAAAAAAAAAACGGTAAATATGTATTTACATGCAATTGTTATAAAAATAAATATTGTCGATTTTTTTTACAGATTTATAATAAAAAAAAAAATGAATATAATAAATACTTCATTATAAATCAATCCCTCCAAATTTATATGCACATTTTTTTAAATATTGTACCCTGGTTAAATTTTTTATCTCGTATTCAGTCCAAGTTGTACAGGCAAATTCTATACGTTGTTTCTCTTCATTTCGTCTAGATTTCACTGTCTTTATTTACTTCCTTTATTTTTAAATAGTCAATCTTATAAAAATAAAATGGTATAAATAGTATACAAATTTGAAATTAAAAGGCGACAAATATGTAAATACATGTAATTATTATAACATTTCACAATGGATTTACAGAGAGAACAACATGACATGTCATGAAGTGCAATTAAGATAAAATTGACCAATAATACAAACATATCGATAATAATATCGATAAGGGTATAACGTAAAACCTAAAAATAATGTGATAAAAGTTTGCAATAATATTGCAGCATATAACAGCATATTCTAGCACAGGTCAACAATGTTACACGGTTTTAACACGTTTTTATTAGAAATATTTTGGTTGCAGATGGGTTTTAAAAAAGTTGTGATGGACCCAAATGAGCTGCTCCGTTTTAAATAACTTATAAATTACGATTAGATAGATATTATATTTAGATAACTTCATAAAAAAATCAATATATTTTTTATAGGTTTGATGAGCAATAATTTTTATCCCAATTTATTTTTATAATACGAAGTTCTACAATTATATCATTTAAGTTGTCCAAATTATAGGCTCTAACCTAAATCAACCTAAATCACCTCGGTCCTAAATGTGTATTATTAAAAATAAAGTTAATTAATTAGTCAGTTAATAAGGTTGAATTTATACAAATATTTTTAATTCACATTACACAAAATATACAATTGCATAAATATCTTTATTAGTGAATGCTGAATATTATCTAGCGAATGTAAACATACACTTCTTAAATTGGTGAATACTGAATAATTGAAAAAATGTGGACATTTACATCAGGTTTTTGATCAATGTTGACATACACAACACGGTTTTGGTTAATGTTGACATACGTATTCTCAAAAAATTTAGTGTAGACTATAGGCAATACAGTGAAAACCCTTTAAACGAATTTTATGGCACCAAAAGATTTCTTTTGTTATAAAGAGTTTTCGAAATAGAAAAGATTAAAGAACTATTGCATGGGTTATAAATCAAACCAATTTTTATTAAGTAATTTACACGTTACATAAAATTTTTTGTTAAAAAGAGTTTCGTTAAAAAAAGTTTTCACTAAGTATAAAATAAGTACATGTTCAATTGTATCAATGAATTATTATTATTTCACAATATTATATTTGCATTATTTAAATCATGACTATTTTACTCTATAAAATTTTTTTTTTTAAAAACATGATAAATTGTTATAAAATAGCAACATTTCTACAACCACACTTTTTTGCGCTTTGATCTGTAATTGCATCGTGTATATCTTTGTCTACCAATTGATAAATTTGATTAATTTTAAATTTAAGAATTTTCTTTTGTATAGGTAACAAAGAACAAATGTTCACTTAGCTAATAAAAAGTTTATATTTTTCAGCCAATAGAAAAAAAAAAATATATCATGTCTTTTATTAGATACCAAGTTATTAAATTTATTATAAAATACTTCACGTACATTTTCCATTTTAAAAAATGTTTTGGTTATTGTACAAATCAATAGTATACAATAAAATATATAACTGTATTGAATGACAAAATCATACTAAATGTTGGCGAGGCAGCATAGCATGACTGTTATTCAGATATAATAAAAATAGTTGAGCAAGGTAATAAAACATTTTATCAAATTATCAACTTCTACAATACCGAATATTGTGTGAGTACTATAGGTAGAAGGTCTACTATTACAGTATTATCATAATAATAATACTGTATTATTTTGACTTTTCCGTTATTCCTAGATTAAATTTAAAAAAAATATCGGCAAAACCAATATTCACCAATATCATTTGTCCAATGTCGACATTCACTAGTGAATATTAACAAACAGTACAAATTTAATCAATATGCCAACATTCATCAATGTTTTTGGTGTACGACGACATTAACCAGTGACGGTCAGCATTCACAAACTGCGGACGTTCAAAGTAACATATACAAATAAAAATGCCTATACATTTCATTCAATTTTTTTTTTCAAAATTTAAATTTGTCGTTCTGTAGTAGTTTAAAAACATCATACCCAAAAAAATTTAACAGATACTATTTAACACAAAAATAAGTGTAATATTATATTTTTGATGAATAATTATTAAATAATTTGTAATTCAAGAACATTGTAAGTCTTCTGTTAATAATTTTGACTAACAGAAGATTGTTTAACTAGGCAGACACTAGGTATGTATTATTCACATGAAAATAAAACGAAGCAAGTAATTTCAAGAATAAAATAGGTGAGTACTAAATTTTTTTTTAATCCCTTCTCTTATTTTAAACTTACCAGAGGAATGTCAAAGTGTTTTTGAATCAGATCTTGCGCAATAATACAATTTTCAAGTGCATTGTTATTCGGTTTTAAATCAGACGATATTGTCGTATCTGCTATCACAATAGAAGTGATTTTTTCTCCGTCTGAAAATAAAAATAAAAATAGCCTAACTAAAATTGAAAAGGTTTATTTTTGTGTATTGAATTGTTCGAAATTCTATCTACAACTACTAAATCGTATAAGTTTTAAACATTTTCCAATAACCGAATTCCTTTTTATTGGTTTAGGTTTTTTTTTTCCACTCAACGGACGTGTTCCAACAATAAAACTATCTCGTATAAGAAAAAAGGTCGTTTCATGTTTGACCAGGTGCTATGTAATAATAATATTTTTCTTCCACGGTTTTTATTGTCCCCGACTTCCCGTAGGCTTTTCAAACTTTCAACAACTTTCCTTTGCCCCAGTGCAATGTGTAAAACGCATTTTCAATTTCAACAGACGAAAAACATCATAAAGTCTACCGCGAAACTTACGGAAGATATAAATAAACTATTTAAACGCTTTTCAATGAATGGTTACTATTTTTAATCTATTTAATAATATTTAATACGATTATTATTATTGTTTTGAGTAACAAAATATTAATTGACTAGGTATTTTTGTTAAATAGCACATTGGTATAGTATTCGTTGAATAATATCAAAACTTCATGACATATTATTATAGAAGTGGGTCCAGAAAAGAAATAATGAGAGCATTTGCCGCCACCCCAAATCCTATAGTAAAGTGTGTTTTTTCTTGCGTCTATGTAAATTAGGTACCTATTTACCAAGTTTCAGTGTTGTTCATGTTGAAACGAATCACAAATTATATTATAATATAAGGTACCACTATTTGAACAAAACTGACTTACGTTCGTTTCTTGCAACATATTTTTTTAACTCTGTAACCAAATAGTTTAGCGACTGAAAAATGAATATTATCACGGCGATGACACATGTTAGTATACCGTGTAGCGTTATTTGTCCCAGCATAGTCTATACATTACACGTCCGCTAGAACCTAAACATACACAACAATAATCATAAATTACAGGGTGGTGATTCATGGAGAACAAAAGTGCATTATTATATTTATATATATCCGTGAATCACTCTGTATATTGTATTAATAAATTTCGATATCACTGTATTAACATAAACTGGGCAAAAGGCGCATTGATTTTAGCTTAAATGATAATTATCAGTACACTTAACACTAATTAAAACATAGAAAATGAATACAAGTTCAAGTACAAATATTGATTTAAATACCTAAACATTGTAAATTGCTAATATTGTTCTATACAAATATTCTAATATTAAAAATTCAAATATTTTCGAATATTCAAATATATTCCAATAGACCTATAGACATTATCTCGACTCGAAACTGAGTTGTTTCGAGCATTATTATTCCAATAGAATTATTATTGCAGAAAACAAAAATAAAACAAACAGTGATCTTGCACAAGATTCTATCGCCTCGAATATTATTATTATTATTTATTTATTTATTTTTTTTTTTTTTTAAGCACGACTACATAATAAATTATAGGAACTTCGCGTGTCGACAGAAAAGGGGACGGGCAGAAATATCTGCGAACCGTAAAATGATCAATATCATCAATAAATTAGTTTACAGAGAAATACAACGGCGACGACGACGATGACGCAAACAGCACAAGAGAATTGGTTTTTTTCATCACGATAAGGTAAGTATTTTACTATATACTACATATTTTCTTCCGCTCTCTGTAGTATAATATTATATTTTTCGGTGCATTTATCACGAGATGACAATCTGAAGACTTAGTTTTTATGAAGAAAAAAAAAATTGTAATTTTAATGATATATATAATCCAAAAAGGAGGTTAATTTTTGCCGTTTCTGCGAAGAACATGGTATAATATTACTAATTCAATTCCGGTCCAAAGGATCTGCCAAGTTCCCCTGAGGCTCGCGATTCCGCCGCGTGAGCACTTTATACCGGGTTCAAACCGTAAATAAATAAATAAGTATTCACAATAAGTGTGCCTGTATTAGTAAATAATAAACAATATTATCTAGGTATTATCGTACAAATTTATAAGCATATTAATTTATTTACGGACAGTCGTCATTCGCTATATTATTTAAAAAATTTCATATTTTATCCCGCGGTATACCTCGTAAACACGTTTCGACAATAATTAACATTCAAAACTCACGACTCTGCAATTATGTTTTCATAAAAATATTCGAATGAATCGAAATCGTATAGTTTGCAATTTTAATTTCAATTGACCTGTTAGTTAGGGGGGCTGTGGGGAGGTATTATATAATATAAATCATATTTGACATAATTTTAAAATTGACTTTTAGGTAAGCTAAATTACGATTCAGACCACTGTGTGCCGGTCCGTGATAAACCGCGGCATCCTCCTGCATATTATAATATACGTAATGTAATCTCCGCGTTTGAAAACTCCCGCGGTCGTGCACAACTGTCGGCGAATTTCGCGTATAAGAAATAATAATATTATAACAACAAGCGGTAACGTTTTGTGAGATACGCGGCCGTGAGTTTATCAATGCACAATCGTCCATTGTGGAATCTTCAAATAAACATAATTCGGGACGATCCGGTTACACCACCGGGCGAAATATTCCGAAATGAGAATATAATCCGAGTTGTATACGGGTATAATGGCGGTGTTTTGGAAAAACGTCACGACTGCATTAACGCGTTTTCCGTATACTATTACCTGTACGTATGTGTGTGTGTGTGTGTGTGTGTGTGTGTGTGTGATGTTGTTACTAGCTTACGGAGAGGTCACAACATACCGACATTTAAGAAGTAAGTCTCATACAGGCGATATTTAACGAAGAGTTTCGAAAACCGTAAAAATTACGTAAATAACAGACAAAAAAGATACGGACATACTTCGCACGACGGGCAGGCCACTGTTGTAGATGAGAAATCGGAAAAGTAAGATGCGGAAGGGAATTTAATGGATAACGCAGATTCTCGTTGTCTGGGTAGGCGTGTGCCAGAAAAAGATTTTACGATTTATTCACGAGTCAGGCTCATGGTAATTATTTGCTACATCTCCTCCCATTGAAAAACCTTGGACACGTCACTGCGTTCGATTGAGCGTGATTCTATGGAATTTGTACGCGTAGCGTGAAAAATAAAAACAAAAACACTATCTATGAGAAACAATTGAGGTATACAATATTATATTCATTTTTAATTTACACGGACGAGACGGTACAATATTATTTATTTCGTGTTATTCGAGATTAAATAGCGACCTTCATTCTTTACGAATAAAATTTTAAAAAATCCGTAACATATGTGTAAATCGATATTTTTAATAAAAAAAAAAAATAGATACGAAAACGAAAATACATCAAAATCGGACGGGACAGGAATTAACACCATGTAAACCGTGTTTCGAGCAAAAAAGAATAACCGATCGTGCGCTGCAGGCCCTTCTGCATGTATTATACAAATACAAAAATTAAAACCGATTAAATTTCCCGTTTAAAATCGCTACAAGACCTTTCGATTGTATAAACGATATTTTTTATTGTTTGCGTTATACCGAGGTTTACGTTTGTAAAAAAAAAAAAAAAAAAAAACTATCACCGCGGACCGTTAAATACTATTTTATATTGCCGGCGCAATAGTCTCGCGACTCGGAGAAACCGTTTTAAAATAATAATAATACATAATATTTACGACGGGCTCCGGAAAATGCGTTTTCGCGTATGGTATATACTGTTTATTTTTTTAGTTTTTTTTTTTTTTTATTTTTTCGTTTTGCTCCGGCGGCGGTTATACGCGGTCCTGCGCACGGCCTCCCCCACTCCCCCCACGCGGATATAATTGTTCACTGACCCGGGCGATAATGGCCAAAAGAAGATCAAATACTCTCTGTGTGTGTGTATATATTTATATATATATATATATATATACACACACACCTACTCGGGAACACGGCTGCGCGGGGAGGGAGGGGCGGCGGTGGGGCGGGGAGCGGATGCGAAATCAACTTTTCGCGGTTTACGCCGCTGCCGCCGGCTCGGCGTATGTAATACCGGTACCTACGTGATCTGCGAGCACAACGCTCGCACCAATTAACGTACGCGTATACGCGCTCGGCGGCGGGTACGCGCGCCCGTTGCGTTTTATTTTCCTCGTGCGCGAAATATATTTTCGCCGGGCGTTTTATATTGCAAACGGCGTTGGATGGGGGAGGAGGGGGGCGGCGGGGGAAACCCGACGTTTTGCATTTCAATTCGGCCCGTTCCTTTCGATCGAACCCGCCGCGGCGTCGGCTGCTGCTCCGCCGATGTTAACGTCCGCGTTGATTGACCCCGGGATGCGCGCGGGCGGCCGGACACGGACGGCGCGGCGCACGGGCTGAAAGTCATTAGCGTCCGCGTCTGGCGGCGGGAAAAATATTACGCCGCGGCGGCGACGGGGGGTGGGGAGGGTGGGAGGGGGGGATAGAGAAAAAATAATAATAATAATAAAAAAGACGGCCCGCACATACAGGCGTACAGAAAAAAACAATAGGCGGATCACGTGCGAAGAGCGTTTCCCGGCGATCTCGTTTTTGCTGTGCACGCGTACGCGTGCAGTATACTGTGTGTACATATGCGTAGAAAACGATTTTCCCCCTAAGGTCTCGAAATCGAAAAAAAAAAAAATAAATAAATAAATACAAAACGACCAATATACGACTTCGCAACACAAATACCCACTACAAATACGTCTACTACTGTTTCGTTCATAAAATCATTACGGTCTGTAAATATATACATCCATACCTGTATACACACATATACACCGTAACATATGCCTACATATCGTGCGCTCCAATAATGGAAGTAGGTACTCAAGTATACTTTATTTTTTTTATAAATATATATATATATATACACTGCGTTACGATATTCGTTTTAAAAGTTTGAACACAATAAACGTATCGTATAAACGTATGACGGAACATGTTAAAATTCAATAGTCGCAATACGATTCGTGTAGGTACCTGCAATACGTGCAGTGTTGTGACGCACTGTACAGTTCTTTATACATTCACGAATGGCTTATTGTTCGGGTTCTGTTTTTTTTTTTTTTTTTCTTCTCTTTCCGTTTCTGCAAAACGATTAAAGACTACACAACAATATTACGTATAACACATATAATACGCGTGCAGACGCGCACGGTAAAACGGAACATTCTGTATACGCGTGTGTATACGGTCGGAGTAACAAGACCCGCCGCGTTCGGTTGCGAAAAGCTATAAATCCGAGTTATTGAAAACCGTTGTAAAGTTTAATATAATGTTCTCGCGTGTACATACATTATATATAAATATATATACGTATATTATATATATATATTCGCTCGGCCATAGGAAACTTAATAGGGCTTTCGTGACATAACTGTCTGAAATTTTACGGGGGGAAAAAAATGCAACGTCCCCTTTCTCACTGTCTCTCTCTCTCTCTCTCTCTCTCTCTCTGCCGAGCCATATAGACGATTTCGGTATCGTAAACATTGATCTCTGTTTGATATACGAAACTTTCTCAAGTCGCTTAAACGTTAGAACGAAGAATGTGCGAGAAGAGCACTGCAGATATAAATATATACCATACAACTGCGAATAAAACGCTGGAATTTGTATAATATACATAATAACATAATGTTTATACACATATATGTATCAAGTTAGGTTAGGTTAGATTAGGTTTCTTGTTAAATCCGTTGGCATATCAGAATTTATAAAATTTTGTTATTATGTAAAAGTGCGTAAAAAAAAAAGAAAAAGTATTCTCAAAATTACATATACGTTTTTTAGGAGATTAGGTTAGGGGACATATTATAATACTACCTAGACATTTAAATTGATGGATATATTCGGCGATTGGTAAAGACAAATTTTTCTTTAAGTTCAATTGTAGTCAGAACACATTTAATGACAAGGATTTTCTTTTCCATGAGTTAATATCATACACTATATACCACTGACTAGCTATCGATTAAATATTATAGTAAATTATAAACCACAATAATATTCACATTTTCCAAAGTTTGAAAAATTTTAGAATATAAAAAAATACTATACTTAAACAATAGTTTCAACCACCGACAATTTTCTAAAAATCTATTTTAAAAAATAGCTACCTAGAATTTTTTTTTATAAAAAATGTATAGTCAAATTTAAAACTTTTTATTTAAAGACCCCCTACTTAAAAAACGTAATAATATTTTAATTTCATCACAGAGTTATACTAATCACTAAGAAAAAAAAAATAAAAACATAAAAATATTGAATGAAACAAAAGTTATTTCAAGTGGTAAAGAGTCCCGTTACATGCCCCAACATATTGTATACAATTATATATTATAAGTACCTATAGGTAATAATTATAATTATTAAAATACCTATTAAGTTGAAAGTAAATAGGAAGTTTGTATGTTGTTGTATACAGCCACATTCTTACATTTAATTTATAAAACTAAGCATGGTGGATGCTTAGCCGTGTTATATACCTATTAGCTATACTTGTAAATAATAATAAAGTTTAAACCTTTCCGTCTTTCACCCTTGTAAACATTCACATTTTAACTATTATTTATTATTATTGGTTATTTAATAATAATTTTTAAATAATTTATTTCTGCTTTCTTCAAATGAGTTTCATTTATCTACGTAAGTACAACCTAGTCACTATTCGATAGGTTAATCAATACTGTAGCTTGCAATAAAGTCGGCATCGTCTGTCAATATATTATATTAAGACAATATTATAATGTACAATAATATATGAACACACTATCCGTAATAACACCTTTAGTTTACCGAGTTTAAGTCCGAAAGAAGCCTAAAATTAGCCTTGGAAGTACCTAACCCCACCCCCCCCGCCACTGCCGTACCGTATAATTTAACGCGGACAATGCCCATTTCAACCTATGCTCACCACACAACGCCATTTGCTTTTCATTTATGCAATCTATCATCTATCTATCTAACGGGCGATATACTAAATAATATGTGTTTTCATATAAGTATAAACGTAAACTTTCAGTAATAAAAACCAAAAATGAACCTAGGGAGTAAACTATTGAAAATGTCGATAAATGTTTCAAATAGATTATCATTGGGTAAAAATTCCGTAGTACTGCGTGAAAAATTTAAGCTGCTGTCTAAAAAAAAATATACAAATCATTTTTTTTTTAAGTATCAGAAATTTCAAACAAATTACAATCAATCGAAAAATCAACTCTTTTTTAAGTACGATGTGAAAATTCTATTATTCTCATTCTATATATTCTAGTATTTTTACCAGCTGAAGGTATTTTATTTCTTCTTCGCTAAATCGTATAATAATTTAAAAAACCAATGTTTAAGTATAAAACATTTTCCACTAACATTTGATATTTTATTGTTTTATTGAATATCATCGTATCAATATGTATTTTTTTTTATACGGGTTTTTTGAGTTACTCATCATATTTTTAATTTATGCCAAAATACATTTTATCAGTTTAATTTTTTTATATTATGATTTAACGTAATTATGAGAATGCAATACCCATTTGAATTATAATGTCATGTGTTTCATGTCATACATGTGTATTTCACATAAAATATGGAATTTTGTGAAATTTGTAAGTACATATTTGACAGCTGCAGTGATGAGTTACAGCAATTTATAAAATCGACAAAAAAATCACTACGATAAATCTAAAAACCGATTTTGTAATATTTATATTTTAATCGGAAAGTCGCAGTTGAGTCGGTGAGTTGTGCTTAATGTTTTTCTCTCCCCTTTTCCGAGAAATACTTTTAGTAAAAATGCTCCGATTTTTTCATATCGTACCTTTAAAGACGTAATTTACGTTCGACGGTACTTATTACTTCAAAACTTTTAACAGTTTACAACTTAGTTTTTTGGTTTTATTTTTTTTTGAAAATCATTTTATTTTACACACACGTACCTATAAATAAGTATAATAAATAACTGATCTAGTCGTTTATTATTATTTATTATGTATACATAGACTACCAAGACAAAGTCAACTGAAGCTTTTAATGAAGTATTCATCGCGCCGTTTATTTATTTATACCTAACCTGTGGGCCGCCCCGCCCAATTGGAACGTTCCATCGCATAATAAATATTTTCGCTTTAGGGCCCAGACGAGATTTTCGGTAAGCATTACGCAGTGTAACGCACACGACAAGTTTTACAAGCTCTATAGGAGAAAACCGCCAGCCACCCCGGGGAAATGCAGCAGCAAGCTGTACATTATATATAGTTACCTACAGACTTACGCGTATTGACATTGACGGCGGTTTGTCAGATCGCAGCAAGCACAATATATAATATGTATATTATTAAATTTTCAGTAATGGCGGTAATCCGCGCACTGCGTAATACACCCAATTCTGAATATTTTAGACGTGTGGTTTTTTTTGTTTTGTTCTTTTTTTTTTATTATAAAACAGACTACCTAGTTTATACTTGGAGCATTTAACATTTATCAGCGTCTCTCAAATCTTTCGGTCTCGTATAATTCTGTTTGGGTCGCCTCAATATTTTAAAAGTTGTTGAAAAAAAAATATTTTAAAAAATGTGCACAAACTGATTTATCAGTAAAACAGTATCAAGGACGTCACTACATGCTTAAATGTAATAATTTTAAAATGTTAAATCCGTGTTTCACTTGGAAACACACGTAGGTATACAAATGTATATTAATGTACATGTTATTACGATTTATGTTGGTACGAGTATATAACGTGGAAATTAATTAAAAACCAAATTTAATTAAATTGTCCTAATTGATACATGTAAATTATAGACATTATCATTTAAAAAAAAGGTCGTGTAAATAATTTAGTATCTGAATATCTTGAGTCACATAATAATTTACACAAAGGTTTAGAAACGCTAATACAGATAAAAAGGCACTATGATATTGAAAAATCGTATTAATCTATTTTTAAAATATTAAAACAAGAGCTGATACTGCTGATGGATATACCGTTGTTGTAGGAGGGCAGTTGAATAGATAAGATATATAAAGTAATTTTATTAATATCTGTGCGTAACAATAAATTAATAATAAATAACTATATTACTAATTATAACTAATTAACAATAAATTGCTAACGAAAAACTATTCAAATTTCAAATTAGTATATGGTAAATAGCTTAAAAAATCGTCGGAATTTTTAAAAATTACCACGTCTAAAAACATCTGATGTAAGAATTCGGCGAAAATTTCTGGTCTCTACGGTTTTTTCTCACCTAATTACACCAGTAAATAAAATAGGCAACAAAAACCGTTATTGCGAACATATTCCAGTTTTTCAAGGTTTTCCGAAATCATTAAAACAATCAAAAAATTACATCCTCTACCAACTAGACAAAATTCACTATCAAAAACCATTCCTGAATTTAATATTCAAAGATGAAGATTTCTGATAGAATAGTTGTTTGCACATATCTAATATAGTTTTAGAACCAAATACATTCCTTATTTCACTCAGAATTTAAAATAACAACAAATTATTATGCTGTGAATGTAGATTTGTGTTTGCCCACAGTCGAATATTGATATGCGAGTCGCATGTTACATCGAACTTTCGCGTCTATCTTACGTTTGTATAATCAAAATACACCCCGCAGGATGTTGTGGCATAAGAATCAAATGCGCAATATTTAATATTATAGTAATAATATAATGCTTCTCACTTAGATAACAATACACCGTATTAAGGTAATATTCCAAAACGTACGGTTTATTGTTATAGGCACAGCGATTTCATTAAAATTAAAATATAACGTTAAATTACGGGTATAGTTAAAATTCACTATAATAATTCTACAAATTAAAATAAGACAGACGGACTGACAACATTTTCCCAGGGGGGATGATATTATAGTGGTATATTAAGTGCCATTCTATTTCCAGTAATTTTTTACGCAAATTTCAATTTACATAAGACTGTGCAATCCACCAGTAATTAAAAACGGGACAGCGGATAGAGTTCCGTTCTTATTTAAGGTTAAATTATTCGTGTCCTTTAAGTCTTCAAAATATACAATTCTAAAAACTTGAATTAGTTTTATGGAAAATAAATTCTTTAATATCTATTAGATTATACGTGATCATCAGATTCAATTTTATTTTAATCTTACTGAACAGGCAAAGTATGTGAATAACTTTTTTTCTGGGCAGGAGTAGGATGTTACAATTTACTTTGAAATCCTATAAGCTTATCATTTTTATGAACAAATGTGTGTGGGAGAAAAACATTTTAAAAGCCTTTTCTCCGTGATGAGTTTCCCGAAAGTTTGGTTGGGTTTAATTTTCGGGAACGCCCTCTTGATAAATATAGTCCTCCTTTTAAGTACCCACTACTCACTTTAACCACTAGCACTCACGTATATTTATTTTAATTCATATTTTCACAATTCTTTACCTTAATTTTAAACATTTAAAATTTAATATTCTGATTAAGATTATTTTTACAAGTAGATAAAGCATGTTCAACCGATATATTACATCTTTTGATACTTTTAACTTTTAAAGTTTTCTTGAAATGGAAACAGAGAAATAATATAATAACCCACAAATGTTTAACATATAAACTATACAGTGACATAGGGTGTCCTACAATGATATCCCAATGACATATATATTGTTGATAAAACAACACTATTAACCGAATTCCGCTCAGAATCGTTTTTCGCTAGCAATCGTTGCGTACATATATACATTAAATTTCCCCTCTACCATCTCAACTTCTCATCTAAAATATTGGCCTACCAATTCACATGTAAAGTATGCTCGTCTTTTTAAATTTTTTTTTTCAATCGGATTTTATGTGAGGACACATGTGTAAAGAAAAATTTAATTTATTTTTTCGTCCCTTAATTATTGACAAAATATACCTTTGTTTTATCACTCAACATTTTCAAAACAGTTATTTTGTGAAAGATATCGTTCTGAACAATTTAATGTAACATTCATATCCAATCAATATATAATTTCTTAGTATAATAACCGTTTTTCTAGACAATTGGTGTGAATAGAATTAATTTTCAATTGTTTAATGTACACTGTTTACACTGTAAGACACCTGTATATACTTACCACTAAAGTGGTTCTTATTTATAGGAATTTGTTTTTTTTATTTTTTTGTCTATTATTTAAGATCGATCACCCCAAAAAGGCGCAAAAAAAACTTGAGCACAATGCGTGTGCATTGCAACACCTGTGCTATTTTTTTCTAGTATATAGGTTTTTAAGTATGTAGGTTTGTTATTTAAGAAATGTATAAACTCATAGTATAATTATGTTGAGTATTTGTCAAATAAATGTACTATTAAGTACTATTATTATTTAATAATTGTCTACTGTTTAATAAAATATTATTGATCCTAGTATTTTTATTATTATTATTATTAACATAACGTATGCGATATCACCTGTAAAAATTAGTATTTTGGTTAGTACACAGTGCATTCATAAATTCGTGTCATTAAAACGGATATTAAAATCGAAAATGTTTTTAAATCAAACGGAGCAACACACTGGTAACTGTCGATAATTGTAAACTCAATAGGTAAATATAAGATTTTAAAGAGTACTTAATAATATTCGTTTACAGTGTACAAATCGTTCGTGTAACGTGACTATTATCATTAGTGATAAACTGAGTTAAATAATTAAATCCAAACATTTTCCTCACAATTATCCTCCTCTAAAAGGTAATTCGATCAAATTGAATCTCATTGGGGCATCTGTAAAACGTAAAGGCACAGAATATCTACAAACCAAACAAAACAAAATTATTTCAAAAGAAATGGATTTGATAAAGAATATTCCAGTGCGTAAATCATTATATTGTGTCCGTAAAAAACTATTCCAAGATACAATATGTATACTCTCTGAAAGAGATAATACCGAATTTAATGATAAAAATGTTTTCGGATAAAAATTTGTATGCACTTGCAAAGTATTTCTTAATTTAGTATGTAATAAAAGCATGCGTGTTTTTGGAAATGGTACATTTTTTTTTTCTAAATTCTTTCTTCAGCTGATGTATACAATACATGTGTGCTCGTATGTAAATCATTTTTACGTTTCTATAAATTGTTTTTGTTTATTTTCATCCAAAAACTTAGAAATGTACCAATATACATGCAGTGAAATAAAATTGTATGTTAAAATCTAACTGGGAAAAAATTAGATGAAAAAAAAAGACGGTCATACTTCACACATGTGTGCAGCCACTATTGTAGATGGGGAAGTTGAGAAGATAGAATACAGAAGGGAATTTAATGTATATGTATATAACGATAAACCAATGATAACGAAAAAACGATTCTGAGTGGAGTTCAATTAATAGTAATGCTTAAGTATAGAATTAAAAAATATAATATAAAGATTAATAATTAAAAGAATGGATTGAAATCGAAATTTATTTTAATATTGCTTGGTTTATATAGTATTGCTTTTTCAACAATATGCGTTTCCATGACAACAATGATTATTTAAAAAAGATTATTAAAATAATAAAAACTTAATAATAACAAATTTTAACAAAATAACATTATTTTTAATCTTTAAATCTTTTTTAACCTAAAGAACCAGAATTGCCTTATTATCTCGAACATAAATGAGAATTTCAGAAAAAGATCTCACTAAAATACCACCCAGCGTACATTTGTTTTCAGAAAAGGTGTTATACTTGATAATCGGAGTAAGCTTTCTGGTAGAAAAAATGTTCACATAAAAAAAAAATAATAATCATCATTGTAAAACCAATACAATCCTCGCTCCGCTCAGAAACTAAAATATGCATACAGATTTCGAAAAATCTGCACACAGTGCTGATTTAAATACACTTTCAAATTGTAAAATTGTGTGTTGCTAGTAAGGAACAGTATTTTGAACCATACCAAAGACAGTTCTAAGCCTGTTAAAATGGGAAGGAAATGTAGGTCCAAATGGGCTGTATAAAACTAATATTTTTTTAAAACTAAACGAGTCTTCAAAATTGGTTCAAATGAAATGTATACTAGAAAAATTGGTCCAAACGGACTCAAGACCACTATTAGATTGAACAAAAATAAAACCGATAAAACGTCATTTTTTTTTTACCAAATTTAGATTCTTAACGCAGCGGGAATTGTATGAGCTTACTATGATTCGTGTTATTTTAAATTTTAAATTTTAATTTCGCTACACCCAGAATCTAAAAAAAAATTACCATTTTTTTCCTGCAGAGTTAACAGGTGGGCCGCGTGTATTATAAATAGCGTGCGGTATTTAAAACGACACAATTTTCCCGGCACCGCCGCCGTGGTCCAAAAACTTTATTACTAGTTGTAGATACGAAAAACCAGTGAACGCGCTCAGAAAACGTATTTTTCTATAGAATTTATTCCATTCCCGCGTCGCGCACTTTGCTCGTATCGTTGTGTGCTATACACAATTTTTATATTAATATTATATCGCGCATACTTACGCCTCTACAAACATATATTTGTGTTGTATAAATAACAATGCGCCGTACGCAATAATGATGACTTACCGATAAGATCCGAAAACACGCGTATACGGGTATAGATGTGTCTGTTAGGTGTTATTATGTGAAAATCGTGATTGTCGTTTCGATCGACGCCGTACATCGGCCGAGACTAATCGCTGCCGTCCGGATGCGTGTCCTAACGTCTCGTGACACGCGACACGCCCTAATAACATTGTTATTTACAACGTCACCCAACCGTCCGGAAGGATAAGAAACCCCTTCGAAACACCGTATATTATAATATTATACGACCCACTTACCCCTTCACCGCGGCAATCGTTTTTTTTTATTTTTTTCAACACTCAAGGACGGCGACTTATAATAATTATTATTTGCAATAATCATCCACCGCGCATCGTATTATTGTTTTAGCATTATTGTTATTATGGCCATACGCAGATTACCTTTTTTCAAGGGCGTCATTTCAGTTTTTCTTAGGTTGGGCCAACATTCTTATCGGCCCAACGTTCATTTACAAATATAAATATTTTTTCCCAAAACACTCAGATAGAAAACAGAAACAACACAAATATTGCAACCTTCGCCTATTTTTCTTGGTAGTCAGTTCAGACGGTTCATTATTAGCAAATATAGGTAGTTACAGAAAAAAAGCGTTTGTTTGAAGCAGCCGATACAGGTAGAGTCATGAGAATGGAAATAATTTGTACTGTCTCTGGAAAAGAGTTTAGAATTTCCAACAAATTTTTTAATACGGAAAAAAGATCATGAACACCGTCTTCACAGCTATTAACTTTTTTTTTAGAAAGTAGATTTTTGGCAATAAGAAATTGAGACTCTAGTAATATAGGATTAATTTTAAAGTAATTAAAGTAATTCAAAAATGCTTGAAGATTAGAACTTTGAAGTTCAAGTAATCAGGATTCAAAGAAATAAATATAGGTTAAAATAATATTGTTGTTTGTGTCATTTAAGTGTTTATCAAGTTCATTTGTAAATCTATAAAATAAATAAATAAATAATTACATTATAACCATACTATAGAAACTTGTATTACAAAATATGATAAGCATTATATAGAAGATTTAAGTTATGCGTTTAAATTAATTGAAATTTAATTTTTTGTTTGTATTATATTTGCAATATTGTCAATATGCAAGCAAAAAATCAAAAGTACCTAATTACATTGGTAAGCCACTATTTAAATTTTCAAATCATAACACAATTAAAATACTAAAGCTATAAAAATGGACTTGTAAGTTCTGGGTGAGTGACCCGTTATGATTGGAGCTACCATTCCAGCGACTATAAATACCGAAAATTTAACCAGCCCATAAAAATCAAGAGTGGGGTATATTCCCCTGCCTCCCCCCCCCCAAATGATGACACTGCCTTTTTTTTCTTCAATCCCAAAATTATATTTTCCCGGTGTCTTCCGTCCCTACTGCATCGTTTCAGTGGCAGATTTACGAGGGGGGGGGATCTGAAATCACCCTCCTCCCCAAGCAACAACTAATTTAAAGAAGATAAGATAATATAATGCAATAGTCTCTTTTTTCGAGAAACATTCGAAAAAAAAAGTAATTTTTAACTAAACTTATGATTATTTTTTATTCGTCTGCGAATTTATTTCAAAGTTTTAAAACTAACTTTACCTTAACTTATGTTTATTTTCTTTCTTTTAAATTCTGAGCGAAGCAAAGAATGTATTAGTTTTACCTATGTATTATTTTTTTGTCTCTGCAAATAACTTATTACCAGAAATTTTGTTTCAATCAGACACGTTGTATAAGGACTTTCTTGAAACATTATTGATCTAGTTAGCAATAAATTTTTGAATATAATTTTTACAATGTTAATAATAATATGAATATGAATATAAATCGTCAATCGATAATATTAACACAGATTATATAATTTGTGATACTAAATGTGATATCTTTTTTTGTTTGATAATATGTAATAAATACTATAATATAAAAATATGTCTAAACCCTTTAAGAAAAAATATAGATTTACTTTTTATTAATAAAACGACTCAATAAAATATTTGGTTACATAGTAATGATGAATTTATGTAAAAAATTGTATGAACGTGGTTAAAATGGGATTTTCATATTTTTTTAAATTTTGTAATTTGTACAATGATTGTTATACCTACACACCACGAATTGTATAATAACTTGTGCAATCTAGCTACATTGTACAACAACAATTTACAGTTTGTGATGTGTACGAAAATCATAGTACACATTGCGAAATATACAATTCCAGACTATGTATATAATATATCTAAATTGAATGAATAGGTTTTGATAATATTTGTTTGTTTTAATTTATTAGTTATTAGATAAATTTAATAAATTTACTTATATTGATAAATTCAAAACTGTATTTAAAAAGACGTCCAAGAATAATCGGGACTGATGCAGCGACTGTTATAGATAATTTAATGTATATCTGTTACCAATGATTAACCATTGCTAACGAAAAAACGATTCTGAACAGAATTCAGTAGACAGTGTAGTTGTTTGTCAACAATATATGAATCATATACTTTGATAAAATAATCACATGGGCAATATGTATTTTCTTTAAAAATATTTGTTCAATATTGTACCTATTTTCCCGTTTTTTCTACTATTTTCCAGGATTTCCAATTTATTGAAAAAACTCTTGAGAAAATCGAAAAATGTCCCCTCTAAAGTACCCCAGTCAAATTTCCTTTTAGAAAAACTGCTATCATTATAAATCAAAGCTAAATTGCTGCTAGAAAATTTGTCCACAGATAAAATATTCGTAATATTTTACTAATATATTTCGTACATTTTCCAGTTTTTCCTTGGTTTTCTTTTTCGGTTTTTCACATTTAATGAGAAAAATCTTGAAAAATTGAAAAATGACCTCCCCAAAGTATCTCCCCATACCGATTTTTTTTTAAAAAAGATACTACACTTGAAAATCTAACGAAAATTTTTGGTAGAAAAGTTGCGATTTCTACGTAAACGTAAACTTACAGGGAACAGTTGGAGAGCGCAGTAACATAATCTGAAAACTACACTCTACAGCCCTATGCCCAACATTAGGTAAATACGAATCACCAGAGGTCGGCCCATTAAAACAAAAAATAAAAATTCAGTGAAAAAACGTTTGTACAGCCAACCCCCCCTCCCCCCTCGGATTTTTTTTTTATATAAAATCTAAACTAAAAGCATGTAAATTCATATGCTAATTAAATGCTAAATATTGGAACCAAAATAAAAAATAAAATTTTCGAATAGGGTTTGGTGAAATGTACGTCAGAGACTACACTCGGTGTAAATTATTCGCCTACACAACCGTCGTGTAATCGCGCGTTTACGGGTTAATCCTGTATGTAGGTTTACGAGCATAATTGATATTTCGAACTCGAACCCACCTCTTGGCTGGTCGTTAAACATCACGCGCTTTTGATTAATGACCTTTGTATACGCGCGTATATATCATACGCCATTTGTACCTATAGGGGAGACTGTGGTTAGTTGACGACTTTAGGGTTTGAATAGCTCTCAAACCACAAATATGGGATAGAAAATTTTTAAATCAACTATTATTAAGATTATAAATAATAACTGCTAATAAGACGAAGCTTTTGTCTTCAGTAATTCTCCTTATAATTGTTTCGATAAATATTCCAAATTCATGACTTGAACGTAAAATATATGTATTTATGACATAGTAAAAAAAAAAAAAACTCATATCACAATTAAAAAACATTAATTTTGATTTTATGTACATTCATAAACATATTTTCATCAACTTTATATTCATCAGTTTGTTCTCATCTACCCGGATAGATATTTATTCAATTCCCATTCATCGACTCACCCTTAAAAACGCCCCACATAAATCTTAGGATGTGTCGTATAAATATTTTTAAAATAAAGCTTACACCATGCTCTTTCTAAAGAACTAAATTGAATTAAAAATCAAACTTATGATTTTGTTAAAATCCTTACGTTAGCTGGACATTTACTAACGATAATATGTGCGTTTTTAAAAAATTATAAAAAAAAAAAAACATTGAAATCTTATTAGACTACTCTCAACTCAAAATATTAGTTACTCCTTATACAACATAATCGATTCGTCATCTTGCCAGTCGTCAACTTATCACAGTCTCCCCTATCTGTGGCTTGATACAAAAAGGGCCAATGTCAAAAAAAAACTGTAATAAAATAAATTGAAAATATAAACAGGGGTATCAAAGTTCCCAAAATTTCACGTAAAGTTCATAATTATTGTAAGACGTTTTTTTATTTTTGTTTTTTTAAATGTTCAGATTTCCACTTTTCTTGCATCAAGCCATAGCCATCTATAGTCTATAAACTAAAGTTATTACAGTTGTACCAATAAAGTATTTTTACAATTTTTTTTTCGTATTTTAACATGAATTTAGACGTTAAAAATATATTTTTTGTTTGTATTTTAGATTCTGAGTAAGTATATAGGTCTTAGGTATGTAGAGGAAACACTATTTTTTCTTATTACTTTAGGTTAGTACAAATGCTCCGATTTTTTCACGCAGTGCGTACCTAAAAATATGTGGGTTTTCAACAGATGATGGTACTTACTTTATTAAAACAAAATTTTCGAAATTCCCAATGTTTTTTTTTTCTTATTGTACCGACTTTCCCGTTTTTTCTCAGTTTTTTCTGATTTTTCACATTTACTGAAAAAACTTTTGGAAAAATCGAAAAAATGACCTTCTTAAGTTACCATGAAGATGAAATTTCCTTTCAGAAAATAACCTATACTTACTACAACAAGGCAAGAATTTTGGTAGAAAAGTTTGCACAATAAATCGAGGGGTATTTTTCAATTAAAATAATCCGAGCAAGCGATGGTTTGGGTCTCTAGATACACTCAAAATGCATTTTTTTCCCTTGTTTAGGTAAAAGGAGGAAAAAATGTGAAAATTTTTTTTTCGAAACACAGATTCGAACTCGCAAACTCTAGGATGAATATAGGTATATATAATCATTCAGTTACAACAAACATTCTTTAAAGAAGACAATATTTAGTTATATAACGTAACATATAATATTCGCATAATACAGAACTTCAAAAAGTCCGCTCAATTATGACTTCATCACCATTCTAAAATCGGCAATATACATATGTACAAAAAATAAAAATGAAAAATTACATTTGTTCCACATAATTTTACTCAGCGTTTTTCGTCAAAATTTGATATTGAAATTCCTTTATAAAAAAAAAGAAATACTACATTAAACTCAATTTTTTTTTTTTACCATAAAGTAAGATTTAATGAACCTGCTGTTAAATTTTCAATCATTTCTGTTAAGTCTAACAATTTTACCACAGAGTACCTACCGAATAAAAAGTACGCATAAAACTCGCAAAATTAAAATGTCTATAAATAGCATAGCTCAAAAATGGCTTAAATTTTTTGAAAATTTGTCCAAATTTCAAGTTTCTACGAATATTTTTAACTGAATTACAACAAATAACAAAATTGAAAAATAATAAAAGAATAATTTTTTTAAATTTTCCGTTTTTCTTACGTTTTATTCTGGTTTTTCCCAGATATTAAAACCGCTTGGGTAATCAAACAATGACCTCCCAAATGTACCATCTGGATAACATTTCCTTTAAGAAATGATGCCGCGTGAATATATCTAAGCAAGATTTCTGGTAGAATTTGTGTACACAGTATATAAAAAAATAAATAATAAACATCTTGGCAAAACCAATACATTCTTCGCTAGACTCAGAATCTTAAACTAACAACAATGTCGACGCATAGAGTAATACGCTATCGTATTCCATGGTGATATTATCTACGTAATAATATTGTAGTGGTGCGATGGTTGAGGGTATCTAAGCCATAGCATAAATATCAACTATAGAGTTAAGACTAGAGTTAAGTAGAGTTAACTAGAGTTAAGACAAATATAAATATATGAATTTGGAATAATTAATTTGTGTTTTAATTTTGGTATTATATACTAGGTCAGCTATAGATTGGAGGTTGTGTGAGGGAGAAACCCCCCACGGGTCTATTATAAATCTATAGTGAAAATTCTGCGTACGCTATAGGTATATAGGTGCCTAAATACACTATATAGGTACCCTAACCCTACGTCCTAAATCTGTCAAATTTGCCACCTACACTACATTGGCCGACTATAATAGTGCGAAATCAGATAGGCATACACACATTCGAATATCAATATAATAATATGCACGCACAGTAATAATCCCGAGGAATGGCTTCCGGTCTTATCCAATTTGTGCAACTGCACACGGTCGCATGACGCGAGGTCAGGTCATTGAATCGATTTAGTCCGTCGCCGGTCATCACCATTCTGGTGTAAGTGCACTTTTAAGCATTCCTCGACGGAGCAAATAACTTACGTAAAATCGTTGAGAGTTTTCCGGCCGTTTCAATTTTCGACGGAAGTAAAAAAAAAAGACGAACACACTTCACACGTGGGTGGGTTATTGTAAGTGAGGAGTTGGGAAGGTAGAGGGGGAAATTTAATGTAAATCTGTAAGCAACGATTAACCATTACTAACTAAAAACAATTCTGAGCAGAGTTCGGTTGATAGTATTGCTAGCAATTATTAATGGAGATTGATGATTTTATCAGCCTCTATAGAAATCGAAATATATAACTCTTTTGCTAATAGCCTATTTTTTAACTTTTTTAATTTTCTAATATAAATATTCGTACACTCCTCCACATAGCGCCGGCCCTGTACTTGGCCCATAATTTGGTTAATCTACAATGTTTCGCCACGGACATTAGAAGTTCTAGTAACGCCACTGGTCAGATCGTGTCTTAGTCTAATATTAACTATATAACATACTGACTTAATAGAATTTAAAATTAAAAACTTAATTTCCGCATCTAAAATGCCTATAAATTGCAACGCTTTGTTTAAATAAATATATATACGCAATGCATGAGTAATAAAAAAACCATAGGTAATACTATTCGTACCTACTGTAAATGGATTCAGGGGCGGCTCCAGAGATTTGATTGGGAAATATAACTTAATCCACTGTTAAATCATATTTTTCAAAAAAAATGTGTAACAAAAAGTATATTTTATAGTTAACTAGCTGAATAACCCAGCTTCACCGGTGCGCAGTTTTTTATATTACCTACAACTTTTATTTATCAATTTTTTTATTATAGTTATAAGAAAAGGATAATCGTGCTGAAAATTCTAGCTATCCCTCACCCGGCGATGCTCGAGCCTTTTTTGAATTATTTTTACCTTATTCTCGTTTTGCTTAGTATATTGGACAGAAAAAAATAAGTGGATAATAAGTAGTCCTGATGTGGACTATGTGTCATAATATTATGTTATTTTGCTAGGCTTTTATCCACGTCTCCAGGGTAAATAAATAAACAAAATATAAAATCTTATAATAATAATAATAATATCGTTTTTCACTACGAAGGATGATTTTTAAGGGTGAAGGGGTTGAATATTAAAATTATCTTAAAGCCTATAACTTTCCCGGCAAAATTCTGATCATTTAGCAAAAAGCCTCATCACAATCAGATGAATGGTTTAGGATGGCATAAAAGACATACAGACAAACGTTTATTTTTATATAATATACTTAGTTGTCCCGGCAATGCTTCACTATTGCTAGATTTTATTATTATTATTATTATTATTTAGATTCTGAGTGGAGCGAGGAATATATTGGTTTTATAATATTTTTTTTTTTTTTTTAAGTGAACATTTTTCAACCAGAAAGTTTACTCCGATTATCAAGTATAACATCTTTTCCGAAAACAAATATACGCTAGGTGGTATTTTAGAGAGATCATTTTTTGAAATTCTCATTAATATTCGAGATAATGAGGAAAACCTGGTTCTTAAGGTTAAAAAAGATTGAAAGATTAAAAATAAGGTTGTCATTTGCAATCGTTTTTATTTATTTTTTGTTATTATTAAGTATTAATTTTTTTTAAATTTTTTTTAAATAATCTTTGTTGTCATGGAAACGCATATTGTTGTTATCATTTTACCATAATGTAACATATATATTGTTGACAAAGCAACACTATCAACTGAACTTCACTCAGAATCGTTTTTTCGTTAGCAATGGTTTATCGTTGCTTACACATATACATTAAATTTCCGTCTGTATTCTACCTTCCCAACTTCCCACCTACAAAAACGGCTGCATCTACGAGCGAAGTATTTTCGTCTTTTTTTTTTGAACTGAATTAACAAACTATATTTAGTAAATACCATAGATACATTTTACATAATAGATAATAGATACATTAGATAATAATATTTACTTTGTTACCAAGGTAACCAATCAACAAAAATTATACTACAAAATACCAAAATTCCTGTGTCAGCTATAGCCTATAGGCTTCCCTTAGTCTTTAGGAATTGAATTTTAGAAATTTCAATAGCTGTAAACCTTCTCTGGATCACAAGGAACATTTTGCGAAAACTTCGTTAAAATCGGTCCAGTAGTTTTTAAATCTATAAAGGACAGACAGATAGACAGACATTCTTTTTATATATAGAGATTTTTACTTCATGTCTTTTGTAGTATAGATAATAGAAGTCTGTAATAGTCAAAAGTATAAAATATTATTTTAATACAGTTGAAATTTAATTGTTTACAAATAATTTGACGGTTAGTTTTATGTAATATCAAGAAATGTTTTGTTTTTTTACTGTTACAAGTGGTCAAGTGGGTTATGACCAATAATTTAACCCATAAAGTTGCGATTAGAATTTGCTTCATAATTATCATTTAGCTTATAAAATTATCCAGTTTCGCTAATGATGAAAACTACATGAAAAATCAAAATCAAAAAACGACTTTCTTCATGAGCATCTAGACCTTGTCTCTTTTATCACATGTCGTTTTTCTATTAGAACAATATTTCTTATAGAAAACACAATTTGTACAAATTAAAAACAATGAAATAAATCGGAATGCCGTGGTAGGTACACCACATAAATATTTGCTGTTTTACCTACAATTTTCTTTCCGGTTTTTCCCAATTATGAAAACCTCTTAGAAAATTAAAAAGTGATCTCTTTACTAGCTAAATAAAATTTCCTTTCAGAAAAGGTGTAACACTCAGTGGAATGGAATTCATATAAGCACAAAAAGCGTTGCTTACACTTTAAGTAATGGAATGTTATAAGTATATTTTTAAATGAACATTGTATACAAAATTGTGTAAAATTAAATATTACATTTTGGAATTTTAGAATAGTATACAGGGTGATCAATATATCGTAAGGCACTTGTTATCTCGGAAAGTATTAACTTTTCCCAGAATTTGTTTCCTAGAATATTTAAGAAACAAGCTGCTATACAATTTTATATTTATGTTATTTTTTGTTGCCCTTATTTTTAGGGATAAAACCACTACCCACTTTTGATTTACAAATAAGAACCTATATTTAAAATTCTATAAATAGATGAAATATTAGTTAATATGTATCTAACCAATTAGATATTTGAAATCAAAAAACCACGAGTTATATCAAAATCAACAGAATGGTCCTAGACGGATTTCAAGGGATGCCAAAGAATCATATCTGTCAGATGAACCTTTAAACCTCTATATCTTTTTAACACGACTTCCCATTGAGCTATCTTATAATAGACTCTTTTCAGCACAATACGCAGAAAGAAGTTCTATAGCCATGCCATTTTAAATTATATAAATTATTAAAATATAAAAAAGTTGTTAATTTTACATAGCCCAAAACATGAAACTGGCTATAACAAAGAAATAGTATATTTATTTGTTTATTTATTTATTTGGAATTTGACCCAAGGAGTTAAGCACTCTTTGAAATGCCTAAGCATATTGGTAATTTAACAGCCACCAGGCCCATAACACAAATATATATACATATGCATAATATATAATTAAGTAGAAAACCAACATTTTCAAGTTCTTTCAACCGTATATAGTACAACCAAAAATAGTATTATTAAAAATAAAAAATACAATAAACTATTTTCTTTAACTTATATACTCAGTACACTGTCTACAAACTCATGTGCGTTTTACAGTATTGCGCAAAAAATATAAGGACAATCAGAGAAATATAAATGTATACAAAAAACATGTATAATTTTACAATAATGTTATGTATTAACATTGAAAAAGGGCAAAAAATTCACAAGACATGAATTCACAATGTACATAATATTTGTTTTCCACAATATAGGTAATATCGTACAATCAATAAATTTGCTCTTGCAATTTTTTATTTTTCTTTGTTTTAACACAGTCCAAAATGAGATCACTAATGATGGCCTCATGTTCATGCTGTAAATATCTTTTTATCTATTTATATTATGTATATTCAGTGAAATCAGACATTTGCATTTTGGAACGACTGCCTGGATTTGTGGCCCCGACTGATGTCAGAGAAGTTTGGCCACGCATAGATGTCATGGGTTCTCCACCAGAAAACTGGACGCCGTTATCCAAATTTTTCACCTTGTCGTGCAACCTCTTGATTTGTCTAAGACGCTCCAGCCAGTTACTGGCATAGGGTAATCTATAGTTATCCTTAGTCAAGCTGCTCAATATTTGTGATGCCAACTGCACAAAATCAAAATGATTATTAAAATACCAAAACTGGACCACTATTATAATTATTCTTTTTACAATAATTTATTTTCGTCTTAATTACTTAGAAAACAGCCTATCAGTAATACACATACCTATCAAATAATATAGTTCCAACTAGTTTGAAATATTAGACTTTAAGCACAAAAATGTCTTTAGTACCACCCATAATTTAAAATATTAAATATTATGATGATAAAATACAGTAGAATCTTGAAAACTCAAAATTTTTTTTATTCCTTGGAAATCTCTATATATAAATTCAAGTTAAAGAACTCGAAAAATTTATAAGGTCATATGAAATTTTTATTACATACAAATTGATAATATTAATACGTACATCAGTGTGTATAGCTAACTGCCTAGCTAACATTGCTGCATTTTGATCAGAAACAATTTTTGGTTCTTGATGACCAACATGATCACGTAGCTCTTCCCTTACTTTCACAGTAATCTGATTGACACCATGTTCTAAAGGTTCCACTATTACACAGCCATAACTAAACTGACCCTAGAAACATAATAATATTACACATAAGTGAAATTAATTAGAACAAAATGTGCTTTTACTTTAACAGTATGGATGTCATACTCTTGACCACTTTCATTATAAACAATTGTAACAAAATCATTTCCAATATTTTTTTTTTTATTATTGCATTGGGCTTCAGAATCAGTGGTCGGCATTAAAGTAGCAATATGAAATATTACCTATCAAGAAAAAATAAAAATTAATAAACTTAGTTTTTATTATTTACTAAGTAAAATTTTATTTTATTATTATTAATTATAGATAATAAAAAATAACCTAACCTAACCTAAACAGTTTTTAAAAAAATAGTAAAAATAATCAATATTTCAAAGTAAATAAAGGTATATTTACTTGCATAATGTCATCTTGCCATACATAAGTAAATTTTCCATCATTGCCACCACGTTCCAATCCGCCTAAAAATACGCTGGATGAATCTGTATCAGATAATTTAATTAGTGTGCCCAAACCCTTGAGAAATTCTGTGTATCTCAGAGATCCGTGCTGATTTCGAAGTATATCTACTTCAGAGTTGGCTTGTCCCAACCCAACGTAAATAACTCCAATCTAAACACCAAATATTTGACAAAGAAAATAAATAACAAAAAATCTAATTAGAATTTTTATTATTATACTAATAAAATCAAACCTTATGCAACTCATATGGAGGAATCCAATCCAAACACTGTATAGCTTTTTGAATTGCAGTCTGAGTTTGAGGCAATAAAATTGGTTTTGCATCATTATCAACACTACTAAAGTGAGTAGAATGATACAGTTGAAGGAAAACGAAACTAAAACATTTACAAATTTATTTAGTATAAATCAAAGTATAGTATATTATGTATGTTAATAAAATAAGATAAATCGTTTTAAATAATTAGTAATTACCTTGGATTAATTCCAGATCTAACTGGCTCTTTTAATTGATTCCCTCTGCTGTTTATTAAAAATTTACTGGGACTAGCAGATAATCCAGGTTTTTTAATAGCATTCATTACAGCCAATGTGTGTACACGGCCACGGAATGGTGGATCAGCATCATTTTCCTAATTTGAATATAAAATACCATATAGACATTAAAATTAACCAATGAAAGAGGTATTGATAGAACTCACATTTTTTTCCAATAACTGAGAAGCATAATTAATTGGTGGCGATAGAGGTGGCTTTTTAGTAAGGTAAGATGGTGTTGACGTTAAAGATCTACTTTTTTCATCTTGATAATTACCAACTAATGGAAATTCTGAATTTAATTTAATATCAACACTCTCAGCTGAAGACTTTGTAGAAGAGTCACTTTCATTAAATGAATTTAATTTAGTACTTTTTAATATTAATGTTGGTCTTTCTTTAGTAACTTTCTTTCCATGAATTAACACATCGGACTTTATTTCTGTTGAATCTATGTTCAAATTGAGTGTTAAGGGTTTTGGTGGACATGTATTTGATGGTGGAGTTGACCCAGTACCACAAATTTCTTCAGGAATCGCTTCACAATTTGCTCTACAAATAAATAATGTTAAAAAAAATAATAACTTTAAGATTAACACTTACTTAGAACTATAGCGTAAATCTTTTGTGTAATTCTGTTTCATCTTTTTACTATCAATGGGAGTGCTAAATAATTCTAAGTGTTTACTAACATCCTCCATATCTGTATCAATACCATCACTATCAAATGTCATTTCTTTCATGAATGGATTTTTCCACCCAGAACTCATTTCAGGACTAGAATTTGATCTACGAACTGGATTTCTTAAGCGATTTTCTCCATTTTCAAAGTCTTCAACTATACATAACATTAAAAAAAATAACAAATTTTGCAAAAATATGTAATTTAATTATGTTTCAGGATTCCAGATAAAAGGTTTTTCATTTTTGAATGAAAAAAAACAAACGGGGCATACTTTGCACCATGAATTAGCCACTCTTGTAGATGAGAAGTTGAGAAGGTTGAGGAAAAATTGAATGTATATTTGTATATAACAATCAATCATTGTTAATGAAAAACTATTCTGAAAAGAGTTTGGTTATATATTTTTTGAAAATCCATAATATTTACAATTTTAAAATAATTTATTTAGTAGATTTATCTATTATTCCTACATTTTTCCCATTTATTATGAAAACTTTGTTAGATTTCCTTTCAGAACAAATGCTATACTTGAAAATAAGAGTGAAATTTCTCACAAAAATAATAATAATAATAATAATGAACATCATTGTGGCTCTGCTCAGAATTTAAATTCTGTATTAACAAATCACTTAAAATAGTTTAATTCTATATTCTAAAATCCAAATTCAATTTTTAGTCTATGAAGTCCCTGAGACAAGCGAGATAAAAGTGAAAAGAATAAAAAGAAAAGAAGAAGTTAACTATAGAATTTAATATTAAACATATTTTTAAACTAATAATATTTCAATAGTTACAATTGTTTAAATGTTTCTTTAAGCCTCAAACCCCAGAGGTAAAAGTACAAATAGCAAATGAAAAAATTTGGTACACCATTGGGCAATACTTAAATGATCTGATAAGTATATTGATACCCAAATAAAATATGTTCATTATTACCATCATAATATTCATCTTCCACATCACAACTCTCCTGAGAATTCTGTCGTGAAGGAGCAAGTTTTGAAGGAGAACCAGGAATACAAACTGGTTCAGATGGTACTCTGCTTGATAACTTATCATTCGCTTCAATTTTTATTGCTTCATCAGTAGCAATGTATTTTTCCAAAATAAGTTTCTACAAAATATGTTAAATATGTATTCACAAATCATTTCAAAAATACCTTTTATAAAAAGTTTACTTCATCTTCAAGGTATTGGCGTATCCTATCTATTTCTCCATTTGAGACTTTTAAACCAAGAGAAGGATGAAATAATGTAGAGACATCAAACATAGATGAATCAGAATTTAAATCCTGAAAATTTCTATCGTTTTGCACTCTTATCATCCAAGACATTACTCCTAAAATAGAGAACCTTGTGGTGAGCAATTACAGTTCATAATCTTGTGCTATAAATTTACCTGTAGGACATCGAACACATATTTCAGCCCACGATTGACACCAACAAGAACAACTCTGTTTTTTATCGATTCTATCTGCGTTTGAAAAACTATCTTTTCGTGGCATATCAAATGGTTCATTTGGTTCTATATGTGGAAATTTTTTTGTTTCATCACCTGGGGAATTAGTTGCTGTTGACAAGCATGATGGTGATGCGACTCCTTTGGCAGATGTATTCCCATCAAGCTGGTCACTGGCTTCGCTGCTCTGACTACGTGATACTGAAAGTTTTAACTTCTCATCTGGTTTAGGAGAAATTATGGCTTGGTCATTATTCTGCCGACAAGATTGATAACATTTTCCACATAATCCATGACGAACTGGTTTTTGAGTACATCCACTTGTTGTAATGGTTATAAGTTTAGTGCCTAACAACCAAGTAGCAGACTGACCACCTTCCAGTATAAAATCTGCAGTGGGGTGTCTAAAAATATTGACAAATTTTTTTTATCAAGAAAAATACATTTTTTTTAACTTACCTTTTTGGTAAAGCCGAACAAGTAGCAAAAGCATATCTGGCTAATAAGTCCATACAAGTTTCTGTTAATTCTTTGTGAAATGTTAAAAGTAGATTATCTATTGGTGGTTTCAAGTCATTCATGGTACTACGACCAACACCCATTATTGTACGGTCACGTGCTCTACTTCCCTATACAAATTAAAAATATAATTTTATTTACAAAAGTATATGAATTTGTGTCCAATATTAACATAGGCAGAAAAAGTATGTTGGAAATTAAACAAAGAATTGAAGTGGAAAAAAGTTACCTTGAAGTTTTCAAATGTGGTGTTAGAGGAGATTAGAAAAATTAGCTGGAAAGATTGTCAAGAATGAGGAAATATTCTAGTCAGAGAAATAAGATCCATAATAAATGTAATAAAACAATGATGGGGATATAATAAAACACATCTTATGCCATGATGAAAAATTGCACCACACTATAACAGAAGATGTAATTGAAGGATGTAAACTACCAGGAAGACCAAGGAACCCATAAATATGTCAACTGAAAAAAGATACAAGGATAAATACTTACATTGGATTAAAAAGAGTAGCTGAGGATAGTGCAAATTGGAGAATGAATTTAAATACTACTGTAAACCAACCTAATACCGGTTGAAAAAAAAAACAAATAAAGTAATGGTTATGGAGCTATGATAAGAAGGGCTTCAACAAAATTAAGACATTAAGGAAGAATTAGGCAAACTATTTGATAAATATTTAGATCACTTACTAATTAAGATTTATTTAAATTGTCGAATAGACACCTGTAAATTAATTAGCTCATTAATTAGTATTACTTGTTCTGTTAAACTAGAACTTCGTTTTCGACTAGACGAATCTTCATTATGGATGTCATTTCTAGTCATAGCGCGTCCTTCAAATGGTCCCAATACATTTGTATTTAATCCCTAATATGACAAGCATAGAAATTAAAATGGCATACATAATTGATTTAATTAAATAAAATTAGTTTTACTTTTTTAATGAAATCAACAAAATTCCTTCGGAATGATGTTCGACATTTCAAGAACCAAATAGCAATCACCCGATGTGCCAATGATACAGTATAATGATTATATTTAAATGGACTAGTATATGGCAAAGCAATCGCAAAAACAGCCATATACTGATCTGCTACAAAGTTAGAGAATACTTTTGGAAGACGACTTAGCACTAGAAGTATTCAAAACAGTTATCATTCATAACCATGCTTGGCTTTGTACTTTATTTTATTACTCACTAGAAAGAAATTCTAAAACTGGTACTGCAATTTGTATGGTAGCTGAAAGTTTTGACATATTCAACAAAACTTCAGGTAATAATTTAACCATAATATCTCTCATCTCTAAAATACAAGTAGTCAATGCCATTACCACAGGACGTATTATACATCGATTAACTAAGCCTAAAAAATATATAATTGAAAGATGTTAAAAAAATATATAGTGTAAGTATATACATCATTATTTTAAAAAATAATTAAATTAGATCAATTAAGAAATTTGAGTTTTAGAATTTCACTTATTTTACTCTTAGTTTAATTTTTATTCCATACAATTGTATTAACATATATTATACATCTTATACATGTAGAAATACACAATTTATCCAGTAGGTAATACTGCAAAATGTCATTGACACTGAAACTAAATTCACTAAATTTAAAAAGAACATTTCTGGAACATAATAATTACAGTTCTTGAATAAAAAAACTAATTAAGACACAATAACTTGGTAGTTATTAATATTTTATAAAACAACTATTCACCTTGAAATATTCTTCTTTTTAAACTTTAATTTAATTTAAACACAATTTATATTTCACGTGATTGATATTTTGCTATATTACCTATTGAATCAACAGAAATAGTAGGGGGTGCATTTTTTTAAGTGAATATTTTATTTTATATTATGTAATCATTACAAAAATGAATTAATTTGATATGAAATAGTACAGTTATATACACAATGTACTTCATGAATAAAAAATAATAAAAAAGAAAATATACAAAACTGTTACGGGGCCAGCAATGAGATAACTGGAAGAAGAAAAGTTACTGTATCAAATTATTAACTAAAATAGATACTTTAGTCAATAATTTTTTTTCAAATTTCAAATTGTATTTAATATTATTATGTATTATATCAATTCATGGATAATTATACCTGATTGTAGGCATTTTACAAGTTTTAGTTGAAGAGATGGGTCTAAACAGTTGTGATATGAAACAAAAGCTGCTAATGCTGGATAAATCACTATTTGAAATTCAACTAATGATTTTGAAGGAGTATTTTTCCAAGTGCTTGATACAGTTTTATCATTCACCTAACATCAAAAAAATGGTATTACTGAATATATAATGTTCCCATAATTTGCGACATTTTTTTTTATTGTGAACATAAATATACCAATGAACACATGGTTAAAGCCAATTCATACGCTGGACCATATTCCCAATTTCCTGATAACACCAATGCCTTGTTCTTTAAAATTTGTGGTACTTCTTTCAGTATGTAAGAAAACACTCTCCAGTCTAATAAAAATAATAAATATTAAAACATGTTTTTTTTTTTTTATTTGCTCAATGGGAGTTAGAATTTTTTTTCTTAAGCTTCACACATGAACACATTTTTACAATTTACACCATACATTTGGTCAGTCAACACATACCAACATACTCGCACACACATACTCACGTCCTAAAAACACATGATGCAAATTATCTATAATTAAATTGCTTCACACCAAACGCCATTAGATTCCTAACTCCATTCCAAATTTTTTTCATGCTTTACCGAGCTCTTCTTTCAACGCCGTAATAACTGCTTTGCAGGCAGCAGCGAGAGATATGTATTTTAACTGCACCAAAGAATCATCATTCAGTTTTATTTCATCTGTGGATGAATTTGGACTAGATGGTACTCCAAAACCATTGTGATCCACATACATATATGGTGAATATTCATTTGATCCTTGTACTCCCAACCTGTACCTAGAATCTGCTCGGAGTTTGACTAATAGTTCAAAAATCTATAAAATATATATTAATAACATAACTTTTAAAATATATAAATATCCAGTTAGATATTAAACTTGTAATATAAAACATTGTACATAACACATATTAAATCATACCTTAAGTCGAATTAAATGTAAGTGTTCCAAACACACTTTCTTTTGATAATGATTTTTTAAGTGAGTAATAAGCATAGTGAGAATCATATCTGCAGAATTATTTGGACATTCATACAAAAATTTAATGAACAATTTTGAAAGACCTTCAACAGTTATTTGTAAATCAACTCCATTTCGTTCTTGTAAAGGAGTTGTTGAATTAGATGTAAAAGGTCGCAATAAAACCTAAAATTTTAAAAAAAAAATTTTCTTTTGAAAATATGATAACCTACTAGGTTACTTATTCATTACAAAATTATATCTATAACTAATATAATTTATCTTTAAACTACCTTTTTAACCAAATTTTATTATTTATCGTCATTAATTATATTAGTTACAAATAGAAAAATTATAATAGATTAGAAATTAGAACATAAATATGCATTAATTTTATAGAAATAAGTCATACGTACAAAATAGATAACTTAAAATGAATTAGTGATTAATATTAATAAAACAAAAAAAACCTGAATACTGAAGTTTAATAAGGATGCCATTAGTCCTGATTAAACTGGAATGTTACTGTTACATTATTCATCAACAAGTCCTGATCAGGATGAAAAATAATACTAGTTTCATAAAATAAGTCTCAGTTTTTGAAAAATTGTATTCAAAAAAAAAAAAAAAAAACCCAATATATATTATATAGTTTTTGAAATACTATCACACTAAAAAACTAGAAACTTTAGTAATTGATAGTACAATAGCAATGTTAAATGCACTCAAAGCACACATTTTATCTTAAAATTGTTGTCCTAACATTTAAAAAATTAAACTTGTACATTGTGACTTAAAGCCAACTGAAAACTATCAAAATCTCCATTTATAACATTGGAAATCTAAAATAGGAAAAACAAATTATTTTATAATATCCAGAATGGTGGAATTTGCATTCTATAGTTTCAATGTTGCAATAGAAAGAATATTTTAATTAATAAACATTAATTGTTGGACAAAATCAAGAAATAATTTAGGATTTAATACTGTAGAAGTTAGATACTTAGGTAATTAAAACTTATTTAGAAAATAAATCTGATGATTGTTTTTACATATATATATATATTTATATTAATTATATATATATATATATATAATTAAGCTATAATTATAGCTCATACTATCGTGCATGGGAACTACCTAAAAAATTTGGAATAAAAAATTATTAGATTTCTACAATAAATTATAATTAGTTGTTATTCACAAAGTCTATGGAATATAAAAATTGTTTTTTTGAAAAGAAAATTTTTTGCAACAATGTTTATGACAAAGATATCCCTAAAAAAAATTAGATAACTCACGGAGCACAAATTTAGAGTACTCCAGAAAACCCCACAAATATTGACTATATTTTTTTTTTAGAACATATTTAATAAGTGCACCAGACTTAATGTTAATCATGCCCATGTGACAATAAGTTTATCATAATAAAGAGCTTGAAAAATTAAAAGCAGATACATTATTTTGAGTACATACATCTATAATAAAATTATTTGTTTTACCAGTTTTCATAAATCTTATACAATTAATTGTACATAATTTTATGTGAACTTCAAGAGTCACTATTATATATAGGTACATAATAGTCAATACCAGTATTTCTCAACCTAAGACTCGCGACCCTATTGGAATCACCAATTATTTAGGGTAGCAAAAATATAAATTATACATTTAAGAGTCGCGGCAGAAAAATGTTGAGAAATACTAGTCTATACCAAATTATAATATAATTAAATTAATACATAGAAATAATAGTTATAAATTATACAATAAACATACTTTTTCTAGTATTTGTAATAGTTTCTCGTGATGCCTACTATCACAATCATTACAAACATTAATAATGAACTGACAAACTGCTTGTCGAACAGAAGGATCACTGTCTTCAGCAATTTCACCAAAATATTCCAGAATTATTGATACCAGTTCATATTCATACAATACACTAAACAAATTGTAAAATAAAAATTAGTTTTTAAAACCTTCACAATTTAAATAATCAATTCTACAGAGATAAATTAAGAAAGGTTTGGGATAATTTATGAATCTTTATACAATTGTTAAGCATTTCAATTTAATTGAAGTGAAAATAAAAGCGGTGTTCAAACATAAATCATTATTTGTATGACCATAGCACAATCTTTATTAAAATTGTCATGTACATAAACTTTTTAAAGCTTTCGTTAATATATAATTTTTAAATTACTGCTCCTGATCAAAAAATGATGAGGAACTTTTTTGTTGCATTTCGGATCTAGTTGTTACATTGGAGAAGTAATTTTTTATTTTTGATGCTGTTTTCATAATAAAAAAACGCAAAAGAAAAATGGACAAGTTTTTTTTAGTTTTTATTTGGTCTACCTAAAAGGATAAAATTGTTTTACCAAACAGAAATGCTTTAAAATTAAACATGAGGTTCATTGTAAGTATTACTTAGTGATCATTAAAATTAAGACCCTCCAAAATATGTATAATTGAACTTCACTCAACATTTTATTCTGCTAACAATGGTATTTTAATAATGGTAAGTTTTATTCTTAATTAATATATTAAAAAGCTATAGAATTATTAATTCTAAACTAAAAACTATAATTAAATAATAGCCATTATAATTGTAATAGTTTTTTATTTAACATAACTTTTATTTCTTACATGGAGTTATATCAATATAAGTGTTTTTAATTAGATAAATAAGATCAGGTGTTATTTATTTAAATGTGTAGTAATATATAAATATTGTAATTATAAATAAATGAAACACTAACCCATTATGTTGATATACTTCTTTCATTGTTCGAGTCACAGCATCTATTCTAATAGAAGTTCTAGTTTCTTTGTTATAAAAATGGTTTAAGAACATTTTTAAAAGTTCAATCCATTGATATTGAGTTGGAACAATAAATTCTTTTCTGTAGGCCATTAGGTTAAAAACTGAAGTCTCCTGTGTACAAATTTAATAAGTTTAGCATTCTCTTAAGTTAGTAGTTATCTTTATTTTTAAAAAGTTAATATATTAACTTACATGTCTATAAAGGGAAAATAATTCAATAATATCATAAATTTCATCTAGACTACCACTATAAGCATTTGTGTCTATAAGTGACTCAATTTTTGTTAGGGTTTCATTAAGGTGGTCCTTAATTGTTACCATTGAATTGGCACCATTTGTATCTAATAAAATGATATTAAATAATGATATAAATATTTATTTAATATATTATGTACATTTAAAATTGTTTAAATACTTACTCACAAACTCCGTAGTACTTTTTAATATTTTCAAAACTTTTTCCCAAATTGTACTCTGTAAAGTGGCTCCAAATTTTTTGACCAATGACTCCATACCCAATACAACTTCTAATACAACAATTGGATGATTACACGATAATGCCTATAAATAAATAATAATTTATATCATAAACAAACTTATATTTTAACAATTATATTAATTGTACATTATAAATTGAAGGCAAAACTGAAAGGAGAGAAATTTTAAATGATGTAATTCGATTGTTACTCCATAAAGCCATGTTGATATAAAATAATCCACCTCGTACGAGACCAACATTGTTTTGAGAAACATCTTTTTGAAGCAAGTTACAAATTAAATATATTGCTGAATATCCCATATGTGTTCCTAAAAGATTCCGCATCGTCTAACATAATAAAAATCATAAATAAAATGTAATAATAAACTACTGTATATTATTATATGTAAATAAAGTGTATCAAAAATAAAAGTATTCATTATTTACTTTCCAGCAAGGTTCACAGTAATTTTTGTTATTTGCTGTATGGCATAATGTGGCAATAAATATTGGTAAAGATTGGGGAGGCAAATGATTATAACAAATAATTGTATCCAAAAGTTGTAAACATACTAGAACTACTTTTTCTTCTTCACTATAACAGCATACATAAAATGAACACCTATTTCAAAACATTAAAAAGTTACATTAATCAATTACAAACTAATAGTTTTAAAGTTATATTTTGACATATACTACGTACTGAACTACAGTATTGATAACGTCATCATCTAGATATGTAGCATTAAATTTTATGATATTTACAGACATTTCCAGCCATTCTAATGTGAATCCAGCAGGGGCTAATTCTGAAGCTCCCCAATTTATTAACCATGGACCTATTTCCTCTTCTAAATAAACAATATCACGGCCATGGTCAGTAAGACATTCAATTAACTCTAGTCTGAAAATAAAATTTAATGTAAATTTAATTGTTTAATTTTATTAAATACAGAATATTAAAAACTGTTTAATATAAATAATTCTTACATACAAATTAGAACAACTATTTTTAACCTGTATGATATATCTTCAGCATTATTATGATTTTTAATAAAATTGAAAAAATGTTGTCTTAACATTCCAAGATTTCCAAATTGGCCTTGAATAATGGATTTAACAAATGCAAACACCAAATGGCGGTGTTCTTTAGGAACATTTTTGTTGAATAAGTCATGTATTTCGATCCATAAACTAGCAACAGCATTCTACAAAGTATATCTTATAAATTAAAATATATCAAATAATATTTTTTCAATGAAATATTTAAAACATATATTTTTACATAACACAATTTAGAATATGTTAGTATTTTAAAACAGGTATTATTTTGTTGTTCCTTGATATTCTTATATTAACTCCTAGGAAGTTTAACAAAAGGTTTAAAAAAAACCTAGAAATTTAAAGTCACCTACTGTGATAGCATTATAATGGAAGTTGTACAGCAAATATATATTACACATATAAAACATGTTAACATTTTAAATTTGAATTAATAGTATAATATAACACTATATTATACTGGCATATAATATGAATAATACAAATTTAGAATTTTAAATGAATAGTTATGATATACGTACACCTTCATTCACCTTAGATCCACAATAAAATGTATATTAATAATAGGTATATCTACAAATAATTTCAAAAATTCATAACATACCTCTTCAAGACGATGATTGCGTGCTACTTCAGCTAGTTCTTTAATAGCTTTAATCCTATTGGGTATTGATGCCTCTGGAGATATTTTTTGCCCTTGTTCTTCAGTCAGTGTATAGTCCTCCTTGACGCGCAGAGCTCCTATAAAAATATTTAAGTACATCATAACAACATAATAGAAAAAACAAATGTCAGATGTATAGAATAAACATATTAAAATAGTCACACACTCACCAAGAGATGATGGAGCGCCTTTGTTAAGGCGGAAAAACTGTTTTAGTTTCTCAAACGTCTTGTTGTCCTTGTTATTACTCATCTCGCTGTATAATGTCCAACGAGTATATATTTTATTCAACTAATAGAACGCATTCCAGATTAAGGAACACCACCTATATTTAATACTTGGGACAATAATGTAGTATCCTTGTCTATGAAAGCGACAGGCGCAAGGAGCACTCAGCACGACGATCGAGAACACAATTTAATATATAGTAGATATAGTCAATAGTCAGTACTACTACCAAGTACTCAGTAGGTACCTACCTAAATAATAATATTATACTCTAATACTCTATAGAATTTGTGGATGGTTTGTATTACTTATCAAATAGTTTAAAGTGATAAGGAGTGAGGGGCTGAATAGGCAATTATATAAAGAGGTAACGTTATCGTTATAGCTTTATGAGATTCTAATTTCTCAGGTTTGCCCCGTTTGAGATTCATAACACTAGTAACTAGGTATTTAAAATATTAAAATGAATATTTTAAATTATTGCCTTCGTAGTAGAATAGCTTCTTCAACATTTCCTACAATAAAGCGTTCATATAAAGTTCTCTGCAAAGGTTCTTTAATTCACAACAATCAAATCCAGTTACCTGCTAATCATCAATCATGTGTACAATTGGTGTCATATCGCAGTTTCATGAAGAAGATGGGCTTGAAACCCATTTACGATGTGTACAATAAAAAAGCTGCAAAAGACAACATATCACCGACAGAATACGAGCTCATTTACAATGGAACAGGTGAAATGTACGTACGAAGTTTGAGTGGAATACTAATTGTTGCTGTGACAATCATCCCAACAAGTTTGATTTTTGGTTACATCTATACTTTATTAAATGAAGGAAACACTAATTTCAAAACGTATTTAGAAGTATTGGTTTTACCACACACCTCTATGGAACTAGCAATTTTGTTCCCCATATTAGTTTTTATGAAAATTATGTCTTACAGTTTTATTTCTAAATACGTATTGAGAGTTTATAGACATAATATGAAAGAACAACATGTAGGAGTATTCATCAATCCAATTTTACCATGGAAGAACATAAGATGCAATTTTAAAACAGCCATTAAATTACCAGATGGGAAACTTCATATAGTTCCTTGGTACAAAGAATATCATCAACTCTCAGGTTACAAATCAATTATTTTAAGAGAAAGATTCAGAAGACCTGTAGATTATGATAGAATGCTTGGTTTAGTTGAGCCAACAGATAAAGAATGAATACAATTATCCAAAAAATAGTTTTTAGTTCAATCACATGAAAATGTAATTTTTCTATTTTTTGCGAGATAAAGAATAATAAATTTATTCGTTACTCAGATGATGTTCAATTTTGTAAGTACACTTAACAAATATTAAACTTTACATATTGTGATTTACAAGTTATTTTTATTGTTTATAGACTTCAAAAGTTTTAATAAAAATATGAGACACGCATTATTGCAAATTGTTTTACATTCACTTAACTAAAAAATTTACATTATCTCCCGAAAAATAAATAGTGCACATATCATAATGGTTGACAAATTGAACTTCAAATTGTTCAGTCAATTTAGGTTTCAAAGCCATGGTCTATAATAACTTAAACATATTAATTTTATTCAAGTCAAGTGTAGAAAATAGGTAAATGATTAAAAAAAAAAAGTAGCATTGTGCATTAATATCCCCGAAATGTGAGCATATGTGCATGTAATGTTTTTTATTATTAAAAATGCACAACTAATTATACAATTTAAATTGATTTATCAAAAAAATTTAATATTCAGTACTTAATAATTAAGAAATCACAAAAACAGATTCGTATATTAAAACTAAAAAAAAAATTATAATAACTTAAAATTATATTTTGTTCATATTTTATTAAGATTGGCATCTTGTGTTTTTTGATACTTCACTGCTTTACTTAAAGCTGACAAAAACTGATGAACACCATTACACTGTGGTGTTCTAACATATAAGGAATGTGCTATAAAAGTTATCTTTTTTAAAACACGTCCACTTAATCCAACACTTTCTCTAAAATATTTAATAAACAAATTCAATTACACATTTCAAATCATATAATCATAATCATCATAAGATATTTTAGTTATTACTTAGAAATTTTGTATAATTTTTGTGTTATATTTAAATCTTCATTTTGTTCAATATTTAAATTAGTTAAATCATAAGGACGATCAAATTTGTCATTTTCTTCTACATTTATAATTAGTTTTACCTAAAAACAAATAATTTTAAAACGTTAAAAAATATATGTATACAGAGTGTCCTACGAAGATTTGACAAATGTAATAACTTTTGTTCTATTCAATAATTTTGATATAAATTTTATTTAAATAATTAGTATGCCTCAGCACTAGTTTTTTTTTATATGAATATTTTTTTTTAAAGAGGGGGGACTTAAAATAAAAATTTTAAATTTTATTACAAATTTTACTATTATTTTTTTAAAAAAATTCAAAATAACCATTATGTAAAATAGATTTTTAGACAATTTTTGATAGATGAAACTTTTGTTAAAGTATGGTCTTTTATTTTCTAAGATTTTTTGAAATTTTGAAGTTTTTGCAAATGTAAATATTACCTATTGTGATACCCATTTAGTTATCAGTTATTATTAGTTATTAGAACAGGTAGTTTCAATCAATCAATAATGGTAATTTATGTTGATAAACAATATTGTTATAATCGAAAAGTATATTATTTAAATTTGCAAAAAATCGTAGAAAATAAAATACCATACTTTAACAAAAGTTTCAACTACGAAACATTTTCTAAAAATCTATTTTACAAAGTGGCTATTTTGAATTTTTAAAAATTTATAGTAAAATGTTTTATTTTAAGTCCTACTCCCCCTAAAAAAAATGTATATTAAAAATATTGAATAGAACAAAAGTTGAATTTGTTGAATCTTCGCGAGACACCTTGTATATATAATACATTTATAAGTAATATTTACTTTGATAAGTTCCTCAATAGCAGTTTTGAGTATAGTGTATATAGCCATTTCTTTAGGAGGATTGATGAGCATTTTTATATCAGCTCTATCTGTGAATGCAGAATCAATGGCTTCTGTTACATTTGATGTTGTTAGAAATATTACATTAGGATACCTTGACAAAAAAAAACATTAACCAGGTAATAATTTATTTTAACATCTAAAAATAATTATGTATACTTTCTTAAATTGTCAAGCTGTGTCAGAACAGCATTTACAACCCTTATAGAGTCAGATGGTTCAGTACCAGACAACACAGCATCTCGAGCCCGTGTTAAACTTTCTACTTCATCAATTAATATAAACACTAATGAATCACCATACTCCAATACCTCTTTTATTTTTTGGAACATGGACATAATTAATGATCCACTCTATAATAATATTGGTTCGATTAATAGAAATTATGTTCAATTATAATAGTTATTAATCTTAGGGAAAATACTTACTTCTGAAAAAAATTTGGACAACAAATTATGACTATTAATTTCAATAAATTCAAAAAAATTGTATTGTTTGCCTAATCTTATTGATAACTTTTGTGCAAGAGCCTTACAAATAGATGTTTTGCCAGTACCAGGTGGACCATGCAACAGAATTAATCTATTATAGCTAATAATGTTTGGATTAACATTATGACGTGCAAAATTCATTCCAGTTTGTGCATACTGTAAAAGCTAAAATAGGTAATATTTAAAAAAAAAATTAAAAAATACAGTACAGACTATAAAATACATTAATTATTATTACAATTTCTTTTATTGGCTCTTGAAATACCAATGATTCCCAAATACCGTTAAAATCTACATTGGGTAGTATACAACGTTTCATTTTGCTAGTAGACTCATCAGTAACATCATCTGTTAAACCACTTTCATCTAATTTATAAAAATAGATTTTTATGTCATATGCATCTAAGTCTAATGAAATATCTGCTGTCTGTAAATTAATTTTCATTACCACGGAATAAAAAATATTTATCAAAAAATCATACCTCCAATTTTTTTTTTATATTATTATCATCTTGTACATTTTCAATTTCACAAATTTCTATATGTTTTATGTACTCTGTTAATCCTTCAGTAACAAATTTAGTATGTATAGATTCCAGAAAAATTGGTTTAATGTTTTTTAATTCAAGTTGAATTGTTTTCTCCAAATCAGAAATGTTACTTGCTCTAAATAAAGTAATTGAATTATACAAATTAATGAAGGAGAAAATACAAGTAAATATGTTAGTAGCTTCATAAATTCTTAATTATAAACATAGGTAGTAAATTTGGTTTAAATAAAATAATTTTATTTGCGTAAATTATTATGCACCCTAAAATAAAGTTATAACTTAGTTACAATATCATTGATAAAATGTATTTGAATACTTAAATTATGTTTAAATAGATACATACTTTTCGGTTTTTAAAGGGACTTCTACATGCAGAATATTCTTCATAATTTATGCTAAAATAAACGATTTTAATTTAATTTTAAATGTAAAAACACTTGTTTGTATAAAATGTACCTATTATAAAATACAGAATTTATGATGAATTATTTTAACGTATCAATAGGAACTAAACATGATAAAAAAGTTAAAATTCAAATTAAAGAACTACAAGTATAATAAAATTGATAAGAATGTAACGGATAATATATTCCAAGGATATTGTAAATCTTATTTTCTTAAAAAAATTAAACTTGATGGTAGATCAAACCATGTCTGGTTAACCAGACATATTAAATATTTCTTTTTAATGTATATAATTTAATAAACCAATAAATAATGGAGAAAAGACACTGGATCAGCTGATTAATTTTTGTATTTTGTTTAAACTAAATATTTGTGAATACTTTAATACAGACAATATCTTAATTAACCAAATTTATCTGGAACTCTTCACAAGTCAAGTAAATCATTTCATGATTATTTACAAAAATAATATACGAGTTTAATCTGTATTATTGGTTTCTGTTTTTGAAATAAATTTTAAACATTAGGTTTTCAAAAGTTCAATAAAAAAAGTTAACTTAATTAGCAACTGAACTCCCATGTGCATTTTCAAAACAATAATGTACATTAATATATTTATTCACTAGAAGTTTCATGCAATATATTTTTGACAAGTACGAGGTGTGGCTATTAAAAAACGAGACTGATCGCCTAGAGGGCGCCCTAGATGGATAGTGAAAAAAACGAGTAATACATTGGGTATCTAGATATCTTATCTATGCACGTACCAAAACACGTTTTCGTCACTATTATGGTATTTGTGTAGTAGTGATTTGAAACGAACGTGTTTTTTTCTCGTGCCGATAACTATGTGTGATGAAAAACAGGAGCAACGTATCAATCTCAAATTTCTCGTTAAATTGAAAAAAACTCCGACCGAGTGCTATAAATTGTTGCAAGAGGCCTATGGAGGCAATTCTCTATCTCGTGCACGTGTTTTTGAGTGGTATAAGCGCTTCAGTGAGGGCCGAGAGAGTACTGAAGATGACCAGCGCCCAGGTCGCCCTGTCACTGTTTCAACTCCGGAAACAGTGACCAAAATCAACCAAATTGTGCGTGCAGATCGTCGAATGAGCATCCGGATGATTGCCGAGGCTGTAAACGCCGATAAAGAAACGGTTAGAAAAATTTTACATGAGGAATTACATATGACAAAAGTCTGTGCGAAGTTGGTGCCAAAAAACCTGACTCCTGACCAAAAGTTCTTGCGTCAACAGGTCTGCTCAGATTTCCTTGAAAAGTTAAAAGAAGATCCCGGACTGATGAAAAACATTATAACTTGTGACGAAACATGGATGAAGACACCTGAATCTCCCAGAATCAAAAAAGCAAGGATGTCCAAATCAAAATTTAAGGCAATTTTGATCGTTTTTTTTGACATTAACGGTATCGTGATGACTGAATGGGTTNGAGTTCGTAAGAAACGGCCCGAGTTGTGGAAGAACAACTCGTGGATTTTGCACCAGGACAACGCACCTGCCCATAATGCGCTATCTGTGAAGCAGTATTTGGCCGGTAAGTGCACTCCAGTGCTCGAACATGCGCCGTACTCACCAGATTTGGCACCGTGCGACTTTTTTTTGTTTCCAAAGATAAAATCTGCTTTGAAAGGGACCCGATTTGAGTCGTTGGAAGCGGTAAAGCAAAAAACGGCAGAGCTCCTAAAAGCCCTCACCAAAGAAGACTTCCAGCACTGCTTTGATCAATGGAAAAAACGTATGGAAAGGTGTGTGGCGAGGAGAGGGGAGTATATTGAAGGGGAGTATTTGAAAGTAGAATAATTTTTATAATAAAACTTTCGTAACCGGTCTCGTTATTTAATAGCCACACCTCGTATTTGTTTAGCATAGATTCCCAATTGGTGGTCTGCGGACTCATCTTAAGTGGTCCGCGAATAAAAAAATGAGCGAAATTATACTTGATATTTTTTATTATTAACGGCTTGGCGCCTATCAGCCAGATAACACTATCGCGACCGATGACAATTTATGTACGGATATAAATAACATTATCTATAACTATAACTATTATCTATAAAAAATAAACAACGAAATAGCCTGAATCCAAGTGATGATAGGCAACAGCATCGTTCCAAGAATTTCACAACTGGTAAAAGAAGCGCGACCTAATAAGTTACATTAATATTCAATAATACAAATTTGTTATATTTTTTTCTCATTAAATAAGTTAATTAATATAAGTTCGTAAAATGTAAAATTTAAATTTGTATCAGATTTTTTTATTAAATTAAATTTTTAAATAAATTAGTTAAAATATTTTTCTACGACATAAACTGTATTTCTGATTTTATTTTGTACCTAGAAATTATAAACTATATATAAAACTATAAAAAAAATAAGTGATATAAAGAGGGGGGGGGGGTTGAAATCAGGGAGTGGTCCGTGACGGTAAAAAATTTATAAAAGTGGTCTGTGCCTATTGTTGAGTTGGGAACCACTGGTTTAGCATAATTCGGGCGAAGTAAATAGATAATATCTTCGGAGTCAAGGAAAAAGACTTTAATCATACATAAAGAAATTTACTGAAATTATGTAATTGTTGAGAAAAAAAATACAAAAAATTGACTAAATTCATTCTTCCTAGGAATAAAAAAGTATTAGATGACAAATTTAACTGGAACAATTCAAATAATTCAGCTAGTATATAAATAAATTAAACTGTACACAATAAAAATATAATCACATTTAAAACTTTGTATAGTATTACTATTATTTATGGTAGTTTTATTGATCAACTTTTAAGCGTTGAACAATTTGTTATAATTTAGCACAACATGATTAATATTTAACTGAGATAACTACAAATGAAATTAGTCTTCTCTCAAAATAAGCAACTCTTCTTGTGTTATATGTATTCGTAATTGTTTTTCAACTAGTATATCACAGATGTTTGTTAGCTCTTCTGGAAGATAAAATGCCGCTTCCATATATAACAACTATAAACAAATAGATATATTTAAATTAAAAAATGCATATTCTCAACAAAAATATAAATATAACAATATACTTTATGCCATGGACAGTTTTCAACAGCTTCATAGTAACACTTTTTGTAATTAGATGGTGAGCTTTCAGATATATATTGTAAATAGAGTCGCCAAAACATTGGACACTTTTTCATTTCTTTAATACCACTAAGATTTTTTATAAAATATTCAAATAAATTGCACATGTTTTTGAACAAATCTAGAATATTTCCACCTCCTGAAATTTTTTTAAATAATCATTTTTATCATTTATAGTAAAAAAATATATTCATTAAATTAATAAATTAATTTCTTGTAGTTATTAATGATAAAATAAATGTGAAATGTCTTACCATAAATACTCATAGAGTCTCCATTATCAGTTAAACTCATTACTGCTACATCACTTGCTATTCTCAATCTTTCCCTACCAATTAAAATCAACATTATTCTGACAGTTTCCATATTTTCAGCAAGTGTATTATCAACATAAACATTTTCAATTTGCCATAATGGTGTTCCAAAACCTCCAAATTTTATCTATAAATAATTTTTTTAAATATTCAACATTTATATGACATAAAGATAATATTAATTACATATTGTACAATAAAAGTTGTAAAACTAAATCTTTAAATAATAGATAATAAATTGCAGAAATATTAATGATATTCAATATTATCACGCTATTAAATTTGAAACATAAAAACATTAATACTAATACAAAAAAGTTAGAAAAATTAATACTTTTGGATGTACTTAGTTAATATAATACCTAAATTTTGATGTTACCTCATTCCAAACCATTGAAAATAAAAATTGCATATTGTGAGAATATTTTGATATTGCACTTCTTAAACATATTTTTAATTCTTTATGATAATTTTTTGATTGATTGCAGTGATAATTAATGATAATAATCATAACTTCAGTTAAGATTTCTTCAGCTGCACTAAAAATATGTAAATATTTAAAGTTTTGTAAATAAAATTTTAAAAAAAGTGTACATTAAATTTCTTACTGATTTTCCTGGTATTTATTTATTTTAATAATATTTTGAATTTTTTCAATTACATCTTTAAGCATAGATACAGATGTTTTCACATTCTGAGTTAAATACAAAAACCAAGCATGACAACTGACCCATTCAATTAAAAACTGGGGCAAATAATTATACTGTATTGTACAATAGGCAAATTGTTCTTCATCAACCAAAATACTTTCTGTAACATTACTAAATATAAGTAATGCTTCCTCTGTTAAGTTCAAACTTGCACACTCTGGTAATACTCCAGTTGCAAGAGCTATAAGATTTTTTAAGGCTTCTTTTCTAGATATAAAAATGATGTATGTTAATAAATAATAGCAACAAATCTCTAGATACAGTAAAGTAGTATGTAATCAAAAATTATGAATTCCAAGAACACCAAGAGTATGAAAGATAAACTTTACGAAAGTCAAACATATATTTTCAAAAATAAAAATAAATATATGACAATAAAATAAAATGTATACATTATTATTTTGTATCAGTACAATTAGTTTATTTACCAACATTCTAACAAACAATTTTTTGAACATAAAGTGTTCAAACACACTATCCATTTACAAACTATACATACTTGCAGTCAGCTTGAATTAATATTTCAACCATGTTCTTGTAAATAGCAGTGTATGGTGCTCGATAAGCAACATTTAAATGAATTGGATTATTGTCTAACAAAGTGGATTGGCCATCAATTAATTTTTGAAAAATTTTCAGAGCATCACTCTTTTTGCCAACTTGATTTTTTAGCAATGCAAATTCAATGAATAGAGGAATATTATTTCTGTATTGTAAAAAAAAAAAAAAGTAATTTAAATAGTATTTCATAATCACCAGTTACTTAATTCTAATTATGTAAAATAGTTTAAAGTTAATGACATATTACCTATACTGAGGCTTTCCAAGCAACAACTTTACTTCAGAAACTAAACGGCTGTTATCAGTACAGAGATTAACAACCATGCAATATCTTTCAAATCTTAACCACCACACCAAAAACATATTTGCTTCATCAATTAAATCCATTGCATATAAACAATCAGTTATATGTCTTAAAAGAGAAGTTAAAAAACTACAATATGTTTGACTAGATGCAGATTTTCCATAATAATTAGGTGGCATTGCTGTCTTAAGCATAACCAACAAAGAATTACTTGCTTTTTTATCACCAATATTTGCTAAAAAAAATAAAAAATTTTTTGTTTATTAATATATAATAATTAATGGTTTTTTTAAAATACAAATATATATTAACTCACAATCTTCAAAATTATGAGCCATAAAAAGACTGCTAAGAATAATCTCAAGACTATCTAAATAATAATGGCATTTATGAATGCCTAATTGTTTTACAACAAAATGCCGGAAAGGTAATATTGGCATTTTAAGCAGAATAAAACTAGCAGTAACTAAATTTGCAATTACAGACTTATGAATGGTTAAAGGTTGTACTAATTCTGCCATTTCTTCTGGCAAAACAATTCTTTGAGGATCTTCTGCATTGTCTGCCATGTGTTTAGGAAGAGGTAACCAACGATCTCGTGTTCTCATTAATTCTACTTGATACCAAGCTTTATTTAAAGGCATTGTTTTCAGTTCATTATCCAAAACTATAAAATTATGTATTAATTCAATTAACAAAGACAACTAGATAGAAAGTTATAAAATTTACTTATATCATCAGGTGAATCAGTATACAGCTTTTCAATAAGATCACCATCAAAATGTTTAATACTAATTGAAAAATACATGTTTATTAATGTTAACAACTGCTCATAATGTCCTGCCTGTCTCAAAAATAAACCACACTTTATAAACAGTTCTAAAACATACCAAATATACAATATATTATATTATAAAAAGTAGTATAAAAATAAATATATTAGGTATGTTTTATTAAATTAATTTGAATTAATAACATTTTATACTTACCAATAATATCTTTCTGTATACTCAATTGATCAACTAGAGATAGACCTCGTTTTTTTTTATTTAGAGCAAACATTGCATCTGAATACTTTTTAAGTACACTTGAAGTTGTACAATCTGATAAAGAGTTTTGACTTGCATTTATATAATGGCTCCACAATACAGCTTTATTTGAATATTTTTCTAATTCGTTTAATATTTCTTTATTAAACTAAGAAATAAATAACAAAATCAATTTATATATTATTTTATTTTTAAAATCTTACTTCTTCTGTTGTAAAATAATCTTCAGCAATTATCCATTTCATATCTAACAGTTTATCATTATCATTATTAAATGAAAGTGCTTTATCTAAAATAGCAATCTGCTTTTCTAAAATACCTTTTTTATTTAATGTAAATGCATAACCGTGTCTACTGTTTAAGGAATACAAAGTTTGCTGTTAACAATAGTGTCAAAATATTAGTTTAAAAATACTATATTACACAGTTAAAAAATTAAAATGTATATATTAGGTGGGCATAAACACCCACGTAATTTTTTAAGTTTTTTTTCAAAATATGTGGTTTTACATGTACATTAAGAACATATAAAAAATCAAGGCAGACAAACTTCTTTTTGAAGTTAAAAGGGAATACTTCATAAAGTTCAGGATTTCTGTTTTGTGTACTTCTTAGTTAGAATTTAACATTTTAAAATATTTCTTTTTCAAAATATGTATGTTTTTAATGCTTAATCTATTAGTGTAATCAAAACTTACCTATCGTACTTATATAGTTTTTGTACATAAACCTTGAAAATTAGCATTTTTGAAATTCATTCAAAATGTAGTCAAAAATTGACATTTTTTTTATTATTATTATTTGTAATTATTGAAATATTGATATTAAAAAGTTTTTTCCAAACAAAGTTTTTTATTGAAGTTAGAATAAGGCTATCTGGCTTAGTTTTAGATTTACAAACGTTCAAATCCAAAGTATTATGCTGCGCTAAGCAAACACAGCGATCTAACCCTTCAGATCTCTAAGTGCACTCAAAATGCTTTTTCTCTTTTCCGTTACTTACCAGACATAGTTTTGCACTACAAATCAATGGTTATTTTCGAATAAAATTGTCCGAGTGAGTACAGTTTAATACTTTGGATTTGAACGTTTGTAAATCTAAAACTAAGCCAGATAGCCTTATTCTGACTTCAATAAAAAAACTTTGTTATCAATATTTCAATAATTACAAATAATAATAATAAAAAAAATGTCAATTTTTGACCACATTTTGAATGAATTTCAAAAATGCTAATTTTCAAGGTTTATGTACAAAAACTATATAAGTACGAGAGGTAAGTTTTGATTATACATATTGAATGTTAAATTCTAACTACGAAACAGAAATCCTGAACTTTTAGACGTTTTTCCTTATAACTTCAAAACAAAGTTCGTCCACCTTGATTTTTTTCATATTCCTAATGTACACGTAAAACTACACATTTTGAAAAAAAAAACAAAAACTCGCTCACGTGGATGCTAAACTAGATTTGTTCCATTGGGTAAAATTTTACCTGATAATTTACAAATTTAATCCATAAATTAATATCAAATGGATGTTCTGATAATTGTTTATTATATTCACTAGTCAGTAAAGTTAAGTTATTTTCACATTTTATTGAATTTAACTTTATGTGTTCAATTTCTTCATCTCTTTGTTTAGGGATATTCAATAGCATCTTATTTTGAATTAAACAATCTTTTTCTATGTACACCTCAATATTTCCATCGCCATAATCCTTCTCTTTATAAGCATAATATCGTTTAATTGGTTTTTGTTTAGAAGAAATATTAACCCATCCATCATCATTATCAAGAGCAAAATATTTATTACTAACACGAAACCTAAAGAAAAATATTAATTAAAAGTTTAAAACACCTAACAATATTACATTAATTATCTTACGTAGGAACTGCAGGTCTATACAACTTATCAACTTTTAAATTTCCATTTTCTTTTTTTCTGTCAATTGAAATAAAATCACAATCTTTTAAAATGCCTTCTATATTATGTATTCTGTATATTTAAAATATAATTAACAATTATAAACTTTCAGTAAAAATATCTTTTTATTAATTTTTAAGTAAGACTACTATTTAAAGTTGAAATGTGGCTTACTTTGGTTGTTTAATTTGTTTTATGTGTTTTTTATCCTTTTTTTTCTTCTTTTTTCCATGTAATTTTTTGTATAATTTGTATGAATTTAGAACTTTTGTGTCATGGAATTCACTTTCTTCTATATTATTACTTACTAATTTTGAGGCTCCAGGTTCAAAACTAGAATTTTTAAGCCATTGTGGTTGTTCGTTATCAACAGTTTGTTCATCATCTGCTACAAAATTGTATTTTAAATCATTAGATTTACATCTAAATATAATTTTATTACATTTATTTATAATAAATCATATGTGTAGGTATTTAACTAAACAACTGACTAAACATGATCAATATCAATATAAACAATCTTTTTTTGGCATTTTTGGTCTATCGTGGTACTTGTATTTTGGGGATGGGCGCATTGATATAGTTGCTTTCACTTGACCATAGCAAAACTTACCATTATTTTAATTAATGGTGTGAATATATTTGTATTATTTTAACTCTGTGGATAACATTGTAGGTACTATGAGATATATTACTTATTAATTTCAGTGCAAACATTATAATACAATATACCTAACATAATGATATGATATAGGTAAGATAAAAATTGAAAAATAATTTATTACTTTTCACATCTGAAGTTGTGGCATTCAAGTAAGCTGGAAACAAAGACATGACGATTAAATTTTGTATTTCATGTATTCTGTATTTAATTTATAGGCACATGATGTATCATATGTGTATATTTAATAGTCATCACATTCTATATTCTATGATCACAGGTAATTTACTACTTTTAAGTATTCAGTAAGTAACTTTAAGCAAATTAAAAGGTTGATAAATTTGAAAAATGAAATCTTTAAAGATTTTGAAGTTTATTATAATAAAAAATCATTATCATATTCTCTTATCAGTTAAAACCTTGTACCAATATACTATCCAAGGTTTATAGGGGTAGCTACAACTGAAAGTCAACTGCAACTATTATATACTACATCGAACATATTACTTCGAATAACTGTTACGAATGTGTATTACTCCGAAATTAAACTTGATAAAAACTGCTACAAAAGGCAATAATTCCGAATTGATTTATCTATAATGACGTGAGCTCACTTTGGTAATATGGCGATACCTTAGAATTTAGATCATATACTATTCCTGTTATCAAATTAATCATTTTTAAAAAAGCCATAGGTACCACACTATTTTTTGGTACCTATTTTTACTTTAATTTTGTCATAAAAATTTCAACCATCTCTTTTTTAAGTTAGAATTATAGATAATTATATCTACTTAGATGATTATGTATATCTATTCATCATGTACATTAAGTAATTTTTCAATCCGTAAAATACCTCTTTGATCTGCTGTTTATCTCAAAAAATATATTGATAATATATTTGTGTAAAAAGCAGATATTCAGAAGTCAACAAAATATTCTTACAATAGCGTTTACTAACTACATAATGTTGTATAGATTGTAAATAAAATTGCTTTAAGAAAAAAAAATGATCTACTTTAATGGAATTACCTATAGATTTCCAATATAAAAGCAATAGATATAAGTATAATTTTTAAACAAAACTTGCAGTTTTAGGACTTCTGCATACATATATACATACTTTTACATAATAATACTGCACTGTCTCTGTTTCATGGTTGCCGATAAGTCTGTACACATATTATTATACTGCATCATATTTCAAAATTAATTGTGATAAAATAAAAATATATTTTCTTAAAAAATATCTTCTAAATTAATAGACAATCCAGTTCAGGCAATAAAACGCGGTCATTGAAAGTAAGGAAACAACATTCTTACGTTTCATTTATTAAGCATAATTAATAAGGTACTAAATAATAATAATGATACTTCTTTCATTCTTAGCTGCTTTGTTAATTTTAAAGTCAGTCCACATAATATATGCAGGTAATAAATAAATAAAGCCTTCGAAATGTTAGCATTTTTTAACAGAAATACAATTAATTTTAAGCATATTAAATCCTTATGTATATTATATTTTTCTCTGGTTTAAATTGATTTTGAGGAATAAGGTAATATACTTCATTACAACTGAGATAGTACCAACACTTATACAATTTGTATTAGTTTTAAAATATATTTTAATTGAATAAAAAAATGTACATTCTAATTATTTAAAAAATACAAACGACATAATATAATTATAAAAAAAGCTAAGCATTTTCAGATATGAGTTGCAATTATAATTTATATTTAGGCAAATAAAAATTATTAATAATAAAAATATAAAATTAATATTAATATGTAAAATATAGTACAATACAATACAAAACTTATTACTTACAATCAATAAAAAAAAATCATATCAAAATAAAAACGTTTACATGGATTTATTTAAAATACATTTCAAGATCAAATAATTTCACATATTACTAGTACAATTAATGTATGATAATGCCTTTTAATGTTTAATAATTCTTTAACTTGTTATAACCAATTTCGTTGCCTGAAATTAAAATTAAATACATTTTTAGTTTAAAATCAGGACAAATGGAAGGATTTAGTTGAGACAGTAAAAATGATCTAGGACATTGCAGTGTTAATGTAATAAACATTAGTATACAAGTTGATTATTTTCAGAAACAGTTATTACATAAGTGTTAATACCTATAAAAACTAATAATTATTAATTCACAGATACTTGAAACACTACATTTCCAATCAAAAGATTTCACAAAAAGGTATTTCAGCTTTTAATATAATCAAGATATACCAAACGGTTGACTATTTTATGTTTTCATTGAAAATGATTTCTCTCATACACTATTTGTATTAATTTAAACTACTGCCCATGGCCAAAATACATTTTGCAGGCCTATAATTATCATAAGTTGCTGATTTACTATGTCAGTACAAATATATTACATCCCCCCCCCTCAAGCAACATATAATTTGAACATAGCATGAAAATGAACATTACATCCCTGTTAAACAGCAGCTCTGGGTAGTACACAAAAATTATGTTAACAGAATAAATATAATAAAAATAATAACAATAAATAAACATACTTTCTAAATATATAAGCAACAAGTGTCAATCGATAATAAAACCTTATTTTACAACAGTATTTTATATTATTATTTTAAATATTAGAATAAAAATATGAATGTATTTTCAAAACTTTATTATTAAATAAAGTAAAAGCAAAAGTATATATTTAAATTAATAAAAAGGAGTAAATGGTACAGTCAAAATATAAAATGAGTTGAAAATGTTAAGCACTTTGGTTCAGTGATAGATTATAGAAAAGATAGTTTTTAAAAAAGAAGAAATACAATTGTTGAATCAATAAAAAATAAACACTAGCTAAGTAGGTACCTCAAAGTCAATGTAGGTTTTTGATTTTTAACTTTAACTGTCTTATTTGTGTCTTGTAGATTTATCCTGGTGTTGACTGCAAAATAGAAACACATAATATGTATTATGTTGTTTAAAATTACCAAAAAATAAAATTGTATATTTATGATGTTCTTAAAATACTAATTGTTACAAACATTTATCATAAATAATATAATATTACTCATATTGTTATTTATTATTAAGTAAAAACCAACATATATGTATACATTCATATTACCATTGATTATATTTTGTACTTTATAATTATAAAGCCCGGATTTCAATGCAAAATGCATCTTTTTTCTGATTGATATTAGACAATGCTTTCTAAGTACACAATTCGATTCTAGGCTTAAAGGTGAAACTTTTATTTTGCCTCTTTTCTACATTTTTCTATATTTTTCATTTTTAGAATTTTTTTTTTTCATTTTATTACATATTAATACAATACACAAGTATAATATAATATTTAATTTATGATATGGTGGAGTGGTCAGTACCCCAGTAGCTATGGTCAATTTTTTTTTTCATTGGTAATAGTGTTATGCTAACATATGTAAAGCTAGTATTATTATACAAAACAAAGTTGGCTACATAGTATATCAATATGCTATTAGTTCAACAAAAATTAAAGATTTTATGTTTTAAATTTTCTTGTTATCACATTTTAATATTATTCTTAACAAAACTGTTAAGCATTATACAATGTAAATTTCTTTTTTTTTTTTCTTAATATTTTATTATTTACTTGGCTCTAATAATAAGTAAGTAATATAGTTGTTGGCTTTAGTTTTAATTAATATACACACACACACACACATTTACAAATAAAGATTTTGCAATCTAAATTTTTAATGTGGCCATTGAGGAAACTATTTTGTTCTGAAAATCCTTTTATGGCCATATAGGTACATTTAAAAATGAACATCTCTAATTATTAGTAATATAATACTGCAAATGTTCAATTAGAAAACGATATATGTGTGACAGAATTAAAGGATATTATAGGAGAATTACCTTATCTTGAAATTTAGAAAAGTGGTACACAATATAGGTCAGTATTTCCTGGAATTGTTGATACATTAGAAAAATACTAAAAGAAAATAAATACTGCTTTTAGGACTGAAAATATTTAAAGACTTTATGAAATATTATGTACTTATTCCTACTAAATTTGTTATAATTATTATTTTTTTATTACCTAGCTATGTTAAACTTTATATATGTTAAAATTTTACTTGTTAATAATGAAGAATCTTATATATATATATTTTAAATTGAATTATTTAATTGTTATATTAAAGACGTTGTTCTCTTAATTACTAACTTCAATTTTATTCAAAGATTTTTTAATAGTCTGAATAATTACAGATATTTTTGTACATTCAATGAATTAAAAATAAAATATGGAATGGCCATAGGTGGAGTAAACATGGCCATAGAAGGTGAAAATGTGAAAAGGTGAAAAAATTAAAAAAAATTAAAAATTATATCTCGTGTATTTCTGATAAGGCTATACAATTTTTACCAAGTGTTAGGTCAATTGTAAAGAATACATGGTTAAATTTTTAATTGATTTCTATAACCATGGACAATATAACAGTGATAAGTGTGTGAAAAACTTCTTAAGGTGGAATCGCCACCTTAAGACTTAATTATTTTAATTTAGCTTATTCAAAATATTACCCATGTTTCCAGGTTTTCTAGTCAATCAGTCAAATACAGCCCCTCAGTCAAAACTAGCGCTAGCCACAAGTAAATTTTTTCAATTTTCTGTTGTTTTTTTTTTATTCAAAATATGAACATTATTTTTGAAGGGTTTTTTTACAATAAAATGCAGCTTTTTTAAAAAAAATTTCCAATGATTTTTAAGACATTTAAATCCGGGCCTTATTTATAATATTATCAGTGATTGTAAATATGCCCAATATAAATGTTAAATTTATATTAATGGTTAGTAATGGTGATTTTCAAAAAAAAAACATTTAACTGGATTAATAATTCAAAATATGCACACATAATATACAATAAAAACCATAAAATACCTACCATTAATATATCTCAAATAATTTATAACAGATTCAACTTACCAGATTTAGTAGTTAATATATTATTGTTAGTAGTGTTAATTCGCGGTTTAGTAACAGCTTTGGCTAGAATTGGATCAGCCAGTGTCTTTGTTGCAGCCATAATGAGTGGTGTATTTTCTTGATTTAATTTTCGACATGCAAGTCCAGTTTTCAGATTATTGATTAACAATTTTTTTTTTTGTATGCCTGGCCTGGTAATTGATTTAGTTAAACAACGCGTATCAATTATTGGTTTTTGTCGATGTGGTGTAGTTGATGCAATATTTTTAGCAGATACAGAATCTAAATTCTGTTTCAATACAAAAGTGTTATTTAAACTTGCTGCTTGAGTTGAAATAACCACAGTTTCATCAACACTTGACTCTGGTGATGTGTCAGTTTTATTAATTTGTATGAAATTGTTTTTTTTTTTAACTTCAGGCTGTAGTGTTATTTGTTGTAGTTTGCTCTCAACAATTTGTAATGGACTCTAAAGAAATAACAATGAAAATTATTAAACATTTAACTACAATATAATTTGAACATTCGTGTTCTAGGTAATACAGGGTTTTTTTTAATTACCAATGTATAGAATACATTTTTGCTAGAATAATGTCCATAGCTTATAACAATTAATCACTCTTACCAAAACTACATCAATTTTTGTTTGTAATTAATAATGTGACTATACTATTTAATTAATCATTTGACTTTAATACTCTATATATATATATATATATATATATAGTAAACTTAAATAAATAATTTACTTGCTTACCATATAATGGTCTAATTTAATTCGTTTTAATTCTGGTTTTGCACTCTCTCTCAAATGTTCAATGCTTAGCTCATTGACATTTAAAAAGGCATCCCTTCTAATTTTACAATGATTTCTTGGTGAAAAATCCCAGCTTACTTCCTTCAAACCACCCAAGAATGATTTTATTATATTCTGTAAAAAAAAAATATATATTTTTAGAAGGAATTAAATTATTTAATTATATGTATATACATATAATTAAAAAAATCATTAAGTTTTTTTTCCATAATAAAATAATATTTCAGAATTTATTACATTATGACTTTTACTCATTTCTTCAGTATTTTTATCGAGTGCTTCTAACAATGTATAATAATGAGAAGCTTGGGTAGAAATCATAGTAGTCAGTTCAAGACTTATATGCAGGTTACTGTCTAATATCACACCAATTTCATTTCTATGCTCTAGAAGGGTACTTAATTCTTCGTTTATGACCTAAAATTATATTTAAATATAATTTTAAAGATAACTGTATTAAAAGAGTTGTTAAACATATATATACCTGTGATTTTAAACGAATAATGTCAACATCTAAAAATTTTATAACATTATCTGCTTCTAATTTTTTTAAGAATACATTTATTTCATTGTTAGCTGCAACTGCTTCATCCCATAATACATTTAGTTGAGCATTTATACTAGCCATACGTCCTTCAAATTGCTGAATAGCCATGTTAATTCTATTTACTTCACTCGCCTACATACATAAATACAAATCAATTACTTATTAAAAATTGTATTATTAAATTATACAAATACAAACCATTTCATCTACATTATCAGTATTAAATATTGAAAATCGTTCAAGTAAAATTTTTTTCAAGTATATTCTGAATTCAGTTTTTTTTTGTGTAGATTCTAAGCGAAGAATTTCAATATGTTTTTTTGTTTTTCCAGCAAATAAAGATTCTAATGTTGATCTTAAGTCTTCTAAATTATCTGGAGGTTGTGGTACTGAAGACATTAATGCTTCTTCATATTTTGTTTTCCATACCTGTCTTTCATTTTCTAGGTCAGATATTATTTTTTTGTAATGTGCAGAAGGAAGATTCATTGACATAACATTTTCTTTCAACTAAATGCAATTGTTTAATGAAAATAATGAGAACACTTTAAAAGAGAATATTCTATAATACTTACATTAGATTTAATTTTCATTGCTCGAGAAGCATATTTTAAAGTATTATAAGTATCTTCATATGATGACAAAGCAGGAGAAACACACGCAATCATCAAAGTCTTACAATTTCCACCAAGAGAATCTTTCAATAACCTAGTTAATTTGGAGTCTCTATAAGGTATATGTCTTAAACCATCCGACAAGTTATTAATACAATTTCCTGAAAAATTTAAAAAATCTATTAATCAAATTGCTTTTTGCACTAAACACACACATTATGATTTACAAAATGGTTTTTGAGTTTATATAAAATTAATAGTTATTAATGGCATTTTGAGTAAATTTGATTGTCATCATTATAGAATCTATAAGATTCTCATTTACACTACATTTCCAAAATGATACCTCCATAGGTACCTATTTACACATAAAATATAATTTTTAACAGTATACAAAAAAAAAAATAAACATTGTAAAACCAATATATTCCTCACCACGCTCAGAATCTAAAAAGTATAGTCAATTAGCCATAATAATAATAAAGATAATAGCAAATAAGTAAATTTGACTATAGCCCACTGCATAACCGATGTTTAAATAAGACACTTTTAGATTATGAGCGTACGAGGAATGTATTGGTTTTACAATGATGTTTATTTTTTTATTTTTTATTTATTTTTTTGGTCTGTGTACACGTTTTCTCTCAGTAAACTTGTTTCAATCTTTACATAAAATCACTTTCTAAAAGGTCTGGTTGCCTAGTTAGTACTTCAAACAGGAAATTGTTTGATTTTCGGTGCTGTTTTCTTAATAATTGCTTTATGTTTACTAAATTTGTCCATTAGGTGAAGTTGTCCTTATCTTTGAAACTACAGACTTGTTTATAATATTTTCCATGTGATTAAATATACACCGCCAATTTTATCTACGAGCTACACCACCGGTCCTGCTGCAGATACGTGGATACGTTAAAAAAATTAATCACTTGGTAGTGAGAGATCACTACAAATGCTATCAAATTGTTTTTATTAATATTGTTTTTCAACATTCAGTCCATTAGGAACAAAAGGATGCTTGAACAATATTAAACAACTGGGTAGTTTAATAATGGCTGTGTAGGTACTGTTTTAATATTTACTGAAGAATTACATAATTCTATTAAAAACAAATAAAAATAGATTTATAAATATCTATAAATTATTTTTGTTATTATTCTATTGGGTAGTTTTTTTTTTTTCAAATTTTCATATTTAATAAATTTAGTACTTGCAATCTATAGTATTTATAATCAATGATAATACCTTGTAAGTAAAAACAAAAAATTATTAGTTTTTGATAGAAATATTAAATTAAACAAAGCATATGTTCTTGTGTCCAATTACTAATTAGGTGTTTTTTTTTATTGAAAGTTTTATGTACCTAAAAATAAAAATGTACATATACCAAGATATTAACACATGTTATCTTCTTACAGTTTATTTATTTTTTCAGGCTCTCTCTGCTACCGAAATATTTAATATGGACTCTTTTAAGATTTATTTAATATTAAATTAAATTATACCTAATTTAACCTAAACCTGGATACAGGTGCGGCCAATTTTGTAGGTGGGTAGTTGAAAAGGTAAGATACATAAAGTTATTTATTATACTTGAAACCAGCTAATTAAATAATCGATTGCTAATAAAAAAAACTATTTAGAGCAAAGTTCGGTTAAACATGTTTTAAAAGGTCATAATATTTAAGGTTCTTGTCAAAATTGGATTTTATAAAACTCTTATAAAAAATTAAAAATATTATATAACACTCATTTTTTTTTTTCTTATAATTTTTAAGTAAGACTTAAAATGAATTTCTTGTCATATATTCAACCATTTTTATTAAGTTGAACAATTTTATCTACAGATTACCTACTAAATAAAAATGAAATTAAAAAAAACTTGCAAAATTAATTTTTTTATAAATAGTTCAAAAATGACTAAAATTGTTTGAAAATATTATGTCTAAAAAAAACAAATATAAGTTCTCTGTCAAAATTCCAAGTCTCTACAAATAAACTCAATTAATTACAAAAACAAAATTTAAAAGAATAAAAGAATTTTCATAAATGTACATTTCTATGCATTTTTAGATTTTGTTCAATTATTAAAAAAAACTACAATGAAAATTACAATTTTTTAGGATCATCAACTATATTAAAAATGCAATAAAAAAGGTCTCCTGTTATTATTCAATTGGAGCAATATTTCTCTTGAAAAACATAAATTGTAAAAATTAAAACAATGAAATCAGTAATGCAATGAGGTACCGTAAATATTTGCTGTTTTACCTATAATTTCTTTTCGAGTGTTTCCCAATTATTTTGAAAACCCATTGGAAAATCAAAATAATAACTTTAATGCACCAACTAGACAAAATTACTTTTCAGAAAAGGTACTACACTTTAAAAATCGAAGCAAGATTTCTTTTTGAAAGGTTGTTTTGACAGAAAAAAAATAAATCATAAAACATTGAATCGTCACGGGGTTAGTTTGCTTTTTTATAGAAAATCCAAAAAATTAAGTTAAGTGAATTATCAATAAAAACATTATAATAAATAGCTGTAAGTTATCTATGCTGAGACTGATAAAGTAATAACTAAAAAAAAAAAAAACAATAACAAAACTTTTAAATATACCGGAATAACAGTGACCCTACTACTCGTACACACACCTACACCTTAAAGATATATAATTATTTAATTTGATGTTAAATATTAATATAAATAATGGAAACATACCGAGAGCAAGAAGTGACTTGTTAATGTTCGATCCTTCTTTGAACCTCATTCCTTTATTGGAAGATGCTCTTTCTGAACCAGCAAGATCAACCATTGAAAGTTTAGCCATTTTTACTTGATTTGTATGTTTATATGTCATCTTTATATATACTTGAAACAAAGCATGTGATCTAGATGATTCTGCATTTGCATCTGTAGGATGCTGAGTACGATTATCATTACCTTTACGTAACATTTCAATAAGTTCTTCGACATTATTAACCATTTTTATTGTAATACCAGCTACAGATGTTGTATTTCCACATTCACGTAAAAATAATGGTTTTTTATCACTTATTAATAAATCAAATACCATTTCATTATACACCTACAAGTAAAATTTAAAAATTATTTATTATTTATAATCAAAGTAACTAAATAATATATTACTTCAAGATAAGAAACATAAATTTCAAATATTTTAGAATCTTGTTGCTCATTTACTTTTTCATATAAGTCTTTCATTGTTAAATATGTAATACCATAATTATATTCATTACCTAACATTGTAAATGTTTTTCCAGCACCTGTTGCTCCATAAACGAAAACTATAATACAAATACAAATATTAATATCAAGTAAAATTGTTCATAAAATATTCGGATATGTGGACTTAAAATTATTTTTCACAATATTATGCACCTACCAATTGAAAACTAAAATTTTTACTACCTTATTGTAATTATTATCAATTAATTTAAATTATTTTATAATTATGTATACTAAAATTATAACAATCATATACAACTAAATTTATATAAATAATAATTATTCATAATTTATTTTCTAAAATATTTTCATGTGTAGTAATTTTGGATACCATGTACACAATTTAATTGGAGTAAATTAAAATTAAAAATACATCTTAGAGATTTATACCCACTGTCATAAGCTTAAAATTTTAAATTGCTACATGTCATATATTTGATTGTATGTCACACACAAACAGTGAAGTTTATTTAAATGGTTAAATAGTAGTAGTGTGATAAAATATTTGAATATTAAATTTTGTATTTAATAAGTAAATGAGGATTTGATAAAGAAAATATAGTTCATAATTACAGTATAAACAATATACCCTATATTAACTAAAAACCTCTTTTAATATATACCAGAACAGTTATATCCACACAAAAGTTTATCAAGTAAATCTTTTGTGCTTTCATTGTATATATCTTCATTTATGCTTTGTGGTCCAAAAACACGATGAAAATCATATTTTATTGATTTGTGTTGTCTTTTTGAAATGTCTCTAGGATTTTGCTTTACACCATGAAAAAAAAATGGTGTATCATCTAGCTTTGGATCAAATATTAATGCATTTTCGTTTCTGATTCTTATTGTTTTACTGTAAACAAATTTTAAAAAAATTATATAATATTTAAATTAATTTTTTAATTATATATAATATAATATATTCTCGAAAATAGTTTAATTTATCAGAATTCTATTATACCATACACAATGCTCCACAAATATATACCAAATGTGATATTTTGAAAGGTAGTAACATTTTTGTTTTTATCTACCTTCAATTTTGGGGGTTAAATGAGTACCACCTTTTGATATTCAAATGAGAACCAGTATTAAAGATTCCATAAATATATGGAATATTAGCTCAAAATAAATTTTAGTATTGAAGAGTTTGATTTCTGTTAATTTGTTGATGAATTACTTTTAAGTTAGAGTAGAGTGAGAGTAGTATCATTTGTGTGGGACAGCAGTTTGTTTTTATTACTTAAATGCATATTTCATATTAGATATGTTTCTTTATTCTCATTCAAATCACATTATCAACACCAACATTTACAAGACAAGATAATAATAAAATACCTGTTGCTATATTTATTAAGGGATCAGTCGTTAATATAAAAATATACAAATAATTTATACTTAACAATTTTCTGTTTTTTCCTCTACTTACTTCATATAACTTAAAAAGTACATAATTTTGATTTTAATATAAAAACCCCCCTTTCGAACATAGATTTGAATGGACAATATTTTTCTAGAAATTTTGATATGCATAACACCATTTATCAGATTTACTATTTATGAATTATAACAGTTTTAAGTTTAGTTCGGAAGAGTAGGGAAGGGTTAGGTTATAGATAGGCAATTTATTACTCATTTAGCGGGAAGAGGTGGGCCATTTTTACTTTTAACTGATGCAAATTACTTCCCAAAAATAGTAATCTCATTGTCAATTCAATATTTTCATGAATATTTTTTTTCAATGATAAGCAACAATATTCTACAGGCCGCATTGTATTCAGATTTATGAATTCCGACTGGAAATAATGAAAAATAATTAGTAAAAATAAAATTAGTATTGATAGATAAGTATCACTGATAATGTTATGAAGGCTACACACAATCAGTTAAAACTGACGTTCTTTGAGTCCACGCTTGTTCATTTTTTACTGAAGATAGATATTATTGTTTTTGTGACTAGTACATCTAATGTAATGTGTACACACGAGACGTCATTTGACAATGCTTTAGCCGTACTTCGCCTACTAATAGTTTCAAAAAAACCAAAATAAACATAAAGAGTGGTTGAGAAAAAATAATGTTTATTCACGTGTACAATAATCAAGTTAACTAAAAAATATTCCTAAGGATTGGCACAAATATCTCAGAATGAGTGAAGAAAAATATTTCAATCTATTCTCTCTAAACTCCAATCATTAAAAATGAGAAATTCACGGATATAAAGAAATACCAAGTACAGGTATACGGGTACGAATATAGAGATAACTGCGACACAACTGACGATAATTACCTACACACGTTCAGTTTACACAGTTGTAACTGAATAGTTCCGTCATTTCATTTTAAAAATATGTAAAACCATATTTCAATAAGTTTTAACCACTGTCTTAGATTAGATTTCAACTGTTAATAAGAGAACTGCCAGTTTTTAACAAAACAACAGTCAGTTAAAACTGATCGCGTGTAACAGGTATTAAACGTTAAGAGTATTAGTAATCTATACTCTTTAGAGTGTATTATTGCGAGTAAAACGACCGGGCATCCAAATATTATAGCCTATAGACACTGCGATAATACACGGTAAATTTTATTTCATCCATTGTTATAGACAGACCTAACTGCCCCTGTGGTAATAATGAAAATTAAATTTATTATTATCAAATTTGGCATCACTGTATATTATCAATCTATTCAGACATGTAATAAATAAGTAATTAGGATAAGTTTTTTTATAATCGTAACAGATGGTAGTATGCAGATTATCAAGTAATGTAATGTTTAGAAATTTATAAAATTAGGTAGTGCTAAAAACATAACAAAACAAATAATATTTAGGTATTGTTTGTTCTTCAATTACTAATTTAATAATATTATCAAAAATTAACTACCAAAGAGATTTAAAATTAAATTAATCATCTTATGTCATGGTTTGTTAAATAGTACCTACAGTGTGAAATGGGCATATTAAGAAAATTAATTGCAAATGAAAGACTTAAATTATGTACAAGAAAATTAGCTACATTGAAATATTCAAATCAACCAACACCAATGACTGTATTTGATCAAAAGGCTAAAGTTCTTCAAAAACAACGAGCAGCAATAGCAGAAGATAGTTCAGTTTATGATTACATTAAAGATGAAATTGGATATCGTTTATCAGATCGACTTTTTGATATTAAACGCCAATTTAATAGAGTTGTTGATCTAGGCTGTGGATATGGTCATGTTTCTAAACACATTTCTATAGACAATGTTAAAGAGTTAATAATGTGTGACACAAGTCAAGAGATTTTGGATAAATCCCAAAATCCTGAACCTGAAGTTAAGGTTAGTAAAATAATAGTTGATCCTGAGAAATTACCATTTGAAAACAATAGTATTGATTTACTAATTAGTTGTTTAAATCTCCATTGGGTAAATAATTTACCTTCAACTTTCCTACAAATTAAAAATTGTTTAAAAAATGATGGTGTATTTTTGGGAGCAATGTTTGCAGGCGATACTTTATATGAATTGCGATCATCATTACAATTAGCAGGTATTGAACGCGATGGAGGTGTTGCACCAAGAATATCTCCTTTTGTTCGCCTTAGAGATGTAGGAGCACTAATGCAAAGTGCAGGATTTTCAATGCTTACTTTAGATACAGATGAAATAATAATACGTTTTCCATCTATGTTTGAACTAATGTGGGACCTAAAAGGAATGGGTGAAAATAATGCTGTTTTACAGCGACCCTTACGCCTCAACAAAGATACTATGTTTTCTGCAGCAACTTTATACGATAAACTATATGGTTGCCAGGACAAAAACAGTGATATTAAAGGTATTCCAGCCACATTTCAAATATTATACATGATAGGATGGAAACCAGATCCATCACAACCCAAACCATTACCACGAGGATCAGGACAAATATCAATTAAGGATATAGGTGATCTAAATAAAATTGTTAAAAACTTAGGAAAGATTGAAACATAATTTTGTTGTGTTAAAAAATAAATATAATTTTTTTCTGTGTTAAATATAGATTTGTGTTAAAATACTTATAAATAATTAAATTTGATTTTCATTATGTAAAATTCATTATTACCTATACAATTATTAACAATTTGTAACTATTAACATACCTATACATTAATTATTCGTTAACTAGGTATATTAAAGTTCATTCAAATACAAAGATTTACCTACTATTATTAATTAAGAACTTATTTTGTTAAAAATTAGTTAATCTTGAAATAAAGAAAGGTTTACGAATATTATAATTTATTTTATTAGCTACTAATACTTTCTGTTATGGCTGATCAAGTTATTCTAACATAATAACAAAAAAAAACTTACGGTTTAGACAAATCCTCTTCATCTGGTAATGGTTTAATGCGTACAAATACACGCATTTGTTCTTCTTGTGTTATGATTCTTCCCCGACCGGGAGCAGCAATTTTTTTTAACTTCTCCAAACTTCTGCGGTTCAAAACCATTATATGTTTGTTCTAAAGCAATGCAATTAACTTTTATAAATTAATGTATATTATGTTTAACTTTTTTTTTTTTAAATAAGTGTATAAACAAGTGAATTTCTAGTATTAAATATTAAAATACCATTTCAAAATTGTTATGGTAAGTAGGTACCTATAACTTAAATATAACTTTAAATTCCTAATATCTTTCCAATTTATTTGCACCTGAAGTAAATTGTATACAATTGTTTTAATAAACTAAAATTTTTTTTATTTTAAAATGTTAAATTTTGATTAGGTATTATTTTAAAATTATTTTCTTATCAAAATAATAGGTATGTGTGTAAAAAATAAGAAATATTTATAATAAAAATAGTATAATTTGGTTTGACGGAATTACCAATCATCACGTTCCGAAATAGCGAATATTTAAAGAGTCTAACCAATACAAAAATTTAATTTAATATAATATATACCAACCCAAATGACCAAATGCAATGAAACTTACTGAATAATGATGCGACGACTCTATGTATAGAATAATTCTTCACGAATATAATATAATTAATTTATACCACAATAACATCGGTTTTATCACATAACGTATAAATCAATAAGCGATTTAATTTTTAATTTTTAAATCGAAATTTTTGAACATCGTTACGACTATCTAAGAAAATGGTATAAACAATAGTATATTGTCATAAAAATACGTTAATTTACCCATTTGAAAACAACGATAAACCAAATGATAATCAGAAGGTCCAACCCTTCGCTTACAGTGTAGCCATCAAACCAAATCGTTAAATTATTAAAAAATTTAATACGTCTATATTATTATGTATTATACTATTGTACACAGATATATCTATAATAATTAATAAATGATACATTAAATAATAGGTTTTTTATGTAAATCTATGGTATATGCCTATGGATCTGAACAATGTAAAAATATAGGCCAATCAAATTAGGATAAGGTAGGGTACTGTTTTGGGTGTAGTGCGTGTAGAGTGCTATCCAATCACTGAGTTCTATACTATATTTTGTATTGAATTCTGTGGAACCAATATGCGGTTTGATGATAAGCGATATCTTTTTTACGGATTATGAACACCTATAATGTGTTTGAATATTGGTTTCAGGTATGAGGATTGAAGAACAGGCTTTACTGCTTCAGTAGTTCACTAGTTCAGTTCAGTGCGCGATGCGCATGCGGCATGTTCTAGGCTTATAACGCATTTACTGATTCCGCTGTGTGGTACCTATTATTCTTTTTCAAAAAAATGATACAATACAAAATACACACCTATATATTATTTATTTAATACAAATGACAATATTTTGAACCTCAGAAACCGAATGGTCAAGGTTGTCACTAATGTCATTTGACGTTTTGTAAATGAATACCCACCTTTTTGTTTGTACTTACTAGGTACACTATTTTTCAATTACTTCACTGTTATTTATTACATTACAATAATGAAACTGGGTAGTGATACCTAGTTGGGTTCTCATAAATTGTAAGTAATTTAGGTAGTATAATAAAATATTTTATAGATCTCGCACGTCATATTATTTACAAACATTTAATGTTGCATTTTACTCTCCTACTTTTCTGAGTATGTATATTTTCTTGTAGTTTTATACTTAAATCATTTAGAATTTTATGGAATTATTTGTTGATTTTGTTGTGGTTTTATTCATAAAATATTATTTTGGCTTAAACTATTAAAAAATTGATTTCTTTATTCTCTATGATATACTAAGGATATTCCATACAATTATGTTACATTATTATGAATCATATTTTTTACCAATTTGATAATATTTTGCCTATTCAAGGCTTTATTTTATTTTTTATGAATTAACAGTTTCTTGATTAACTTAATTCTTAAGTATATTTAAATTTAGCTTTATGCATTTTTGTTATGAATTAGATAAGTATATCTATATAATTATTTGATATACCACTTAAAATTTGTAATTATATTTGTACCTACCTATCTATTAATTGATATAAGCAATTTGTTTAAATATTTTACAGATGTTTGAGAACGTACCCACCATTTTACATAGGTACTTCTTGTAAATGAGTCATCAGAATGTCAATTGCGGTATTGGATAAATACCATTTGGGCATTAGTGCCATTATTGTTGTGGCTATGCAGCTTTTATTTTTCTCCATTGCTGTTACATTGCAATATGATAAAATAGCTGACTTTGCTGGTGGTATTAGTTTCATTTTAGTTGCTGTGCTAACATATGGATTAGCTCAGGTAAAATGTGCTAATTATATATTATTTTAATAATCTAAAATCAAACATATTATAAGAACTGCCTACTTAAGTAATATTGATTAATGAATTTTTATGTCCTATATACTTGATTATTATTGAGTATATTAAGTTTATTAAGTATATAATATAAAATATTTTTAGATTCTAAGAGGAGTGAGTAATGTAATGCTTTTACTATAATGTGAGTTATAATTTTTTTTTCTGTTAGCAATTACAATAAAAATATGTTTAGACTTTGTTTTGTTGCATTTTGGATCTAGTAGATGCATTAAAGATATTATTTTTTGATTTTCCAAGTAGCTTTTGTGTTAGGGAAAAGGGACAAATTTTCTGAAATAATAAATTTGATTTTTTTGTTGTTATTCAGGTAAAAATAATAGTAATTACATTGATTATAAATACTGTATGTATAATTAAAATCTAGCGAGTTTTTAGTTATTTTTAAGCATTTGCCATTTTCTTTTTTTTATTTGGTTTTATGTGAACAAAATTGTTTAATGGAATAAAAATGCTTGAAAATTTAATAAGAAGTTCATTACAAGTTGTGGGTACTTAATGGTAGAAATAAAAAGTTAAGTGTTATATGGTAGTTTTTTTTAAAAAAAAATGTTTAATTTAAAATTGTATTAATAATTGTGTCATACTAAAACATATTTAATTGAACTTCTTTCAGAATCATATTTCTTTTACAATGATTTAGTGTTGAGTAAATATATAAATTAAATAACTCTACAAAAAGTAAATCATTAATTAATATTATGTACACCAGATTCCAAAATACCATAATTTTCCCAATGATTGCCAAGATTTCCTATAAGATTATCAAAATTGTGTACACTAATTTATATTAGTAATTTACTTTATATAACTATGCATCCACATTCTCAAATTCTCGCCTATACCAGTGGCACACCTATCTTCTATAAATTCAAATTATTATTATTGTATTAATATGTTTAAATTATTTACTTATTTTATTTTGTAGACTCATGATAGTCGACAGTTTATGGTAACATTATTTGTATGTATTTGGGGTATCCGATTAAGTTCTTATTTGTTTTATCGAATCATAAAAATCGGAAGAGATGCAACATTTCCAGACAAACGTAGCAATATGATTCGCTTTGCTGTATTTTGGACATTTCAAGTAATGTGTTCTTTTGATTCTGTGAAATTTTATTTTCAGTTAAAAACATTTTTTCTTTAATGTACCTGTAAATATTTGAATTTATTATTACAATTTAGGCAGTGTGGGTACTAATTGTTAGTTTGCCTGTTATCGTAATTAATGCACCTCATAATTCCATTAAAGCTGGAGCACCCAAAACTATGACAACTTTGGATACTATTGGCTGTTGTGTGTTCATTTTCGGTTTCATCATTGAAACTTTTGCTGATTTACAAAAGTATGCATTTAGAAGTGAAGAAACAAATAAGGGAAAATGGTGTGATGATGGTTAGTAAATATTTACTTTTACATAATTTCTTTTATGTATAAATATAGTTAAATTTGAATAAAGGTAAAAACAATTGTTAAATTGTTTAACTTCACTGAAAACATACTAAAATTAATTAAAAATAAACTTATATTTAAGTCATATTGTGTTTTTCTTTTTATGACAGGGTTGTGGAGCATGTCTAGACATCCAAATTATTTCGGAGAAATAGTGCTTTGGTGGGGTGTTTTTATTGTATCATTGAACGTAATTGAAGGCACAGAGTATATTGTTGTTTTATCACCAATTTTCACTACATTTATCATACTTTTTCTATCTGGTATTCCACATTTGGAACGTGTTTCAGATCATAGATTTAGAAAGTATGTTAAATATCTGGTATATTCAATTTTTTTTTTGTTTATGCTAATTTATTAATTAATTTTATTTAGTAATGCTCATTATCAGCTGTATAAACGATCCACTTCACCATTAATACCTATCCCACCATCACTTTATATTGAAGTGCCTGGTTTTATTAAAATGTTGTGTTGTTGTGAACTACCCTTATATAATTGGATGAAAGCACACCCTTCAGATCCACCAGAAGCAGCTCCAGCTCCTAAATCATCCTAGCAAAAAAAGGGAGCGGCTGTAACTATGGTACAAATTACAGATCGCTCCCAAGAAGTTCCAGTGTATTCAACAACAGCTACCACATACGTCTAAAATCTAAAGTACTTATACATACAAATAACTTTAAAACTAATGAATTAAAAGAAATTAATCGTATTAAAACTAATAAATTTTAGATATCATTAGATACATAATTATTATTAAAAAATGATTGTATAATTAATTCAGGTATTTATTCTATTGCAACCTATTGCAAAAAATTAATGAATAAGCTATTGTAAACAAATTATATTTGTACTATATAGTACATAATACATATAATGTATAGGTTTTTATGTAAATAATATGAATAACATTAATAGATTATACTATTATAATATTAGCATAGTAGTTCATATTTGTGACAATATGGCTTAAAATCATATAAAAGGCTGGAAGAAATAACATATTTTCTTATATTTTATAGTTTTATAATAATCATCATTTGGATATTGAGAGAATGAGTTTAACTGATTTAAAATATTTTATTGACATAGGACAAATGTAGTGCCATTAAGAATTTTATATTTGTACAATAATAATAATTTCAATATTTAGTTTTAATTTTACAATTCAATAATACATTAAATATATTTGAAGATGTATGTTTAGAGTATTGAAAGTATTAGCAAGAATATTATAAGAAAGGTTATTGATGCAAAGTTTGTTTTAATCCTAAAAATTAATAGATAGGTCAAATGCTATGGCACAAGGGATTGTTAAAATTGATCATTGAAGACGCTTCAAAGAAAGAATTAAAGAAAAAGACCATACCTTGAATACAGCCAACAAAAATAAAGAACCAAACATACATCACCTATGCACAATTAGTAGTAGTAATAATTTATTATTTCATACAAAGTTTTCAAATTAAATATAAGTATAGAATAATTTGTTTCTAAAAGTAAAACTTGAGTAGGAAATAAGAGTTCTTAAAATAAGTTGTAAAATATATACAAAGATTAAAAAATGAAACAAAATGAATATACTAATATTAAAATTAAAAAGAAAAGTGGATGATAGAGAAAAATAGAAGAGGACTACAACCAATCTACAGATTAGTTACTAAAGAGAGATCCTATATTTGTTTTATGGGTAATTGTTTTGCTTATAATAGTTGTGATTTGCTAGTAGATTGATGCAACAATATAGGTGAAAAATGGAATTCTCTTACAATAGTTGCACTACTATACTGATACAACAAATGATGGACATTCAAAGGTTGTATTACATACACAAAAAAAGGATAATCTAGTGAACCTCTATACCAATATTTTAAGTTGGTATTTAAATTGGTTTAATATCTACAGTTCTATGAAATATCCAAATTTTATATTATTCGTTTACACATTCAAAATACTAAAACATTAACAAATTGTTATGTTAATTGTATAATATTTACTAAGGAATATTATGTGAAATTTAAAATATTAAATTATTTTAATTAGGTTTATTTAATTCAAAGCTCCTTTATTAGTTTTTTTTAAAAAAAAGTTGAATATGCTATTCTTTATATTAAGATAGGTAAATATTAAATTGTAAATTATTAAATATAACTTAATCCTCAGTTTCTACCCTAAGTTACCTATAAGTTACCCAGTATTTTAATTAAAGGAAAATAATATGTTTTAGATTCCTACCTACTTTTAATGTAAATTCAATTAGATAAACAATATTGGTTGCTACTTATTTAGATTATTATAAATTAGATATTATTTATTTAGTGAAAATTGTATACTTGTGTACCTTATTATTAATTATTTAAATCAATCGCACAACTTTACAAGCTGTAATACAGATAATCTTGACACCTGAAATAATTTTTATTCTGTTCATATGTTTAGTTTTTTCTTTTAATAATTACTAGAGCATTGCACTATGATTTTTATATTATTCTTTTTTTAATCTAAAAATTAAAAAAATGGTTTTTATAAAATCCAAGATAACCATATTATTATTTAAAATAAAATGTTATTTTCCAAATTTTTCTGATTATTAATTGTTAATTGTCACTTCATAATATTAGCTATTCTCCAAATTTGTCCATAAAAATAATTTTGTAAACTTTGAAAATTTCAGAAACTTAACAATTCATCATTAATAAATATTTATAATACCAACATGTTTTAAAATATATTTATAAAATGACTAAATTGGTTTTTTTTGTTACAAAATTTTATTGTTTAAAAATATAAAATAGAAAAATCATAACACAATAATCTAGGTATCACAAGCATCAAAAAAAGTTTACAAGGAATAAAAGTTATTTAAGGTGTTAGATTTTTTTGTTCCTTGTTTATCTACTCTACAAATGTAATGACATAAATAATTTATTTGAAAATTCTCAATGTTATTTATTTTTTAAAATCTTGTTAAATAGGTATTTTAAATTTTACTTTACGTATTTCTAAACTAAAATTAATTTAAAGTATACTTAATTAAACTATATGTTTAAAATATTTATCTATTACTTATTATACTATTATTAAAATGTTTCTCTAAAAGTATCAAATACTTTTAAGTATTGGGTTAATTCACACCATACACCATATAAAATAGTGTTAACTATTTACAAAATTTAAGTATAGCTCAACATAAATTGTTTAGCTGTAATAATTTAATTAGATTTAAAAGAGTTATTTATAATTTGTGATATTAGAATTATTTCTTGATCTGTGATTATTTAAATACTTCCTGTAAAATTTAGATACTTTTAAGATTTTTCACTAATACATAATTTACCATGTATTATAATATGTTAGTTAAATTTATTTTAATTATTTTAATTTAATTTGAAAATAATAAAATAAATATAGAATATTCCAAAAGATGAGATAAATTGATTTCCATGTATACAAAATACAGGGAATATTTATGAATGAAGTACAACATATGATATGAATAGGGATTACCTATCTATTTATTTTATTATTGTTTATATTTTAAATTAATTAAAATTATATTGTACCTATTGGCTTTCTTTACATTTCAGTTATACAATTTTAACTTCACTTCTTAATCACATTTATGCTTACAATTTCTTATAACACCATAAATGCACCATATATTTTTATTAAAATAAAAATGTGTAAACAAAAGAAAAATTTTATATTTTATGATAATGTTTAGTAAGTGGTAAATTAAGTAGTATAAAATAACAAGAAGACAATTTAATTCTTGTATATTTTTAATTTTGTAATGTCATATTTTTAGTTACATTAGTAATACATTTTTTTGTAATTTACAATGAAAAATATTTACAATTCAATTCAATAAATTTTGCTAACTTTATTTATATTCAAAAATAATTATTACTTATTATTTATGAAATATGTTTACATAACATTAAATTTACAGCTAATTATTTTTCTTTGTACCTATAATTGAATTATAATCTACACTTTTTGTTTTTTTTTTTTTTTTTTTTTTTTTTTTTCATACTCTTGGTTGTAAATTAGAATTTATAGTTTTTATTGCAAACATTTTCTTGTAATCGTGATTTTAATAATTTATACGAATATATTTAAAATATTATTTTATGTATATGTTCTATTTTTTTTGTCTTATAAATTCTACCAAGTACAAATTACTGACAGTCTCACAATTAAAAATTGGTATTCAAATTAAATATGTTACAATTATTAAACATTGCTACAACTATAAAATTATTAAAATAAAAATCAAATTATAGAAATATTGCTTTAACAGCAAATTAAAGTTAGCATAACTAAACTAACCATTGATAAAGATATATCTTAGTCCTTAAAACAAACAAAGAACAGCACTAGAACTTAAATGGTCCAAACATAAATAAGTTAATGTAAACTAGTTAAAGAAATTAGTTAGGGGGTCTTTAGTGTCTCCAAGTTTAAAATAATCACCCCCTAAAAATCCAATAAGTTTTTTATAATACCAACTAAATATTTTATCTGTATATTTTATAATTAGTAAGCAGTTCAAAATACCAACACTGCATGTGCTAGTTGCACCTATGGATATTCTGTTAACAATTATTATAGAGATCTGTATTAAAAATACTTATATTTGCCACTTTTATAGACGGGGTCAAATTTTCAAAACATTCTAGCTATTTATAGGTATTTGATATTTCCATGTTCTCATATGTATTTTTTTTTGGTATCTATTATTATAATTATATAACTTAAAAGAAATACTTGAAAATTTATTGAAAGATACATTATAGTACCAATATAAATATTGTATATACCTATATAATAGAAATATATAATATAATTTCTGTATGAGTGTTACAGTACTGTCTATACATAAATAGTTTGCATTTCATGCGATTAGTTTTTACGTATTTTGATGCAATGTTCGTATACTGCATATAATATGTACATATACTATTAATTACCATATTATACTATATGTCTATGATATATATATATATTGTAGGTATAGGTAGGCATTGTTTATATATAATGCGAATATAAATAAGTATATTTTGTGAAAACTATAGATCTACAATAATTTTTAACCGAATAGCAACTAAAATCGATGCTAAGTTTTTTTTTTTTTTTCGGTTTTTTGTATTCATTAGGAAAAATATACGGAAAATCAAATAACTTTTTTACTCACTAACTAAACACAATTTGCTTTCAAGTGAAATGTTTGAACATAAATTTTGATTGATTTATTTAAAAGTAAACAAAAAATGAATGGGACATAGTTTTTTGTTTTGAAGACCATAAATGGTGAACGTTTGTGTAAAAAAAAAATGAGGTGAGTATTCAAATATATTATATATTAATATATAATATATTCTACAGGCATATATTTGGGGAGAGGGCAAGTGTACCTTGTTGCCCAGGGCTGCAAATGTTTTAGTCTATTTAGAGGGTGGAAAATTTATACTGATAAATTATTATTGTGCATTTATTTTATAGAAAAAATACTATGTTGACATAATTTTAATTATTATTTTAACTTTCTAAACAATTATTACAGGTGAAAAATGTATGTCGTTTTCATCAAGTTGACGGATATTAATATTAACAATATAATAAATTATACTATTAACTATATTATTAACATACTATTTATAAATAATAATTTTCTTCTCAAACCTTCAGTCAATAATGAGAAAGTCATAAATTTATTTACATAATTTAATTTATTTATATAGATTTGAAATATAATAAAAAATGTAATACTTAATAATAAATTATACATTGTTTTCTTAAATTATTTTAGATTCTGAGTGAAACCACCTGTAGTATCATTTTTTTTATAATATTTTTAGGTTTAAATTCTAATGAAAATCATAACTATTACAGCCTTTCATAAAAAAATATATATAAACTTCATATAAAAACGAATTTCAATTGTTTTCAAAATAGTTTTTTGATAGCAAATAGCAATGGTTGCTCACAGATAAAAATTTCAAACCATATGTATTCTATCTTCACAAATTCCTACACATATCATTGGCACATTCAACAGAAGTATCAGGTTTTTTTACAATGAGTTTTTGTTTTTCATTTATCATTGACCAAACCAACATAATTTAAATTGTCAATTTTCAATATTCACGAGAATTTTAAATTCTAAATGGAGCGAAGAAGTGTGGTTTTATAAAGATGTTTTTTAAAAAAATTTCTGTGGACAACTTTTCTACCAGAGATCTTGCAACAAGTTTTTAATTTAGCATCTTTTCTGAAAGGTACTAAGGTACTAAAACAATTAAATCGTTTTGCTGTAATTTAAAAAAAAATTCGTCTTTATTTTTCTAAATTATTATAAAAAATACTTTAGACATCAAAAAAATTCTTCAGTCAATGGCTATTTATTAAAAGGAGTAAAATCGATTTCTTGTTATTTTTCAATTTTAACAAGATTTCTGGTAGAAAATATCTTTTCAAAATTAAAAATAATTAAACCGGGATACTACGTTGCCATAAATATTGATAAATTTTAAGATTTAAGAAAAACTACTTCGGATTATCAAAGAATTACTTTCTTTAACAGTGACTATATGTCGATAGGAACAAAATCGATCAATTGTCATTTTTTGATTGGAGCAATATTTTTGGTAGAAAAAAAATTGCAAAAATAAAAACCATGAAATGGTCAAATCAAATTGCAAATCGTGTTTTCTACCAGAAATATTGATAGAACAGAAAGAAAACCAGAGACCTTTTTAGTTGCATTTTTAATTTAGTTGGTGAGTATAAAGTTATTTTTGATTTTTTAAGTATTTTTTTCTAATAATTGAGCGAAACCCCCCAAAAAAATAGAAAGAACGAGAAAATAATATAAGAAAATATTTTAATTTAATTTTTTTTATTCGTAGAGATATGAAATTTTGAAACAAAATTTATATTTGATTTTTCTAGACAGTAAAATGTTGAAAACTTGAGCCACTTATAGGCATTGTATTTTTGCGAGTTTTTTATGTGATTTTATTTATTATAGGTACCTACTATGTAGATATCATTGTTTGACAAAACAGAAATGCTTGACAATTTAATAGGAGGTTTATTATAAGTTTTACTTAGTGGTAAAAAAAGAAAAGAGAGGAGTGTAATATAGTTATTTTTTTTTAAAAAATTCATGAAAGACGACTTTTCGATGAGTGCCGTAAAACTATTAATACGAACAAAAACGTAGGTATTATAAACGATGCGAGTCTATGAACAATGTTTTTCAAATTTATCTTTGATTCATAATATCAGAGATTTAAATATTATTAACCTAAAATACGTTCTAAAAAAGTAGATGATTAAAACTTTATATTTGTATTTGTAATTGTTTGAGTTTTTGCACCAATATACTACTTAGATAGTTAATAACTAATACTTACATTAATTATTTATTAGTAAATTATTTTTATTCTCTCTGAAGACTAAAATAATTCGTATTTCGTGAGTGTTTTTTTTATCATTTTTTACTTATTCTTAAGCACCTAATATAGCTTACCTAATATTAAAATGTGTAGATTTAATAATAGTTGTACATTGGTAGTTTTAATAAATACTTTGTGGGTATAAAATATTTATTATAATTTTATCTGATGTAGGTTAATATGCAGTTGTAGTTATCCATAATATATGTTGATATTATATGTGCTATGTTTATTATCCATACTATAAGCCACTAATTGCATACGTACAACCGTACTTACCTTCAAATAATACAGCATATACCGTCCTTGAACATATTTGAAATGGTATGTCGTTTTAACTTTTATTTAAAATAAAAAAAATATGAATAATTATTGTTTTTTCAGATTTTTTTTCTTGTATAGGTACCTACATGTTACGTCAATGTGGAATCCCAGGCAATTCTCACATTATCAACAGACAATTTGAACAACGAATATAAAAAAATTAATTGAACGATTTAAACAGGTTAATAATTTTGTTATGCTCCTCCGTTTATTATATAATTTATTATTACTTCTTATTCTCCTTTACCTCCATCCCAACTATTTGGAGTCGGCCACTCTCGTTCTATACTTCCACTTAACCCGATCTCCCATTATACATTTAACATCCAATATACAGTTAGCTAAAAAATATAAGACTTATTTAAAGTTATACTTTTAGTTTGTTTGCCTCTGATAATCTATATATTATCAACGTTACGCGTACAATAGCGCAATTAGCATGCGCACTATGAGCGATTCATATATTTAAACGTTCCTAGATCACAGAATAAAGGGAATCGAAAGAGATTTTACATGGGTTTTTAGGGGAGGTGATAAAAACACGTTCAACATATTGGATTTTGAAATGGATTTTCCAATGTTTCCTTATTTTCTTCATTTATGGCAGCATTATTTATTTAATTAAAGTCTTAAGTATATTAATAAATTAATTAATATGTCAATGATTAAAATTGTGGCTTATAATTTTCTTTCATCGTGTAAATTTAAATACGCAGAATAAATTTAAAATTGAATTCAATCTTTAAAATTAAATAAATATTTAACTAAGTATAATTTACCTGTATATTAAAGAAGTTCATGTTTTGTATATTTTGTATATTTATATTACAAAATTTTAGTCAACAAAAATAAAGAAATAATTTTCGTTCAATATTTAAATAAATCATACACACATTTTAATGTATAAAATACCTATAACAGCTAATAAACGCGAGTAGGTATTCTATGCGGGTACTATGCAATTAATTAATATAATGATAAGATTGATGGAATTTCTTTTTGACCAAATACTGATGCAGTATGATAAAGAGCATCTGCAGCTAGAGGTCATAATTAAATCCTTTATGTGGAACATTCAAATATTTTAGACGTAAAAACTTTGAAAATTGTGCTGCGATTTGTATTGACAGACGAAAAACAACACCAGCTGTGGAATGCTCCTTGCGCAGTTGTACGTGAACAAAGTTTATAAATAATATTATCTGTACTATTATCATAGGTGCAACTAGAAGGATGCTTTGGGATCTCTTTAGCATCCCCAAGTTTAAAATGAGTATCCAATATACAATATACATTATACAATATACAATGTACATTGTATAATGTATAATATACTCGTATTATAATAATATTGTATTTGAATTATACTACTACAAAGTAGTACTATAAGGACTACAATAATACCATCACCATCAACTCCGCGTACTTCCGTATCCCACAGCCGTCTATGATACTTAAAGTACATAGAATTATACTCCCAGCTAAATAACAGCGTATATAGTATTTCAATCATTAATATACAGAACTTTTGATTTCGACCGACGTATACTAATAAACATCCAACATTGTATTATGGTCTCCAACAAACCCGTGCGCGAATAATGTCTGATGACTTTTTTGGTGCGTCATTCATTTGGGCCAATGACCCAAAATTTACATATATATGTATATATGCTATATGCTTATATTTGCGAGACATTGTGGGACCAAATATTGAAATAATTATTGAAAATCCAATATTGCATGCTTCAAACACAATACATACGCATGTATAAGCTCGCCCAAATGATGTATTACACATATTAAAGGGCTATGTAAATTTCGCCCAAATGATATGTGATTTTGGATTGATTTGCCTAAATTAAAATCGCCCCTTTTTTGGACTCGATATCCCAGCGTGATGTCGGTCGCACGTACTTGAAAATAATAATAATAATCACGACAACGGTTGAATTTAAATATTTATTAAACGGACAGACGTGACGGAAAAAAATTTACGGGTTTTAGTTTTGGCCGGTGTATTCTAATAATTATATTGTTCGTGACGAAATTATACATTTTTGTTTCGCTGTAGTCCGGCCGGCTCTATCGTTATATTCGACTTTCGAGCCCCCGGGTAGCTCGATCGTTCCGATTTTCATATCGTCTCGTCGTGACAATATTTTTCCGTCGTATCATTATCTTGGAAAGTATTTACTTCGGTTTTTTTTTTTTTAGCAACTTATAAAACAAATAATTCTAAAATGTTACATTACCTTTAATTTTTTATAATTCTTATGTTGCGATGTGAAACAACTACCCAGTTTTGATTTTTAAATAGCAATTTACATTAAAAATTCTATAAATAAATAAATATATTAAAATACATTTTGGTGTTGTCATTTTTAATTTCGGTCAATGTAATATGTATATCTGTCTTAAACATATGTATGTACACTATTGAGTCTGAAAAAATTTACTAAATATAATAATATTATCGATAAATAGTGTACCGAATCGCGTATTATAATCGATATAAATAATTAAGTATTTATTTTAATATGTAATATACGAAATATTAATGTTTGAAGCGTTATCATGGTATCATAGCGATTTTTTATTTTTCAAAATATTCTTTGAGATTTTGCAGATTGTTTTTACTAAATTTTGTAAAAATGTATAATATAAAATATATCACTAAAATGTGTACGAAATATTTGCACGAATTTCAAGTATTTCAACAATTATTGTTTATAATATGTTTTCGTTTAAACAGTTTGAAATTAAATCGTTTATAATGAATATACCATCAATATTTATTTCAGGGTGTAACCGGAGAATATTAATATCTCGCCCACCCTCCCACAAAAAAATGTATACAGTTCCCTGAAAATGTATGACATTACTACGTTTAACTATATGTGATGTGATATGTGATATGGGTTATGGGATGATTATGAGTCAACTTGTTGAAAATAAAATAAAATAAATATTGTGTTAAGTAAATAACCATATTTTAATGAGCTATAAAAAAAAGTAAATACCTAACACATTTAGTAAAATTAACACTATTTAGTAAACACCTAAATAAGCGTTTTTTCTTCAGATGTAAAAAATACCTTGATCCGGCTCTGACTTTAACATATCCCCTTGGAAATTTACGATACCCCTCAGGGGATAGAAAGTCTGAAATAAACACTGTATATACAGTACTGTAATACTATACCCTCCGCGGCCCCCTTGGCAAATTTTAAGTATACTGTCCCTCATTCGCCCAAATAGAAGGACTTAGACCCTGGGATGGATACAGAGGGTCCTAGAGGCCCAGGCTCCGTAAACATATTATTTATCCTATTTTTTTTTTTTTATAATTCTATAGATTCTGATATTACTATATTCCAATCACAGATATATATTATATTTTAATTGTATTTATATTGTAAAAAAATTGTTGACCCCTCCCCCCAGATTTTCGCTCTGGATCTGTGCCTGCTTAAACCTCATAAAACACAGCCAAATCCAGTAAATGTACTAAGTATATATAATAATCAATATTATGGGAGCTTAATAATTATTGAACTATTTGTGTCTTACAATGACACAAAAATGACTGAAAATTGCATGTGCTTATTGTAAAATTTTAATATTGACATTTTTCATTTTTCAAATACTCCATTATTGACTTATAATTATATTATTACTATATATTACTTTTTGTTGTGTGGTCCATCGATCTTCACGGCTAAACCAGTACCATTGTGTGGAGTATAGTTCTCAAAAATTATTTTGATATATTTACAGAAGAGCGTACATAAAATCCTGAATTCCACATTGCGATTAGCCCTTTACACCATAATATACAACACTGTCTGTATACGGTGTGTTCAATGTTCATACATATGAAAACGGTTTAGTGAACATTTTGTAAACCGATTTTATATTTAATTTTTGTACCATGTTATTTTTATTATTAATATTATTTATCTAGCCATTATGTGCAAGTATAAAAAATAGAATACAAATTTACAATACCAATAAAATATAGATACTATTACTATATACACTATCATATACCAACTTATTTTTAAGAAACACTAAAGTTGATTTTATAATATAAATTTAAGTCCATTTTTTAATTTAAATATATAATATAATATTAATTTTTTAATTCAGTTTGTATTTTTTAATAATATAGTGAAAACTTTTTCAAATATTTCGCACAAGATTTAGTAAAAAAATAAAAAATACTGAACTACGTGTTAATTGAAAATAATAGGACATAGGGTAATTTAATTTATATTCTGAAGTTACGATAAATTATTTTTAATCAAAAAACGGTTCTGAACTTAGTATGAGTCGTGTTTTTGTTTCACTTGTAGACTACAGTTTTAACCAGTGGCATGACAAAATTTAATTCACACTCTACAGTCCACAGTGTCGGCTTGACCATGGCCCCTATATATATAAAATATCGTCATTTATACTACTTACTCTTCAAAGATTAAACATAGGTACATAGTATTATTTAGACTTTAGTTGACTATTTCAGACTGCAGTGAAATATAACCATTTATTAATAAGAATTGTATGAGCGAATAAATTTATATGAAAATTACCTTTCTTTCCCGGATTAACCGACAGCAGTAGAGCATCAGTTTTCACATTGCTACCCTAATACTACCGAAAATTACAAAAATTGCCTACTGACAGCAGAAATGTCGCTGAAAATATAACTTATATGTATACCTATAAATAGTATATTCACAAATACGTGCCCAAATGTATACACCGACTTCAGACCTAACATCAAATTGATTTGCATGACCTTTAAATTTCTCAGCTATGGAACCCCTTAAAAAAATGCTCCAGGGTCCTTTGATATGCCAGGTCAACGTTTCACACATACATATACATACACGCACACACACACACACACACACGCACATCTTATATAGGAAAACTATAATAGCTTCTTCGCGTTCGAGAAGTTTAGCACTTATTTGACTAAATAGTGAACGTCGAGGTCTAAGGAGTAATTTTATATTATATTATATTACGGTAGGAGTACAGCCGTGATAATTCGAGAATCACGCAGTCACTTTTATAAAATGATTGAAATGTGCTGCACTTTGACTGTTTTTCATATTATATTATTAATATTACAATGCCGGCCGTCCGTCCTTGAGACGTCCATGTTCTACATCGCGTATACCGTACGATGTGTATGCGCATACACACACACACACACACATACTCCCGTTTGATTTCGTCGAGCAAACCGAAGTTTCGCGTTGGGCGCCGCGGTAGTTCTTTTTTATTGATCATTTTATGTTATCCGGCGGCGATAACTGCGGTTCTCAACGAGAAAAACGCGCGAAACACAAGCCTAAATTATCCCAACGCTATACTACTGTTATATAGGTATGCAGCCTAATCAATAATATTATTATAGATACCACGAAAAACCGAAAAACATTACCTAGACACGTCGCGCGTTTGCCAAAGAATAATTTACGTGTTGGCCGAGAACCGGTCCATCGTCGCACGTTGCCCGCACCGGACGCCGTCCTCCGGTTTTTTTAATCGTTTTCCGACCGCGGCCCGGTCAAGTTTTCTTTCGGTTTTTCGCTTTGACTCGTTCTACCATCGTTCTTTGCCGTATTCTCTATTTATAGGCGTACTCGTAACCGTTAATAGTTTACAATCTCCGCGCCGCACCGGTCATCGTCTGCAGTGGCGACGCATTTTTGCGTAGCGTGTCGTTTTTGATTGGGTTTTGGTCGTTTGCCGATATATTATGGCTGATGTAACAGTGACGACGACGTTGCCGTTTTCAACGGTAGCCGTAACTGACGTTCAGCCGCTGCGCGTGGAGGAGGACGAGAGTCTCACTGAGGTCATTGTCGACGATAACATTGAACCTTATCACGGTTGGTGCATATTATTATTATAGATTATATTATTTGTTTGAATACTTTCAGAAATAGCAGAATACCCGTTCGCACGTGTTTTACATTTTTTCGTTCCCAAGAATTTAGTCATAAAACAACGGTTATAATTTATAAATAAGTAAATTGATATCACCTCGGTTTTGCGATACAATAAATACGAGCTATTATAATATGTATTATATGTATAGGTACGGACATAAACATGGTATAGGACCTTAATATCGTAACAGTATGTTATCCTTGCGATGCGAATGTTATTTTTGTTTTTTAAGTTCTAAACGTAAGTACCTATATAATAGGCTATATAGCTTACAATCGATATAAAAATATTCATTTCTATTTCTATTTTTCCCGGGAAGAAATTCCCTAAATATAGTTTTCAATACCAGCAAATCAAATCATATTTTGAAAATTGCTAAATTTCATAATGGCACAATATTGTTAAATTATTAAACGGCTTAACCTAACTGCAGGCGTTCTAAATGGCTTAGTCGCTTAGGTCATGTAATTATATGGTCTATAACATTTTTACCAAACCAAAAGTATGTAACAATTTAGCGACTTAAGATATTTTAATTTTCAGTATAACATAACAAATGTTAGAATATACATATACCTAGACGATTTAAACCAAAAAATATAGGAATACAAATTACATAAAGCACAGCTATAAAACAAAAAGCCAACAATTTAATTATATCCGCTTAAGTGCTTACCTGGGACCAAACATTTATGTCAGTTAACAATAATTTGAGTATCCATATTGATATTGATTTTTGGTAGGTAGGTATATTTTATTAATCTAAATTTAATTTCGTTTTTTATAACTTAATTTTTATTTTTTGCAGCAGTCTTGAATATAGTTTAACATATATACAAATATCATAAAATATTATTATGAATATGTATAATTAAAAATGTATACATGTCTATATAATAGTTCATTATATTCAACACAAGTTTTAATAATGAAATGGTTCTTAAGTTGGAATTCCTAATCAATTATGTTTGAATCAAAAATAAACAACATTTTATGCTTAATAAATAAAGTAATACGAGCCGAATATTTCGTATATATTTATATAATATACATAATAAATATTAGAGGTATATTATTTTTATTTTAAGAAAAAAGGACTTAGGTAAGTCGATTTTTATAGTTTTCAATGCAAGCCAATTGAATATTGAAAGTACATATTATATACTAATACACCACAATCTACATACATTTAGGCAATTCAGATAATAAAAAAAAAAATACCAAAAATTAAGCATTTTTTCCCTGAGAGTTGAGACCAAAGGTATATAAAATAGGTATATTTGACCTACCTATAAATTATTTTAATATTTTGTGGTAGTTAAATGAATTATTCAATTTAGGTACACAATTAATTTATTAATTATAAGAAGGTAAATTAAAATTATCAATGATAGGCAATAGCTATAGATATTTGAACACAATAAGTTAATTAATTTTACTGAATACAATCGCTATAGCTGTAACATTGAGGTGTACATAACTTGTACTTGTAATTAATAAGGTTTGTTTTAAAAACGTGTAAATCAAAATCTGTATGTAATATTAATACGATTAAGATAGGTAGGTAAGTCCTTGTTTTATTGTTAGTAATTCATTATTATTAAAACAATAATTATTACTATTTTTAAGGTTAGGTCAATTATACATCGAGTTGTACATTTTATTTATTTTAGTAGGTAACTGGTTCAATACACGTTTATGTAATATTTTGTTTATTATCTATATACATCAAATTATAATACATTTGTTTTAATTAGATATAAATATTCGGCGGAGGAAGATTGGCATATACTAGCATAAAATCGTGAAGGATGGAGGCAATTATGTTTGGATGTGTTGTCTAAAAGGCAGTAAACAAAAAATATAAATATTCAGTTGCAATAATAATATGAATTTTCTACATTCATAATTTTATTTTAATTATAGATAGTATACACATAGTAGAAAAATTATGGACAGTCACTGCTCATTTCCATTTAGTAATAATTGAATAGGTATTAAATTAAATAATTCGAAACCCTTTTATTTATCGATTAGAAATACATTATTAGAAATTAATTTTATCTATACTTCAAACTTAAGTGGCTCCAGGATTTAAACACTAGTGTAACATAATTTATTAATTTAATTTATTTATTTAACTCTTCTAGCTGAGATGAAGGCGAAGGAGAAGACCCTTCGCCTTCATATCAATTATTTAGGGTAGGCCAATAATTTACTTAATTCGCATACACATATTTAATATACATTTATATTAATATATTATAATACCTATATTATTTAAAGATACGGATAAGACCCGTGCGCAATTTTCTGCACCACCTTGGCTATCGACAAACGCCTATAAAATATTATTACGAGTATTTGACGCTATTCGAAAAGTGTTCGAGATATTGCACGAGGTGCGTATTTTTATAGTGGTGTCCTTAATCTAAATCGATTAATCTAATTTTACCTTAAATCCATAATATTAAACTCTATAATATAATATGATCACCGAATCCCGATCCTCGTTCCTTGAAGTTATTTGCAGCTATTAGCAGTCTTGGCTCGAAAAGTTCGTGTATAAATACCAAGAAAAAACAACAAAGGAAAAAAAAGATAGAAAAAAAACACTACTATTGTACCAATGAAGAAAACTTTAAACTTTTGAAAAAGTTTATTAAAGAATGACTATGAAACAATTTTAAAAAAATAAAAATTTAAAAACGATAATGAATAAAACAAATTTAAGAAACATTATTTACTGTGATTCGGTTAAATATACGCGTATTTGTACAATAAACAAAATGAATATTATTGCCATTATTATTAGTTAGCGCGTAGTTTTATGATATTTATTAATAATAAATAATATTATTATTGTTCAAAGAAATAAATAGTATTAATCAGTAAATATATCTACAACTTTTGTTACTTTGGCTCATTTTGATATTGACAGTGCAACCGATAATTGTTTTCAGCGTGTTAAGGTAAATACCCCAAATAATATTCGTATTTTACGATTGATCGATTTTCATAAAAATCTAAACTTCAAACGTACATAAAAATAAAAAGACGAACATAATTCGCATGCAGGTAGAGCCACTGTTGTAGGTGGGAAGTTGGAAGGTAGGGTACAGACGATAATTTAATGTATATCTGTAAGCAGCGATAAACCATTACTAATGAAAAAACGATTTTGACCGGAGTTCAGTTGAAAGTGATCAACAATATATATATGCTATATTATAGTAAAATAATTAAAAAGTCTTTATATATTTTCTTTAATAATATTTGTTTATGTTGTACCTATTTTCTCGTCATTTGCTGGGAAAAGTCCTAAGTAAATCGAAAAATGACCTTTTTAAAGTACCTCCCAGAGAAATTTCCTTTTAGAAAAATTGCTCTCATTATAAGCTGGAAAAATATTGCTGAAAGAAAACTTGTCCACAGAAAAAAAATTGTGATTAGGAAAAACAGAAATCAAATTCACTTAAAATCCTCCAAGATAATTGCTGGTTCATGATAAAAATAAAACGCCCTGTATACCTAAATGTAATTATCAGATATATTAATGTTTACATACTTAAATATTAATGTATTTATGTTTTTACTGTGCATTTAAGAATAGTTTTAGTAATTATATGATTGAAATATGGTATTTGGTGGTGTGGAGGCGTAGCTCCCACGAAGTCTTGTCCTGTATATAATTTTAGCACCCTCAAAGATTGACCTCTAGTTGCGTCTATGTGTATCACAAGCTTGATACACCTACAGTAAACTGCTAATGAACCTAAGACGATTCTAGAATTTAGGGAAAAATTAGAATTTTATAGATTTTTGTTTTTTTTAAATGGTATCACTAGACTGAAAAGGGGACTACGCGTTAGTATTACTTCCTCTCTGGTAAACATCGTTTAATGCTGAGCAACACACATAGGTATTACCATTAATTTTATAATATTATATTATTAGTAGTATTATTACTAGTATTACATTTTAGCGCAGGTATGCAGCAGGACAAACCCCTGCCACAGTGACCCTTACAATATGACGAACATCTTATGGTGTTGACTACAATGATTTTCTTTCAATTATATGACCATGTAATGTGTAAAAATAATTATTAATTAACTCATTCAGTATGTAATGTATTATTATATTGATAAAACAATAATTATTATCTACACATTTCAGCAGTAAGTAGGTACCATTATATCTAGTATGTAATGTATAAATTATGAATTAAATGTTATTGTTTTTATGGTGGTTACTGGAGGTTATTAAAAAAATCATCATATTTTATTAATTCACCTTGGGATAAACACCAAACATAAAATATTGTATTATGCACTAAACCAACTTTAAAAGCTATTTAAACTACCCGAAATATTATTTATATTTTAGTTGGTATCATTTGAAATGATAATTATTTATTAAAATAGATAAATTGTATAGTTATACTATATAAGTAAGTACTGCGTGTATGCAATTGTAGGTATTTATGTATATACTGTTCAAACTTTACCGAAATTAACAGATTGCATAATAAATAGAAATTACACAATATATAGGTACTTATTTACTCGTATATATGTAAGTAATTAAAATAATTTATATTGAATACAATAACTCCATACATATAAACGTATTACCATTGGAATCGTATATATTTTTTAATTATTACATGCATTTATAGTAACCTATACGGATATACGTTAATATTTATGAGTTATGAATATTATGATACAAATATTGCAAATACCTCATGTATTATATTAGGTACTAGTACCTGTTTAATTTTGTTTATTATTCAATCTTATCAACAAATTTCATAATTGAATTCAAAATTGAATTATGTTGAACCGTTAAGACGAATGTGCATTTGTAGTCTCTGTCAATCTAATGGACAAAAATGTATTTTCGTACTTCCAATTAATTTAGGTAATTAAACTCGGATGACCTCAATAAAGGGGCTGTTATATTCCAGTTTTGGAAGTTTTATCTACTTCTCTCTCGTTGGAAATGTATTACTCTGAATTAGAGCTAGGTAGCTAATATAAAATGACAAAAACTCTAAGGAAGGGGAAGAGCTATCCACTAATTACCCTCTCCTTCAGATAATCGCCACTGCCTCGATGGTCGTATAAACTCGCATTGGTTGCCAAAATAAATATGTTGAAGTTTAACTAAATGTCTATTGAATAGTTTTGTTGAGTATTTTTTCTTTTTCCAAATATATTTAATTTACATTTTAAAATTTTAGGTTTTTAATATTTTAGTATAAATAAGTAATAAATAAATGTTAAAAAAAAAAACAAAACGAAATATGACCTTTTTCATTGTGGCGTTAATTGTATTCACACTCCTAAATTTACTCCTAGTACAAATAAATTTATTGTAGTCAGAGCTCCCTCCCCCAAAAATAATCTATACCTATGTCTCTGCATTTATTTATTTCATAGGTATACAACTAAGTACAAGAGCCATTACATAAAAAAATGCATACATTAATTATCAATATATAGTCTGAAAACATATATTGTTATTTAGGGTCATATAATTGGTAGTTTCCAACAACTTCACCTTATTTGCAAATTTAATTTATACTAATTATAAAATATTAACAGAATGCTTTATACGGAACGCTTAGAAGTGTCACTTAAATCTAATCCCTATGAATTTTGAAGGTATATTGAAAATAATCATTTTTCAAATGATTTTTCTCATGATAATGTACTATTTGTCCGGTTTACTAAAAATTTGAAGAAAAAATATTATTAAAGACATCAACATTGAACAGCTATGGGTACCTACTAGTTTATAGGTAACCTTCAAGTGAAAATAATAAAGTTTTTTCAATTGAAATATATTTATTTACTTACTCTTATGTATATTTTTTATTCTAATGTAACATAAAACTTGTTTTAAACGTAAACTAAGTATATGGTATTCAATACGTGTAATAAATTTGCCCTTGAATTTTAACGAAATCAGACGTTCGAATATGTTTTTGCGCATGCTCCAAGGCGAACCATATTTGTCGATAGGTAGTTGAGCCGGTTTTTCATTTCATTTTACAATAGGTATAATGACGTAGGTATATCCTCCAGTTTATTATTTGTAATTTGTATTAAACTGATAGGTACTTATAAATAGGTAGTTCAATTCTATGACGGATACCCAGGTAAAATATAAAACTTTATATGATTATGTTTCTACATTCATTTTTTTTTTTATAGTTACCATACCTCAGAAATTTGACAAAGAATATCCTACAACACCATCACCTAACAATACACCCGGTATGTACTTAAATTTTGTACTTTATATAATATCTTACATTCTTATATTATGATTTTATTCACCTAAATACCTAATTTTATATTTTTAAATAGTTTATTTATATCTTACTTAGGTCGCCATATTAGACACCTAGTTATTCTAAATTACGATTGTAACTTTTAAGATAACATTATTAGAATAGGTTCTCTATAGTTTTAAATCTGTAACACGTACAAAAGTACACTTTTTATAATTAAATTAATAATTAGTTATTTAGTATTTAAAGATTTTTAAATCTTGTACGTGTATTTATATTCTATAGTAAAATAGTATTTATAAGTTACTTACGAAATTTAAGATATATTAGTTGTTTTACGGATAAATAATAGGTATTTATCCAATAAGACTAAATCAATCAAGATTTGTGCATAGAGACACGGGTAAAGGAGCATTGAAATAGCATTATGAATTTGTGTGTCAGCGATTTAATACTGCTTCGTCAACTTTGAATACTTACTAAAATTGAATTTGTATTTTTAATTTATTTATTAATGGTTTCCCTTAGTGAGGTTAAAACACAATAACAAATTTAATGGTTGTAAAATTTAAACTTTATTTATTTATAGATACAGGCTGTATATAGAAATATACAGGTTGTCTCACGAAGATATACCTTTTGAATATCTCCGGAGATAATAAAGATAATCAAATTCTGTTTTTTTTTTTTTTGTATTTTTCTCACAGGGACGAGGACTACAAATATTTATATTTTTTAATTTTTTTTACTAAAATATAAATATTTGTAGTCTTTATATATGTGAATAATATATAAAAAAAAACAGAATTTGATTATCTTTATTATCTCCGGAGATATTCAAGGGGTATATCTTCGTAGGACAGCCTGTATAATGTATAGTATATATATATATATTATACATATATGTATATTTATTCGGTTGTCACGCGTCAACGTATATACAAGGTATACTATAAGGTAGATTTTATTTGTGCCCATTAATTTGGTTTTAATGAACAACGCTGTAACGATGGTAATATAATATAATATTTTTTAACAAAACCTAAATTAATTTAACATGTAATCAAATAAGTGGAGACATGATCAAAAATAGTCATATAAGTAATCATATTAGTAAAGTCACATTAAGTAATCAAGAGGGTGCCCTCAGAGGGGAATGGAAGGGTTCATTTATTAGGGGCTCTATTTTTTGCTTATGTTTGTATAAGATATATTTTTATAAATAGTGGGTTATCATTAACTCAATAAGGAAATTAATTACAGTATAAAATCTTTTTATATAATTTAAACATATTATAATATTTTATGGTTATGTAAATATAATATAATATTATTTATATTTATAATTATCCTTCTCCCCCGGTGAAAATTCATCTGGATAACCTTGTAGGTAATGTGTTTATTTGTATACAAATAAAAACCTATGCTTCTAAGACAAAATTACACACATAAATCACCAGACCAGTACAAGAACAATAAATTATGATTTAATGAATTTTATTGTACTAGCCAATTAAACAAAAAATAAATCCATTAATTAATTTTAAATTTTAATTTCTGGAACATAATTTTTATGTAGATTTATTAACAAAACATTAGAAAATTTTCTTTCAGAAAAGGTGCTACACTCTATACATCGGAGTAAGATTTCTTTTCGAAAATTTATTTACAGACCAAAAAAAAAATTAAAAAATAAATATAATTCAAAAACAAAAATATTCCTTGCTTCACGCAAAATCTAAAAGGTACTACAATTATTGTAACATACAGTTACATAATTTATCCACAGTCCTCGTTTTTTAGGTAAAGAGTAAATGAATCACAATATTATTCATGCAAACAATGGGACACAATCGGTTGTTTACGCTAAGTAATGTGTGTGTTCTTAAGTGGGGTGAGTCTATTGATTACTGCAGGCGTATTAATACATCGTATCGTTTCTAAAAGTTTGAAACCTACAGTAAAATGAATAACTCAAAGGACTTGGTTTTAATATTCTCTTATCATTTTTACTTTTATTTATTATGAATGAAAAAGATTTTCTGTATTTATAACAAGCTTTGCCGTGGAATAAAAAAGTTTCTAAATAAAGTTAATAGATAAATTAAAATTGTATGCTATTACTATAGATACTCGCATAGCATAAGGATTGCTCTGTACAAATTAATGATAATGTTTTTTTTTTTCATCCGTATTACCAAGATAACCCATAAATCAACAAAAATAATTCGATTTTTATAGTAAAAAAGGCTATGTTAAATCTTACACGATTATAAACATCAACATATTTAGATACTTCTATTCGTATAATATTTTACGGTTTTTCAACTATAGAGTCTACAGATTTTCTTTTGCAATAATTAATAATTTTTGTCGTTTTAAAGTGTCATCACTTGATTAAAGTGCATGACTGTGATCGAATCATAATTTATCTGTATTTATAATTGAGCATTTTGACCCACAGTATAAACTTTTGCACTACACTTAGTTATAACATAACCCCATGTATTCACTTTTCTTTAGATGGAATATGATTTTTAAACAATTTAAAATCATTTAAAACTAGCAGTTATTTCAGATGTTTACCGTTTTCATTCAACTTGAATGACACATTCTCGCTCATTGTGACTTTGTGTATGATGAGTATAGACGGATATGATGTACGGGCACACTATTGTTTCGAACAATACTAACAAAATCGTTTAGAGAAATTATTAGACGTAAATTATCCGTGTATAGTTATAAGATTACCAAACCAAAATCAAGTTTTCTATCGTCATATACTATTAAGTATAGGCACCACGCATAGTGGTTTTAACAAGAACCCGTAAACAGACATACGTTCGTTTTTATATGCATAATAATAGTAAAATAAAAGATAAAGGGGTTCTTTTCTAAAATGCACTATTTTAAAAATGTAATAGTTCAGGAAACCCATTTTTTTGTCCTGTAATACATAAAAGGTATATAATAATTGAATTACATTGAATACATAGAAAAAGTAAAATTAAACTGATTGGCAAAATCGAAATTAAAGTTTCATCAATTTTTTTTGATATTTTTTTCCCTTTTTTACTTTGGAATTTCTTTCAAACGGGATTATTTTAGGGAATAGTACATTATGAGAAAAAGCTATTTAGAAATAAGAAATTTTGTATAAAATAATAGACTTTCATCAAAACATACCATTTCTAGAAATAAACCATTTTGAAGTATAATATATTTTGTTAGCATAAGAAGTAATATTCAAATATTAATACTAAATATTGTATTGTTTTGTTATTAAAATAATATTCAACAAAAAAACATTTTTAAAACTTTTTAATATGATTTAAATAATTTTTCCCAATTATCATGAAAGCCGAAAAAATTACCAATTAAAATACTACCCAGATAAAATTTCCTTTCAAAAAAGGTGTTACACTGGAAAATCGGAGCAAGATTTCTGGTACAAAAGTTGTTACACAGATAAAAAATAATTATCATTATAAAACCAATACATTCATCACTTCACTCAGAATCTAAAAATTACTCCGTATAGTATATACTACCTATTTCTCCTACTCCTAGACTACCAATCTTATAGTATCTAACCACCTGTAGGCCTTCTACTGCTTACAGGTCATACAGCACATCCAACTTAATATTGTTATTTCCGATATTTAAATTTTAAATTCTGAGTGAAGTGAGGAATGTATTGGGTTTACAATGGTTAATGATGTTTTTTTTTCCGTGAACAACTTTTTTACCAGAAATTCTGGAAATCTGATTAAGACGGTATTTTAGGGAAGTCTTTTTTTGATTTTCCCAGAAGTTTTCCAATAAGTTGGAGAAACGGGGAAAAAAACAGGAAAATAAACAAAATTTATTATTTCCAAATCGTAAATGTTATGGCTTTTTAAAACATGTATAATCGAACTCTTCTCAGTTTTTCGTTAGCAAAGATAAATCGTTGCATACAAATACACATTAAATTCCCCTTTAAATCTTACCTTTTTAACTACTCACTCACAACAGTTGCCAACCCATCGTAGTAGCGAAGTATATTCGTCTTTTTTTTATTTAATGTTATTATGCTTTATTCAATGTTAAACGGTACCTGCAGTCGAAATTCATCAATGTTATCGAATTCTGACCTCTTATGATAAATTATACACAATTCATAAGCGTAACAATAAATTGTATGCATAAGGCATAACTACAGACAGTGTACATAATAATACGACGTACCTAAATAGAAATTATCGTTCGAACAGGCGCCATCGTTTTAACAACTGAACCTTTTTAGAATAGGTACTCGCAATTTTATGAGCGGATAATAATGTGTGTCGTAAATATTATAATTGTTATAAACTTCAAACTATACCTATTATAATAAATTATGAAAGTATAATAACTTTGTTAGTTAGGTAGTGTAGTATAGGTAGTGTAGGAGATTACATTATATTTCAAAAAATAGAGTGCAAAATGATGTAGGTAGTTTAAAAAAAAAACAAATTGTTTTCATTAAAAAAATAATAACAATTTAAAACTTATTTAATTAATAGGTACATATTTTTATCATAGAAAATATTCAAAATGTGGTCGTTTAATTATTTTTTGTTTCTTCAAAATTATGTTGGAATTATAATTATATAATTTGCACATTCTTCAAATTTTTCAATATTTGTTCAAAATATCGACGTTCAAAGATTTCAAACTCAACCTTTTTTAATTAAAACAACGATAAGAAATATACAAGTTGATAACCAGTAGAGTTTTGGGCATTTTGGTTGAATACGTTCGATTGTTTTATTATTTCCACCCGAAATACTGTTGGCGGAAATATTTTTCTTGACATAAATAGCTCCCCCCCGGGTCGTTGTAGGTAGAATGTTATAAACATAGTCGAATTTAGAAACGGTTTTTACCAACCTATTAATCTATAATAGAAAATAACAAGGTTATCTATTCTAATAATATTTTTAAATAATTGAAAAAAAAAAAACGATATTATTTATAAACATAACGTACATAGGAGCCAAGAGCAGTTCTCTTAAAAATGATAAGAAAAAATAAAAATAAATACCTCATACCAACCACAATCACGTAAACGCTTCTACAGTGCTCTATTATTAAAATTTGGAACTAAATTTGTATACACATATAGTATAAAGAATTTCTGTGAAAATGCCTTTCTTGCACCCAGCCCCTTAATTGTAAAGTAGGTATAATAAAACCATAAACATATTAACTAAATATGTCTATGAATAAAACAAATCTAAATTGAATAATTATTGCCAAAATAATAATTATCAAACAAATGATAAATATTATTATTGTAGTTTTTTATTTTTTTTGTTTTTAGATAAATCTAATAACACTGTTGAACTTCTACGTTTAATCATAGCCGCAACTAAGGAGTGGTAGGGGTTTTTTAACACCTTCAAAAAAACCCAATCAGCTTTTTCATAGTAACAACTAAATATTTTATCGACGTATTGTATTTCATAGTTCATAATTAATGAGCAGAACAAACTAAAGATTTCCTACAGACACTGAATATGTGTATAAAAAATAATAATATTAAAATAGTTATGATAAAATTATATATACAAAATTATAATTGAAAGGTATAGTTCACTATTGTATTTAGTAAGAGTCGAGTAAAGGGGCTTTTGCAAGAAGTGGCGCAACTAGACTCTAGGGGCCCCGATGATAAGGTAAGTCTGGGGCCTATTCGTGGGAATATTTTTTTTAATACTGACTAGGTACTTATCATTAAATGCGCTACTGAATTTGTATTTATTATTAGCGGAATAATAATAAATAAATGTTACACGGTTAAGTTATAATAATAAACAATACAAAAATTACACAATTGTAAATTATAAAGAAACAATTTATGATAAATGATCGCAGAATTTTATTTGAATCTATTTCATTAAAAATACCTCCCCAGTTTACAACTATGATAGGGACCCCTTTGAGCCTTGGGGCCCGGATGTTAGGCATCGCCATCCACCTCGGTTATTGCGTCACTGTGCGTGAGCAGTCCTCATGGGTCTTTGATGTGTCCATAATTTCAGCAACCCCAGAGTTGGTGGTCTGATTGCGTATGTACGTTTTGAAATTCAAAATGAAAGTAATGAAAGTGTATGAAATCGCAGTCCAATATTGTTAGTTGTATTCGATGAGAAATTTGAAATCATATTTATTATAAAGGTACTGATTTATTATAGCCCCGCCATCCATACAACAATGAATATTAAATAATTCAACGGAAAACACGTACCATTACTATTAGGCGCCTACCATAGGTGTTTATCAAAAATAATCAATAATATAATAAACCGATATGGAAAATAACGAGTTTATTTATCGATATTTAATAATCTAATAATTCGACGATACATTGATGTATCACGGGAATCACCGAAAGCATAAACATTTTTATACATTTTTAACGTTACATCATTATTTTATATTTATTATTATTCCATTTTTTAATTTCATTTTTTTTTTTTAATATTACATCAATTTATCGTTGAATTATTAGATTAATAAATATAAATGGATAAACTCATCATTTTCTGCATCGGTTTATTATATTATTATATTATTGATTATTTGTGATAAACACCTATAGGTGGTGAGCACCTAAGCCCGGTCCCATCACGACTCGTGTACTTGGCGAGCATCGTAATCGCGTACGTTCGCGGAGTATTTTGATTTGACGATTATTGTCGCTCCTCTACACGACTCGTGCATCGGGCGATCTTCGTGACTTTGTGCACTCGCCGATCATTATCCGATCATCGTGTATACTATATTTGTACTGTATTTTCGCTAATGCTCTAAACATGTTAAAACAGTGGTGAGCGAGGACGGGTCATGTGGGAAACTCCACTATTACGATAGTAAAATTCACAAATAGATACACACAACGACTATCAGCGCATATTCAAATAGTTTGTAACTAGTTTATATTATAAACTATTCAACTAAACTACAATAAACTAGATTAAATATATTGACAAGTGCGCGGTCGCCAAGTGTACGGTTCGCGTGGGAATGATGTGCGACTACTACGACTATGACTGCCAAAATAACGATATTAACAAAAAATAATTGTCTTTTTTGGGGAAAAAACATCATGGTTGACGATTATTCGCCGAGTACACAAGTCGTATGGGACCGACTTCATAGTAATGGTACGTATTTTCCGTCGAATTATTTCATATTTATACAATGTGTTTATTGTTATATGGATGGCGGGGCGATAACAAACCTGAGTGGCGGAGCTATAACAAACCAGTACCATAAATATATTATAAATTATAATTTATAGTACCTATAGCCTAAAGTGTAGCCTAGTGTTGTTACTCATGGACCTTAGTGTGTGGAATATTTAAAAAAAAAAAACGTATTTTATAATAATCATAGAAAACAGAACTTCTTAAGAGGACGCCACACCGACATCTACTGTCCCCGTCTTACAAACGCGAGATATTGAAAATTTGCGTTCAGTAGAACATATTTTTGCCTTTAAATGTTAATATCAAAGCAAATTGACCTATTACCAAAATTAAAAGTAAGATAATAATATGTGCTCTAGCGTTGATGATTTTTCGATATTTTTATTTTTAAGATATTACGAGTAGGTATATTTAAATATCATAATTTAAAATGATTATCTATTGTTTTAAAATTAAAATATCGAAAAAACATCAACGCCAGGGTATGTATAGTCTTACCTTTAAGTTTGGCAATAAGTTAATTTTCTTTAATATTAACTAATTGAACGAAAAATTGCTGTAACCCCGGTCTAGGCGTCTCGCGTTTGGAAGACGGAGACAGTAACTATTATAGAAGACGGTGTAACGTCCTTAACTGTGATAAAACTGATAATGTTTTGAATGTAAGATAACAACTTGGTGCCATAATCTACTGTATTTATAACAACCAGTTTATTTTACTATCTGTTTTTCGTCATGGTTCCTATTAGAGGTCCTCTCTCGTATAAAGTTTATTGATAATACAATATTATTATTATTATCTAACATGTAAACCTTGCCTTGCATATTTCCCCTATCAAAATGTAAATTTTTGCTAATAAACATTATACATTACTTGTAATCATGTACCTATGATATTATGATGATAATATTACTATTGTCTGCGTTTTCGTTATACATTTCACCTGAGAAATATTTGTTTTATAAATTATTATAATGCAAATGTTGTGTATATAGGAAATGGAAAAATAAAAATTATGAAATGATAATAACATTCACAAGGTATAATAGTATTACTGTATTATTAGTCACTAGCCAGTAATCATTACTGTCACTTGTCAGTTGTCAGTAATCAGTACGCGGTTGTGAGCAAAGCTAACTATATCGTTCAAAATAAATTTACAATAATCTAATAAATAATATTTCACGTTTCATTGCTACACGTCCGTTCGCACGTTATGTACCACACCTTATTTTTCAGAAAATTAATATAATATTACCTACATCAATTTTTTTTAAGCTCATCTGTATATAGGTAGATGCCTATTCTTCGTTTTTATTTGTTCAACAATATTAAACATTAACCTGTGAGTATATAGAGGTAGGTTGATATACCCATAATGCAGTGTATTATAGATTATCTATATAGTATTATACTCATACCCATAATATATTATTTTGTACGTAAATGCATGTTTAAAAAAAAAAAACTTTCTATTTCGCTCTATTACACAACAACGTGTTTATAATTATTTTAGACGTATTTGTAGAAATGTTGAACAATTCCTTGAGGAAACAGGATTAATTTTTTTTTTTTTTCATATATCTGAATATCTAGCTCTGTATCTATCTAAAATATATTGTAGATATGTATACTTAGGGTTTGTGTACCTACTCATTATAAATGCAAATTAATATTGTTAAAAAAAAATGTTATGTTCTCGATTTGAAATGCTAATTATATTGTAATTTTATGGATTCTTACAGTTACAACAGCAACTAACGAAATAATGGCCAACTATTCAGATGTATGTATCCTATATGTTTTACTTAATTTATATCATATCGATCAAATTCAAATTCATAAATAAATAAATACCTGTTTTTCTTTTATCTAGATCATAGAAAAATCTAGAACTGCATTCAACAGTAACCAAACAAAATCTTTACATATTAGAAAACATCATCTTAGACAACTCCTCAAACTCTTAAATGAAAATGCTACAGACTTGCAACTAGCCTTAGCTTCCGATTTAAGAAAGGTTATTTTGATTTCTGTTTAATTATTTTCTAAATATTTAAAATACTAAACATTGTTTTATATCATTTGAGCAGAGCAAACAAGAAGCTGTATTGTTTGAAATTGAATATTTAAAAAATGATATTATTAATGCTTTAGATTCATTAGAGTGTTGGATGAAAACTGAAAAGGTGTGTAAATTGTGTACTTACAGTATCTACATATGTATATTTTTTGAATTGAAAAATTAATTTTTTTTTTTAGCCCGATAAACCATTAATTAATATATTGGATGGTGTATTAATCCATAAAGATCCCTATGGAGTTGTGTTAGTAATAGGTGCATGGAATTATCCATTACAATTAACACTATTACCGGTAATTGGTGCAATAGCCGCTGGAAATAGTGTTGTAATAAAACCTTCAGAAATGGCTCCAGCAACCGCAAAAATTATTGCTGAACTAATCCCAAAATATCTTAATCGAGTAAGAATAATACTTTCAGAGTTTACGTATTATATAGCTGTAAATATATTGTTTAATTTGTTTCAATATTTTACAGGACGCTTTTCCAGTTATCTTAGGAGGAGTAGAAGAAACAACTGAATTGCTGAAACAAAGATTTGATTATATTTTCTATACAGGATCAACAACCGTAGGAAAGATTGTTAGAGCTGCTGCAAATGAATATTTAACACCTGTCACGTTGGAATTGGGTGGTAAAAGGTACATTTTATAATGCAATGTTATTATTTATGTTAAATGACAAATATAATTGTATATTGTAGCCCCTTGTATATTGATGGCTCTGTCAATATGGATATTTCTATTAAGCGTATAATATGGGGAAAATGTATTAATGCTGGACAAACATGCATTGCACCAGATTATATTTTATGTACTCGACAAATTCAAAATATAATTGTAGAGAAAGCCAGAGAACTTTTGAAAGCATGGTATACAGATGATCCAAAAAATTCTCCAGATTTGTGCAGAATTGTTTCTGAAAAACATTTTATGTATGTATTTTGAAATTATGTTTATGAAAATATTGAATCTGCATATTATTTTTAGGAGATTATTAGAGTTGATGAATAACAGTGGATCAATTGCTGTTGGAGGCAGACATGATCAAAAAGATCTTTACATTGAACCAACAATATTAATAGATGTTAAATCTACAGACCCTATCATGAAAGAAGAAATTTTTGGTCCAATTTTACCAATAGTAATTGTGGATAATGCTTATGATGCCATCAATTTTATTAATAGCAGGTAAACTGTAATTCAGTATCCTTAATATATGTATTATATTAGTTAGGTTGCTAGGTTGTATTTTGTTGGTTTTTATATTTATTTTAATAAATACGAACATATATATTTTTTTACAGTTAATAATTTAATGGACTTAAAGTTTACTCAGATTTCATCAAAAAAATTAATAGTATCTATACCTAATGAAATACTGACCTAAGTTAAACAATATCATGTTCTGTCTCTGTTCTTTTAATGGGCAATATAATGAAAACTAATTTCTGGAGTTCCAAATGGTACTCTGGTTCTACCAGAATAAAAACAAAAAGTTCACTATAATTTTTCACAGAGATTTTTCAATATCTCCTTCTCAGACCATCTATTGATACTTATAATTTGAAAAAATCCAACTGAGAATATAGTAAATGTCTTTGTCTTTAATTTTGTGAAAACACTTGTTCTATGTCTATTAGTACTATTTACCTACTTATAGAACACATTTTTGCTTTATTTGTTGGAAAGATTGAGAAGCCAAATGTTACTGTGACTTCTACTTATGTTAAATTTTTACATTAGTCACATGTTTCTATCTCAGTTTAGTTACATGCAAACATATACCTAATACTTATTATCTATGAATAAATTAATTTTTTTAATTTTTAAAAATGTATTTCAGGATTTGTTTTAGTTAAAATTATTTAAGATCAATTGAATTAATATTAAAATCAGATAGATGTTTCACTTAAATCTTGAAGTATTGTAAATTAGGACAGAATTATTTTTATATTGTGTTTTAATTTTTATTGAAGTATGAATTAATGATAAATAAGAATATAATATTTTAACAAGTATTTATGTTTTATCCTTCAGGAGTAAACCATTAACATTATATGTATTCTCTTCCGACCAAGAAATGCAAAATTTATTTATGAGACAAACTTCTAGTGGATCATTTTGTGTAAATGACACTGTTAGTCATTATGCCGGTAATAATAATAGACATTTCAGAAATTCTTTTATTTCTTCCTATTAACAATTACTTACAGACTTTAAAAAATAATTATTTTATTTTATATAATATTGTTTGTATGGATGGATTATTGGTTATTATAAATATGATGGACCATGAATTTTATTTAGTTCGTAACGAGCGCTGTTTGTAGTTCTTGCGTGGGTAGTTACTTGAGTATTACAGTAACATTACATTGTCCTTCCTAAATATAGTGTAGATGGCTTTCATAATTTTTGGGTCATAGTTAATAAAATAATATTGTTTGCTAAATTTTCTATTTAACTTTGATGGTGTATGTTTATTCTGTAATTGAAAATTAAAAACATCTTTAAAAAAAAAAAATGGTCTGATTTATTAAGTTTCCATTATAGTATAACTAAATTATTTGTATGGTGGTAGTAATTGCTCAATTTGTACAGAAATCATAGTCCATTGGTTTTATATGTATTTACCAACAAAAAAGCAATCATTGAAAATATGTTGGAAAATGTGAGAGCTGGTGGGATGTGTGTCAATGATACTATTATGCATGTAACTGGTGAGTAATGGAGTCAAGTGTATTTTTATTTAAAAATATATATATATATATATATAAAGAAGTTATGTTAGTAAATTCATTTCAAATAAAATTAATTCAAATAATTGTATTTTAAAAGAACCTCACATAATAACTTAATCAATAATCAATGTTTATGTATTTCAATAAAGTAATACATTTCATTTTAATTAATAAATAATTTATTTATATTATCAATAGAGTATCAGTAGATTTTCATTTTATTTTTTTTTTTGTGGTATAACTTACATGCAATGCTATTTTCACTATTTGTGGCATAATTTTTTAACAACAATATTTTTGATTTAATACAAAATATGTATTTATATATTCTACCAAGTTATTAATTTTAAAATTATTTCTATTGAAAAATATATTGTTATAAATGAATAAATACACAAATTAAATATATTATAAATTCTCCAAGTCTAACTAAAGGGACCATCATTATGAAAGTAAAATCTTGATTCAATTATGTTTCTGATGTTACTATGAAATAAACAGGGAAAAAAAATCCTATATATTTTGTAGTGAACAATATTCATATTAAATAGTTATTTATGTATACATTACTAGATATCAATTTAAGTCATACACAATAATAATGGCATATTTTCTTTGAGTATTTTTAGAATGATGAATTTATTACATTATTTGTATTCAGATTTTGTGTTGTAGCTTTTCTACCACCGTAAATAATTTAGTTATAGTCAATATTTTTAAATGCTATAAGGTGGTTTGGATTATTTTTTCACATTAGGTTTAATGTTCATGTTCACATAAATTGATATGCACTTAGCCAACAGCTTATTCAAATTAGAAATACATTTTAAATATTTTCTATGTAAACTAATTGCATTATTTAAAAATAAAAATAAATATTTATTAAATTGGTTGTGGAACTTGTGTTCTGTAATTATTTATGCTTTTTTAACATTAATTTATTGAACATTTTAATATTAACATTTTTTATGCATTTGAGTATAATATAATTTAATTAAATCTGTGGTATATATTTTAAAATAATAAAAGTATGATATTTTATTTAGTTGAAAATCTACCATTCGGTGGAGTTGGACATAGTGGAATGGGAGCTTACCATGGAAAAAATTCATTTGACACTTTCACTCACCGAAAAAGTTGTTTAGTCAAAGATTTCAATATAATTGGAGAATCTTTTTCTTCGTTAGTAATACAATAGTTTTATTTTGACAATAAATCTTAGTAACTCTTGATAATTTATTACTCACATTTCAGAGCAAAATATCCACCATATTCTGATAAAAAATTAAGTATGGTGTCGTTTTTAATGAAGAAGAAACCCAAGGTGAACTTCAAATTTTTGCCATATTTAGTTGTTTTTGGTCTTGGAGTATGTTCAACATTTGCGTTCAAATATTTGAATAAGGTACATTTGAGGTAAAATTATCGATATTAAATGGATCGTGTTTCATTTTTCATATAATCATAATAAAACATTTAATTAACCAACTTCAATTGTAACAAAATACTATATACATATTTGCAATTTAAAAAGCTTATATTTGCCCATACATTTATAATAATTTTATTTACTTTTATCTAATAATATTTTTTTAATTCTATACTTTATTTCCTTAAGTTATGTGTTACATAGTGTTATTATTAATTATCATCATTTTTTGTTTATATATATTAAATTAATTATTTATTTTCAGGAAAGATATAATATATTTTAAAGTCACAAATTTCTGCAAAAACGTTATTTTATTTAAATACATTTTTAATGAATGATAATAAAAATAACTTTTTTTATTATAAAAATGATATTTTACAATTTCAGTTTTATAATTTTTATATAAAATATGTATACATATATATACATCCATTTTCTAGATCATCACTAGAATTGGATGGAATATGATCTTAATAAAATGCTATAGAAAAAGTAATAAAAATCTACTTAATCAATATTATATTACAGTTAATATATGTATTATTGAAAAAAAATACAAAATAGAAATAATAAGTAATTAGATTGTCTAGGTTAAGATTTACTATCATGTTTCATATTATTATAAGTATTGTATTTAAATTTTAAATAAATATTATAAACTATTTTGTATTTTTCAGAATTTGTAAATATTTGCTTTAGATGATTAATATTTCTGTTAAATTTATAATTACTTTAATTTGTATTCCTTGTTTATAATATATTGCAGACAATTATAGCATTTTCTTTTTGCGATAAAACTGTCTATTCTTTAGTGATTATATTATATTTTTTGATGACTTGAATTTGTTCATAAAATCTCTTTAAAATAGTAGAATATTTGAATGAATAATATTAATTTATTATCCCGTTAAATACAACAAAATATTGGTTGTATATTTTCTAAATATAAAGAATTAAACTGGTTAAATTATAGTTTATGCTTTATATTATTAAACACATACAATTTGTAATGGAAAACCTTTCTTATTCAAATAGTCCCTTAGAGTTTTCATTTTTTAAATTCAGTATTTAATAATCAAAATATAATATTAGGTATATTAATTTTTTTTTACTTGTACATAATCAGAGCATAGATATTTTTTAAATTAACTCATCTTGTGCAATTGCAGATTTACTCTTATTGATTATACTCATATATATTTCCAAGTTAGTAAGAGGAAAATAATTTTGTGGAGAATGGTAAACCAATTTTTTTATATCGACTGAAATAATTATTTTTTCCCCAACATAATATAACACAAAACATTTTGGGAACCTTGAGGCCTTCATTTCACTAACATTAATTTATAGTTTTCTTTGTTTGATTAACAATTCATTAATTGGTTGATTTCAATTTATACTATAACAACTCATTTTAAAAATAATGTGAATGCCATTCTATTTAAATAACTATGTGAAATAATGAAAAAATTAACTCATCACACATATTTAAAAATTATTGTATTGAGTATTAGATTTAAATTATTAGTTTCATTTCATCTGTGTTAACAAAATATTTGACAATCAGAAATTTGATTTAAAACAATTTTTTATATTAGTCTTAGTTATGAGTTTATGGCTTAAGTCAGTGGCGACGTGATATTATTATTTCAATGACGCAGTCAAATTTTTCAATACCCACCCACCTTTTTATACAAACACAAAATAAAAAAAAAAAATGCTTACCAAGTTGAGGATTGGCATCTAAACTTTCTTGATTTTTAAATTTTAATCTAAAGAACAAAGCATCTTCCATCATATACTACACATTATACCTCAAGTATCTTGTATTTACTCAACTATAAACATCAATATTCAACACCCACTTACCCTTCTCTTTGTGACTCTGCTGTATCAATTTAACTTTGTTTACACAGCCACAGATTTAAGTAGTTTCACATTTTACCATAATAATAATTATTGTTTATAAATATTCCTCATTAACACATAACCTATTTAATTTAAATATTATTTATTATGATAATAATAATGAGATAACATAATATTTATTTTTAGTATATTAATATCAAAAACAATAAATATATTTTCTATTATAATTACTACATTATTTAGTTACTTGCAAAGGTAAATGAACAATGTATTTTTGAATAATATACTAATTATGTTCATCTTTAATTTAAATTTAATTAAATACAATTTCAAATTTGACTTATTGTAACTAAAATATTTAATTACATTTTTCCAGATTGCTGATGGAGAAACTGAATAAGTTTAATATAATTTTAAGTAGATGATTAGTTTTTATACTTTTATTATTTTTGTAAATCATATCAAACAGGTAAAATATTGAAATCAGCTGCCATAATGAGAAGAATTAAAATATTTATTTCAAAATCAAAATTGTCTTACTGTTAAGTTAATATTAATTAAATGTATATATTGATTGAATAAGAAAATTTAAAAAAAACCTTTATTTTCATTTATTTAAGCACATAAAAAGGAATATTTTCATTAAGTCATTTATAAAATGATAATATTTTGTTTAACGCACAATCAAATGGTGGAGTATTATGGCAAGCTTTAGTTTATATTTTTACCAAATAGTTACCCATTTATTTTTTGTTATTTTAGTAAGCATCTAGAAAATAAATATTGTGTTAATATATTTACTAAAACATTGTTATTTAAGTATTTAATAATAAAAATAAATGTAAAAACAAAATTGTTAAAATAATAATATATTCACCTTTAAATACAAATTTATATACACCTAAATTTAGATTGGACATTATTAATTAATATATTTTTTTTTTATACTTTATATATCATATTATAATCAAAATATTAAAATAAATATTATTATAAAACAATAAAAACCTTGGTTCTTATTTATGTTATAAGATATTGTACTACCTTAAATTTAAAGAAAGTTTACATTTGAACACATTTTCTATTATAAACATTCAATAGTGCTTGATAAATATACAAAATTATAAATAAAATAGTGGTTTCATACTTAAACATATAAATATTATAACTCTGTATGGGAATAATCTGATGAATAATCATTTGGTTCATCTTTATGAACAAATATGCCTTCTTTAACACGCCAATAAGTTGAATGAGGTCCTGGGTTTTTGACAGCAGCAATCTCTCTTTGTCCATTGATTGGTCGACCATATGAAAATGTTGATGTCATTAAGTATCTAACAAAAAATTATATTTTAACTTAAGTTTATGAATTTGTTAATGTAGGTAATAGTTTTTTTTTTTTTTTTACTTACGCTCCAGTATCTACATGTTTTAACCGAATATCGTCATCTCTCTCCCAATAGTCTCCACCACAGTCCACATACCAATGGTCACCAGAATCTCCTTCACCATCATTACCGTATGCAGATACTTCTTGATTATTAGACAGGGGCGAACTGAAGAGATGTGAATGTAAATTTTTTTTAGTCGTTAAATGTGTAAACCTAATTATAGTACCACATTTTATTGGTTCACTAAAACATATTTTGTAAAAATATAGTTATTTATACTTAAACATAAAAAAATTCACAAAAAAAAATAATTTTATTTCTACCCTCTTTTACAAAGTTTCCCTGTGGCAGGTTTTATTTCCCAATGAGAATTAATATCTTCAGATACCTCTGTTCCGGTTACAGACTGCTGACCACTGCCTGCACCATATTTGACATCGTGCGAATGCAACCTTACCTTAAGGTCGACATTGTATAATTTAGTGACAGAACCACACGTTACATATTCCAAATATTTACCTATAAACCGGATATGTAAAAAAATATTTTTATTATTTAACTAATTTAATCGGTTTGAGGAATATTGCAACTTACTTTCAGTCCATTGAACAAGGATAAGTGTTACACAGCATGTAAATAGAGCACTTAAAGATATGTGGAACATATCTGTAATTTATTAATAGTGTATAATAGTAACAAAAAAAAAAAACAATAATTATTTAAGACCAAGAAATATGTTAAAAATTTATGAAATTTTCTGAAGACGAGTTAAAACTCTTCAATTTGTCACTGAAAAAATTCTAACAAAATCGACGAATTCGAATTAAACACATCACTCAATATTTTGTTATCTGATAGTATAATACCGGTGGACTGGTCACGTGATATCAAACTGAAGTTAGCTCCGTCAATGTAATATCCGTGTAATATCATTATTATCAGTCATCAATGATAAGGTGTTGATTAAATTCTTTAAATGTCCTACGTCCATGTGCTTTTATTTATGATTTATTTAGAAAATAATAAATACACTTATATAGTTTCTTTGAACTGTTTAATTATTAATTATTAATTTTGAACTTTTCTAAATTAAATCTATTCGAAACTATATTCCTCATACCTAATTATTCTGGACAGTCATTTTTTTTTTTTGCGAACTTAAGTAATTAAGGCTTTTTATTATGTTCTCGTCACTTTTAAAAAAATAAAATATTGTTTTTTATTTCTATTGCTATTGCTATCCATCTACAGTAATATGGAGTTGGCTTTAAATTCGAATAGTTTCAAATTAACTGATTACTTATATAAGCACGAGAAATCTAAGAGACCAATGATGAAACGTCTTGTTAAACGAGTGAAATGTAGTAATAAAATGTTGTACTTTAATAAATGGTTTGAAAAGGAGCATGATTATTGTTTACCAATTCAAAAAATCAATAACGTAAGTTTAAATATGTATAGATTATTTAAAAAAAATATTTGTATATGATGTAAATCTATTTAAATGTTATTAATATTTTATTAAAGTCCATTATTGAAGATAATGATAAAGATTGTGTGAATAACACTACATCATCAAGATCAGAAAATCCATTATCGGTCAATCCAAAAATAGTGACAAACTTAGAAAAAATAAATGTAACTGACAAATTATCTAGCTGTAGTTTATATGCTATAGATGTTACCACAAAGTAAATTGTTTTTATGTCGGGAAAATCTGACTTTTTTTTTTTTATCATAATTCAATTGTATTGTTTCTTTTCAATTTTCAATTAGATTACTTAAAGATGCCCTATTAGAAAGTAAAATGGAGCAATTAAATTACGAACAATCAACTGTCATATCAAACGATTGTATTAATTCTTCTTATAATTCTGCTTATAATAACCAACCTAATTATAATCAAAATGATACAACCATGAGGTAGTTATAAAAAAAAATAAATATATTTGTATGTATCGATTTTGTGAATAATTTATTACTGCTATATAATATATTTTGATTAAAATGTTATAATATTTAATATTTACTTAAATTTCCAAGTTTTAGATTTATAGAGTTTTTTTATTTTTCAATTAGATTGAATTCTGAAAACATCATTCAAAAAATTGATGATAAAATAGAAAAATCATGTATTTCAAGAAAATCTACACCACCTAAATTATTTTCCCCAATGGATATTGATGGTGATATAATTAAATTGTTCCCAACTTTAGATTTTTCAACAGAGCATAATTTAAATGAGTAATTATCAATTATTATTTATTCATAAATCATTTTTTTTTTAAATTTTATGTTTATATTTTAGAAAGCTGGAAAACAATGAGAGTAAAGAAATGGATATTAATAAAATAATTTCTCCTCTAAATACAGATGAGATTAAAAGTGAAACAATGTTTTCACTAAGTAGTTCATCACCTGACACAGTTTCTAAAGTGTCATTATCTGTACAACAAGAAGATGTTGTTAAACATAAATGTATAGATAATACTAGTCAACCTAAATCATCAAATGATTCACAGCCAGTTTCTGCTGTTGGTTCAAAAAACATGATAGATAGCGAATTTGTATCCAATCAATATATAAATATATTTAATCGGTATCAGGTAATTTAATGCTTAATATTTCATTTGTCCCTTAAACTATTCCTTCACTGAATAAAAAAAAAACACTTACGTTTAAATCTATAGAATTGTATATATCAATATATATATATAGAGTTATCAAATACATTGCACTTTCACTTATTGTCATACAATTCTTTGATTTAATTTTTCTTCAACTATTCAAATTAATTTCAGATAATATATATGGCATTTTTCATGTATCATTTTAGGTTTATAGTTTTTTTGTAATTTTAAATTATTAAACATTCAAATTTGTCAATAATTTTAAAACAATTATACAGTAGGTACATCAGTTGCAGAGTGATGTAGATGTATAAATACATAGTGTCCCATAAATATATGCCCATTGCAATAGCTTTGGACGTAAAGAAGAATATCATTTTTTGTTTTGGTAAATTTGAATAACGTAATTATAGCCTCTGGCATAATTATAGATACTTTTCTCTGAATTTTAAAAAATTGAAAATCACGAATTCAAATAAAATAAAAAGTTGAAAAGTTTAACATGTTCAAAAGAATACACTCTTTAAAATGGCTATCTTCAAATTTTCCAAAATATTACATTTTTTTTTTATTTGGCAAAAACAAAAAAATGTATTGAAATATAAATATATATAAAAAAAAAAAAAACAGAATTTGATTATCTTTATTATCTCAGGAAATATTGCAACGGGTACATCTTTGTAGGACACCATATTTAATTTGCCAACACAATTAATGACGTCTTCATTCTTTGTCATCATTTGTAGTTGACAAATCAAATAAATATAATAAAATATTATTTTAATTATTAAATTAGAAAAGTGTAAATTACAATATAATAAAACAACCTGTACACATTGTTCTGTAAAAAAAAAAAAAAAAAAAAAAAAACACAGAAATATAATGATTGTTTTGAAAATTTATGTCATTATTTAACTCTTTAATATCAACTATGTGCGCCATTGAAATTCTTTTTTATTTATTCGAGCTTTGCTCAACATTATACTAAAGCCATATATGAAATATTAGCTGTATGCAACCATTTTTCATTGTTTAATTATAATAATAATTTATATAGGGCAAGTCAAAAGAACAAATTATTGAACAAGTTGAAAATCCAGGACCTTTATTATTGAGTGATCTTCTTTGTGGTTCAAAACCTAAAACTATAATAAGCCCCTACACGCATAGGTAATGGTAATACAACTTTGCATAATTTATTTAATTTTATTTATTTATTGCAATTTTGTATAATTTAGGTCAGTTAGTCTTAGTTATATATAGATTGAATCTTAAAAACCTGAACTGGAGTTTAGTTGTTATTTAATTTTTTATACTATTAATCACTAGAAATACAAAATAACAATATAAAAAAAAATTGAATGTGGTTACTAATGTTGTTGGTTGTAACTTTAATTTAAAAATACTATAATATATAAATTCTTAACAAGTTTTCAGTAGAGTCCTTAAATGTACAATCTAATTAGGATTTTCATAATTTTGGTCATCACTAAGAAAAGGTTAGGAATGTTTGAAATAATCATGTATTTACATTTTAAATAGTTTGGTATATTTTTTTTATGTATAAAATTTCCTTGTGGTCTCAATTTACCAAAAAAAAAAAAACAAAAATTAGAACTTGCTAATCGCATATTTAGTTTTTCCATTTTAATATCAGGGAAGTAACGATATTTTCAATTGAATCACATTGACTCATTAAGTTCTAAAGTTACAAGTTTTTACATAGTTTTTTCTTAAAGATCATAAAAAAATGTATAGGATTCACTTGGAATCGAGTGAAATTGTACTGTTATTAGAATAGTTCATTTGTAGAAATCTATACAAATTCTCAGATTTTTTTAAATTTTCAATTTGTCTATATATATAGTATATAATACATAATATAGTCTATGCAGCTGATCTATATCTAAAGACTAATAGCAAGGTCTTTTCATAACTTACAAAAAGAACCTTATTTGAACATTTTTGGTATTCAACTTTAAACATTAATAAAAAAGTTTTTTAACACATTTTTATAGATTTCTATAAATGAGCTATTTTGATAACAGTACAATTTTATTTGATTCCAAGTGAATCCTATGCATTTTTTTATGATCTTTAAGAAAAAACTATGTATAAACTTGTAATTTTAGAACTTAATGAGTCAATGTGATTCAATTGGAAATATTGTTACTTTTTTCTATGTTATTTAAATGGAAAAATTAATTATAAGCAAGTTTTAAAAAAAAATTTTCTGGATTCAAATGATTTTTGGGTAAGTTGGAGACGACCACAAAGAAGAAATTCCCTATCTCAATTAAAAAAAAAAAAAAAAGTTAAAAATTAAAACTGCTTAATAAATTTATTATTAAGTTTACTATATCATCAATTTATTTTACTTTTTATTTTCAGACATTTGAAACCATATATATTTAGAGACCCAGTGACTAAACCATTGTGGTTACAACTGCTGACTGAATTAAAAGAACATTTTAGAAAAAAAAATAGATTAACTAAATTCATAGAAATTGAGACAATTGACTACAGTTATGTTCGAGCAAAACATATACAATCATTAAATGCATTGGCTAGAGAATTTTTTTGGCCTGGTATTGATTGTAAGAATTTGTATTAATTTAATTTAGCACTATATTTTACAAATTTTTAAAATTAAAATTGTCTGATTATGTTATTTAGTAAGTGAAAGTCTATTGTATCCAGACTTTAGTGTCATTGCATTGTATAAAAATTTGATCATTGGTTTTGGTTTTATGGTTCCCGACATAAGTACAAATGAAAATTATATAACATTTTTGTTTACTCGTCCTTATTGGACTAACTGTGGCATTGCTAAGTTCATGATATATCATTTAATCCAGGTAATTAAAAATGTTAGCATAACATGATAAATGCCATCTTATCTCAATATTTTCTTTTGTAGACTTGTATGAATAGAGATATTACATTGCATGTTTCTCCAAACAATCCAGCGATGATACTCTATCAACAATTTGGATTTAAGATTGAAGAATTTGTTCAAAATTTTTATGAAAATTATATTCCTGCAGAGTCGGAAATGTCTAAACATGCTTTATTTTTACGTTTACGTAGTACTTTACAAAGCAAATGAATTATTTATTAATTTCTTCCTGTGATATGTCTCCTGGTTAATGTTCTTGTGTCTAGTTCAAAAATGCAATATGAGTCACATTTATGCAAATATTTTAATAACATACTTATTTGTTTTACTCAGTATATTATCAGTATTATATTTAATCTGTTTATGAATTATGATTAATTATAAAGATTAAATAATTGTGTAGATCATTGTTTTTTTTTTTTTAATGTGAAAAAATTCTAAAAATATAACATTTCTATGTGTATTAATTTTAGTTATAAATTCCTTATATATTTGAATTTTTTTACAATGTGTGCAATATTGAGATAGTATATATATATATGATGAATAAGTGGTTGTCAGCATGATTGAAGGCATCTAGAGAAAATGTATTAAGAGGATGCTATATCCACATATATTCATTCTGTCTTAGAAACACTAACAAATTTACGTTCAACAAGGACACCTCGGTGCTTTACATAATATATTTTGTTATTATTAAATTGTTTGATGTTAAAATTTTGTACTTATAGGTAGTACAATGTTTTCAAATTTACTTGAAAAATCAGTTTGATACTTGAAGTTTAATATTCAAGTTTGATTAAGTACTTACCATGTTCATTGCTGAATCTGTTTTATAAGAAAATATACTTAGCATACACATTTTTAAGCTCGCAATAATATAAAATAATAAACATATAGTAGCAGCTTCAAATACATTTCCCAAATTGATTTTATTGTTAGTAGTGAAAATTAATACTATTTAAAACATTACTCTCTTGGCTAATTATATAAACCTGATATTCACGCAAAATACTTATATTGATTTTTTTTAAACATAGTAAACTTTTAATAACATTCTGATATTTGAGTTATTTATGGCCATTTAAATTTGTCTAGTTTTTAGTTTTTATTTAGATAAAATTGTTTTAGCCTAACAAAAATTACCAAATTTTAACACGATGTAGTTTATCATTATCATTTGACAATCACTTTTAATCACTTGTAAAAAGTGAGTATAATGTATTTTTTTTATAAGCATTGAGATTAAAACTAATTCTAACAATCATGTGTTTTTAGTTCAAATTTTAATGAAAACCGTAAAATTCATAGCATAATTATTTTAAAAAATGTTTAACCAAACTTCTCTCAGCAACATTTTTTGTTAGAAATGATTTATTGTTCCGTTCAGATATAAATTAAATAATTATATATTCTACATTTTTTTTTTTTAAATAATGATTATAATAATCAAAAACAAAACACATTCTATAAACTTGATTTCTTTTCTAATTTGTCCATTGATGATATTTTTACAATAATTTCCAAATGATTAATTAACACTATATTTACATTCCTTTCTGGTCTTCAATATTTTATATTGGTGCAATACGTATTGGCCTCTATATTACTCTATATTACGCGCCTTTATTTTTGAATCGTAAAATGTAATACTGGAAGTGCGTAACGGACAACGGTCGCGTCAGGTTACCGTTATGAACATCAATCAGTTACGTCCCGCGACCCGCTCCTGCTTGACGTGTTGTCATGATCTTAACCGCCAAAAACGTCTGTTATTGTTTTGTATTTTGTATTATTGCGCGACTGTGACCGGTGTATTTCCTTCTCGTATCGTATATTATTTAACTGTTCATTGTGTACCGTTCATTTGTTGTGTGCGTATACCTATTTACAAAATTCGGTCTATTATTGTAAGGTGCAGCTGAACATCTGTTGTCGACGGTGGATTTTATAATCATCTCAAGAGAAAAAAATAAAAGGAAACCGGAGGAACTTCAACTAAACCGTGTGCTGTTGTGTGTACAACATTACATCTGCTGCCTGCTGCAATCTTCGTGCCCGCGTCATCCGATTTGTATTCCGCAGTTTTCGCCTTTGTGTACGTCTGTATACATCATATACTGCCCTGAAACAACATTTCTAAGTCAGTGAAAATATGGCTGACAAACAAATCTACTACTCGGATAAATACTATGACGATACGCACGAATATAGGTACAGTATGATGTTTATATTATTTTTTATTTTAGATAGTTAGGTGTTGGTAGGTAATACCAGTTCGAGTGTTCTATTTATATAATGTATATTATAGGGATGTTCAAATCATTTTCATAATTATAATTTAAGTACCTACTGAAATTGGTGACTTGCAGACTATAAGTACCTACTGTGTGGTTGTTGGCAAGTAGTTATACTCATTAACGCAACCATGGGGAGGTTTCGATTGTTGTAACCTTCCCCTCATCACTTTATTTATTTTAGCAAATAGTAAGGTTAAAAAGGTTGTACTTCTAAACTCCCTAATTCTCCTTCATTGATAAATTCTGGTTATGGCACTAATCATACTAACCCATATTAATAAAAGTAATATGATGTACCTATCAATTTGTGTTACAAAACATTTTTATTGGGTAAATTGTGAATGTGTGCAATGTACTTAATTATAATGTAATTTTTTAATTTGATTTAAGTTCATTTTACTGTGCCCCTTAAGAATTTCAATATTATTATTTTTTTTTATAATAATTATTATTTATGTCTTGACACTGATTTTGATAATTTTTGAGTTTTTTGTAGAAACCATTATTAAAGAAGCTAATGCAAAAAATTTTGTGTCTTGGGCCTTTAAAGAAACATTATTTTTGATTTAGTTGCGAAACGAACTCATGAAGGTCATTGAAAGCCTAATTTCTTGTTTTTCATTTTATATATTTTTTATTATTTCTAATACCTATTAAATTAAAAAAAAACCGTAAAAATTAGGATGTTATTCCACATATTATTCATATACTACTTAACCCATACTTACCCAAAATCTTCAAATTATTTAAAAGTTCTAAAATATTAGCTAAAAAGTTGTTTTTAATTTTAAATATCTACCTATAGCATTTTAAATTTTTTTTAAGTTTTTAATGTTTTTTGTCATTATTAACTTCTTTTATAGTGGTTCCTGCAAAATAGATTCAAACTTTTTCTTTGTCAATGTCAAAATACATGTTTAAAAAAAATCAATTTGAAATTCGTAAGTGATGTGATGTACATTAGCTTCTATAATTTGATAGTATTTAGTCAAAATGTTTAAGACAAAATAACCAAAATTTTAAATCTATACCTAATATAATAATAGGTACTTAAATATATTTTAAACACATTTCAATGACACTAAATGTTGGTTGGTTAAATATAATATATGTTAAGAAACCATAAACATGGCATGCTTGTAAAGAGAGCTTTCCTAACTGGTTTATTACTAATACCTATCATTCAATTAGTTTTATATTGTTTGTATTTTTATTTGATAATTCTACCCTATGTATTAGTTAGGCACATTAATCATAATGCAATATAAAAACTGAGGTTATTAGGTACAAATTATAATTATTAAATATTATGAGGTATGTACAGAAAATGCATATACAATTAATAGTGATATAATAATAATTCAATTAAAATTTTAAGTTGAATGAAGTAGGTATATTAAATAAAAACAAGTAATGTAGTAATGTACTTACTAATAGGTAATTAACCATTTTAAGTAGGAACTTATTTAATGTTTTTGTATTATATTATACCTACCATCTATAGATTCTATTTTGTATGTATATATATATATTTTTTTTTTTAAATTTAGGCACGTAGTTTTGCCTAAAGAAATGGCGAAGAGTATACCTAAAACACACTTACTCTCAGAAGATGAATGGAGATCAATTGGAGTACAACAGAGCAAAGGTTGGATACATTATATGATCCATGAACCTGGTAATTATTAATTTTATATTAGACATTTATTTTTAAACTATCAAAAAAAACATTTTCAAATTTCATCTTTAAACTCTATGTAACTACATAAATTTCCATAGCACTGCTTTTAAGCCAAAAAATTGAGCACATTCTGTAAGTCTCAAACCTTCAGGTATTAGTTGGGGAGGTAAATTTATAATTAATATTTTAAAATTTAAATATGGAAAAATATAACTACTGATAGAAGAAAATTATTTGGATACTTATTATAATATTCTTGAAAATTAATAGGATCAGGCTTGATTATGTCTATTTCAAAACATAATTTCAATTAAAGTTTTTACATAAGTTGTAACTGTAATATAGATAAGATTTACTTTTTATTTAAGTTACTTTAAAAGTGTTTAACATTTTTAATAGTACATAAAAATATATTTGAATATACTGTACATTTGTTTAAATCCATGCATAAATAATTGAACTTGTCTGAAAAATAAAATTATGAATAATTTTGGGATACACGGGGTTGTAAGATATAATATGGTGTAGTATAAAATACATATTATAATTGCTAAGATTTAAACAAAAAAACAAAGAACAACATGAACATATAAAACTGTTATCTTATATGTGAAATGTATAACATGTTTTATGCGTGTTTATTATCATTTCTTTGCAGTGATTTTTGTTTTATTAAACCGAAATTTTAAATTATTATTTAAAATAATATAATATATTAATATAGGTTTATAGTTATAGTATAGTTATAGCTATAGTTATTTAAATATCGATAATATTACAATTTTTTAGGTATGTGTATTTATGTATTTACAAATTATAAAAAAAATATTATTTTAATTAGTTTATTAAAATATTATAATGAGTCCATCAATCAAAATAGAGCAATAAAAAACAAATGAAATACATATGAATAATATTAAATTAATATTATATATATATTTTTTTTTATCATTTAGCTGATATGATTTAATTTAATGATTATTTTGTTTTCTTACAGAGCCTCACATTTTATTGTTCAAGAGACCACGGACCAATTGAAATGTACATGCACATATTAAATGTCTTATTGAACAATTCCAGGAAGGTAGGGGATATAAAATTTAGTGTGTTAAGTATTATTAATGTTTTTATTGTATATAAACCCACAGAAAATGTTGAACTAATGCAATATAGTTTCAACTTCTGAGTAAATGTAATATTTATTCATTCTGTTATGTTTCAATAATTGGATTTATTTTTAAAACCATACATATTATGTACTCTGTAAGTTTTTTATTATAAATATCTTAATTATTAAATACAAATGTTTTAAAAATCAAATACTAGACATTCTAGAGGTTTTTACAAAAATAAAAACAGAAAACTTAATGATTTGATTGCTTTATTTATATTAAACATAAATCATTTGTTTTATAACTAATTTTATAAAAACTTAAGCTTACTGAAAAAATGTGTAAATTATAAAAAAAAATAAATCTAAAAATTAATGTATGTTTAAAAGTGTATGTACTTATTTTGTTTATATTAGACTTAAAGGAAGTTTATATTATTATAACACATTATTGGTTTATAATATTAGTTGGAAACTCGCCGTGTATCCAATTGTACTTCTTGTTGCAATTTTGGCGGTAATTCACGATAAATACTCTCTGGTATATTATCTAAAAAAAATTACAAAATAAATAAACTTACAGATATGATTTATAACAAAAATATTATGCCTACCATTACAACGATAGACCAAATCTGACCAAATAATCATCTCTTGGGAGAAACAAAAAACTCCTAATCTACCACCTTTAAATGTGTAATCAAACACATTTCCAGAGTCTGTTACCATATTTTGCCCCTCAAATATCCTTAATCTAATAAGACCAATTTTGGGACGGTGTAATAGTATCCATCTATAAGCCGTTTTGCCTTTCCAACCGCCATTGTGTGGATCTTTCCATAACAATTTCACCTGTTTTGAACATAAAACCATATACATTGTCAAGATAGTTTTAATTTTTTTTATGTTCATTCACTTGTTTGTCTGTGCTCTCTGTATTCCATAGAGCATTTCTTAATATTTGTCCGGGTCCAGTTTCTGAATGTACAGCTTTGATTTGTATTCCTGGTTCAGCCACAGCTCTAAATGGTGTTGCCTGCCAGTATGTTTGTGTTCCTTTTTTCCACATTACTGTATAGAACTTGTGATTGTCTTGGTAACTGAACACAAAACCTACATAGTCGTCGTCGATATTGGTGTCTACAAAAAATGTACCCTCAAAGTCCACACCACCAAATGAATCGTAACCTAATAAATAATAAGAATAATAATGGTTTTTTTTTTTATTATTGGGGTTAATTTATACATTTTAGTTGAATTAAATATTTTATTTTTGCACTTTACTAACCTACTGCCAAACCAGGATCACTATTCATAGTCTGCACAAATTCAGCACCTTTGTTGTACACTACCCAGTTGGGATCAATTTGAGAATCGCCTTCTGGGTCTAGCACTACCGTTTGATATGTCCTAAAGTCCGTGGTGAATATCTTCGAGTTATTCGGGCAGTTATCCAAATGGTTTGGTATTTTGTCATAGTCATTATCGTCTTGACATATATCTCCTATGCCGTTGCCTGTAGCGCACCCGAATGGAGATATTTTTTTTTTAATATTGTAATGATAAAACGTTTAAAAAACAACAATGGTTATACCGTTTACTGACCGTCGAAATCGGCCTGGTCCGGATTGTACACCAACATGCAATTATCTTGTAGGTTGTTGATGCTGTCTCCGTCAATATCCGGATCACATTCATCGCCCTTACCATCACCATCCGTATCCAGCTGATTGGAATTGGGAACTTTTGGACAATTATCAACGCTGTCTTGAATGCCGTCTCTGTTAAATTTTGGTCCGGACGTTATTACCTGGATTATTTTTATGATAAAAGTTCAAAAACTTATTGTACCTGTCCCTGTCTATGTCGCTGTCGCAAGCGTCGCCGATCAGATCCTTGTCAGAATCAGTTTGTGTAGGGTTGTGCATGGTTGGACAGTTGTCGCAGACATCTCCAAGACCATCGCCGTCCGTGTCCCTTTGGTCAGGGTTCGTTTTTTTCGGACAATTGTCTTCGTGATTCAACACTCCTGCAGTTATCATCATCCGGTAAAATTATAATATTTTATTTTTGACTTATTATTCTCAAATAAATATATTTTTTTATTATATAAATGAATTTACAAAACAATAATTAAGTATATAAATTTAAAATTGAACTTAATAATGGATTTTGTATACATGAACATACTTAATATTTTAAATAAAACATTTTTTTTAAATTTAAATTTGTATAACAGGTAATTTACTTGACTATTGCTTTGGATTTTGAGCATAAGTGTATTAGTTTTACTATAGGATTTGCGTTTTCACGTTCTGAGCTAATGAGAAAAGTATTTTTTTTTAATTATTTCAGATGAAGAGTGCAGTTTTGGTTTTAATATCATACGTTTTTTTTCCGGTCTGTAAACAATTTTTCTACCAAAATTTTTGTTTCAATTGAAAAATAACAATATAGGTTTTTCGTTTTAATTTTGAACTATAAAAATAACTATAATTATGATATTCCAATTAGTTTTCTTAATAATTGAAAAACCGTCTATTTTTTTATTTAATTATTAACTTTGCAAAAAGAAATTTTGTTCAGGTGTATAGAGCGTAGCACTTTTTCTAAAAGGAAATTTTATCTAGTTGGTGCATAAGACAGGTAGTTTTTTTTTTTAATTTTCCTTGCAGTTTTTTAATATATGAGAAAAACTGAAAAGAAAACTTGGAAAAAACGGGAAAATGTACGAAAATAATGCTTTTTTTATTTTTAATTTTTTTTTTTTTTTGTTATAATTTAATTTAAAATATTTAAGCTATTTTTGAGCTATTTATAGACATTTTAATTTTACGAGTTTTGTATGCAATTTTTGTTTGGTAAGTACTCTGGATAAATTTGTTAGACTGAACAGAAATGCTTGAAAATTTAACAGAAGGTTCATTATAAGTCATATGTAGTAGTCAAAAAATAAAAAAAAAATGTGTAAAAGTTAATTTTAAAATGTTGACGAAAATCGTAAATATTACCTTTCAAAATATATGTTATCGAAATTTGCTCCGAATCGTTTTTCGTTAGCAATGGTTTATCATTGCTTACAAATATAAATTTAATTAATTAATGTATCCTACCTTCCCAATTTTCCTATAACAGTGATAAACCCGTCCCCAGTATCGGCTCTTTTTTAAACTCCACCTACCGTCGTTATCAATGTCTGCGTCGCAAGCGTCTCCTATCCCGTCGTTATCCGTGTCGTGTTGGTCTAGATTCGGTATTGTTGGACAGTTGTCGCAAGCGTCTCCTTTTTTGTCGGCGCCGTCCTGATCGGAATCCAGTTGGTCCGGGTTGGAAACCAATGGGCAGTTGTCCTACAGAATCGCGAAAAAAAAAATCAAATCTAAAATAAATTGTACAAACTGATTACTGTCAAGAGACGGCCCTATAGAAGTAAACCAAATCGCATAAAAGTTTCTTTTCGTCCTAGGCCATCTTAACCTGGTGTTATTACCAGGTTCATCAAGAAATCAAACTTTAAAATTTCTTTAAACACAACATGAGCATAACTAAAACTCCGTGGAAAAATGTTCGGGAAATGCCGAAATTATTGCGAGTGTTCCTGTACGTAAATTTAAATAAAATGTTTCTATTTTGTATGATTTTGATTAGATTTTTTTTCCTCTGCGTAATAAAAACGTCAATAACATATGTAACTATGTACACTAAGTATAACTAACTTAATTTTGATTTTAGTGTAAAAGTCCCTATTAGGAAATTTATAGAGAACAATTATATGGAGGGAATCAAATTGGTATTTCTGAATTACAAACTATTAAAAAATAAAAAAAAAGGTTTTAGTGCATTTTATATCGAGCTGTATGTTTAAAATAACGCTAGTTTTACTTAGTCTGCATTATTTTTGCATGTTGCTCGGTATTTGGTCTGAGACAGTATAGACGCGGGCGTGGCGTCCTCTTAACGAAAAGAAAATGAACTAAGTGTACATGATATTTAAATTTTCACCTGCGAATACGTACAGTGGCGCATTTTCGTTTGTTTACTGGGGATGAACCTAGACAATTATCTACCACTCACCAAATGCACCAATAATAATTGAGGGCTCTAGTATTTCATTTTCAAAGAATAATATCAGAAATATCAAGTTATCTCAAAATAAAACGATTACAACACATATTACGAATTAGTCACCAAAAAATACTATTGCAAAATAAATAACTCATTTTTAGTTAAAAAATAGTCGACGTTTGTTACAGTATGTGACTAAAATATGATAACTTGTACAATGTACATACCTAATATAATATACGTTTTAATAAATTAACGGCCTAGTGCATTTAAGAGAAACTTAGCGAATGAAAATATTTAAAAAACGCATCAATAATTCTACTCATTCAAATACTTATACATGAATATGTATGCCAGGGTCACAAGCTATGTTCAATAAAGAGTTACTATTATAAGCTATTATATTTTTAATAGCTTTATAAGTTAATCGTACATCATTACATTATTTGACATTTTTACATTGTAGTTACATGTAAAAATGGCAAATAGTTCAGTTACATTCTATATAGTTACTATTTATATTCCTACCGTAAACTTTTTAAGAAGGACAACTACCACAGGAATACTGGACACGTATAAAATTGATTGTATAATATTTAATGTTTCACACATTTGCGTAAGATGCGAGTGGTTAAAGGGGGTTACGTCCCCCAAAAATCTTTAGCCCCTCAACATTTTTTACAGCTTATCTGAAAACGAGCATACGGTAAAAGGTTTCTCGTTATCCTTTTTTTTTTTTTTTACAAATATGTACGGAACAAGTGCAGCTTCTTTAATCCCCCACTCTTCCTTGCATCCTACCAGAGGTTTTACAGTGATTTTTGAAATTTCATTTGGGCAAGATAAAGTTAATATTTGTCCTCTAAAACGGTGGTGAACTGGTGAACCATACGACCATACGAATATAATATCCGCAGGACGTAACTTGTACATATCCGCGTCTCTTACCGGTGTGTTCGGCACGCCGTCGTTATCGGCGTCATCGTCGCACACGTCGCCCATGCCGTCCTGGTCCGCGTCCTCTTGTCCTGAGTTCGGTACTCTCACGCAATTGTCCTGAACGGTGGCAAAAGCAAAATCACAGTGTGAATACGTATTACACAAAACATAACGGTTTCTTGCACGCGTTATCCGGGGGTCATAACCCAATATTATATTATTCCGTAATCATTACTAACCTTTTTACATCTCGTGTCGTTGCATGAGAGATCGATGTCCGGCCATCTGTCCAAATCTGAATCCGGTCCGCAAATTCTTCCGTTTCCCGCCCAGCCCACGACGCACTATATAAAGTGAAACAGAGCGAGTTTCGTTATAGTTTAAAAAAATGAAAATAGGAAACGCTCATTGTCGCTCAATACAAACACTCAATACGCTCATTGTCGTAACTCACCTCGCACGCATATTTTCCGGTGGTTGATCTGACGCACTCTCCGTTTTGGTGGCACTTCGTGCCATCCGGACACATCCACGGAGTTTTTTTCAAATTTTCAATCGACAGACAGCCGAGCGATTGGTTGCCGATGTAACCCGACCGACAGCCACCGCACCGGTACGAACCCTTGATCAGTAGAAAAAAAAATGAACGTGTTACGTTTTTTCGCGTATTATAGACCTGCAAAGGCCATTCATTTTCGGTCAAGTACAGTCCGAAATTTTTTTTCAAGCCAGGTTCGAACCGATCTAAAATATTTTGTGATAAAAAACCCTGGTCCGGCCCGAAAATAATGCTTAACTCTTAATAAACCGGGTCCGGTCCGAGAATATTTATTTTTATGCCTACTATATAATCCGGTTCAAAATATTTTGTGAAAAAAGCCAAGTCCAGCCTTAGGTTTTTGATTTTATAAGCCTGGTTCAAAAATATTGTTAAAGAAAATCCATACGAAAACCCTTTAATAATTAATGACAACAATATTGTTACAACTGACTTTATGTATATAATTTTCCTTGTTAAGGACCTGCCCGGCCCTTAAAATTATTGTAAAAAAAAATCCAAGTCCGGCCACCCATGTAATTCCATGACTTTAAAAAGCCCGATCTAATCGTTGGTTTATTATTTGATTATTTAAAGTCCGACTCGTCCTGGCCCTAAAAACTGAACAAAAAGAAAAAGCCCGACCCAGCACTTTTATTATGTTTCAAAGACCCCGGTCCGATCCAATGTAGTACGGGCCAGGCTTTTTGTAGGTCTTTGAGTATTATGCATATTACCCTATTATAGTATCTAGATATGTACATTGTTTTAGTAATATAATATAAATACTCAAGGTGGAAAAAAACACGCTTTCCCGTATAATAATACATTTTCAGTTTAAACTATTCGGTGCATTAAATAAAATACGACTGTGTTTTTTTAAATTTTTTTTTTTTCAAGAGATTTCAGGTTAGAAGTTATTATTCATATATTATATACGATTCGTCAGCGAGACGACGACACAACTGAACGGTTCCGTCAGCGTGTGTTCTACTGCAGTCTACACACCGTAAACGCGCGCGATTACCTCGGTGTTTATGCACTGCGAGTTGGCGGCACAACCGTGGTTCTTGGCGTCAGCGCACTCGTCTATGTCCACGCACCGGTGCCGTCCGGCGTCCGTCCTCCTCGTGCCGTCCGCGCCGATGCCTTGGACCGGGCCCACGCTGGTGTAACCCGGCGGACACTGGCCGCACTTGTAACCGGGTCTCAGGTTGGTGCACTGTACCCGGGGATCACACGGCTCGTCCAGGTCGCACTGCAAAATCGAAACGCGACGCGCGGCTACGTTACAATATTATATTAAACAAATAATTCCCTTCACATAAACAGCGCAGTATTATAATGTAATATATTTTATCATTTAAGTTCAGTTCGTCGTTATCTCACTTCGTCCAGGTCCACGCAGTTGGTCCCGTTGCCGGTAAAGCCTGCCGGACAACTGCCGCATATATAGAACGGCGGTTCTTCGCAACGCGTGCACTGTACGCCTATATTATAATGTACACAGATGTTATGTCAAGTGTATACGTATTGTTACATAAACATAATGTGATTGATCGTCGTGCTGGCGCGTGTAGGACATAGCCATGTCGGCTACATCCGAAATTTAAGGAAATACGTTATACCCGCATAATGCCGCCTTCGTCTTACTACCGCGCGACACCTGCAGGCGGGACAACTCTGTACTGTTAGTTTTAATATTAGAGCGAATTGACTTATTGTCGAACTTGAAGATAAGATCTGTGTCGTGTCGTTGTTTATTTTTTTTTTTCCATAATTTAAATTTTTAAGCGAGATAAGAGTGCGTGAAATATCACGATTTAAAAATTCTAATACCTCGCCACAACATAGTGTGCGGGTATAACGTTCTCTTAACGCGTAAATGCAGTCATCGACGGACAATCCGCTTACCCGGGGAACACGGGTTCATTTCACATCCTCGCGGTTGACACTTTTGGCCGTCGCCGACGTAACCGTCCGGACAGAGTCCGCACCGGAAACCGTTTACCGTGTCCAGACATCTGACGCCTGAAAGAAAAAAAAAAAAAGTATTCGACAGAACGACGTTTTTATGTTACTGTTATTTATAAATCTGACAGGAGTGGCGTGTTTAAATCGGCGATTAGACGCGTGCGGGCACGCTCTGGAGTGAGGGACTGCGGAGAAATGAAAAAGGTTTTCACACGGTTGTGAATATGCCACCGATATTGTGCGTGACAATCGATTTAAACATAATGTGTCTATATCGATTATATTAAAACATACCTGGAGCGCAGGGTTTCATGTTACACGTCTTTCCAAGTTTGCACTTCTTGCCGTCGCCCACCATTCCTTGGGGACACCGGCCACACCGCGGTTCCTCGGGTGTGTCCCAACACTCTGCCCCGGGATAGCACACCGACGGACTGTTGCTGCAGGTCGGTTTTGGCGGCAAAGGTGGCTGCGGTGAACTCGGACCTGTCCATAACCCGCCATAGTATTTAGGAATCGGCATGTCATTTTAAATTGTATTCCGATAAAACAATAATAATTTCCTTCTTAAATACCTCTCCGAAGTTCAATAAGATTTATCGTGCAATCGAAACGCACCTATTACACACAGCGGCTTACATGTTAAAAAGTGATTAACTTAATAATGATTGGTAGATAGTTACTGTCGTTTTTTATAATTATATAGTTTTATTAAAAATATTGTTTTGAATTTCGAAAACGGTTTTTAAATGTTTCAAATTAAAATACCTACTAAAATTGATTACAATCACGCAGATAACTGCATTCTGCATTGACTGCCAGTAATCAAAATCTGTGTGCATGAACACGACTTTATTGTTTTTTGAAAGAAATGATTTAAATTTTATTTTGAAGTATTAAATAAATATCGTTAACAAAACAATAATAATCTTCCTATACATTTCAACTGTTTACATTTTATTTTAGATTCTGAGCGTAGCTTTTGTTATCAACTTTATAATTGGTTTCTCGTAGCGTCACTTCGAAGCGTGGCGATGGTTTTATTGATTTTACTATTATGTGTGTTTTTTTTTTTGTGTCTGAGCAACTTTTCTACTAGCAAACTCTGATTATCAAGTGTAGCACCTATTCTGAGAGAAAATTTGTGCTAGTCGGTGCATTGGGGCAGAGTAGTGGAGCGTTAAATAGAACGCCTCGTGCCGTGCCGCCACATAAATAATACTCCACTACTTTCCCCCTTCTTAAACTTAAAAATGAAATATCTCGTGAATGGGTTGACGAAAATCAAAAATTTTAACACCAAAATGTATTGAAAGTAATACCCCGTCTATTTTGGAATTTTCAATATAGGTTCTCATTTTAAAACAAAGGTGGTATCACCATAGGATACTCTTTAAATGTTGTGGAAAATCTAAGTATTCGAAAATTTTGGCTTTAACTACACTTAAAAATTCCAAAAATCAGAATTTAAATGTATGCAGCATTTAATAAAAAAAAAAAAAAAAATGGGGCGAGCACGCTTAGTGAACCACCCTGTGTGTATATGTATATATGTATACAAATATCGATAAGTAGGTACTATTGGATGCAGTTGTATTGGAGTAAATAACCTTTTTTTACTAGTCAATATGCAATGTTAATTGGTACTGCTACTACCTATTTAATAGTTTATTTATTAATACTACATTACTACCTATTCCCAAAGACCAGCCTTGGACAAAAAAAAAAAAAAAACAATTTTACATAATACATGTTATTACACTATAATATTGTATACCTACACTACGTTACGTTGACCAAGGCTGGACTTGGGTGGTATTTGATGTATTATAAAAAAAAAATTTGTTAAAAATGATATTAAAAAGAAAAAAAAATGAAAAATTTTATTTACGTAAAAATAATCACAACAGTGCAATATATAGGTTACAAACGATTAGACCATCACTATAGGTTTGACTTTTTCTTATATTATTAATGAGAAGTTAGTATATATAGTAAAAAAATATAGGTCATTTTTAAGTGGTCTATAATTATTAAAATGATATGATTTGAAATAACTAGAGTCGAAGTCCAGCCCTGGATCACCGTGAGCCTAGTAGTTCCTTATACCTGGCCTGCAGAAATCATCGCACCGCTCGAGCAACTGACGTAGTCTATAAATCTCGAGACGCTAAAAAAACAAAATATATATATATACATTACACATATTTACTCGAAACATACGTTTATCCTCGGTCGAATTTTTCACTCACCTGAGCTTCGACTTCTTCTCTGAGTTTCTTGACAATCTGCATCAGCTCTTGAATGGTTTTTACGAAAAACAAATCTATATAGAGAACATAAGTAATGTTTTTAATCGTGCAGTCGGGATTAGTTAATCGAATAGTCTCGTGTTATCTACTTACCGTCGCAATCGTGACTGATCGGAATATCGCCTGCAAATTATATAAATGTACAATAATAATATATTAAAACGATATGTTTTTTGTATTTTTAGCAATTTACCCCTTCCGATATTCGGCATTTTTATTCCTATTTCGGTAACCGTATTTGGCTGCATGGCGAGGCTCTCTGCATTATCCCAGTCATCATCAGCCACTGTACATTGTAGATTCTTTAGAGTAGTTTTCCAGTATTCTTCCGGGTGCACTTGAATTCCGAATCTTTTTTCGTGCGTCTAATCGGTAAAAAATTAATTTAAAACAATGACTTTTATTTTTTTTGGTTCGAAACCTCTAGTTCGGTAGCTATGTATTCATAAAATTAACTAAAATGAGTGTCGTTAAAACAGGTTGTGCAATGTCGTACATTTCTCCGTTTTTCAGATATCTACCGGTAGGTAGATTTTTTCCCGTACGATTGGTGAAACTTCAGTGAATATCTATGTAAATCATTAGTGAAGATTTAAAGAATATAGATAATAAAATGTGCGTATAGTATACAGCCGTGGGAAAAATAAAATTTCTATATTATATTCTACCGTGTGAGACATCATCATTATATTATATTACCATAATAATATTTGCGTTTTATCTGTTTATGGTAATGTCTGGTTAAAAATCTAAATAAATTCACAATAAATAATACAGACTGCGCTCATAAATCAAAATCTGCGTGATGCGTTATACCTTATGCAATCGTTAACATTGAATTATTATAGGTGCTATTGTTAATTGATAATAATCAATAATCATGCTTCAATATTATCCAATAACGTTACCATTATCATAACAACTAGTTTCTTATTATTTCTATTTAATTTTCAGTTTTAGGAAACGCTTAATTTTTTAAAAAAAGATAAACAAAACTAAATATACATAGACTTGTATAGTGTACGAACTCCAGTGTAACTACGCTAAATTTATTATAACGTTTGAATAAACCCCTCCCCTGACCTGTTCACAGTTCTTCTTAGTGAGGTCTTCGAGAACTGTTTAAATTGTTCGATAGTTCGAGTTTTTTTTCGTAAACTTAAGATTTTATGAAACACCGTAGGAAGAAATCACACGGCGTGAGGTCACATAACTTCGATGGTAGTTTCGATCTCTCCAAATCGAGAACCATTTTGGTGAACACCAACACACGCGTTTCACGTGATAAACGATCCACGATTACGTGAAAACAAAAACTAATTACAAAATAATTCACTAGAGTGATAAACGATAGAGTTGAATACTTTAGAAAATGATAAAAACATTATCGTCAATCAAACAACACCAAAAACAGTAGTAAAATAAATTACCGTTCTTACTGACACCATTTGGTATTTTTATTATTATAAAGGTACGATAGGTTTTTTCTTTCCAATTACTCACCATCTGCAAACTAGGATCTCTCATGTCGAAGTACACTTCCCGCAGGGTTTTGATCGTGTGAAGTGTACCAAAGTGCTCACAGTTGACGTACAGCGTCATGGTGGCTTTGGGTTTTCTTTGATCAACGGCCAACACTAAAGTTCTCAATGACAACGTCGTATTTCCCACAGATTTTACATTATAATACTCTGTTTGCGTGTTGCCGTTGCTCTTGGTCGATATGATAACTATATTATTTACGAATACATAAATTTACATAAATAATGTTAATAAAAAACAAAATAGATATATTTTTGTTTAAAACAGTTTAATTTTATGGTTTTTCCTTTTCTAATGTATACATCTAGGTAAAGTTATTTTGAATGATAATAAAATTATATACCTATGTTCTATTTTGATTCTGAAACGATTGTGTCAGACGGTTACAATAATTTATTGTTTAACTACCAAAACGTGGCTCACGTGGCGCTATGCGTGCCTATACGACTTGACCAAAAAAAAAAAAAAAAACCGATAACATTCTTCCCACATTTATTTAATTTGAATAAATTAAATATGGAAGTTTCACACGCTCAAGTTACGTGTATCTGTGTCATAAATGCTTGTTGTCCATTCTGTATAATATAATATGTTATTCAAATTTCTTCTTAATCCGCGAGGTTATTTACAGACTAGACTCTAAATAATAAGACTTTTCGCCCGGATACTGCAAACTATTTATCGGTGTTTTTTCCTCTCGCTATTATACACACACACGCACACTCACATACACGTGCCTAGCAACCTCTAGTGATTGTTTTCCGTCTTCATTCGTTCGTCAAGAACTTTAATAGGCGAGCGTATAATGCACGAGATGTCGTGGGATTGTCCGGTGGTTTATCCTTTTAAGGACGTATGTCTAACTGGATATTCGAAGGAATTTGCCGCGATCTCTGTGTTTTTTCTCCGTTTTTTCCTTATAGTTTGCTACTCTTTTTTTTTTGCATTATTATGGACGGTACATATATCTATGCACAAAACGGCAGCGAGAGATGCCATAAAATAATGCGTCATTCGTAACGATATATATATATATATATCTACACAGCGGTGCACTGATTTTTATAATATTACCTCGATATTCTTTTGTCTCTTTGATGGTCATGACGTCATGCGAATTATATTATGCCACGCAATACAATATTTTTCTAGATAAATTTGAACTAAGTTTAGTTGAAAAAAATCAAAATCATAATAATAACATTGATAATATTTTTTTTCTCTACAGATGTATTAAAAAACTGTGATAAGTTTCAATACACCATGAATTGTTTTATCCGTGTTTTAAAATTGTTGATCACACATTAGGAGTATTTGATTTTATGCAAGTATTAATAGCTATTTTTTTTTCTTTTTTAGGTTTTAAAATGCGTAGATTGTATACTAGTAAGACAGTTAAAGAAGAATTAACCATAGAACAATAGTATTACAAGTCACTATAATTGCTATAAAATTGGGACGCAAAATATGTGATGTTAGTCGCACATTTGATGTTGCAGAATCACACTTCATGGTAAACTTTAAAGACAAAATTACGGTACATTTAAACTTGGAAGAAATCCATTATATCCAAATACATTTTCGGTTGAGAATGAAAACAAATTAGCTAACTGTTTTTAAAACCTGTGTTCAAATATAATTTGTAAATTATTTATTAATATTTTAATAAATAATAGGTACCTGTGTCTCAAATATTTTGCTTGACTTCCCCTTTCTTTTCTCTAGCGACTTCCCTTTACTTTCTTTACCTAACCTTGGTTAGACATGAAAATATATTATAATTTATTTATCAGTTTTCGTTTTGATACCGTAAAATCTATTAAAACATAATTTGTTCAATAAAATTATATAATTTCTGCTAGATCTTAATGTATATATTTTTATATAAAGAAGAAAAAACAGTATCATTCAGTATAATAACAAAATTTGTTATTGCAGTACCTTGTGTCAAAAATATATGTACTATAATGTATATTGTATACGTATGTATGAGTAGGTCCTATATACATTATAAATTGAATCACTCGAGCAATGTGGTCCTCGAAAAATACATATAGGTATTTATAAACGGGCCATTTGACATTTTTGGACCTAACGGTTTATTGGTCCATATAAAATAAAATTGGACGAGTTCATTAATATTAATACACTAGCTGTACTGGCCCGACGTTTTCATGTCAATTTAATTCCCCTTTTTTGGACCATTTAAAAGAAGATTTTTTTTTTAAATCATTTTAAATACCGTTATCAATAAAACTAATTTCAGACAACGTTACAACCGAATTGACTAATAATAAATATATTTTTTCATCCTCGTGTCACTATAAATCGATATAAATATTTCAACTTTCATTTTAATAATGCGAGAAATCCTGTGTGAGTCGCCTTTAGAGGTTGAATTTCGGAAATTCGGCTTCACGGTGCACATATCAATCAGGTTTTGTAAGCAAATTATAAGACTTCTCCCTTATGATTGTGCACAGTCGGATAGACAAACAATAATTTTATTTTATTTATATTGGAGATTATAATATTATTATACTGTAATATTACTAAAACAATCGTACGTAAGGATTTAAAAAAAAAAAAAATGTAAAGCCTGAAAACGACTAAAATACCAATATATATATAAACGTAATATAGTAATTTTATTTAAACAATTAGAATATTGGTAGACTAATGACGACTAATAGTAAAAAAAAAAAAAATTAAAAATTAAAAAAAATGAATGAAAAATGTGATGTACAACGAATTTACACATATTGGGACCTGCAATTAGGAGTTTTTGGTTTACTTTGAAAAACGCATGTTTAAAAACCCGAATATACGGTCAGTTTATGCTTACGTATATTTATAAAAAACGAATGACAAAATTCCGGTGTCGTGTATCAAACGACCAATTCGAAGACTGTACAGTTCATCTGTACATCTGTTCATCTTGTTCATCTGTATAATAACTGCAGCAGTCGTGGTCATAATACTCCCATATAATATACGAAACTCGAGCAACTCGTACAAGTGCACAAGCACATCCGTTCGCAATACAATGCATCCTATCATCTCGTAAAATGTATTTTTATTTTTTTTTTTTTAGTTGTGATAAGTCCCTGCGCGTGTACGATATTTTCGATTTCCACATGAGGTAATATTTTTTTTTTTTTTAGAGTATCGAGACTATAATACCGTATCGGTATCGGACGTACATACAGCAAGACAAGCCACTACACACACACGCACACAGAAGATATTACACGAGTGTATTATAGTATACGATATCCACGAAACCTACGCACCGGGCGCATGATCAACTCCGGCGGTTTTAGGGTGAAGATTTATTACGTTCGCGACGGTGGTTTTTTTTCTCCTCTTTGCTGCCCGCTCCACACTCATATGCGTACAAGCGCACACAAACCGTATCGAATAACGCCCGAGCATATAATTATAATATTAAGCGGGTATATTATACTATGCGTGCATATTAAATGTATGTACGTACCTTGTCCTTCGGACCTGTCGATTTTCAACGCGAAATGATAGGTATTGAGAAAGTCGATGGTGGCCACTGTCTCGGGTTTGCGGTGTTTCTGTCCGGACGGCGGGCCTTCGTCCCGAATCACTATGGTGAACATGTCGGAGACCACCGCTTCCTTCACGATTCTCGTGGCATCTGCGAACATAATATTAAAGACACTATAGTACAGGTATTGATTGCTTATGGATTTAGAACGACATTAAATTTGCCGTGGATCGACAAAAACGGTACTATATTGTGTTATAATATTGTATTCGATTCGTTACCGCGTGTGGGCATCGCGATCGGTATAATATTACATCGAGTCTACATCGATCGTCGGGGAAGCGCACCGTCATCCGACATTAAAATCTTAAATGCTACGTTAAGATAAAGAATATTTCTATTGAACTGCGGTATTCTCAATTGGACGTCTGTGCCCACACATGTCCCATACAAACACAAACACACACACACACACGCATGACAAGTTCGATCGATCCAGCCGTCAAACAACGAGCGAGTCTGTGTTTCGACGACGTACCTACATAATTGTTTATTATACTTTACGAACCGCGCGCTTGTGTATAGTTTTCATGTTGTAGAGATCCATTGCGTCTATAATAGGTAGTTTATCGTTATAACGTAGGTAAACCACCCGTTCGAAGTTTGACCGCACCATCCAACAATATAAGAACGATTTTACGTGCACTAGTATAGGTGTATTTCAACTGTAGTCTAAAACGCTTTTAAAAGTGAAAGTGAATCAGATTGCAGTAGTTTTAAGTAAAGGCGTATTCACATTATAAACATAGGGATTTTTTTTTTTTTTTTTTTTTTTTTTTGATTTTTTTGTTCAAATATAATATTTAACCCTGCACATATGCGTAGTATATTCGTGTGATTATTTATAAATTATATAGTGCACCTACTCACATTAGATAATAATTGCATATACAATTTATTATCGTTGTAAGTGCAATATTGTATCTACCTACCCATTTCTATTCGAACGCAATTTAAATCGAATTTAAAAAAAAAAAAAAAAAAATTATTGTATAAAATATTGTCGCGGTCCACCTATACGCGAACGTATTTTGTCACTTTTAAGTGAAAAACGTCATTATTTTTCTTTCGCCTACGCTTATTATTTTATTATGTTCCGTTTATAGCTAAATCATCAATTCGTATGCGCGAGTTGTACAATTATTATGACTTTTTTTCATTTCGTCAACAACAGAAATTCAACTAGGTTTCGTAAGACATTAAAATACATTATAAATACATATACAAAATACATAAATACATTTGGTTTAATGTTCGGACCGAAGTCAACCGAAAAACTCGTTTCTGCACCTTAATAATAATAATATTATATAGTATAGAATAATGTTAGGCCGCGATAATATTCGTGTATTTATATTATACTATAATATACTGTGCATACAGTTTTATTATTTTCCATATTGAGTAATGTAAAGACAACATATAAGCAGTTTAAGACAACATTCGAATTTAAAAGGTGAAGACTGCAGTAAATATTGTAATATAAACAACATTTCCTAATAACTATTTATAATAATTTCTTTTTTTTTTTTTATACTCCAGAGGCTGGGTTTTATTTTTTATTCAATCCTATATTTGAAAATATAATACGTAACACATTGATGAATATATGCCTACCTACATATTATATGCATACGGTCGATTTAAACTTTTCTTTTGGTAAACACTAATGAGTGGATTAGTAAAAAGTGAAATTTAAAACATGTTTATATGGAAAACACGTAATTTGTTATTTATTTCAGATTTTATATTAATGTCAAAAGTTCTATATATCGTCTGAAAATCAAATCAAAATTAAAATAATAACAGTAATTTGTTGTTATCTTCATTTCGAACAGACATTTGCGGATAGAAAAAAAAATATAAGCGTTTTTGTTATATTATAAGAAGTGTAAAATTCGGCCTTAAAGTATATTGACGTATTATAGGTATGAAAATGTAAAATGTATTTGAAAGAAAATAATTATACATCATATATCATTACCATTGATTGCGCGATAATTTGTAGCTGACAAAATAAAAAAGAAATATTTTCGTATACCCATTAATTATATTATTCAAGAAATAAAATTAATTGTATAGTATACCTATAGCTGTAACTTGTAAGTGGTACCTATCGCATAAAATATTTAAGTCAGGTAAGTATCTAATAATATATTACAAAATGTATAACACAAATAATTATTTATTATACGTTTATCTATACATTATAATTATTAAAATTAGAGATCTGCATCTGCTTGTCACGCTTGTCACACATCATAATATATACATAGGTAGGAACCTATATTCTCGTTTTAGGTAGGTATTGAAATTAATCGATTGGCGTGCTTACAATATTAAGTTAAAGATCGATGGGAAATAATAATAATTCAATTGAAACCTGCGATCGATTTAACCACATAATGGACTACGCGGTACGATTAAAGATGACTGAATGTTTATGATGCTCAGTGAATATATAAATAACGGACAAAATCATTGGACATGACGAGATGTATATATAAATATAGGCTTAGGGACGTCTATCTCTAAAAAACATATAAATGTGCTTTAAAAAAATTGTTTTTATTGAAATTGAATACTAAAAACCTAACTATTATTTATTTTTTTTTCATTATTAATGTTATTTATGGGAAAACTTTGTTTTTAGATGAATCATCTGAGAGTTATTGATCAAACTCAATGATTGTTTGTTAACTAAAGAAATTATTATTTTACTATAATTTATTTGACTATGCTATCAAATATCAGTGCGTATGAATTAGAATAATGCAAATCGAAAAAAGCGTGTTTAATACATGGCATACATAAGATAATATATGAGTGTATGTCTTTTTATAGCATTTAAAAGCTACATATTGCTAAAATATGCAATTATATGCAAAATTAAATTTAGAATTTGGATTCTTTACAAAATGCACAGTATTTATGTTTAACTCTGCTATTTTTTTTGTTTTTCAAAAATAATATGCCAATGCTAGAAGTCCCTTACCCAAAATATAAGTGTTAATTTTATCGTACGATATTACGTGATGATGATGATCAGCACTTTTTTTTCTATTACTTAGCCCAAGTAGTCTGCGATGTGAAGCCACGTCAGCTATATATCTGTATCACACTACTTAGTACCTTGGTACATAGAATATTGATACACAAACAATTTTTTTTTTTACTTTTAAATAGCTTTTTTCTGAGTTCTTAAATTCGTTATCTTATAACTTAAAAGGTCAGATCCGTTTGTCTATCTGTGGGTTTTCTATTTTCTATTACGTTTTTTTATCACGTGAATTATAGCATAGGTATAGGTTTCCTATTGGAGTTTAAACACAATGTAATTTAAAGTGGGAAATATTTTCGAAGGCTGTACGCAGCTTTTTTCTAAAACAATTATCTTCCAAAAATGTACATCCATGCTAATTTGTTATGATGCCATGTTGTGAACCCACACCCCATATATTTATAATTCATTTTTCTATGTAGTAACCACGAGAATTAATTTCCTAAATTGCACATCTGCAAGAGTTTATTGGTCGTTGCCATCAACTTTAATCAGATAAGTACGATTGACATGCAATACTTACTCGTAAATCATTGTCAGTTGACCTTTAATCATTGTTAGGTTAAGTTAGGTTAGGTTATTATTCAGTCCGTATACATATGAGGGTATTTATCAATATACGCATTTGGAATATTTGAAAGGTTAATCAAATAAGTTTTGAATTTGCCTATTTTATAATTTTCGTCATTGATGAAAATGGTTGAATTATGCACTTCTCCCAAATTTAATACTAAGTGTACACTATACATAACCAATTGTACGGGAGCTTAAGCCTACCTAATATATATTTTAGGTATCTCAAATATATTTGGATTATTCACGCCTGTGGCGTTCTTTAAAAAATCGTTTCTATAATATATAATTACAAATACCACTCTACAAAGATTGTGTTTGTGAAAATAATGGATTTTCGATAGATTTATTCATATTAAGTTAAAAATACAAAAAAAATTTTATGGAGAACACAGGGGATATTCAACCCCCCTTGGAATTTTTTTTAACGTTTGCCCCAACTCCTACTTTTTTTCAGTCGATTGTTTTGAAAACGTTACGAATTCTAATTTATTAAATGTTTTTACCAACATTTCAGAATAGTAAATACCAGACTATTACATTGGTACTACAGGGACGCCATTTAAATTTTTTTTTCCGTGGGATTCGTCATTAATATTATTTGAAGGCATCGGAACGCACGAAGTACCTTCATACATAATGAGTCCATTGTTCATACTTTATGGTATTATTTTATATAAACGCGTTACAAGAAATAACGATTTTATTATTATTTCCATTACTAAATATTAATATCGGTTGTTTAATTAATTTTTTGAATACAAAAAAAAACTTCAATGCACAGTTTGGCACAGGTATAATTATTCGCCTTGTTATTAGACATTACAATCATTACATGAACGTGCTATACGCAATCTAATCCATTTATCATTCGAACCTCGAAACCGGTAGAAATAAAGTTACATTTGTTAAAAATAAAAATCTACCTACGTAAATGTGTTATACAATTCGTATCATGCGATATAACGTCCCTGTATACTGTATTATTATTGCTGTTATATTATGTAGAAATCAAAATGTCGGAAAATTTAGATAATTAAAAAAAAAAAAAAAAAAACAATACATTTCAGAAAATCAAATAAAAAACCGATCGAAAAAAAAAATTTCAACGCGAAAAAACACCGCTATAACAATGCGTGTGTACTCCTTTAGCCCCGTTTACAATAATGATTTTATTGTTCCCAGAAATTTTCAGGAGAAACCCGCAACTTTCGACTCCTATACTACGCCGTAATCGCCCTATCGCCGTAAGAAAAAAAAAATGAGATAACAAACACGTTTACAGTGCACCGTATTTCATTAATCGGCTCTCAAACACGATGAGTGATAGAGCCGTCTTTGATGCCATCAGAAAATTTCGGATTTAAAAATGAACAACACCAACGCCGTCACAGATGGATCAAGCAACGCCAAAGATACGTACCGTTGTCGACTACTGCAGCGCCGGCGGAGCCGAGCACCAGCAACGCAAGAGCGGCGAAAACCTCCGTAGCCCTCATTTCGATGCGTTGTCGTCTTCGCGTGGATCCTCGGTGGCTCGGTCGGTCTGGTGTCGTGGTGCCGTCGCGATCGTCACCGGTGTACAACAGCAGGTTCGATTTTTGTCGCGAAACTGCGGCGGACAGATCGCCTCGCTCCTACCCCGCCTCGCTAACCGGTCGGCGACGGCAGCCAGCGTCCGGCCGCATACACGCGCCCGCCCGCGCTCTCGACCATATGAAATATTAACACGGTTATGGAAGGCGCCTACGCGCGAACAGATGGTCGAATTTATACTTATTAACTTATTATATATAATATAATATTCATACACGTTGTATTTGCAGGTGAAGACGAGGTTTGGTTTGGTTTTTTTTTTTTTTTTTATTATTATTTTTTTTACCGTCCCCCAACACCGAGACGATTAAAGACTCCTACGCGCGAATCATAAAATGGTCGTGTGCACCGTGAGCCTCTCCCCCATCCCCTCACCCAGTCCGGGACCGTGGAGACGCGGAGTCGAGTGTCACGCGAAATCGATCGAAAAACAAGTTGTATGATGTTTGCACATACACGATCTCATTTCGGTAGGTATAATATTATAATACACAGACGAAATTCCACAAATATTGCTCTTTCGGTTTCAGTTCAGAGTTCAGGACTGTGAGTGTGGTTAGTAGAAATGAAGACGGTGTAATCCTTCAATGCTTATAATAAATTGTTACCCATACAATATAGGAGGTAAACAATTCGATGGTGCGAGCAGAGAATACAGAAGTAGTGACGGGAGATATTGTGTACTATGTAGTCGAATCATGCGTGACCGGATGAAATGGAGAAATGTGACAGGAATGTACCTAGTTGTGTGTTAAAAAGATGTAATTAAGGATAAAACGGACGAAACTGTTGTGACTTCAGCGATGATATTAATTAAAAATTTTCATAATATGTTGATAATAATAATGATAATATATTTATTTATATGAGCAATGAGCAAACAAATAAAAATTTAAATCAACTTAACTTGTTTAAATATAACATTAACTCTGATTAATTAAATGTTAATTCTTTTGTATTCCTCAAGTTAACAATTAAGTTAATAGTTAAAAAAAAATATGTATTTATAAAGTTAAAAAGTTAAATTAACTTAACTCTAACTTATTAACTAGTCAATACCTATTATAATATCTATTATCAGTATAGGTCTGGCCTACTTGACCTCATGGTATCGCCGAGGGTCTTTGAAATTTTTAATATTAGAGACTCATAAGTCATAACTAAATGGGAAAACAGGAAATATAAGTTGTTCACAGGCAGAACAAAATGCAAAAATAAAAACCCACACATCATAGTAAAATCAGTAAATATTTAAGATGTAAGGTAGTATCCATTGCTTACGAGCAATATAGAAGGGAGTATAGATCACTCGATGCTTGGTTAGATCCTTATCAAGATATAATAAAATAGTAACACTTTCAATAGAATAATTTCTATGTAATTAATTAGATAAACTATTTAAATCAACTGGAGTAGATAGTTAAACCTTATTAATAGTTGAATTGAAACAGTTTGCAGAACAATATTCAAGCCTTTCTGCAACAAGATCTGTATATTATGAACGCGTAATATGGGAGAAACTGATTATAATCGAATTTAATAACTGCTGTCGTCTGTTAACTTAAAATCTGATTTGTTTAATACAATTTATTTAATAATGAAATATGCTTATTCTATGGTGCAGGCACAGTAAAAATTTAAAATGTTGTGTTTTGTGTTAATAAATTATAATTATAAAATATGACGAATTATTACAGGTCGGTAAATCGTAATCTAACACGTTCCACATTCTCTGTATTGACTGTTCACAATCGTGCGTTCATCGAAAAATCAAATTTGTTCACGTATCTATAAAAGGAGGTATACCTACGTTAACGTACACACAACACAAAAAAAAAACAAACTTGTTTTTGTAGCGTTAATTTTTTTTTTCAAATAATATACGTAATGTTATAATAATACGCGAGTTAGTACCTATATAGGTACAATTGATGTTTTAGTTGTTCAACTTGTTCCAGGTTGTCCGTCGTGTTGGTGGGTTATACATATTATAATTTATAACCATAATTTGTTAAAAATTCTTAAATCTATGTCAATTACTGCAGTTTTATAAAAAAAAGTATGTATTAATATAAGTTTTAAGATTTATGGTAGTATCTATATTATTATATACAATAGATAAGTATCTACCTATTTAACTTTACACCTATGAATTTGGAAGCTTCTTCAAGGAATCTTGTAGGGTACGAATAATTAGACTTTAACGGAAACTCCTTCGGAAACATCCTACAGTCTCGTTCATAATTCTTAGGAAATTCTGTGCTACTGGTAAGAACAATAGCTAAAAAGCTGTTCTAAAATAATAGTGATGGGTGCAGCCACTGTTGTGGGTAGGAAGTTGGGAAGATAGGACATAGACTTCGGTATGATAGTGTTGCTTTGTCAACAATATATATTCGTATATCATATTATGGTAAAATAATTATACATTTATTAAACATTTTCTTTGATAATGCTTGTTTAATATTGTACCCTTATTCCCGTTCTCCCGGTTTCTCGCATTTATTGGGAAAACTCCTAAGGAAAATTAAAAAATTACCTCTTTAAAGTATATTCCCTGTCAGATTTCCTTTTAGAAAAAGTGCTATCATTGTAAATTGGAGCAAACTTGCTAGTAGTCAAAAGTTGTCTACAGACAAAAGAAAAATAAACGTCATTGTAAAACATATACATTACCTCACTCAAAAATGAGTTTTTGTATATTTTACAGGACAAAATATCTGCTTCGAGCCAATTGCGAAACATAAACAGATTTATATTTTTAATTTTGGTTTACACACTTTACGTTTACGGTTTACAAAATACGACCGTATTCATTTAAGTCTATTTTTCATAATAATAATGGCTTTAGCGCATATTGTGGTACACACAAAATCAACGTGTTGGAACGATGGACGTATATTGATCGAATATAAACAATTATTTATCTGAGCGTTTCAATAATAATTATTATTGTTACGAACACATTACTTTAATAGTTTAATGTAATAATAATAATATGGTTATTGGCTATCTACTAACCTATAAAATTAAATTTAAATTATAAACGAGGTTTATTTTGGCTCGTTTTGACGCCCCGACCGCGAGTATAAAATAAACTGTTTATACCGTTACCGTTTTCGCTGATGGTTGGTCATATAGCCAGTAACCTGGTTACTGTTTTACTAGATCTATAAACAAGTTTATATAATGGTTTATAATGTGTAACCGGCTATTTCGGTTTTGCGTTTAAAAAATACACACGGTTATTAAATTGTCTAATTGTCAGTTTGCCGATTCGGTTAATTGGTACCTACCGTTTATATTATTTTACTCATTGGTAGTAATTAACCGGAAACATCGTTCGCGTAATTCTAAGTAACTGCAATTACAGTTCCATTGAATATTTAAATAAAGTATTACAAGTGAATTTTTGTAATACATAACTATTATTTGACTATTTATTAATATTATAATTTTATCACTGTATTGTGTTTGTTAAATATAGCTATTACTCACTAATTTTGAACACTTTTAGCGACTTCCTCTGAACCAAATGAGCTTAAATTTAAAAATTATATTTGTTTAATAGATTTATGGAAACTATAGAATTTTGGTTGAAGTAATAATATTGCCATGTGTGATGGAAGTGGTTTTTTTTTTTTGCTTTTTACACCTGCACAGAACCCCTTAATGGAGTCAGTTCAAATGTTGCAAACGCATGATGTAGTATTAAAGATGCATATTTTGGGAGTTTAAACTATCAAACTCTAATCATTTGTATGCTCAAATTTCAGGTTTTCACATTAATTGCCGGGTTTCAAATACCCCTACAGCATAAATAACGTAATAAAACTCTGGCAACAATAACTATTTTTGATCAATTCTGAAAAAAAAAGGACTGACATACTTCGCACATGGGCGCAGCAATTGTTTTAGATGGAAATTTGGAAAAGCAGAATACAGACGAAAATTTAATGTTTATCTGTAAACAACGATAAACCATTGTTAACGAAAAAACGATTCTGGGCAGAGTTCGGTATGATAGTGTTGCTTTGTCAACAATATATGTCATATTATGATAAAATGATTACAACAATGATTGTTCAAAAAAGGTTTAAAACAATAAAAACTTAATAATAACAAAATATAAATTAAAACAGTCACCAGCCTTATTTTCCAACCTTTTTACCAACCTAACAGTTGCAACCTTATTTTTAATATTTTTAAACCTAAAGAACCAGGTTTTCCTCATTATCTCGAATAGAGAATTTCAAAAAATGATCTATTCAAAGTACCACCCAGAGAACATTTTCTTTTAGAAAAAGTGCTATACTTGATAATCGGAATATGCTTTCTGCTGCAAATCGGCTAGGAGAAAATTCGATTTAATTGACGGACCTCTTCTGCTGCTTTTACGTGTATTTTTGTTTGTTTTATGATTTGAATTTAATATGTACCAATGATCCATTTACGTTTCAGATAGGCAACTTATTGGCCATTGTTGACAATTCGCTTTCATAAGTGTATTTAAGAAATAAATTAGGCGTTTAAGTTTGGACATTCACATAATATTGTAGTATCTTATAAAATATTCATGTCTACTAAATACAATACAAGTATATATTAAATGTATAACAAATATATACACGATCAATCAACGATAATCTTAAATCGTATATTATTGATATAAAATTAAATATTATTACTATTTAAAAATATATCATAATAAGTAAAAAAATTAAAAATATCAATGGGAATAATAGCAATATCGGAATTTTCCCGGCGATACCGTCATCACAGCTCAGATTTTCGTGATCCTTGGTCGTTATGTATTTTAATATTTGATCGTTCATTTTCACACTTTGACCCCTTTTCAATAGTTTTTCCTGGAGAAATAAAAATAACATAATATTATTGTCTGCGCAAAAATGACGGAATTGTAGAATGATATATTAATAATTAATAATCAATAAGTACCTACAGTGAATTAAACAAATTAATTAAATCAAGGTAAACAAAAACAATTGGAATATTATGTACGTAAAAAAATACCTCTATGTTTTTATTCACGGTATGCAGAATGATCGATGATCGTATAATATTCACACACGTCACAAATACAATATAAATAATTAAAATTTATTGACTTCATAATAATTTCGAACATTACGTTTTTATATCGTTTATATATTAAATTTATATGTTTTAAAAAATTATTCGTATAACCTTTAATGAATCATAATATGATATATGAAATTAAACTCTTAGTCATAGAATTATACCTTTTTGATAGATTTCATGTTTTCGTCTTCCGATTGTGAGTGTTTGATTTTTTTATCTGAACCCTAAAATAAAACACACGTACGCTATACTATAATAATATTACCATAATACTATCGTCATCATATAATACATAATCACATAATTTCAATAAAAATTACGTATACAACTCGCAAAATTAAAATGTCTATAATTAGCTCAAAAATGTACCAAATGTATTAAAAATTTAACCACATTTAAAAAAAGCTAATATAAGTTTTCTGTGAAAATGTCAAGTCTTTATGAATATATTAAGCTTAAAAAAACTACAAAGAAAATCAAAAAAACGACTCTCTTGTTCACCAACTGGATTGCATATTCAATAAAAAATATATCTTGATGTTTTTTTATTGGAGCAATATTTATGATAGAAAACAAACCGTACAAATTTAATATAATGAAATATCGTAACTCTGTAATTTTGTCAATTTTAATTTTCCGTATTTTTTTTCCGGTTTTCCCTAATTATTAATAAAATTCCCTTCGCTCCAGATCTAATCGAAAATATCGAAACCGTTATAGCTGTACATTTCTTCGGGTTTCCTGGTTTTTCCAGATATTAGGAATACTACATGGAAAATTAAAAAAAATATTGCTACATTTGAAGATCTGAGCAAGATTTCTGACCGAATAGTTATTTACAGACAGAAAAAAAACACAACATAGTAAAAATATTGCATTCCTTGCCGCGCTCAGAATCTAAAAATAGTAACACTTTTTGGACATTTTTTTAAATTTTTTTTTGTTTAGTAAGGATTTTGAAGTTTTAACCGCCATTAATATTATATAGGTATTCGTGTAAAATTACAATAATAATAATATATTCGTTCTTATGGTCTATGTAAGTTGTGAAATGCGAATACAAACCGAATACAAAATAATGAAACCCACACAATTTTAAACCTTCAATAGTTGTTTGAAATTTTGACGATAAACATTCTACTGAAAAATATTACTATGTAAAAATAAAAACCCGTATTGATTAAACGTGATTAATCACATTTTACCTATTTGTACGGTTAGTGGAATCGAATATGAAATTATTATTATTGTTATTAAAACTTGGCCGGTCGTCCTTTCTTATCGGACTCAAAATGTCGACAAAAAAAAAACAATTATTTTTTTTCAAATTAACAAAAGACCTCGCAACTGTTTCCGTGTTTAACTCGTATTGTATAAATTATACTGTATAGTTTTACTCACCATGCCACGTTTTTTCTCTTTATATACTTCGAACAAATACTACATAACCGCGCCACCGATAGACGTATTATTATTATTATTTTATGCGTTTTCAAAGTGGATGTCTAATAATTATTACCGTAAAAAGAACGCGCAGGAAATCGGAGTTTAATGTAAGCGTACAGTATCGAACGTACTACAACATTATACCTTGTTCAAGTATTTTACACACTAATAAGTATATGAAATGCCGATTATACGCAAAGGTAGGCACCAAAAATAATAATATTTATGCGATTTATTAACCATGTATAACTGTATTATAATTTATAACCCAAGGAGTCTAATCTTTGAACAAATCTGATGTAACAAACCCGTAACAACAACAGTGAGCAGTGGGGGGCACGCATACGACCGTATGATAATTTCTTATCTATACAGTATTATACGTTACGAGTACATTTTTATATTATTTATCGTTATAATATTTAAACCCACACATAAACCGGATCGTAAATAATAATCATAATTAATATAATTAAATTTATACCATGTGCTGTTGCCATCGAACTTGCTTCACCGGTCACCGAAAAATAATATTGTTGTAAACTCTCTGAAAGCATATGGGTAGTTTATAATATTCCCCCACGACTAAAATAATAATTTCTGTGCGATATAGCATTAGTATCAACTAAACTCCGCTCAAAATCGTATTTTTAGTAAGCAATGGCTTATCGTTGCATATTTGCCCTCTATATTCTACCTTCCCAACTGCTCAACAACAACAGTGGTTGTACCCGTCCCCATTATCCTAGGACCGCTTTTTTCATGTATAACTCACAGGGATAAGGATTATAAATATTTATGTTTCAATTAATTTTTTATGTTTTATTAAAAATTTCAAAAAGTAGCTTTACTTTATTATTTTTAAAAAAATTGAAGATAGCCATTTTATAGAGTTTATTCTTCTGAAAATTCTTTATTTTTTTATTTTTTATCAAATTCGATGAAAGTTCAAAGAAAAGTACCTATAATAATTATACAACAGACTGCAGTTGCATTCACCAATTGATTATTATAACTATTACTAATTGACTATACACTCTTTTTTCTGAATTTTTAAATATAATTAAAAATCACGAATTTGATAAAAATAAGTCGATACGTCAAAATGTTCACAAGAATAAACTTTATAAAATGGCATCTTTGAATTTTTAAAAAACAATAAAATAAAGTTACTTTTTTATTTTTTTTTTTACCAAAACATAAAAATGTAATTAAAATATAAATATTTTTGGTCCTTATCCCTGCGAATACTATAATATATATACAAAACAAAAAAAAAACTTAATTTGATTATCCTATTTATTATCTCAAGAGATACTGCAATGGATATATCTTCGTGAAACACTTTGCATATTGTGAAAGCCTTAAAGGTCAATTATGTGGTTTATTCACATTTAGTGAAAGGTCGTTTTTATTACATCAGTGCTCTGTGAGCTGATGTCGCACCTTTTATACAGCTACTAGTATAGTCGTAATCTTATATTGGTATTATACCGATAAATATTATGTTATGTCGGCGTTTTAAATTTTTAATAGCTTAAATTCAATAATATCTTAGTACGATCTGTGTACTATACGTACGGGTTGCAAAAAAACAAAACAAAAATTGTTTTTTTTTTTTTTATTCAAACGTGTTTTTAATTGTAAACAAATGTGTATGTTCTAAACATATTTTTTTTGGTTTTTACATTATTTTTTCGTAAATATCATATTAAAATATGTAATAGTTAATTATAAATAAAACTTTGACATATTTATTTAAGAATAAAATACCAATATTGAAAACAATTTTACTTCTTTATTCAAATTCTATTGGAACGTGTATTTTCGTTTATATTTTAAGAATGAACAGTTAGGAATTATATAAATATCTTTATTCTTCAGAACATATTACTTTTTTAAATTTAATTTTTGAACGTTTAAAACAAAATCTTCGAAACACTTCATAACTTTGTACACGCATTAAGCCTCACAATGCTTGTGAGAAGAGGTGGTACCCGTTTCCACTAAAATTGGACCTTTCCCTTTTCCACCAAAACCATATTATTTGGCTCATTATTGATTCAATAAATGTTTGGTGATTGTTCATGCAACCCGGCATAGGTATAATAATATTATAATATAGGTAAAATATATATGCAATATGTATATTATTGTTTAATGTAGAAAATATAATATTTTATTAAAAAATTGTCAAATTTAAAAAAAATCTATATAATATTATGGTATACCTTAGCTATGTATATTGTACTTATATTACATAATTAGTTTTTATATATTTTTATAAAATTGTAAGATATACTTTTCATAAAATCTCGCCTGAAATTTAAAACAACATTTTGTTTTAATAAATATATTTAGTATATTATTTTATTAAACGCAATGAGTTCCAATTATTTCATTTTTGTAGTTCGTTATAATTCGGTCATTTTTCTTTTGGCAGATATACTTATCTCAGTCTTAAAATTGTGTTATTATAATGTATGCAGAAATATAATATTGTTGTATATAAGTTTCCATATTTTTATATTAAATGATTTCATTTTTTAATTTAAATAAATATTCACAATGTGTTTATATAGTATGAATCGTGTTTTGAGAATAACGAATTAGAAATACTTATAAAAGTTTTACGATGACGGCTGTTAGATATAGACAAGTATACAGAGAACAAGATTAGAGATGTCACAACAACAAAATCAAAGTGAAAGTACAGACGTTGAAACTACTGTACGAAGAAGAAGTTACTGAAATCGGACAATACGGTTACGTGTTCAAAAATCGAGTTACGGTCCCAAAGAGGATATGATATGTGAAGACAAATATTGGCTCATCAAACTATATGCCGTTAACTTTATACCGAGCATATAAAATTCACATTAACTACTATAATAACACAAATTTTCGCTTTTAAAACAAATATTCGTATGGGTATCGAAATGCAAATTATAAAAAATGTAATATGCCTATATATAATGTATCTAGAAATATTGTACAACAAACCAAATATCAGAATAGGCAAAACGATCAGAGTGGGCTGACCTATGGGTTTAACGGGCCGAAGATTGAAGGTTATATCGAAATGTCCTGGTTAAAAACCTGACAAAAGAGCGGCGAATGGGAAGACGCCTGCTAACGGTTAAGAAAAGATATGCCTATCAGTTATCGACGAGTCGATAAAAATGGAAAACGCAATAGGTCGGAATAAATGGGGAGAAGATTGATCGAAGCGTGTAAACGACCTTAATGACTTGTCTAATATTATTAAAAAATATATATTTATGTATATCAGACATCTAGAATAATTGAATACAATATTTATTGTGTTCTAGTATAAAATATTATTTGCTTTACGATTCGAAATTACTGCTGCAGCAACTCTTATCAGACAAGGTTGAGATCCACATTATTATGGTGGGGGTCAAGAAGCGGTACCTATATTTTTTTTCTAGTCAGTCTCACCTATTATAATATAATATGTATATAAAAAAAAAGAAAGAAAGAAAGAAAAAAACCGTCTGCAATGACCGAGATTCGAGCTCGTGACAACACGTAACGCATTACTATCTACACCGTTAATACAATTATTGTTATTATTATTATTATTTTATAGATTAAAATCCTTTCAAAATAATCTATAATTCAAAGACACGCCAGGTCTAAAGGTTCAATTCGATAATTGCGTTATTTAACTTTTAATCCATCTCTCCAAAAATAATAATTATTATAAATACTTACAGCGGCAGGGTGATAATTTATCATTGCATTACCTATATTTCGTACCTTTTGTATAGTTTGGTATATTTTAAAATGTCTCCCATATAAATATATAGGAGACCTAGGAAGTATACTTACTTGGAAGTATAGTGGAATCGTTTCAATTTGAAATTATTATATAATTTCAAAATCAAAATTCGGACGATGGAACAGATTTTAAAAGCATATAAACTAAAAATTATAGCAAGCTAAATAATAGCTATATATACGTTTTACTTGATTTATTTATTTTCCGTAGGCAGTATTTGAATTGGAAAAATGAAAGCAGAGGATCTCTGTTCTAAGCCAGACAATAATAGCTTTCCGACAAAAATAATAGTTCATTTAATTTGAATTTAGGGTTGTAGGCCTTTAAACGAAACAAAAATACCACTCATAAGACACTATAATAGACCAGTAACCGTTTTAAACGTTATGACCGCGACCGTTTACCATGGATGTGGATGCTCCTTATAAAAATCTCGATTAGCTATAAACTGCTATAAAAAAAACAAAATAATAATAGATGTTGATAAATGCATAAAATCCAAAAAAAAAAAGTTTTTTTTTTTTCAAACCCTTCGTAATTATTATTTATCACTTTAAATAAAAATAAATTTATAAATAATTGAAAATCAAAGTCACAAAGACTGATCACGGATGTATAGAAATAATAACATATTTTTATACTACATTATTAAGTTACCAAAAAACCACATACTGGCATATGTACCTATACCTATACCTACTGTATACAATATTATATTTCCACTACGTGACAAACAGATCCCGTATCACATTCAGACGCGACACACAAAGAACCACTAGCTATTGTTTTAATATTTTCACCTTATTAAATCATTTATATTATTATGCGAGAATTATATGCTTGTGGTGTAGTAAGTAGGTACCGACTGCGTTTTGGACGGTTCAGACTTTTCGGTATCATTAACAGTTACTTTTTTTTGTTCCGTTTCGCGAGTTGTGACATAATTGTTACCTATCCTAGGTACCTACTTATTAAATATTAAAATGTTATATTCTTAACCGATTCAATTTTTTAATAATGCAAACTAAAATAATGTATGTCTAATTTTCATATTATATATACAATATAGATTTATTTATTTATTTTATTAATAATCGATATTAATTTGTATTTGTTTAGATTCTGAGTAGCGTACGAGTTATATTAGTTTGATGTCACTATATATGCTTTTTTTCTCGTAAATCGCTTTTTCAGCTGGTGCTTTTATTTTTTCACGTCATACATTAAAAGATGCAAATTTATCGCCTGTTGTTACTTAATTTCTTAATGTTTTTAAAATTTCAAAAAAAACATTTTTTTTAATAGGTACTTCATTTGTTGGTTAGAAAAATAAATTTTTTTTGCTCTTTATAAAATATGCGGAATTTCTACTCGAGGCTGTCATGCTCATCTATAAGTGGGCATGTCGATCACCGGAGTTTCGTGGTGTCAGTGAGGCGCTCCCTCCTTCAAGTTGATTTCAAGTTAAAGTATAGGCAAACAAATTAAAGATAAGTTAATTAAAATAGCAAACTAATAAGTTAAGTTAATAAGTTTAAATCAACTTTAAACTTACTAACTCGTTAATGCCCAACTTTGACTATTTTACATATAATATCAATAAAGAAACTTTTTAATTTTAAATAATCTCTTCTATTAAAATAAATTATTTCTATGTAAAATGACCAATTTGTAAATTTTTTTCTATGTATTCCTTCGTTTAATTTTTTTTATTCAGTCGCGTTTTAATCTCAAATGTAAAATAAATGTAAAACATCACAGTCGATGATGAATTTTTAATTCGAAACCGTTTGAACACTTATCATAGTACTCCAGGTGAAGCATTGGTTCATTTATTTATTTTATTTTTATGTATACATTTTTTATTTATATATTTATTTACTTTATGTAATAAAGAAAAATGCAATAGTCTTATAATCTGATCCGAACATTATATCCCGTTAAGATGACTCCGATTATTATTCATTATAGACCACCTATTACCTATATTGTTATTACGCGAAAAATATCTATAATTCGAAAATAATAATATACATTTTTTTTTTTACATTCCTTAGATTATGGCACTCATCCATTATTTTGTATCTATAGCCACTGTAATATACACTTATTTTAAGTCTTTGTATTTTGTTTTTTCTCTATAATATGTTATATTAACTGTTTAATAAATGGCGTTTTTACAATAAGAGTGGCTGTGGAAGAGGCTACAGCCTCTTTCAACACTTTTCATTTCAATTGTTGTAGTGACCCCCGCGTTGTTTCTATTATTAGCCGGCCTAATCACATTCTTTTTCCTATTCTCTCTTTAATTATTCTGCACTTCATATTATTGATTTCCGTTCGTTCGTTCGTTTATAATACAAAACTTTCTCTATATCCCGGAAATTTTTATGTTCTTTAACTCCAATACCATGTTATATATGTTTCAAACAATTCAAATTTTTCTCTTTCCATTTTCAGTAGAGCTTTTTATAGTTTTTTTTTTTTTTAATGTACTATTCGATATTGCTTATTTAACCATATCATAAGTGTATAAAAAGTTTTAACGTCACGGAGCATATTTTAAGGAATTTGAAGTTGGTGACACTATATTATTCTATATATTATAGTCATTAGGATCACTCCTAGTTCTTATCCTTGAATTTACTTCTTCCTCCCAGTAATAAAAAAATAGTTTGAACAATCACTGTTTAGTGTTGATATATTATAGATTTCCAAAACCCTGTCAAAACCCTTGAGCTAATTTTGAATTGAAATAAATAAGTAGTTTGTATCATTTATCACAATTGCATCACTTTAAAGTTTACATTTTAGTTGAATATTCGTTAATGACAACGAATCGACGGGTAACATTAATATTTTTGTTTGTAAAAAAATACGGCGGTTAGTACCTATAATAAATAATACTTGTAAGTAATGAAATTGAATTTGTCGAAGTTACTTAATGTAATATTTCATATTTCAATTATTAATAAAACAAATTGGTCGAGATCTGAGGTCGGGGCACACCCATTAACTACTGGTAGGGACTACAATGCCACCTATTTTTATATTATGTTAAAATATACTCGATATAAAAAAAGACGCACATACTTCACACGTGGGTGGAGGTGTTGAAGGTGGAAAGTTGGGAAGGGAGTTTATTGTATATCTACAGGCAACGATAAACCATTGCTAACGAAAAAATGATTCTGAGTAGAGTTCATCTGATAGTGATACTTTGTCAGCAATTGAACAACATATATGTTATATTATAGTAAATTAATTAAATAGGCATTATATATTTTTTTTTTAAATAATATTTGTATTGTACCGGTTTTGTCGTTTTTCTTAAGTTTTTCCCGGGTTTTCACACTTCCTAGGTAAACTCTTGAGAAAATCAAAAAATGACCACTCTGAAGTACCTTTCCAGTGAGATTTCCTTTCAAAAAAAGTTCTATCATTGTAAATCGGAGCAAAACTGCTGGTAAAAAATTTGTTCACAGTAAAATAAAGGTCCGAAATATTTCTCAACTAACAATTACATTTCCCACATTTTCGGTTTTTTACATTTGATGAGAAAAATCTTAAAAAAATTGAAAAATAACTTTCCTAAAGTACCAAAAAGGTTTACATTATACACATCGGAGTAAGATTTCTGGTGGAAAAAGTGTTCACATAAAAAAAAAAAAATCTTTATAAAACTAATACATTTTTCGCTGCACTCATAATCTAAAATAGGTGACACTATAGTGTCTCCCCGTAGTAAAAATATACTCTGTAACATGACGAAATAAACAGGCATGTCGGATAAAATCTATTTTTGCTGTCATTGCGCATGTTGGAAAATACGATATCAGCTAATTATAATAATTAATATTAATTATGGAAACTTGACCCAGAATGTACCTATCACACAAATTGAAATTTGAAATATCTTCTTAAAACAATTTAAGTACCTAGGTATTAATGCAAAATACCTTATAACTAAGAAACTGTATATAATATTATTTTTTATTTTCGATCCTACCTGTATTATTTCTTTTACATAAATTAATTTAAATTATTATAGATTCAAAATAATTAACTTTATTTGCATAATATACTGTATGCCTATTTTATTTTAAATATTTTTGGTGTATTGTGCACAACTGTATTCTATAGCATCGCCATTATTTATAAAAGAACTTCAATTTTTATAAGAATAAATCTTTTACATATTACATTTAGGACAACTTGGATTTTCTACAACTACACCATTTATTATAGTCTATATTGAAATTAAAAAAAAAAAATGTTCTTTTCTTATTAGGTGTATTATTTACTTTATTAGGTAGACCACCTGGGAACCTATTGTATTCAAATTGTAATATTTTGTTCCTTATGGTTAGGTAAGAAAGCCACATGTGAGAAATCACCGAATTTAATGAAATGTGTGATTTGATTATATGGTTACGGCATATAGTCGTATATAATATAGATATTTGGACGTTTCCCCACAGTTTTTAACGGTACTAGACGTTTTTTCCTTGGCTTGAGACATTTCCTTCTTGAATCAAAAGATATATATGACACATAATAATAGCTTAGAAAATAGATTTTTTGGTTTTACTCAAATACTATGATATTGTACTTAACAATTTGTATGATTATTTAATAAAAAATCTCGTAAACTACATTTATTTATTTGCATTTGTATATTGTTTAATACTCGTATCTTTAATATTTATATTAGTGAATTTTGTATTATTATGAAGTTAACAAAAAAAATTTGAATTTGAATTATATTTATATATTAATTTAATCATTTGTACCTACATTTATTAATAAATATTTTTACTTCAAATTTTTCTCCGGGGGGGATTATCTCGTTTGGGGGAAAAGGTCCAATGAATTGGGGGGGCAGTTACAGAAACGTCCAAGATTCATTATACATGGGTACCTGGACGGCTGATATTGTAGATATCGTATTAGTTTTTATTTTAACAAATTTAACATTATAGAGATGAATTTGTATAAATAATGTCTCTGTAATATGAAAAAAATCAGAGTAATAGTGCCATAAGCGAACTACCATAATTTTCTCGATCAACATGTATAGCGCACTAGTGTCATAATTAATTTACCTACTAAAAACTACTTACAAATAGTTTTACTTAAATTCTTCCTGCGTAATAAATAAATATTGATAAAATGATAACAGATATGAGATTTCTATATAGTGATTATAATACTGACGAATGAGCATAAAGTACTCGATGCAGTTCTGTGTTTAAATCCTCTTTTGCAAAACTACTATGTTTTAATGATAATATGATAATACAATACACAATAATCATACGCGCTTTGCCATAAATAAATAACTGTAATATATTATATTATGCATAAGTATACCCATATTTCATTATAATTTTTATCGAAATATTTAGTATTTCTCGCGAAGTTTATGAATTAGCGATAACGTAGATTTTTTAAAAAAAAAAATACATAACTATAATATGTAACTCCCATCAATAGGCTGCGTAAACAAACAATTTAATAAAAATAAAAATAATTATATTAATAGTAAAAATATATATAATGATGTAACTTTAAGTTGACACTAATGTTTTTTAATTGAGATTATTTATATCGTTACTATATTAATTTATGATTGATAATTAACATTTAATCGTTTCCGCCTATATACGTGCATGTTGTTTAATCAGCAACATATATGTACAAGTTGTAGGTATAATACTCGTATACAATTAATTAAATAAATACACATAAATCGAAATAAACGATTTCTGTAGTATGAAAATTCTACACATAGCTACAAGAAACGCGCGAAAGGTATAGTAGTTGTTCACCATAGGCTATCCTGGTACCGGTCGTGTGTGTTTCTGGTGTTTCAGTTACGCTTCGAGTGTAGTCATAGACCGACGTTTGATGTTGACGATTCGACGGGTGTTTTTTTTTGTTTTTAAACGACAAATAATTTTTAAAAATAAAATATGTAACTATAATATTTACCTAGATCTATTTTATAATTAGTTTATAAATCCAAGTGTGGTGTAATACGTTTAAAATGAATTTATAATTGTACTAAATGTTTAAAAAACGTACAGAAAAACCTATGGATACTTCTACTACAACTACTTCTTCAACTACTCCTTCTACTACTAATACTACCACTGCTACTACTAACAATAATGCTACGTTGAAGTCGAAAAAATTCCCCGCGATGTTCAAAAAAATGATGCTTTCAAGTGAGTTTCACAATTTGTTAAGGTAATTATTTTAAGTACATACTATATTATAACACGTTCAGGTATATTATAATACGAATATAATATATAGGTATACCCGTAATTTTTCATTGTTTTTATTTTCTATATATTATAATATTGTTTGATTCCAGAGAAGGATTTGAGTGAATTTTGTATTGTTTTCAATACAAGCAAATTCAATTTTCAAAATTGATAAATGTGTAAATTATTTAATGGTCTAACCTAAATCAAGCCTTCCTAATGACTTAGTCTTATAATTCTTATGACTTTTGCCCTTTTTTACCAAACAAAAGTACATAATAGTAACTTCAGATATTCTCCGCTCATACATATTTATTTGTTTTTCTTTGAATGTTTCATAAAAGCTAAATAAATATAGGTACTAAAAACAATTACAATACGAAATACACTATAAACCAATTCCATACGATATTTTGCCAAGATTACAATATGTGGATATAAACGCCAAATATAATATTATTATAATATTATTCATTCCATAAATAATATGCTGAAGATTAAAAATTATGCTAAATACCTCTAGGTACTTTTAGTTTGATTTTCATCATGAGTTATAACTAAAAAATAATAATATAGACGATTTACATTATAGCAGGAGTCAATAAAACGCATATTGAACAAACGGTTTATACAAATTGCATAGAAAAATAATATAATTCGAGTTTTAAATATTATTTGCGTGCATACACGGTCCACTAAACAACACGCGTATACTTACCTAAAATAATATATTATTACGGTTAGAATAATACCTATTCGTCCATGACCTTCGACAATTATATATTATCGTTTTTACAATGTAGGTAATCGAAAAAAAAAAAAAAAATCGCAGCGTGTTGTACATAAAACTATAGCATAAAAATGTATAACATTTTGTCACTAAAATTAGTGTAATTATCGCCACCAAAGTCGTGTACGCACATATATATATATATTATATATACTACGTTACTAGATTACGAATAACAATATTGTAAGGTACCTATCTATAGTTGAAATAGTACATTGATTTTCGTATACCGATATCAACAAACTAGCGAACGTTATCCATGGTAACGGTGATGGCGGTTATGTTAGTCGTGTAAAAATTGATTAAAATTTATTCGAAGAAAATTATCCGTTTTTTATACAGGCAACTAACTACTAAAATAATACGGATACTTATACTGACCGAAAAAATCCTCTTTTCCGTATTATAATGTACAATAATACACGAAGTAGGTACGAGATTTATACAGTCCATGACTAAACTGAAATTAGGTATACTGCACAAAATATTATATGGAAGTGCCATAAACAATTAGGTAAATACATTAAAAAAAAAAAAAAAAAAAAACTTATTGTTAATTTGAAAATACAATTTACTTATATAATCCTTGCTAAAGAAAATTCAAGGATATTTATCCACATTTTTTATCAAACTATCGATCCCAGGCTCCCTTTTTTTCAGATTATATCGTGATGGTTATCACTTGAATATATTCTAATTATTCTATTTTAAATTGTAAATGAAGCGGGGATTGTATTGGTTTTACAATGATATTTTTTTTTTGTTGATTATCCCGTGGGTTTTCATAATAAATGGGAAAAAACGGAAAAATGTATGAAATAAATTATTTTCAAATCGTAAATACTACAGCCTTTCAGAACATCTACAGCCGAACTCCACTCAGAATCGTTTTTCGTTAGCAATGATAAATCGTTGCGTACAAATATACATTAAATCTGTCCTCTACCTTCCCAACTTCTCACATACAACAGTGGCCCATCCATCGTGCAAAGTACGTGATATCCGTTTGTTTTGTTGTTTTGAGGCCTGTACATCGACCAACATTTTTGGGTGGGTCGTGGGTGTATTCAGAGGCGTGTAAGACTATAGAACCATAGAACAACGAGTTTGAAGTAATACGTACAGTAGATAACTATAATTATAACAATTTATTGCTTATTGATTTGTACATATGATGGGAGGAGGTAATGGGAGAGGAGAGGTTGTGGTGCTGGTAATAATAGATAATTACTATAGGCTTCACACGAAAACAAATGTTCTGTATCCCTGTTACTGACGATAATTGTTATGTAATATTTCAATAACGAATCGAAACAACGTATTTAAAAAAAATTCGTATTTCATGTTTACTACTTAGGACTAAAAAACATTTCGAAGGACGCGACTTCGGCGGTAAAATCGTCGGTACAAAAGAAGACGTCGTCGGCCAAGAAAAAGTCAGCGGCGGCGGCTGCGGCGGCGGCAGCGGCAGCGGCTGTGGTCGCGAAAGAGACCGAACTGCAGGTAGTTCATCAGGAACGTCCGGGAACGGCCACTTTGGACAAACCGCTGTTGTTGGACAAGCGCGCCGCAGACAGCGCAGCGCTAGTACCGGAAGGACGAACGTCGGCCACCGGCAAACGTCCGGCCGTCCAACAATTCAACAGCCGGACATACCGGGTAAAGACCAAGGACCGAAAGAGCGTGCTGAGCTTGCCAGAAGTGTCCAAATTGCAGCAGACGTTAAAGAACAGGAAGAGTCATTTGCCGATCAAGGTAAAACCAGCGGCCCCGGCACCGCCTGTTCGGCAACGGGTGCAAAAGATGTCGCCCCCGCTACGGCCGCCCGCTGCTGATGGTATCGACAAAGAAAACGACAATAACGGGCAGAATAACATCACGGCGGGTACCACCGTCACACACCCGACACCATCGCCCGCCGACGATTATCAGCCGGAAAAATGGGTTCCGACGGCCGTCGGGTCGGCGAGAAAGAAGAGACTTGTCCTGTGCTATTTGTGCGGCAAAGAGTTCGGTACGGCTTCATTACCGTTTCACGAACCGCAGTGTCTCAAGGTAAGTGTTTCGGGTTTTTTTTTTTTTTTTTTGTTTACGAATTTCGTCGACATTAAACTTTAAACGCGTATTAAAAAAATAATAATAATCGTATTATTATACGGTAATTTGTTTACATTACGAGCGTATTGAAGACGCTATTATAGTTCTACTAAGTTGTGTTTTTTTTTTTAATAAAATATTTTTCCGTTCAGTAAAAATGCTCCAAATCGTTCAAATTGTGTACTGAAAGATGTAGTAAAAGATTATTTGCCCAGCGTTAGTTATTTATTTGGGAAAAATATACAAGTTTTCGAGGTTTCTAAAAAAGAAAAAATTAAATTTTTAAAACACTGACAACAAATTATCACCGATACAATGGTTTTACTTTTGTTAATTTCTGGGTAACCTTCGTCTACAATCGGAAAAAAAAACACGACTAATACAATATAACCTTACCAGATTAGTCAGTTCTACTCTGAATTATTTGCCAAGCTTTTATTTTTTGCTTTTTTTACCAATATAAAAACAACTCGACGATAGATTTTACGTCAAATTATCGAATATTTTTACGAAGCCAAAAAATTAACATTATATTCATTGATAAATCGGAAAATAGAACACCTATATAAAATATATTTTTCAAAATTGCGAATAAATAAATGATTACATGGTTTTCCTTTTTTTTTTGTTCGTTTATCTTGACATAACCATATTATAATATAAAATATACTTATTTTGAGCTCTTGAACTTGAAATAGCGGGGTTTGTTTTTTTATTTTAATGATTTGCGTTTCGAATGAACGTCGATAAATTATTTCGTGACAACAACAGTATAGGTTTGGTCTTACAACGACTATACAGATATATAGTACCTATAATATAGGTACTAACACAACAAAATATAATACGCACCTGTGTTCTGTATATACCGACATGGCTATACATAATATAATTATAATATTGTACATATATTGGTACTGAGTTTTCAAAGTACTATTATCACCGAAGCTCAGTAGCGTATAATCTAGGGTCCAAGTGTTGCTCAAGCAACACCTTAAATATGGGTGGATGGGTATTGCTAAAAGGACAAACATCAAAATTTGTTCTGTCACCCCGCTTACGGTACAATAAATAATAAGAATACATTTTAGCGATATTTAATCGGTAGGTATAATAATATTGTGAGGGATAGGTCACCTAAAATTATTTGAGCAACACAAATTTGTCTTTTAGATATACGACGCCGCTGCCGAAGTTGATATAACTATATCGTATACATGTATTTATTATTCATTTTTCAAAAAAAGTAACTTAGAATAGTTTTATGTCATAAGTGTTTTAAGTCATTTTTCGATTTTCTAATCGGTTTTAATAATAATTGAGAAAAACGGGAAAATATACGTACCTACGTACTACATGTACAAAAGAAACTTCACTCCGAATCGTTTTTATTCGTTGGTTTATCGTTGCGTACAGATATAAATTAAATTCTTATCTATATCCTAGCTTCCCAACTTCTCACTTACAACAGTGGCCCATCCACCATATGAATCTTTTTTAGATAATATTTTAACGTCTTGTTCAAACAATGTTTAAACTTTTTCAGGTTATTGTTTTCCTTGCTTCAATTTCAATTGGGTACTTCTTTACTACGTTGCGTTACAAAATACCTCTTAATTCATATTTCCAATGTAATCGCTGTCTATTTTTGCTCGGCTTTTGTAAATGGTAAATGAAAATGTTGGCGACCAAAAGATTATGTTGTTTGATGGATTTTAAAACGATAGGATCTATAATATAACTTACATAATCTGTACACATTTAACTAAATGCTCGGTTATATTAAGAGTTCACAATCAAATCTTTAAAAATATTATACGAATCCAAGGATGTGATGTGGATAATAATAATTAACAAATACTTATACATTTTAAACAATACCGTTTTACTTAAAATAAAAACAGTATACTATTCAAATTTAAACCATTAAATGGTAGACCACAAAAGTCAAAGAGGCGTTTAAATAAATACACAATACTATTTTAATTGCCGTAACTATACTATTGCAGATATGTATGCATGAAAACATTATGTGGTAGACATTTTGCTAGTTGGCTATATTAAGTAGGCTACTTGTCCGTGACCCATTGATGGGCTAGATACTTCAAAATGAGTATCACACACATCGGTCTTCAGTATCTAGGTACATAATACGAGTACTATATTTAGGATACTGTACTATGTTTACCTACTAGATACTAGAATTGTAAATTGCAATACAAGTTACATCGTTACTTATACATTTTATGTATTTGAACATTATATAGAATGTCCAATGATGATCTGACAACAACTTTTGTTCTATTCAATATTTTTAACATAAATATATATATATATATATATATAACTCGTTAACAAGATAATCCTTGTCATTTAATAGACACAAACAACTGATTATATATTATAATAGATTATAAACCACAATGATATTCCCATTTGCAAAATCTTCAAAAAATTGTAGAAAATAAAAGACTATACCTAAACATATAAATTTCAACCATCAAACATTTTTCTAAAAATCAAAGTACGAAATGGTTACCTAATTTGAATTTTTTAAAAAAAATTGTAATTAAATTAAAAAAATTTTATTTAAGTTCCCACACAAAAAAAAAATAAAAATATACTAACTGTAACACAGAGGCATATTAATTATTAAAAAAATATATATATATTAAAAATATTGGATAGAACAAAAGTTATTTCAAGTGTCAGATCATTGTGGGACACCCTTAAAATATTAGTTTAATTATTTTTTGAAATTTTCAAAAATTTCTCTCCCTCCTATCTTCGTACAATGGCTTTCAATTTGTACTGATTTGAGAGGAAATGGCTCAATTAGCCTTTCCTTCAGTCGGGCGGGATACTTCAAAATCAATATCTAGAAATATTTGATCTTTCGGAACTGTATTGCAGTGCAAGATACAATTTTATCTAAGTTCAGAGCTCTACTTAGGAATTTTGGAACGTGGGTATCTATGATATACTAAGATACGTGTATTGAAGATGCTATACCCAACCCTGCGTATGCAGATATACACATGAAAAATATCTAAAATATCAACATCTACTATATAGATACAATACAAATTTCAAACCGCCGGATATACTTTTCGTATACGTATAATGTATGTGACTTGCGACTGGAGTGCGCCTCGAATGGAATGCAGGTTAAACTGTGCGCAACGCGTGGGAAGTTCGACGGTGAATTTCACATTGAATATCCGTTAATTTGCTCGGCTACTGTGTAGTAGGTAGGCAGTTTCCCCGTTTTCAACTTGCCTACAGGTATGTGCGTATAGGTATATAATATACGTGTGTATACGGGAAAGTCGTCTAGTTTGTAAAAATTTGTGTACACATTTTGTATATCTGTGCTAATACCTGTGTACAAATGCGTATCCGTCGTAGCTATACCCACCAGTCGATTATTATTGTTGTGATGTAGGTATATACAGTTTACACACCGTCAAAATACAATGCATCCGATGAAGTGAGAGCAAAACAATAATAATGGGTGTGCTTGTCTGCCGGGCAACCGCTACAGGAAGTCCGTAACGTGTATACACATATATATGTGTGTGTGTACGTATGTGTACCGTGTGTACCTATAATATGGTTTTTTCGGAGCGCTACTCCCATTGTTTAATAGAGAGGATGTCATCATGCGCAATACTAATACGAGAGTCGCTTTTGCAACATACAATAATAATAATATACACTATACGCCGACCGGTATCAATAAGAAAAACCTCATAGTATATCGAACGAAATTTAATTGGACTCAATAATGCCGTTGTTGCAGCTGCAGCAATCATCGCATTGAACACGCGCATTTGCAGTGGTGAATTTCAACATAGCCAGGCCATACAACATAATATTATACGATACAGCAAGCCGCTTTACCCAATGTTACCCGCAGAGTAAAAGTAACGCCGTGATGGTTGTTTATATTTTATTGAACCGTATTAGGTTCAGGTAGGTGGGGTGGTACGGTTTTATTCTGAAAAAAAAAAAAAATCTAATTTTTTACGTTATACAATAATAATAATGTATATAAATCATCTGTGCATTTCGAGCGGATATACGGATTAGGCTAATAATATTGTTATAAATACGAGTACAAATGCGTTTGATTAACGTCTTGTAAACTGTAACAGGTGCAGTATTATAGTACCTATGTAGTAATTAGTATAATAGTAAAAAATTAAGTTGTTTAAATTTTGTTGTAATAACAACACTTTACTTTTTTTCATTATTGTTTATTAATTATTCCAAAAAGTAACAGCCGAGCATGAAAACAATTATAACATTGTCTTCGGAGCTTGTGCCAAACCGGTTCACAGTTGCAATGCACCACCCGTGAATAAATACATTTTATATACTTGTACCGGGTTTACTTGTACTAGTTGTGGGTGGGAAGCTTGAAAACTATACGATACAGGGTAATTTAGTTTGCATATTAAAAGCAACAATAAACCAAATTGCAATCAGAAAACGATTTTGAGCTGAAGCTCGTTAAACTGTTAAAGTTATGTTATAAGTATATGTTAAAATATAGAATTATTGTATCCGCCTTTTCCTCCATGTAACCAAGATAACCCAAAATGAAATTAACAAAAATAAAATCGATTCTTCGTCATTTGTTGTCAGTTTTTGTCAAACCCGCATCTTTCGTGGTGTACCATGAAAAAATTGAAGCATTTTTACTCGCCGAAAAAGTGTTTGAAACACATCAGATTGAAACTGTTATAGTTTCTTCGCAACACTCAAAATCTAAAAAAAAAAAAAAAAACAATCAGTCTAATGGATGAATAACAAGCAGATGTAGAGAATTTCACATAAAAATCGCATCATTGTATGGGATAATATTAACAACACCATCACGGTAAATATTATTAAAATAATATGACCTAGAAAATAAATATAATCTAATAATATCATTGGCGTGGGAAAATCGGGGCCCACGGTCGTCGTGCGTTTAATATTATTATTTTTTAATACGCCACGAGCATTTTTAATCTGTCGTAAAAACTGTTTATTTGTGACATATATATATATATATATATATGTATATACGTATAAAAAGTCGAAACTTGAATATTGTGTACGTAAATAAAAAAAATTCAAACAGTACCATTATTTTTGAAGTGCGTATTGTTGCGGTTTACCGTGCGGCACGTAATATATTATGTCTAACTGTGTATCGAATATTGATTTTGTTCTTTAATGACGATATACTTTACAACGCGTACGCTAGAAACAAAAAAAAAAAAACAAAACAAAACAATACCGTTAGGTGTATCTTCATTGTACATAAATATGGATGAAACAAACAAGTGCAGATTAAAACGAAGTATAATGTTTTTATTGTATTTGCTTCTGTTTGTCGAACACAAAATAATTATTCGAATAGGTCAAAAATAAAGACTATTGCACCGTATAGTGTCTAGTATTATTATACTGTAATATTAATATATATAATATGTATTATTATATCTTTTTACCGCAACATTTGAACACTTTTAGCGATTGCCTCTGCACAAAAAATTGAACTCAAACTGGAGAATTATAGTCGATTGATTGTAGGATATTTGAAATAATACAAGTTTAGTTGAAATTTATTATGAATTTAATCGGCCATTTATCACGGTTGAACGATGTGTTTTACTTTTGTACACCTCTACATACGCTCTACAGACTCTCGAAATGAAGCCAGGTGCATACAATTTAGTATATACATGGCATTAGTATCGAGCATGACGTGTTTTTTGGAGGTTTCAACTTTCAACACTGACGCTTAACATTTTTATAATTTTCAAATTTCACCTTTTTTTTTTGAAATTAATGGGTATGCAATAACCTATTCGGTTAAGTATATCTATTGTTTCGCAAAGAATATTTTTATTATATAAATAATATATATGAGGAAAAGTCGTCTATACAGTGACAGATGCATGATGATGCTAACGAGTATTTTTTTTTTCTTTACAGAAATGGACCCAAGAAAATTCTAGACTGCCCGAACATTTACAGAGGACTATTCCGCAAAAACCTACAATGGAAATCGAAAACTGCAACATATCGGTAGACGACTGGAATCGGCTGGCATGGGAAGCCACTCAGGTACCTATATTATATTAAACTTACAAAAATATTAAATTTCAAATTAAATCGCTATTATATATATATATGCGATGCATATATAGGTACCCGGGTATCTATATTATAAAGTCGTAGTTCGATGAACTGACAACTCCTAGACATATAGCATGTGTGATGTGCAACGAAAAATAAAAAAAACGAGTGGGCATATAAGTCATGACTCACGACTGCAGTTAAATCTTTTATGGTATAATCGGCTGTATATTATATAGGTACCGACTATAATATAACAGGTTCTGTAAACTTTATACTTGAGTATTTTATACCGTACGCCCAAACGCCGCGAGTATACGAAGGTGTATATTATAATAATATTATATTATTTATCCACGTGTACGTATATTATACACACACACACACACACATACATATATATAAATATAATAATATAATATTCACCTGACCCAACGATGACTATTGTCGATCTAAATATATAGCGTAGGACTGCTGCACGATGATGAAGCCTTTCTATATAATATATATATATATATGTAGGTACACGTTCGTACGTACGAGAAACGAGACGGATCCATGGTGCATTTCGTGCAGCCGCCGTCGCCAATCTCTACACACGAATGCGAAAAAAAAAAAATAAAAAAAAATAGTAAAACTAAATTTATGTATTACAGTCGAATTTGGTACCATGCGATTATTGTCAACGCAAGTTCCTAGCGAACAGACTCGAAGCCCACGCCAGAGTTTGTCTCGAATCCAAGAAAAAAACACTACCGGTAAGCGCTGCATAATGTCCGAAGTATATATATTTTTTTTAAATGTATTGTCTACGTTTGTTAAAATGGGTGTGTCTCGTTTCGGCCAAAAATGACTATCGCCGTTGTTATAATTTGTTTGAATTTTGTTGTTATAAGATTCTCGTAACAAACTATAAAGATTATCTTTGAACGTGGTCAATGTGTACACGACGTTATGTGGCACATACATTTTACGACATAAACTATATTTTACTGTTTATTAATAATATGGCTGAGTTTTAAAAAAAAAATGAGACATAGATACGTTAGTGTTTAATAATAATAAATACAATTTTGGTTCAATTAACATAAATACACGTGAAATTCGTAGATTCCTTGGCGTTATGTAAAACGTTCTTATTCTGCTACATTTTATACTTTTAATTCTAAAATGATAAATGTAACACGTAGGTTTCACCTGTATGTATAACTATTGACTCTAGATTGGTCATACACACAGCCGTTAATGAAATTCGGCCTCTGTCAAAAAAGTTTGGACATCGTTTTCACATAACACAGTCGTGGTTTCGAAATGCTCAGAAGTACGGTTTAGCTACAGAATATAAAATAAATACAAACATTGGTAAATGGATTAAATACACTTTTGGGTTATTATATTTAGAACCCATGAAGTATCCGATTGTTTTTGTTGAAGATCTGATGCCGGAATGCCCAACTGACGATAGAGTTATTACGTACTATGATTATTTAATAAATAATTTTGGGCGAAACGGACTACGCCTGTTAAAAGTTCTCAGTGCACGCATAGTAGGTACTTACCTACCTACCTACCTACGCTGTTTAGGTACCTACTCGATGTTTGACAACCGATTCATCGCATCAATCGTGACATGACTTTCAGACTTCAGTAGTTGCCTATAACGAATATAATACAGAATGGTGCCTACCTGTATTATTATGGACGATATGAAATACTATATTCGGCTGTTGGCAATAAATGTATCACAAGTAGCCTAGCTTCAGGTTAAATATGTCTTAGGTATCAGCCGGTTTTTACCGTTTTAACAACGTGTTAATAAGGCAATACATTTAATCACCTGGAATCAGCTTGTTGTTGTTCAAAAGTTAACCGTGACACGTTAATATGTGTCACCTATTAATAAAATAGGTACATTTTATTGTAGACAGTGGCGCGTACAGTGAATGGGGGAGGTTAAGAGTGGTATACCTTTCCCCATCAGCTAAAAAATACAACAACTATTAGTGTTTATTTAGTAATTTTATCTTGAAATTAATAATGTATTTTAGCCAAATTACAGGGGGGAAAATGGTTGATTTATCAAATGCAAATTAGCGTTTTCGGATCCAGCTTTCAAATTCTCATTGTCATGTCAGATACAACACACGATTCTACAGAATCCACTTACCACAGATATAATACGATGTTATATTATAAAAACCGTGCTAATCGCAAATAATCGTGACCAATTATAAATTATATAGAATCAAGGTAACCTCTTTAATAGCACAGCTACAACATAATTGTTTTTTTTTTTTATCATCAAAGAATTACTTATCCTCATTTTAATCGCCAGTTATATTATGTATGTAGGTACATAAATATACCGAACGGCAATATTTTGTTAACATTTTTGCAGATTTATTATGACTATCAAAACCTAAAAAAATTACAATAATCGACACTTATTATAGAAAACATTTTGTTCATTATTTTTTTTATTTTTTCACAAATTTTACAACTAGTGCAAACTCTTAAACATTGACTTACAAGTGATAAAACGTGCATACGTATTATACAAGGTTTATGCAAAATAGTATGTATATGTATGTTTTTGAGCCAGAATATGGAAATTTTCAGGTCGGAAGACTGGACACCGTGATGAATATGGTAATCGAAATTTCAAAAACAATTCGTAATTACAAACTTTTAACGCGTGGGTTTAGACATTGGCCAGAACGAGAAATATATTGTATTTTACACAACTACTAATTTTTGTTTTTTAGATTCGAAACGTAGTGAGGGATTTATTGGTTTTACAATGATTTGATTTTTTTTTTCTATCTGTAAACAACTTTTCTACCAGAAATTTTGCTTCAATTGAAAAATTATCGATTTTGTTTCATTTTTCGATGTAGTTTTTACAATAATTATTATGAAAAACTAAAAAAACGAAAAATACGATTTTTTTTTAATTACGGCGCAAAGATTTCATAATTTAAAATTTTTAAGATTATATTTTTTCACCAGAAATTGTTATCCAAATTTCAAAAATTTCTGATTTAAATGAATGTCATTCGTTGAAAGATGCGCGGGTTTTTGACCTCCAAATATTTTATCAAAATTCCTAACATAATTTTAAAAAAACTGACAACAAATTATGATACGACTTTTCGTATAATGTCTGGGTTACAATGGTTACAAGGGAAAAACATGCCTATAATTTTCATTTCCCTCAGAATATTTTCATTATTTTTTTTATCACATTGATTTATCGTTGTTTTTCGTTGCTTTCTCTATAGGTACCATAGTATATTCCCTAATCGGGAAAGTATTATAGGATATTTGCAAAAGTTGCCTATCCATCATATGGCCATATGCAGGTATGAAGTGTGTCCGGCTTTTTGATTCTAAATTTTAAACGCAAACTTTCACGGTGGTTGGGGTTGAATCCCCTCTGTCACTGCTATTGCCATCGTTTTTCGGACTTTCACCCCGCGTCAGCCGATTTTCATCTGCGGGACGGCGTTGCGTGTCCCCGAAGTCATTAGTCACCGTGTATGGGGTTATGAACGTGTTAAAGAACTCTAGTAGTTAAAAGCGTAAATAACAATTTACCAGTTGTTGTGTTACAATGGTTTCGTCGATTGAATTATTGTGACGTGTATATTATAATAAAAATATTTTGAAACCCTGCGCGAAGATAGATTGTTGCTGTCGATCGGTCTGTTCCGAATCGCGGCGGTCGTCATGGAAAGACCGCCGCAGCCGCCGCCGCCGCATTATTATTTTTAATAATATTATTTCTGTTGATTCTATTTTATTATATTCAATATTTTATCGAACCGGTGCCGGTGCGTTCCGTTCGCAGGTACTGCACGGTAATAGATTACCCGCCAAACAGCAGCAGCCGCGGACAGCGATGGACAAACCGAAAAAGAAACCTGCCACGTGTTACGTGTGCGGCCGTCTGTTCGGCACCGCGTCCATAGGAATACACGAACCCCAGTGCCTGATCAAGTGGACCCGGGAAAACGATAGCTTGGCCCCGCACCTCCGAAGACCGGTGCCCACCAAACCAGAAGTTGTCATCGACGAAGGTAACGTGAAATCGTTCTGTGCGTATAACTAGTATACGTCATAAGCTACTGTATTGGTATAATTGTAAATAACCTCACGCGTTGGGTCATAATTTGTCTTCGGTTTTAGAGTCCCCAGCAAAAATCCCCAGTTGCGTTGTTAGTGCTGATTACAAACCCCAGACGTATCTATTTAATAAATCAAAACATTGGCGTTCAAACGATTCAAAAGAAGAAAAAAACAATAATAATAATAATGTAACAGTTTATTTGATTATATAGTAGGCGTACAGAAATAAAATAAAAATTGTATTCCTCGAGATAATTTCTGTTAGGACCCGATCGTCTATGTTTTTTTTTTTTTTAGTTTTTATACAACCCGTTTAGAACCTTCACTGCTTCCATTATTTCACACAACCTCTCCCTATTTTCACTCTCTTCTAGCTCCGTTCCTGGTGCCACCTTTACCAGATCTGCTTTCAATGTGTTCAACCATCGTTGCTTTTGGCCGCCTCTGGGTCTTTTACCGTTGATTTCACCTATCAGAACTTGTTTACAGATACCATTATCTCTCCATAAGTGTCCCGCCCGTTCTATTCGTTAGCTTTTGATAAATACTTTTATGTTTGGTTTTTGAAATAGCTGGTAGATTTCCTCGTTCGTTCTTTTTCGGAATTCTCAATTTTCAGTGATTGGACTATAGACTCGACGGAGTACTTTCTTTTCGAAAATTAATAATTTCTCTTCGTCCTCTTTTGTTACCGACCACGTTTTGCAACCATATGCTAGGAACGGACGTAAATAACTTAAATATGGGTTAATCTTTGACCTTATAGATAGGAGTCTGGATTATTTTAATATAGTTTCACTAATACAAAATATCCTTTGCTGGCTGCTGAAATTCTTAATATTATCGAACACCTATACACTAATCGATAAACAAAATATAATAACTATTGTGTTGTTTCGGTAACAGCGACGGGCAAGGTGGATCATCGAGCAACCAGAGAGGAACATTGGAAATCGTACTTGTCGCAGTTGGTGCCGTGCGATCGGTGCAAACGGACTTTCGACCCGGACCGATTGGAAGTGCACCAGAGGAGTTGCAAAGGAGTGACGAATAAATGAATATTTTATTATTTATATTATTAAATTATAGCGAAACTGCCTTCGTGAATTAATTTAAGAAGTGCAGTTGTCACGCAATATACATTGGTATTTTTTTAAAAATATAATCGGCGATCAACACACACATAACTATATATATATAATATTATAATAGGGTCCGGATTTTTAGGTTCGAAAAAATACTATATGTTAATAATACGTCCAATCTGTGTGTTCGACGGATTTTCTTTTCAGGGGATATCTTTTCACAGAAAAGTTCAATTTTTATTTTTATCTCCAAATCATTAAACAAAAAATCTGTTTAATTGTTCTAAAAATTTGAATTTATTATACATTCTTATGTTTAATCAATAACTTTTTAGTAACAGCCATTTTAATTTCTAGAGGAAAGGTGTAAAAATCGAGACTACCGCGTTATGCGGTAGAGAATAATTATAATTATTATGTTATACTCGTAAACTGAAAATGTTAGAACGGCTGTTACTAAAAAACTATTAGTCATATATGAATGTGTGATACATTACAATTTTTAGAATAATAACTTTTACAAAACGATCATTTTTGAAAATGTAAGATGAATTATCAGTTATTATATTATTTATTTTTTCGACGGGACATTGTGTATAGGCACTCTAAAAAAAAATATAGACATACTCTAAATAGGCCGAAAATAATGACCGTTTTACATACCTGTATTAGAATACACTGACATTTTAAAATATGCGTTATTGTTTAGATATAGGTAATTTAGACGTTTAAATAGTATTTATAGTAAAACAACAAGTACGCAAGTTCGTATCATAACTATGATTTTATAATCATTCAATCCTGGTTCACCTTTAATTTACCTTACGGTTATGACAAAAACCTACAAATATTTTCACTAAATTAATGAAAATTAAATTAACTAGTTGTATTTTTGTTCACAATTTTCAAGATACTCAAATTATAAAAAGATACGTTAAAGTAAGTTGAAATACTTGTTGTTTTTTTAACTCCTGAAATATAATCAAACATCAAAAAACTGTGTTCTCTGATCTCAGCATTATGTTTATCGAATCGTTTTCACTTCACCAACAAACTGCATACCTATATCTACTAAATCACCCAGTGGCGTGCCGAAGTAGGTTTTTTTGAGGCAATTTATTGAGGCCTCGTGACTAAAATAGGTGGGCGACCAAATATGTTGAATGTCGATTAAGATTATTTAACTGTTGTTCAGAGACACCCTCCTTAGTAGTTAGTTTTATGTACTATATTATTAATATACCTACATACGAATAATGTGGTACCCTATATTATGTTGTCGATTTATATGACATATCAAAATCCACGTTTGTAGTAGGTGGGTTATAATTTGTTTGTTTTACCTCGGGTGTAAAAAAAACGTTCACTGAATTCATAACCTATAGAAATCTATTAACCATTGATTCAATGGAGATTTACGTAAAAACCTAAAAATCCGGATCCTACACTCAATACTAATTCATCCTATTGTTGTTTACTAATTATTATAATTTTATGAACTTTATGGTTGTATATACTTGTAGGTACCTATCCCTCGCAATGTTATAATTGTAGATCACAATAAAATACCATGTTATACAAATTTTAGAAAATATAACTATTTTACCTGTAATATGTCCATATAATAATATAATATCATTGTATCTACTAATAAAAATATCTATGGGCTATGGCTATGACCAGTATGACCTATAATGGAAATGAAACTTGTTACGCTTAGAATCTAAAACTGGTACATATTATCTTGCTGTTATAATATTGTCATAATGTTCCGAGTCCTATGCAAAAAAAAAAAAAAATGCAAAACATATAAAACTGTTCAAACGCTCTTTTAAAAGAAATTAAAGGCTTCGGATATTCAATAGTTGTATGTTGTTCAAAACAACAATATTTATAATAATATGAACCTTGTATCAAATTTTCGAAAAGCCACACAAGCTGAAAGCCATTTAAAGCCAAATAAAATAATAAAAAAAAAATCAGCTGATACTAAGGACGGGTGCGGCCACTGTATATAGGTGGGTAGTTGAGAAGGTAAGATATATATAGTTATTTAATTTATACCTGAAGATTAAAAATTTGAAAAAAAATATCTCCTGGTTTTTTATTGGAAGAATATTTATAATAGACATTAGCCGTAAATTTTTGATTTTATGTTTTATTTACGGTTTTCTCTGGTCAGTTGCTCCTTATGAATAATATTAATAATTTTTCTCATTTTCCTTCAATCGCCGTCCAAATTTTATTCTTCTAGGTCTCGACGGTCGGAACTCGTTCCCATCAAAATTAAACTTTCTCTTTTCCACCACATTATTTATTGTATATTATACCAAATGTTTAAATGTGTAAATAATAAATATGAATTAATTATGCTAAATTTAAAGAATTGTTCGTGCGACGATAAATCACTGTCTCGCAACACAATGTGCATAAAATAGAAACAGGTGTAGGACAGAATGAACAATATAATTAAAACAACCATTGGGCACTGAATACATTAATATTGATATCAGATTGAAATATTGAACAGAATATTAGTGCAAATAAATCGTTAAAAAGCTGTTCTAGGATAATGGAAACGGGTGCAGCCACTGTTGTAGGTAATTTAATGTACACAATTGTTAGTAGCTGTTAGCAACCGTAAACTATTACGAACGAAAAAACGATTCTGAGCGGAGTTTATTTTTTGGTTTTTCACATATGATGAGAAGACTCATGAAAAAATCGAAAAACAACTTCCCTGAAGTACCACCCGAAGAAAATTTCCTTTTAAAAGAGTCTACATAGACGCTGTGTAAGGGTTAGGAAAAGATAAGGATTCGATATAAGGTATACTATTGCAGAAATCAACTTATTCAACATTAAAATTTGATCAACATTTTTATAATTTGTTTTATTAAATAAATTTGTATGTATATAATATATTAATATCAAAATAAATATTAAATTTAAAACAAAAAAATTGTATTATTCGGGTTTGAACTTGCAATCTCCGGAATGACCAAGTGTCACCACTAGACTCCAACAGAGATAATGTAAACTTAACAACATTGAGTTATTTAACATAACATAAAAAAAAACCACATAATATCAAAACTTTAAAAGCTATAATTTTGAAATTAAGTCAGTTTACTCAATTCTGACATCACCATTGTTCTTAAATTGGCAATATACATAATTAAATTAAAAACAAAAAATGAAAATTTTGTTCCACATATAATTTACTCAAATGATATTTATCAAAATGTTATTTTAAAATACTTTTATAGAAAAAAAAAAACAAAGCTCAAATTTTTTTTATTGACTACAAAAAATGACTTTTAAGGAACTTCCAGTTAAATTGTCATGAATTTTCTATTTGGTCGCAAATTCATCCAGAGTACCAACCGAATAAAAATTACATACAACTTGTAAAATTAAAATGTAATATTAAGTTCTGTCAAAATTTAGTCTATAAAAAATCTTAACTTAATTTACATTATAAAAGAAAATTTAAAAATAATAAAATAATAATTTGTGTACATTTTCCCTAACTTGTTGAGCTTTTTTTATTAGTATGGTTGATTAATAAAAAACTACTTTCTGTCACAAAGATTAAAAATTCAACAAAAATTCTTGTTTTTCGATTAGAGTAATACTTAAAGTAGAAAAATACCATTCATCAAATTTTAATAAATTGTTGTCAAAATTTAAAAAAAAAAAATGCATATTTAGTCTTGTTCAGTTTTCCTAAATTAAGAAAAACACTGAAAATGTCAAAAAAATAATTTCTGAGTCAGTGGATGTGTTAAAAGGAACAAAATCAGTTTCTTGCAATTTTTCGTTTGAATTAATATTTCTGGTGGAAAATACAAATTCGAACACATTAAAATAATCAGACACTGCTGCAGTAAATATTAATTAATTTTAATTTTCAAGTTTTTCCCTATTACGAAAATTATCTTGGATAATGAGTTAGTCGGTCAGTGGTATATTATTATAGAAACAAAATCGATCTCTGGTAATTTACAGAATGGAGCAAAATTTCTGGGTAAAAATATAATAAAAACAATGAAAACAGTAATACCGTGAATATTGGCAGTTATACCAATAACCTCTAGTTTTTTCCAGATCATTTCGATAACTAAAATATTACCTACCCAACCAGAGTAGTTACCTTTAAACAAAGGTGCAAGTCTACACTTCGGGAGTAAGTTTTTATGTAGAAAACTTCACATACATAGTATAACCAATAAGTCCTTCACTAAGCTCTAAAACCAAGCCTATATAAAACTATAAACAACCCAAATATACTACTAGTAAACAATGATGTGGTTCATATAATAATAAAGTGCAATAAAAAATTTATTTCCTCCTTGTCAGACAATGTGGTTAAAAAAAAAAACAACTTTGAATATAAAAATATTTCATATATATAAAATCTTAAATATCACAACCAGCTAATAAAGGCCGAGGACTTATAAAAATATATACTAAGATTTAAAAAAAAAAAAAAAAAAAAAAAAAAACGTAATATTATACTTTTGTTTATTAGGTATTTTAGTGACATATGCACAGCATTACCAAATGCTTTCGACAAACACATAATATCAATAAATGATCAATAGTATTTTGGTATTTTTTTTTTTATGGAAACAAATAAATGATGGTTTTTATTTTATATAAACATATATTTGGAAGGAGCAATAATACGGAACCATTCAATATTTTGTTTTATGAAAAATTAACATATTATACAATCAGAATTGTTCAAACTCAAGACCGAAATAATATTTTATCTGAAAATAATAAAACATCGAGTCTTTTATACTATTGTGTTAACAATAAAAATAATAATAAAAATAAAATGCGACGATCTCAAAGATGTTAATATTATGTTTATAATTTGTCGAGGTATGAATTGATATCGGGTAATCCATCCTTAAGACCTTTACGTTTACGCGTTTCCTGAGAATTATAAAAAAAAAAAGTTAGCAACTATTAAACGTTAAATAATTTAGATCAAGATAATTACCATAACAACGACATAAGGTTTTGAGCCAGATTCACATGGGTCTCCAGGGAATACTTGCCAGTGATCAAACACACACTGTGGGAAAGCTTGACCTCCAGTATTACTACGCAAGTCTGCAGTAAATCCTGTGAAAAATGCATTAATTAGTATTGGTATATTACATAATATCTATCCTTTAAAAATGTTAATAATAAAAGTTAAGCAAAAAAAAAAATGTTTCATTTCATTATAGCTTAATATCGTTATTGAACATAAGGATAGAGGTTCAACGACAGCGTTTTAATGAAATGCTATGAAATTTGTATACTTCCATCTGCACTATCAACACTGTCTTTGCTTACAAACAAATGAAACTGTCGGCCAACTACAGAGTGATTCATTTGTGCTGGAAGATAATATTAATATAACCAACTATGTTAAATTTGCATTTTCAGGGAATATAGTAAAATGATTGTATTGCATCAGATAAAAATCTGATGAACATAGCGACATATACCTAATTTTAATTTACCACGGAAAGGAAAGTCTTTTACTTCATTGATACAATAGCAAAAGAGGCAAATTGTGGATCTAAAATATTTGTTCAAAAATTAAAATATATGTAGTAATATGATTTGTATTGTATCAGATAGAAATCAGATAAATGTACACCACATAAACTTGATATTTTCTTTTGTCACAATATAGTTCTTTCACATATCAATGAAAAAAGTGAAAGATGCAAATTGTGACTGAAAGTAAAACAAAACCATGTTTCAATATTTATAGGTAGTGTGGTAAAATGATTGTATTGCATCAGACATAAATCTGATAAACATAGCGACATTCACCTTATTTTAATTTACCACAAAAAGGAAAGTCTTTTACTTTATTTATACAAAGTATAAGAGGCAAACTGTGGAATATTTTGTTTTATTAAAACAAAATTGTATATGGTAGTATATTTAGTATTACAACTGTATACACAGAAGGAGTCGCTTCATAGTTTTTAAAAAAATAAATAAAAAAGAACTGTTAAATATTTTAAAATACTCACCAAATGATTCATTGACAGGCAAGTATGCCTTGACAACGAACATGGGTGTTCCAAGAACTTGACTTTCTTCAAAAACGTGTCCTCTACGTCTGTTCAAAACACCATAAATACCACCTACTGCAACTTCAGGGCACTGAAATATAAAAATATCAATAAGTATTTAGGTTTAAATCAAATTCAAAAAATAAAAAATCTTTATAAATAAACACACCTGAATTTCACACAAGTACACAGGTTCCATAATTCTAGGATGAGCAGATAAAATGCAAGCGTACATACAACGACGCGCAGTTGGAATGATTTGACCACCTCCTCTATGAATAGCATCAGCATGTAATGTAACATCATGAATGTTGAACCTAACTGCACGCATATTTTCTTCAGCTAATACACCCTAAAATAAATTATAATGCTATTTATTTAAAAGTTTATATTGAATAATGTATCTCATAAATTAATACAAAGATTAAATTGCAATCAACATATCAAGAGAATCAAAAATAAAAATAATTTAAAATAACTATTTATGACTAAGTAGTAATTCAATCTATTAATAAATTACTCAGACACTTTCAACCATCAGCAATATCTGGTGGAAACCGCGAAAGATATAACAAAAGTATCATCATGGTAAATAATAATTATATTATTATATTTCAAATCTTTCAATTTAAACAACAGACATTTTTTTTTCCTTGGAACAAACGGTATTATTCTATTTCTACAAGTTTATATAGTACTCAGACACTTTCAGCCATCATCAAGATAGGAATACCTCTCTGGTGGAAACCGCGAAAGATATAACAAAATTATCATCATAGCAAATAAGTATATTATTCTATTTCTACAAGTTTATATAGTACTCAGACACTTTCAGCCATCATCAAGATACGAATATCTCTCTGGTGGAAACCGCGAAAGATATAACAAAATTATCATCATAGCAATTAAAAGTTATTCTATTTCAGATCTACCAATATTTTTTTTTCTTGAAACATACAATAGAATTAATATATTTCTACAAGATTATTTAGTACTCAGACACTTTCAGCCATCATCAAGATAGGAATATCTCTCTGGTGGAAACCGCGAAAGATATAACAAAAGTATCATCATAGCATCGAAGTATAATATTAATCCTATAGTTTGGTATAATTTCAGAATTTTTGATTTTAACAAACCATAGAAGTTTCCTTTCATAGTNGGAAACCGCATATCTCTCTGGTGGAAACCGCGAAAGATATAACAAAAGTATCATCATAGCATCGAAGTAGTATCATCATAGCATCGAAGTATAATATTAATCCTATAGTTTGGTATAATTTCAGAATTTTTGATTTTAACAAACCATAGAAGTTTCCTTTCATAGTAATCCTAGAAGTTTTAGAAGATGTATATAGTACACTCAGAGATTTGTAATCATCAAAATAGAAATCATGAAAAATATGTTATCATTTACATTATACTGATAATAATTTCACCAAATCACATTTGTTGATTTTAATCAAATTAACCAATAATAAGTAATCAGTACAATATTTACATGCTCAAATTATGAACATATTTCATAAAAGGAAAAATATCAAACATAATATTTAAAAAATCATAAGAAAAATACTGGCGGAAAATGTGACATAATAACAATTGTACAATATTAGCAAATTTACATTTAATGATCAATATCTGAGAAGTATGACGTACTTCATGAAAATCATGTACAATTAATTTATACTAATACTGTAAGAACTTCTGGACCACATACAAGTTTTTTCAGTAGATTCCAAATATTTATTGCATAAAACTCAAATAAAATAGTATAACAGAAATTAATAAAGTACCTCTTTGGTTGCCCATTGAAAACCAGCAACAACTGAATCCTTAATTTCATTGAGGTACTGCACTCCTTTAGTGCAATCGATTAACAAGTTAGGGCCAGTTCCATCAGGACCAAAAGCCCAGATTTTACGTGCTTCAGTAACATCATATTCGTATTTTTCACCCAAATAACGGGCACGGGCTTTGAATTCATCTCTAGGGTTAACTTTGCCCTGCACAGAACAAATTAAAAAATTCAAATAAGGACTTCTAAAAATGTTAACAAAACTTACTTCTTCAATATCTTCGGCCAAACCATCAGGGAAAGGTTGACATTTCATAAACAATCTGTTGTGTTTATTAGGAGATTTGGACAAGCACATGATTTCAGATTCTTCATTAACAGTTTCTCTGTAAGACACTACAGGATCAGATTTCTTGATCGGGATGCAAGCATGATCTTCTTCCAAATCCTTCAGACAAATTTCCAAATGTAATTCCCCAGCACCGGCAACAATGTGTTCACCAGATTCTTCAATAATACACTGGACCATAGGATCGGACTTGGCCAAACGTTTAAGTCCTTCAACCAATTTTGGTAAATCGGCAGGATTCTTGGGCTCTACAGCTACACGCACAACAGGAGATACACTGAATTTCATGACCTTCATGTTGTGAGCATCTTTGAAAGTTGTGATTGTTCCGGTCTTAACCAAAAACTGATCAACTCCAACCAAACCACAAATGTTTCCTAAATAGTTTTACGAAACAAAAATAAAAATGCAATAATAAACATTAAATGAAACAGCATCTCTGAAAAAGGCATACCACTGGGTACATCTTCAATAGCTTCAGTATAACGTCCCATCATTAAAATTGTTCTTTGGATAGCTTTTTCAAATAAATCTTCTTTCTTACCAGGAGTGTAATTTGGCCCCATGATACGAGCTTTCATACCAGTTGCAACCTAGAAAAACAATAATTTATTAATAATATTAATAAATACAATCATTGTTTTTTGGACTTACCCTTCCAGAAAATACACGCCCAAAAGCGTAGAAACGACCTTTGTCAGATGTTGGTACCATTTTAGAGATGTACATCATAAGTGGCGCATCAGGATCGCAATTCTACACACAAACAATATAATAGAAAAAGTTATTAAAATTAATAACCAACCATTACCTTAACACCAAGAGCAGCTTCATCATCGTGAGGACCTTCATACAGCATTTCCATACGGTACTTTTGAGCAACTACAGGAGATGGCAAATGAATGGCTATCATCTGAAGTAAAGCTTCTCCAGCAGGCAACCATGTACGCATAACAACCTGTATTATTTAAGAAACAAAGGCAACAAAAAAAATAAAGTATTAATAATAATAAATCATTAACAACTCAAATGGAGAAGATTTAATATAAAGTTATCTTTTTCAAAGCAAGTCGTTAACATAGTGAAAAAAGAATGTAATTTAATGTGATCAATGTATTTTAATATGAACTCAGATGGAGAAGGGTTAATATGAATATCAACATTATATATTCTTTTCAGAATAAATTTCTATCATCATTGTAAATATGCAATTTTATTGAAACATATATTAATATAATAAATATTAAATGCAAAATAATTAGATGCAATTAAAAAATAAAAAAGCAAAAAAAACTGAAAGAAAATGCAAACATAAATTTACCTTTAATAAAGCTTTTCCATCCTTGTCTTGATCTTCGTGTTTAAGTTCAATTCCAAGTTTCTTTAAAAGATCAGTAGCTTCTTCTTTTTTGTAGTTCATGATGGAATTAAACACCTTTGAACAATTAAATAAGTATCTTTATTTAAAAACCACTTAATACAAAATAGGCATAATTGAACAACATCTATATAATCATCATATATAAAACATTAGTAATTATTATAAACCATCAGCCAACTATAAAAATAAATTTCATCAATAATTACTCAGAACAGGTCTGTGATAAATAATCATCATTGGCTTATAAAAATCACTATTATTATTAAAAATTAAATTAAATATTGCATTATCTTCAGTCGGCCGTTCTTATAGAATCATCAATAAACAGTATACATCAGTATACTTAGTTGGTATGCTTATTATTTTCATCACAAGATAATAATTAAATACAATATTACTAAAACCTCAGACGGCCGTTCTTAAGATATCGTCAAATATATTATCAGGAGCATTGGTGTGCAAAGAACATCATCATAGGTTGGGATTAAATAAAAATCAAGTAAACTTCAGTTGGCCGTTCTTAAAGTATCCTCACAGAGCAATCTCAGGAGCATTGGTGTGCAAGAACATCATCATTAGTCATAAATAAGTTCAATAACATTAACATACTTTATAGATGGGATCCAAAATGTACATGCAGAATGAACGTTGGTTGTTGTCATCCTTTTGCTTAGCCCACTTCCTTGTTGTTGGGTTGAAGAAATTTTCTCCCCACAATCTAACAAAATAATAATGAAAATTGCATATATTTAAAATAAAACATTAAAAGTAAATCATACCTGTTCATGAGCTTGACAACATCAATCTTAAATTTCTCGGCATACATCTCAGCAAACTGTTTTAATGTGAAAGCCCAACCATGCAGACCAGATCCAAATCCAACACTTCCTTTGCTAGGGTCAACCTATTTTTTTTTTTTACTATAATTAGTATTTTAATTTTTTAATAGTATTTTAATTTGAACAATATAATACATTTATTTTATAATCTCTCAGACGTGGAGAAGGGTGTGAATATTTCATATATTACATCAATAGTTTTAATAGTTATCATCATCAAGGTATAAAATAATGCATAAACATAAAACATTGTACTATAAATATTAATATTACTTGAACTTCACCCATAGGACCACTATCATCAGAATATGTAGCAATAATAATGTTAACATTTTCAACAATACGTTGGAAAGTTTGGTACAAATCTTCAGATTCCAATTGCAATTCTAATAAGGCACGGTCCATTTTGTTCATGAATAAAATTGGCTTGATTCTTTCAGCAATGGCTTGACGTAATACAGTTTCAGTTTGTACACACACACCTTTGTAAAATAATATTATATTATATTAACACAGACCAAGTAAAAACATCAAAATGTTAATATATATACATTTTCAATCTTTCAGACGTGGAGAAGGGTAAAATAATTTCATCTAACTTGTCAAAAGCTTTAAATAATTATCATCATTAAAATTGAACAATATAAATATATACCTACTACATAATATATAGTAAATAGTATATACCTGACACACAATCGACAACAACTAAAGCTCCATCAGTAACACGAAGGGCAGCAGTAACTTCACTGGAGAAATCGACGTGACCGGGAGAATCTATCAAATTAATTAAGAAACCCTTTTCTTCTGGATCACGTTGGTCTGGATTCTTGATGAAAACCAAATCCTTTTCTCCCAATTCGAAGTACATAGAAATGGCAGTAGACTTAATTGTGATACAACGATCTTGTTCATCTTTACGAGTATCAGTGAAACGCATATCTCCAGCTTTGGCACTAGCAATAATACCAGCTTTTGAAACCAAAGAATCAGTTAAAGTTGATTTTCCGTGATCTACATGGGCAATGACGGACATATTACGAATATTCTTCTTCTTGTCCATCATCTTACGGATCTCATCTACTGTGAAGTTCACCTATGGCGTTTAAAGTAATTTCAATAGGTATTGTGTAGGTACATTACTATTAGATAATCAATCAAGGAGATATTTATTTGTCAGACTCATTAAATCAGTAATTCCCTCCAAAGGTTTGTCAGGATAATAATATTGTCATCATTTATTTGTTTATTTAAATTAATTAAGATTTTGTCAGACTCATTAAATCATTTTTCCCTCCACAGATATTCAGGTAAGAAAAATGTCATCATTCATAATTTAATTAAATAATATAATTGTACATACTCTTTTGCAATTTTAAAAAACGTAATGCACACAATTTTAAATTAAGTAACTAAGACAAAATTATTATTAATTTTACTTCTTAAATAGACAGAAAATAAAATGAGCTCATAATAGTATTATTACAAGAGTAGACAAAATATTGATGGTAAAGACTTGATGTTGGTTAAAGAAACATCATGTATCTATATTGTCGACTAGATATTACCGTTGTTAAATTTTATGCCTTATAAATATCAATAATTACTTAACATAAGATATTAATTGGAAAAAAATAATAATAAAATCAAGAGTTTAAGGTCCTTTACAGATTTAAGCAAAGGTGCTTATATGATTTTTAAATGTTTATTGGTGATACAACCATAATAAATTAATCAATAATCTAATAATTCTAGTTTACTTTTGCTAGTAGGGACATGTGTAAGTTTATCGGTATCTACCATACTTGAGTGGAAATAGGTATACATGAAAACGAAATCGAGTTATTTTGTACATCATTAAGTTTCAAATTTTTAAAATTTGATGTATTGGCAGTTTTCAATAGAATATAAGGAAAGAAAATATGGGAAATTGTCCATTTAATGCCCAAAATATTATATTTCAAACAAACATAAACATTAAACTTAATCAATTGACCACATTCGCGACACGTAATCTAAACAGTTTGATAGCTAAATATTATGTGACCATAAGGCGAGATATCAAGTTAATTAAAGTAGGATGAAAATCGTAATTACCACTTACGAAGGGGGAAGGGATTCAACTTGTGAGAGAAAATTTACCTTAATTACCCTTAACCAAGATGGAAATTTCAAAACGCATTATCCCAGATAAACGTGGGAAATGGGATACACAGATAACCTTAGATAAACGAGGATTTTCGAGGGATATAAGGTCAAAACCAGGAAACCTAGGAGGAGGAAAACCTAGGAAGTGCGTTCGTCGAGGTCCTCTTGAAGGAAACTCCTGGGGAAACGGACCATACGACAACTATGTAGCCAGCCCGCGGCACCGACAACGGGCATAATAATAAAATACCATACGGATAGACAATAGAGTGGCCGCCAGTCGTCACTAACCACGTCAGAGAAGAACCCAGATTCACGGCCTACCCGGTTAACCGATCAGCCGGGACAAGGGAAATTTGGATGGCGGTCGTAACGGACGAGGCGCGCGCGTAAATATAAATGTTCTTGATACTCACCATTTTGAGATGTTTTCGGATAAAATTCGTTCACAAAAATTCAACGGCGTTGCACAAGTGTTGACGACGCCAACGTTGCAACAGAAAGGACGGTGAGCGGTACAGTTCGGCGGGCCGTCGGACACGGTACACCAGTACACCGCCACCCGACGCTCTCCTACTGTACTACCGTGCCCCCACCAATTCGGCGGGACAGTCGCCATGACACGTTGCACACGGATGGAAATGGTTATCCCCACCGCCGTCGCCACCAGCTGCATCGTCCCTTATCCCGTCCCCCGCGAACCGTACGGTGCCGCAACCGAGACCACGAGCACGACACGCGATATTTGTGACGGTGTAGCCTGCCCACTATTGCCAACCGGCGAACGCGACGACAACGTTTGGCCGACATTTTCCAGTCCGTGGTAGCACCAGGCTTCATTGATTACATTTTTCAAAATTTTGTTCTTAACGAGTAACGTGACAGTTATTTCACCCTGATAACATGGAAATCCACAGAATAACGAAATCATTATTATCTTGTGACTTTAACGATTTTGTTAAAAAAAAAAAAAATCGAAATTTATTATCCAATAATGATTTCCTGATTCGCTCAACATTGGTATATTGAAGGTTATGACGTATGAGAATGATTTTTAGATTCTGAGCGAGAAATGATATTGGTTTTACATATAGCAGTTAATTGGTTAACTGGATGGTAAATATTAATGAAAAATACAATGTCCCCGTCCTGGATTATCGCATATAGACGCTTTTAAATATATACATAGAATATATTTATGCATCTTATTTAAATAACAAACAATTATAAAACTACTGATTCAGATTTCAATTTGGAATTGAATCATTAAAAGAACTTTCGAATTAAAAATATTATTTGGCTATTTTAGCCGTTACTAGACCATAAGTTGTAGGTAATATTATTGCTGCTAATAATTAAAACGAAATTAAAAATTATTATTTTTAAAATAGGAATACATTTTTAATTTTATTAAAATGACACATTGTTATGAAATAACAAATTGCACTTTACTAATCAAAGAACAATCAAAAGCTTAACCGTTAATATTCAACAAGAAAATTGCTGGATTAGGCAGTCATGTCCCCAAAACGATTGATTCAATTGTTGTTAGGTACTTACTACTTCAGCATATACATTTTATATATCTGCTCTCTGGGAATGCGGCAGGCTTTATACGCACGATTAGTGTGACGTCATATTATCTGATCAAAATCCATATCAAGTACAATCGGACCCAAACAAATAAAAATGTACATACAAATAGGATGCAAAATAACTTTAGTATTGTTATATTCTACATTTTAAGTGCTTTTACACTTATTTTATTCCAAAAAATCTCATTTGACTGTTATTAGTCAAATATTAGTATGTAAATACTCGTATTTTAATATAATATGAGTGTTCAAAAATACATGATGTGTTGTTTTAATTGTACAATTAAATTGTTTGTTTGGATCCAAAATTCCAAACAATCAAATTGTTATTGATAACAGTCTGATAAGACGTGTTTGACGTAAAAGCTAATCGTGCGTATTGCACAACGGGCAGCTTACGTTGAAATCACGGATAAATAATTTTATATTCATTTACTCTCTTTATTTCAAAATCAAAAAAACGAAATTTTACCTTAAATTTCAATAAATCGTAAAAGTTCATTAATTAAATATAAACTAAAAAAGAATATTAAAAGTTCACGTCTTAAAAGTAAATTTAAAAAAAAGTTCAACACAATTCGACAATCGACAGTAAATTCTATACTAATTAATAATTGTTAGTTTATGTGGCAAATAAAATAGATTAAATAACCAACAAAATAAAACTGATAACCTATATTAATAATAATTAATAAGTAACCACCTTATAGAGCATAAACAATATAAAATTATGTCGCTTACGCCTTGGTGTAAAAAACCGATTTTCGTCGAAATGTCACTTACGCTCTTTTTCCTTTCCGCCGTCGATATATTTAAATACTAACCATATCCGTGGTTAAAACTATAGGAATGGCCTATCCATTCTTTATTATCTATGATCATAGCAAGACCTAATAGGTAACTAGGTAAATAGATACCAATAGTAATTAGGTCTATGTTTTAAATAAATATTTCGTGGGAAACGTGGTCGTTAAAATAAAAATTGTTTAGAACAAATATGCATACACCCATAATATTATGGAATTTGCTGTATCTACTGCACTAACGTCTGCAGGGGGTTAGGTAAAAAAGACTAGAGAAAAAAAAAATAATTTTATTTTCAACCAAATCAATTTTGTAAGGAATTTAGTAGTTAGGTTAATAAACGTAACCCTTGTGGTTTTCAGAAAGTATTTTTTAAATTTATTAATTTTTTTGATTAATAATGGATAAAATATCGCCACAAATAGGAAAATGGAATATGGCCTCATCAAACACTATCAATCTTGTTTTGGTCTTGACTGATGATAAAATTTCAAACATGTTTGAATTCCACTAGTCATAAAAATTGATTATCACTTATCAGTCACACACATACACGATCTATATTGACTGTCATTCATATGGATTGACATTCAACTCATTCAAGATTAACGCTGTGTATGGGGCCTATAAGGTAATAATATATGAATGATATGAATAATAATAGCTACTAAGTACTATTACCTACTAAGTAGGTATTATTAAATAGAATAAATTAGGTAATCAATTCAATTTAATTATGTTCAATTCAGATCTAGGGAAAAAAAGCCAGTGAAAAAAAAATCCATGGAAATTATAAACTACGGAAAAAATAGCCAATTTATTTATTATATTACAATTATATTAAGCGCTGTCAATTATTTTATTAATTCTATAAAAATAGCAATAGCGTTTTTTATTTTTATAGCAATGAATGTATTATTATTACAGTTTACTGATGCCTTATAGAACAGTTTTTTAATATTGATTAGTATTGATTTTGTAATGTGTTCAAATCAACTGCACTTAAGACTCTTTTAAAAATGATTGATCCAGAAGGTGCTGAAATTAGAAATCGGAAGAGATTAAGAAAGACGGTAATATTATAATCTAGGTCCTAATTATACGTGGCATACTGAATGCCAAGACAAACTTAAACCCTATGGAATTTCTATAAGTGGTTGCATTGTATTCTATAAATTGATACGTTGGCTGGAAGCGGCATCTTTTTATAGTGATCCCAGAGCTATAGGAAGTTTTTATTTAAAAACGGTAGAGGCATTAAGAGGATATCCTGTTACTTCAAGATTTAATAATGGTACCGAAAACCGGCACATTGAGCAAATTTCAACAGTTTTAACGTAAGAATAACACTTCTCGTCGTCTATCATTTTTATATGGAACCAGTCCTTCGGATCAGCGAATTGAATCCTGGTGGAGTATTCTAAGGAAATATTTCACTCAATTCCGGTTGGACGTATTTTGTCAATTAAAAGATTATGGACTATTTAGTTTTACAATGATGTTTATTTTTTTTGTTTATGAACTGTGGATATTTTTTCTTTTTGTAAATTTGCCCAAAAGTATGGACTATGGTATCTTTACTGAAAGCTCTCGTTTTCTTGTTGGTACTTAAAATATGTCATTTTTTTATTTTCAGTACGATATTCGAAATAATAGCATTTAAGTGGCAAAAAACGTACACTTTCATTATTTCATTATTTTAAATACTAAAATAGTAAACCAGACACTAAAAAAAAAAAAAAAACCAGTTATATATTACTATAACTATTTTAAAATGTATCCTTAGGTTTTAATGATTTAATGTGGACGTAATAATATAATATATTATGTTTAAATATTTTCTCAAATTTTAGTGAATAGTAGTCGCCAGTCATAGTTAGTAGTAGCATTGATTAAGTATGACTAATTCAGTGTGGCGAAGGAACGAAGTTTGGAACGCGTTCCTTTTCAAATATAAGAACGAGGAATGGGAAAGAGTTCCTATTTATGTGGAACATGAACGCAAATTTCTGTTCCTTCTATTAGGAAAAATAAATTGGAAGGCACGTTATTTAGTACCTAATGGTATTGTTTAGTGTTGGTATCACTTCGTCAGTTACTAAGTTATTAATTTAGTTATATATAACCGTGATATAAACGGTATCTCGGTGATAATGGTTTAAAATGGTAAAAAAACAATATAACTTATTTTATAATGGTAAACATAAAATGTATAAACAATAATTGATAACATTAATTGTCAGTGTAATAATTTTTTTTGTATAATTACTAAAATATTATATTTTGAATTTATAAAAATTATACGATGAATTATTTTTTTTTCATTTTTCATTTTTTAGGTAGGAATTAATAAATTAATTTTATTTAATTTATTAGGATTTTAAACATGTAGATTCTAAGATGTAAGAAAAGTTTCCAATTTTAGTTATCTTACCTTCTCAACTTGCCTCCTAGTTTTCAATCAGTAGGTAGGTATATCAAGTTATTTAGATAAATCGATTTAATAAAACGGTCAATCAGGAATCCGGTGGGTGTGTGTTCACTAAAGCTTGTGTAATGGAACATTTGATAACTGACGACGAAATAATGATTTCTTAACGCTTTTAGATTTGGAATTAATTCTTTTGTTTGATTGTAAAATCGGAATAATAATGCCTGGGGGGCCTAGCCCCCTCCCGGATCTGTCCCTGAAATAAGTTATATTGGATAAGACAGACATCGATTTGGGAAAGTACCGCCAATAAAGGTATAGGATAAAATATTATCAGAAATAAGACGATTACTGAGGGATAGCGTTTTTAAAATAGATTTTTCAGCAAGAAAACGGCTTCTGATATTAAGTTACCCAATATGTTCTAAAGCAGTAAGTTTTTTTTTCCACTTCGCAAAGGAAGCTGAACCAAAAAGAAAACACTCATAGTCGAAGTTTTGAGCTTATAATAGAAAGGTAAATAGATAAGACTTCCCACAGAGTAACATAGTAAGTTACAGATCTAAGAAAATTGGACCTACAAGAAGCGAAAGCTCTGAAAGAAGTAATATATGGTAGCCAGAAAATTTTAGGGTCCAATTAGAAACCCAAATACTTAATGTTTGGAACAAAAGAGACGATATCATTATTTAGATAAACGCTATTGTGGTTTAGGTATCTATATCCAGTAAAAATGTGAAAATAACTGCTTTTCATTTTTCGGGGGCAACATAAAATGGTATTTTGATTAGGATATTACTTAGGTCCTTGAAGGTAGAGTTAAGGTTATCAATGGAATATTAAGAAACTTATTTGAAGAAAAAATGACCAAATCATTAGCAAAATAAGGCATTTATGTCCAAGTGAGGAGAGATGTTTTTCAACAATGCTCATGTAAATATTGAAGAGTATTGGGCTGAAACGGTTGCCCTGAGGAAGACCGGTAAAAGTAGAACAAGAGAGAGAACCGAAAGAGGAAGAGAAAACAAGATTTCTAAAATTAAAAAGAGCAGATAAAACGTTAGACAGTTTGGAGGGGATATGCAAAGAACGGAGGTGATTGATAAAGGTAGGAATATTGACGGAGTCAAAAGCGTCATGAATGTCGACAAAGGCAGTTAATGGAAAATTTCCTATTGTTGAACGAATGAAATAGTCTTAATAAAAATAGAGAGGCATTCCATGATAAACATGCCTTTCCTAAATGCATACAAATTTGTAGGTAGAATGGAATTATATTCCAGCCACCAATGGAATCTGGTTTTAAGCATTTGTTGAACTATTTTAGAGGAAGAGTGTACAATAGGGCAAAAAAAGGTGTTGGAGTTAGGTTCTGGAATGGGGATTACAGAGTTGACTTGTCAAGTTGTTAAAATGTTATTTAGTATAGATAGAATTAGGATGAGAGCAGTTTAGAGGTGTTTAAGCATAATTGGTAGAATATTATCCAGATCAGAGGTGGTGGATTTATGAGAACTTTCAGTTAATTTCATAAAAAAAAAAAAAAATCAATATTGTGTTATTGAATATGTTACACCTGTTTGAAAAATAATACTAATTTATAATTATTATTTTTTTTCGTATGCAGTTTCAGTTGAAAGTAATTGGTTACAAAACAATTACTTTACGTTTGATATACTACACCAGTTAGTCACAGAGTGTAAGTAGATTCAAGTTGTTAATAAACTTGAAAGATTAGGTTAAATTATAAAACAGTTATTTATTTTGAAAATACAATTATGTTTAAAATGATAAATTTAATAATCTAATAAAAAAATATTAAAATAATAATTCATTGTACTATATACTAAATACATTTTATAATAATAATATACAAAAAAGTAAAAAATAAATTGTGCAAATATTTGCTAGTTATGTATAAAAATATTTACAATTCAGATAGATATGGAATAAAAGTTAACTTTTTTTGCCTAAGAATAGACTAAATAATTTGTTAGGTGTACTGCTGGTTCTTCTTTTATTTGCATTCGATTCTTTTTGTTCTTTTAATGTAATTTTTGCATTGCCCTGTAATTGTTTTAGAATCATATTAAAAAATATGTAATATTTCTGATTATAGTACTAATATTAGTAATCTAACATATTAATAAAATTGATATATTGTCAGATAATCATCATTTGAGTACAATTTTAAATTATGCAAGTATCATTAGACATAGACAATACATTTTGATATTATCTTTTCATAATATAATTAAATAACTGACCTTTACTAATGCATACCCACAGAAATAATACAGGTATAATGAATTTTATCTAGGTTAATTAATCAATAATTGAGAAAAAATTAATTAGATGAAGTTCTATTTTGTTATACATATACAAACTATCTGTAAAAACACTTTTCTATTAGAAAATTTACTCCAATCAAAAAATGATTGGATAAGATAGCTTTTTTTAATCTAGTTGGTGTATTCATGAGAACATTTTTTCACTGTATATGAAAATTCCACAAAAACTGGATAAAAACAAGGAAAAACCAAAAACAAATTTACGATAATATAAGTTTTATAGTTTCAATTTTGTTTAGATATAAGCAATTTTGCTTTGAATTGTAATTGAAGTATGTTTCCCAAAGAAAATTTTATTTAGTAAGTGAAATTGTGAAATTGTTTTTTTAATAACTGGGAAAAATAAGTAGGAAGAACGGGAAAGTTAACATTAATAATGGTTTCATTACTTTTTTCCCAGGAACAAAAAATTGCAAAGTAGCATATGCATGGCTTTGACAATAGATAAAATAAATAAGATAAGTTGGGCATATTATAAGGAGACAGGAATTGGAAGCAGTAAGAATGGTAATTCAAATTAACATAGAATAAAAAGACCAAAAAAAAGGTGTTTGGATTGCGATTGAGAATGATATAGAAAATAGCTGATACATGAAAAATTATGAGGAAGATCAGGTTAAATGGAAGTTTAGGATAAGGGTAAATAACTTCAAATAGTTAGTTGGGATGAAGGAAAAGGATAAAATATCAATTTCTGAATTGTGTTGATTCCTATAATACAACTTACTGTGTAATTTTTTGTTTAACTTTTATTTATTTATGTATAATAATAATGGTATATAAAAGAATTAATTAATCACCGATAAAGAAGCTCGACCACCATTTTTGCTTGGAGTGGGAGGTCCTGGTTTTTTGTAGGATGTCTGAAAATTTAATTTGTAATGAGAGCAAATTATTATTTATATATTTGAGTAAAAGATATATACCTGATTTCTATCCTTTTTCTTATTGCGATCATGTGGTATAAGGTTTTCACTTTCACAATCACTAAAATCAGCTAATATCTGAAATAAATTATATATATTTACAATGGTCTTATTTTAGTTAATTAAAGGATAATTATTTACTTTGATTTCTTCTTCTGTGATTAGTGAAGCATTTGGCAAGTAATTAGTCTCAACGGCATAACAACTTCTTAAATGTGGAGGGCATAGTGAATTACGAGCTTGAAGTTCTGATAGACGTTCATTATAATGTGATATTTTACTATTATTATCTGTTAGCTTTACTTTGCCCTGTTTCAGATCTGAAAGGCAAGAATGATTGAACATTTCACCTTCTTCGTCTTCTTCTTTTGGAAATATTTTGCCTTTAAAAAATAGAATTTTTTTAAAAATATTACCTTATATATTATGTAATCAAACAATAAAATTATTTTATTTCAAATTAATATAGGTTTGTTAGTTTAGTTTATTCCAAGCTATTAATTAAATAAATGCATTATTAATTATGTTAAATGTATAATAAAGTACATATAACTTGAGCAAATTTTTCTTATTGGAGGAGCAGATTTTACTGGAGTAGTAAGACATTTGTTGAAATACTTTATATACAAATATTTAAACGTATTTCTCGATAAGCTATATTATCAGGTTAACATCTATTATTAAATAATTGTTTAGATTACATGATAGAGCATAATGCGTTTTAATATAAATCGACGTTCCTTAATATTCAATTCAATCAGATGAACAATTGGATGTTTCATCTGATTGATAACCAAGATTATCAAGGACCACACGGATTGTTCCTTTTACTCTAGAGTTATTGCATTAAATGTCAAGATATTCAAAAGAATTGATAGATCCATTCTATTAATCTTAGTATTATTTATAGATGAAAATTTAGTCAGCAAATAGAATATATACTTCAACATATGTAAACAAAATACATTGGTTATTAATGGTTTAAACTGTATATTATTAGTTAAATTAAAAATATTATGAATAATATTAATAATGTTAGATATTTGTTAGTAACGCACCAGACGATAAACTGAATTTTTTACCAATTCCAGCAGGTACATTTCGTTTAGAATTGTCTTGATTGAAACGTGTATTCTCTTCAATAAGTGATCTAAAATTATAAATAGTAGAACAATAAATAACATTGATAAGTTATCTTACTTATGACCTATAGTCATATAGTCTTTAAAGAAACACACAACACAAAAAAAATTTCCTCAAATTATTAGATGGTAAACCATTATAGTAAGAACTATTGATAATGATTTTGTCAAAATTTAATCTAAAAATAAAAAAAATATTTAAGGAATATTGGGATATCTAGAATAACCGGGTAACATCATTGAGTCAGTTTCAGCATAATCGATCTTACAAATGCGTGTAAAAATTGCTCGCTTTAAACATGATTTATCAAATTAAACATTTTATTTTTGATGTAAGATGTATGTATAAATACGTAATTTTTTTACTAAGATGATTGAAGTATCAAAATGTCATTATAATATTAAAAAATACTAAGAGATAAATTTGTATTATGTATATATAGTTACAAGGACACAGCATGTCAATTTATTTTGATAAAAAGTGTAAGCTAAGTACGCATAAACAATGACTGAAATACTGAACAATTATTGTTATTGTATTTTATATTATTAAAATTGTAATACCAACTAAATAAATTTAATAAATATTTGCTGAACACCAACTGATAACATTATGTAGTACTGCTGAGATACAGAGATGTAGGTATGTGACAAAAATTACTGTTAATAGATTTTAAATTTTTCAAAAAAAAAAAAAAAAAATTTAAACACTTTAGTTCCATTAATATTTTCAGTGCATAAAAACACCACATCATACAAAAAATTATGTTTTTTACATGTGTAAGATAGGTAATTTCAGGGAGCCTGGCTCAATGACAACATGAGTCTTTTTTAAATTCCTAATAATTTATTAAACAATGTGAGTAGAAATGTTAAACCTATAGCATTACCATTAAAATTGAATATTCTTTTAAATTTAAAAAAAAAAAAACTTATTTTTTGCTCTTTTAAGTTAATAATACAAATTATATATTCTTACCTGATTTGATTAGCTGAATTCGATTTTGGTAATGTAAAAGAATTATATTTTTGGATATTTTTCTGTAAAATAAACATATATTTTTTTATCACATGTAATAAATAAAAAAATTTGGTTAGGTTATTGGTCTAAAATTGTATTAAAAAACCTCTCAGGTCTTTATAAGCACCATTTAAGTAGCGTTTATTTATTTAATAACACATTTTTGTACTCACGGACTGAGAAACAGTTGATAATTCAAATGGTAAGGACATAGTTGAATCTCTTCTTTCTTTTTGTTGCAACCTTAGATATTTGTCACCAACTTCCCATAATTGTTGACCAAGTTCTTTTATGTGAATTTCATCTTTATGTATCTATAAATAAGATAATTAAAAATAATACAAGATAACTTTTAAAATCATACTTTTTCTTTATATTTCAACAGTTTAGCTTCATAATCTTGGTGAATTTTTGCTTCTAAATCTTTGCAAAATTGTTTCTAGAAAAACAAACAACAAAATTGATTATGGTAGTTAATTAAATTTATTTTAATATTACCATCTGTTCTCGTTTCCGTTCAAACTTCTTTTCATATTCAGATGTAATATGTGCCTGAGTTTTTTGTTGAATTTTAGTCACTTTGTAATTACATTCAGCCTTAAGTTTTGACATCTCAGTCTCCAAATGTTTGATAGTTTCAAGTTGTCTAAATAAACAAAAATTATTTATAGAATAATTAACAAACACCAGTAGTAAATGTAATTAATACATACACATTTGATTTGGCAAGTAACTCAGTATATGTTTCTTTGGAGTTATGTGTATTATCATTATATTTATCTGCTAATTGTTCATTTCTTTGAGTGTTTATGTTAATTATGAACATTTTAAGTGCTTCAAAAAGTTTTTTAAGTTTTTCAACAATTGTGTATTCATCATAATTTTCTACTTGAGCTAACTGAATACCATTTTGTTCAATAAATGTATCTGCAGAAGTAATTACTTCCATCAATGAATCTTGGTTCTGGTCCTCTATAGTTTTGTTATTGATGTATTTTAATGAATAATTTGAACAATTTTCAATACACAAATCAAGTTCAGTTCTTCCTTTAATAAGTATCAACTCAAGTCCATTTTTTATATCTTTTAAATCATTTAATTTTTGATAAATGTCTACTAATGAGTCATTTTTCAATTTCATTTCTAATTGTTTTTGATTAAGTTGTTCTTGTGCTTCACGTAACTTTTTATCCATTTCAACAATTCTTTCTGAAGATTGTTGGCGTATATTATTCAACTCATATTTTAGTTCATTTAATTCTAAAATTAATGCGTTTTGGATTTCAAATTGTTTATGATTATCATCATCTAATAATTTATTTTGTTTTGAATCTAAATCATGTTTGGTTTGCATCAAACATTCTTTCATTCTTTTTGTTTCATCTATTAAATTATTTCTTTCACAAGTTAAATTATTGATTATTTCTTTTTGTTGAGTTAAATAATTGTTTTGTTCTTTCAAATCTTCGTGTAGCTTGAAAAACTGTTCTTCAATCATACATATTTCAGTTTTTGCAGATAAAAGTTTTTGAGAAAGATTATAATGGATATTGTCTACTTGTACTTTACTTTCTTTTAGTTCTAATTGCAAGGAAATATTTTGAGTTTCAATATCTTTTAACAGTGATTCAAAATTGATTAATTTTGTATGATTTGAAGCTAATGTATTATTCTTTTCTAACAAATTGTTATTAAGAGAATTTATTTCATTGATCAAATTATCTTTATCTGAATTCAAAATGGTTATTATTTCCACTTTTTTACTAGTTTCTTTTTTCTGAATTTCTAATTCTACATTCTTTAAACTTAGCTCTGCTTCTAAACAAGATAATTTGTTCTCAATTTCTTTTATTTGTTGGATTAAATCTTGATTCGCAATTTCTGATTTTTCTTTAGCTTGCTTTAACTCTATTTCTAAAGTGACTTTTTCAGTTTTGATTTTGTTTTTTTGTTCTTCATGTTCCAATAATTTTTCTTCAACAGAAGTAATACAATTATCCTTATTTAATAAAGTACTCTTAAGTGCATTAATTTCATTTATCAAATTATCTCTGTCTGATGTTAATAAACCAATTGTTTCCCTTTGACAGTTGTACTCACAAATATATTTATCAAATTTAACTTGTTTTTCATTCAACTGTTTTTGAATTTCAGTAAATTTTTTCTCCATATCTTCAAGTTGTAGAATCAATTCTTGATTTTTTTTTGTTAATTGTATTTTGTTTTCATTCAATTCTGATTCTAAATTTATTTTTGAAGTTTCCAAACCCAAACATTGCTTTTTATAATTCAGTTTTTTTTCTAGTAATGATTTCAGAGTAATTTCTTTTGCATCCAAACATTCTTGAAGTGTGTTAATTTTTTTTAATAATGTTTCCTTTTCTTCATTCAATAATGATATTGCTTTTAATTGTTCGTCCAACTCCTTTTGTTGATGAATTAATTTTTCTTGAATTTCCAAAACATTTTTTTCCTTAACTTCCAATTGGAATGATAAATCTTGATGTGTATTAGTTAATTGTGTAATAGTTTTATTAAGTTGCAATTCCAAAGATTCATTTTCACTTTTCATTTCATCTATTTTTTTTTCTAAATTATCAATGGTGTCACCACGCTCATACAATTTTCCTTCACACACTTTGTATTTGTATTCTTCCCGTGATACATCATCTTCAAGATTTTTTATTTTATTACAAAGAGATTCTTTTTCACAATTTATTTTAATAATTATTTCTTTTTGTTCATTACAACATTGAATTTGATTTTCTAATTCATCATGTTTTGTATTTAAAATTTGTTTTACTTCAATAATTTGTTTTTCCAAGTTTTCATAAGTATTTGAATAATTCAAATTCTGTAATTTTAATAATTTTATGTCTTCTTCTTTTTTTAATATACAATCGCTTAACTCTTTTAATTCAATTTGTAAACCAATAAATTTATTTTCAGTGAAACTAACTTCTTCTTTTAAATTAATGTTGTCTTTAGTAGCAAGTTCTAATTGTATTACTTTATTATTTAAATCTTTTTTTACTTCTTTTATTCGTTCATCAAATTCTTGAATTAAGGTATTTTTTTCATCTTCAGCATTTTTCAATGTAGTATCAAGTAAGATTTTTTCCATTGATGTACTGTTTAATTTGTTTTCGAGGTTTAAGATAGTAGATTTATAATTATCTAATTTTTCTTGTAATGATTCAATTTCTATTTGAGTAGCAACAGAATGTTCATTAGCAATTACAATTTGTTTTTCTAATGTTATTTTTTCCAATTTCATATTATTTATAATTTCACATTGTTCAACTGTTAACTTAAGCTGTTCATCATGTTCGTTCTGTGTTTTTTCTAACATACTTTTAATTTTTGAAGATTGATTTTTTAACTCAATATTTTCTTTTTCGCAATTTCTTAACTGAATCGTAATATTATTAATTTGTTCGGTAAACTGTTCTTGCACATTTTTTAATTGTTCAATGTTTTCATTTAAATTTGTTTCAATAATTACTTTTTCTATGCTCATAACACCAAGTTGTTCTTCTAATTTTTTTACAGCATTACTATGTCCATCAATTTTTTCTTTTAGATATTTAACTGTAGTGTCTTTATTTAATAAGCATTGGTCAGAAACCTTTAATTTTTCTATCAAATCATTATTTTCAGTTCTCAACAGAAAAATACTGTCTTCCAGTTTTTTATTTAAATCTATTTGATTTATTAATTCATTTTCCTTAGAATGTGAATAGTTTTTAAGTTCAATTAATATTTTGTTTAATATATCTATTTTATCTTCACACAATTCTAAATTCATTTTGATATTTAGATGCTGTTTATCAAAGTCACCTTGCATATTTTTTATGTTAATGGTAATAGTGTTCAATGTCTTTGTAAGGAAATGATTTTCTGAAACTTTTAAATCATATTGATTCATTAGGTTTTCAATTTGTAATTTGTTTTGAACAAATTTTTCTTCTAATGATTTAATATTATTTTCTTTATCTAATACAATTTTGCTATTTAATTTAATTTCTTCTGAAAGTTCAGATTTTTCTAAATTTAAATGAGAAATTGTTTCAATTTGTTTATTACTTATTAGAAGTTGTTCATTAAAATCATTTTGCTTCTTCTCTAAGGCATCTTTTAATTTTTCAAAATCAATTTTATAATGATTGATTTCATTAGCTTGATTTTCTAATTCACTTTTCATATCATACAATTTACAATCAAATTCTTCACTCATTGTTTTTATCTGAATTTCATTGGCTTTTAAATTATTTTCTAATATTGTTTTCTCATTCAGAGTAGATTCAAGTTGTTCATTCAACTTATTAATATTTGATGTGGAATACAGAATTCTATCATTTAATTCTGTATTTTCAGTAGATTTTTTTTGCAAAATTTCACGTAGATCATTTACACTAATTTCAAGGTTACATTTTTCAGATTGTAATGTTTTGATAATGTTCTTCTGATAATTTATCAGTTCAATTTGTCCGTCTATTTCTTTTTGTTTACAAACCAAAATCTCTTCTATGTTTGTTTTGCCCATCTTAATATCTTTCAATTCATCAAGATAATATGCTAAATAATTTTCCATTTCACAATTTTTGATGTTAAATGCTTTTTGCTGCATTTCAATTTCTGTTTTTAAATCTTTCAATTGTATTTCCAATGCCAGTTTTTCTTGGTACATTGTCTGCAATTGTCCTTCTTGAATATTAATGGTTTGACTATTTTCAGCTATTTTTTTTTCATAGGAAATGATTATGTTTTCTTTGTCTACTAAAATATCTTGTATTTGTTTAATATTATTTTCTAAATCTGAGACATTTTTACGAGACAATTCTTCAGATTTTTTATAATCTTCAATTGTAGTAAGTAAACTAGAAACATATTTGTTGTTTTCTTCGTGTAATGATTCAATTTCTGTATTGGTTTTGCTTAAAATCAGTTCAATCATAGTTTTTGCTTTTTTTAAAGTATCCATTTCATTTGACATTTCTTTAATTAGATTTTCTTTTTTATTTAATTTATTACTCATAGCCTCAATGTGATTAGCTTTATCTTTAACAGAATCTTTCAAATTTTTTATTTTAGATTCTAAATTATGATTATGTTTTTGAAATTCTTGATGTTCTCTGTTTTTGTTTGACAATTTGTTAATCAATTCATTTTTATAGACTTCAAAATCATTTAATTGTTTTTTTAAGGTTGTTATTTGTATATCTAAGTCCTTAATATGATTTTCATGCTGGAAATTAATATTACAAAAATATTAAAATAGGTACAAATCTAATTAAGTTACTTTTACACATGATAATTAAGTAATGAATAGAACAGCTATAGAACTAATAAATTTTGTGAGTTTTTTTTAGTAGACTTATTATTTGGTATCTTCAAAAAATATAACAATTTTAAAATTAATTATGTTTCAGTAATCAATAGTAATATTTAACATTAATCAACTTATCTATTTTTTTTTTATACCAATAGATTTTAATTTAAAAAAATAGGTACTTACACCTAATAAATCCTTTTTTAACGATTTGTACTTGTGTCTATATTTTTCTTTATCGCGTGTTACTTCTTCTAATTTGATAAAATTTAATTCTTCAAACAATGTATTGGGAGAAATAATATTTGCCTCTTGACAACTAGAATTCATTTGATTGTTTGAAATTGATTTGTTACAGAGCTCATCTTTTAATGACTAAAACAAAAAAAAGGATATATTTTAATTTATTGATTATAGATATATTTAATATGTATAACATGTTTCCCGTAAAAATTAAGTAGTATTATATTTGAGTTAAACTTACAGTTATTTCTATGTGCTTCTTTTGTAACTCTTCTTTTAAAAAATCAATATTTTCTTTTAATGACCCATTTTCTATATTAATATTATCTGATGTGACAAGAAGAATTTCATAATCTGATGTTTTTGTCTCAAACTAAATAAAAAAAAACCAGACATTCATTTTTAGTCAATAAAATTGTTTTTTTAAAAAAAAATAAATAAACTAATATAACTTGTAAGATCATTGATAATTTTAAATATTACAGTTGAAAATTTGTTATTAATAGAAGTGGAAAAGAAAAGCTTTACTCTGTATATTATCAGAATGACAATTAAGATATTAGAAACATTATTAAATGAGTTTACAGTATCATTGCCACTTTAAATATTCAATACGAGCAGTGTAAAAATAAAATAAAAATGTTGGGCACATGTTTTAGTTCCTTAAATGGTTAATATTTTTGAAGACATGTACACAACTTAAATTGAATTTTTTAGAGGTTATAGAAACTTAAACTACATAAGACAAGAATTAATTTATCAATAGATAGCTTATAAATATCTAGATTGTTTTTAATGTTTTAACATCTTGGTACTTTACTAGGCTATTCAAAATATTGATTTATGTTTGACGATATTTAGACACAATAAGTAATAATATGTTTTAAGTTAAAATTGTATTTAATTACTTTTTTAATAAGATCTTTATGTTCATTTTCCAGTTTTTTTATTTGATGCTTTAATTCATTGCTATTGGTTTCTAAATCAAATATATCTTGTTTTAATTTTTTTATTATCAAAGCAGTATTTTCTTTAAAATTATCTGGAGTTTCTTTCGATATTGTAAGTTCTTCAATTTCATCTTTCAAAAACTGTATAATTTTTTCTTTATCTTCTAATTTAGTACCTAAGTAGATAAGCATTAAAAATAATAATAATAATAATGACTCATTTTAGAATTTATAGGTTTTAAATTAAGATATGACAATTTTAACAATAATAGAATAGTTTAAAAATATATCACTTGTTGTAGATACTTACAAAGTTTTGAATTAACATCTTGTAGTGTTTTAATGTTTGCAGATAACTTATCATTTTCTTCACATTCATTTTTATAGTCTTCAGTAAGTTTAGAAATAAGTTTTTCTTTTTCTTGATATATTAAGGATTGCGATTTAGGTGACTGTAATTATAATTCATCATACAAATTAGTGAGTTACAGTCAATGTTATATAGTATTTGAGTATTGGTATTCAAATTTTTAATAGCACTGAATGCTTTTCTTCAAATCTTTCCATGGTTTTCAATATAAAATATTGTAATTGTTGTAAAAATAAACAATACCTACTAAACTCATATCATTTTTTACATTATATGCCTATTGCCTGCAATAGGTACTGTACCGGCGGTCCAAAAACACTGTTGACTAGAGATAAGTTATACAATATTATCAATAATAAATTGGGAATGCTTTTATACCTTGTAGTGCATCTGTAGAGAGTATTTTGTGTTAACAGTTCAATTTAAACTAAAAAAAAAAAGCTGTCCTCAGATAATGAAGACAGGTGCAGCCATAGTTATATATAGGAAGGTGGAAAGACAGGATACAGATGGGAATTTAATGTATATCAATAACGATAAACCATTGCTAACAAAAAAACGATTCTGAGTAGAGTTTGATTGATAGTGTTGCTTTGTCAACAATATATATGTCATATTAATATATTATGATAAAATAATTAAATAGGCATTAAACATTTTCTTTAATTTTGTACTTATTTTTCCATTAATTAGAGTCTTGGGAAAATCAAAAAAATGCCTTCCCTAAAGTATCACCGCAGAAAAATTTCCTTTTTAAAAAAATAGTGTTATCATTGTAAATTGGAGCAATATTATTCCTGGTAAGAAAGTTGTCTACAGAAATAATAAAAAAAAATAAACACCATTGTAAAATCATTACATTCCTCGCTCCACTCAGAATCTAAAATATGACTAATATTCATTTTGAGTAAGATATGATTTTAAGCGTAACCTACATTAACAAATGTTTATTAAAACATTCAATAGTAAAATTTTACTTATATTTAAAACTAGAAAAAAGTACAAAAAAAACTGTTATCTGTAACGATATTTTACTAAAATATTTTTTAAAAGTATATTTTATAAAAATGGTTCTTGTACATCAATCATGTTTACAAAAACTATGTTGTTTAAATAAAAAGGTCTAGAGCAGTTACAAAAAATAAAATTGTATTAATATTACCTCGCAGAATTCTTGTAAATAGCTCCGACGAATAGATGTTGATTTTATTGGTGTGATATTATTTGAAAACATTTCTAAAAAATAAATATTAATAATTAAAATTAATTTGTTTTAATAAATGTCATGAAACTTAAAACTATAGGAATAACTTGTTTATTTTTATTGTTTTCCTAGTGAGTTTACAAAAAAAAAAAAAAAAAAAAAAAGGGTTAGCCAATAAATGATTTAGAGCCTATGTAAATATAAGTAGGCTATCCAGTTTAGTAAAAAAAAAAAACCCGTGCGTTGACCGCAGTATATTGTATGAGACAGCCAACTCCTATTAACCTGTGCTATTTTTTTTAGCAAATGGTCCGACCTCTCTAGAGCCTAAATTAATGTATTGATAGTTTTGAAATTTATTACGGATTGATCACTATGTTATGAAGGTAATACTTTTGTAAATTTCAAGTTGATCAGATGATTACAGCCTGAGTGATATACAAAAGTAATAGCATAGTTTTACTTGAAACGCTATTTTTTTCAACAATTTAACAATGTATATGTTATATGCATTGTTACCACCGGTTTGTAATCAAGAAAAAACAATTTTGTTTGTTTCTTTTATCGCTGTATTACTATAATATCGTTTTTTAGCAACATTCTTAGTTATAAAACATACATTATATTAATTTACTCAATCCATAAAACATCAAAGATATTTTGTCCTCATAATTTTTACTTGATAAAAAAAAAAACATAGGTTAACTATATCTAAAATTTTAATAAAAAAAAAAATGAGTGACATCCCAACAAAAATTCTCAGTTAACTATGTGTAAAAACTTCGTTAAGAAAAAAGAAAAAGAAAAGTTGAAGACAAATTTCTAATATCAAAATGGATTAAGTAATTTTTTAAAGTCATTATTATAGGAAATGTTTATAATTGTTTGTATTTGATGAAAGTGCGATAATTTAATACAAATAATTGAACTTAGCTTGGCAGCTACTTATAGTTTGTACTTAAATAGATAGTGTAATAGTAATGTTAATAAATTATAAAATAGGAATGTAAATATTAGTAGCCACGAAGCTAAGTCGAAATAATTTGTATTAAATTATCACACTTCATCAAATACAAACAATTATAAATAATATATAGATATATTGTATAGACTAATAAATTTAAGAAATTACTTAGCCCCTTTTTGATATTACAACTTTTTAAACTGGAGTTTTTTACATGTAGATGAAGGAGGGTTTTTATTAGGTATTATATTACAATAATTGTATTAATAAAATAATACTCCCTCTCTAAAATCAGTTATAATTTTACCTGAACCATTCAAATTAGGGAGTTTTATGTCACTTAATAACATTAGTGCTTCAGAAATATTTTGTTTAGTGAACAATGAACCCTGTGTAGCTTCTAAAAATTTTGCCAATAATATTTGTTCTTCGTGATCCATTCTTTCGCTTAACTGAATTCTAAATTTATCATTTGTACATTTTAATAATGCATGAAGTAAAACAACTACACAAGTGTAAAACAAATTTTCTTCGCTGTACATATCTTCATACTTCTGGACTTCAAATTCATGATAGTTCACTAAATTTAAATAAACACATATACATATAACTTGAAATAATTAATTATAAATATAAAAAATGTTACCTTTTATCGTATTATAAAGGTTTTCATCTTCAATATTTGACGAGGTAGAACTCTTAAAATAAAATCTAAATAAAAACAATTAACTCAAATAATTATTGTTTAAAATTAAGATAAATTAAATGTATAATAATAAAAAAAATATAATGCTTACACATCATTAGCAAATTCTTTAAATGATGCACTAAATACAAGATATTTGATGTTTGAAAATACAGTTTGTTGAAAATCATCGAATAAACATATCTGAAAACATTGATTAAAATTATTTTTAAATAAGGTAAATAGGTATATAAGTGATATAATAGTAGTATAAATAAAAAAAACACAACACAAAATATAACTTTAAAATACTTTAACAAGCCATTTACTTGGACTATGGTTGAAAAGCTTGTAATAAAATATGTTTTGATACATATATGTTACATATAAAGTCCAGAATTGTACAGTGACTTATGTACAAATCACAAAGTGTATAATGTTGCTGTACAAGGTAACTAGATTGTACAAACTACACTATACAATGTGTACAAAAATCATTGTACATATCACAAAATTTCATTTTAACCACGATTATACAGTTTTTCACATAAAAATCATCATTATTATACACTCGAAAAATTTATTGGGTCGTTATATTAATAAAAAGTAAATATAAAAGTATTTTTTTTTTTTTTTTTAAAGGATCTAAGAATATGTTTAAATTATAGTACTTATTAGGTATTACTAACTACATATTACCAAACAAAAAAAAATATCACACATTATGAAACCTGTGTTATTATTATCGATTGACGATTATATTCATATTCATATTATTGATATTATTATCATCATAAACAAGTATATTCAAAGGGTAAAATAATGATATTTTTTGATTATCGTACTAATTGATAAGTAATAAGGTACGAGTGTATCAATAAGTACCAAAATAATACCATTATATTTGGTTTTTTAGTATTTAATAAAAAAAATAACTTCTTAGTAATTATATAATATAAAGCTCTGCCCCTGAATATACTAATATGTAAGGACCTATAAGTATATCTATTTTTATATGACATACAGATATGTAATATTTGGAAAATACTTTTAAAAAATTATTATTATACACATTGCGAATTATATAATGTAACTTGTACAATCTAGTAACTTTGTACAGTTCACGATGTATACAAGTCACACATATATATTTTTTAAGGCTCTAGTGCAATGAATTATAATTTTTGTTGATATTATGTCATCACAAAAAAAAATGTATTCTTATACCAAATCATGATTTGAATAATAATATAGCGAGTCTAAAATTGTACAGCGAAATCAAAAGTGAAATAATAGTATTAACTTACCCAGCGGAGAATTAACTGCTCGATTTCAAATTTGTTTATATTGGATATAGCCATATTATTGTTATTATCTATTATTCGTGTTAGAAAGAAATTAACATATTTTTGAAAACAAAATAAGCTTTAGGCCTAACACTGTTTACGTATCAAATTAGAATAATTAATTTTATTGTATAATAAAGTAGGTATTGTGAAATAAAAATGAAATTACGAAAAAAAAACCGTTAAACGACTTGAATAATAATTTAACAATGATAAACAAATCCAGCGGTTAATACTTGAAATTATCAAATGACCGTTGACGAGAATTAAAAAATAACAACAACATGATAAACTACAACGGCACAGCTGTTTCGAACCTCCCTGGAAGTAATGAATAACTATGATAGCGGACATAAAACAAAACAAATTATAAAAATAATATTATTCATAGCCAAAATATTAATAGGTAGTTACAAAAGTGAAAAAAGAATTAGCACAAATCAGACTTATAAAAATGAGGATGAAAATGTTATTTATCATCATAGATATATAAAATAACTAGAAAGCAAACTCTGTATACTTGCTTGACAACAATTTTAAGTTGTCAACCATTTACAGTTAGGGCAAAAACGATTGTAAAATAGGATATATCGATATTGATATAAGTATTATTGACTTTTATATCGAATCGAATCGATGTTTATTATCTCATAATAGTGTAATAAATACCGTTTATTATTAATAATTCACTATCGTTTTTGCTCGGTTGTAAAATGGCGTCTGACTTCAATAATAGATAAGTTTGATATCTAGGTATTTTATGTATTTATGTTTATCATCAATCAGTATCTGTAACTGCATATTACTATTATGGTAATCGGTAATTTCTTTTCTCACGATAAAGATTAATAGTAATGATTGTACTCACAGGTATAGATAATAAACTAGATTGCTAACTAGTGATAACAGCAGGTGTCAAAAAATAGCCATGTTGGTTGAAGGCTCTGCAATGTTATCATAACTACGTGATACCTAATCTATCATTTGGCGCAGACCCGGACACCTCGCCGACTAAAATATTCTTTCCAATCAAAAAAAATAGTTGAATAGTAGTTCAAATTATTAGCCGGATTACTTTTTTTTTGTGCTACGTTACGCGGAACCTTGATTTGTTGTACGAGTACAAAAACACGTCAGGTAGGTACAGGAGAAAACGTCTTATTTTTAACACAAAAAAATCTATCGAAGAATATTTTCGTAAAAAAAAGCGTACATTTTTTATATACCTATGGACTTTCACCCCTGTAACCCGATATTCTCACTAAAAAATAATGATCATTGCGTTACAACAATTATTAATTAATTTAAATAGTATACAAATTTGTATACAGTCATCTATGAATAGTGGACAACGTTTTGGTCACCGTGGGTGTCTAAAACTCTAAAAAGAAATAGCTTATACTTAGTCTTCTTTGAATCAGCGAGGAGGGATGAATGTGGTGAGTAGTGAAGGGTGGAAGTGGCAGTAAAGTATGGGACTGTCATGAAGATAAGAGAGAGGGTATATTTTATAATATCAAACTACTGATTAGGTAATATATAGATGGGAGTATAATTTATATCTAAATGCAACGATAAATCATTGTAAACTGTTGCTAATTATAATACAGTTAACTCGTGTTATAATAAATTATATATGATAATATGTATCGTAGCAAAAGTTTTATTTTGATTAGCTATGTATTTTTGGTTTAGTCATTATACACTATCAGACGTTTATATTAGGTATCTTAATAAAAATTAAAAATTTGTTACATCGCAAGAGCTTTGTCTAAAATAACTTTTTTATTTTAAGGGGGACCAAAATATATTATTTTTTTTAATACATTACGAGATTTTCAAGGGAACGATTGTTTTATTCATTATATTGAGATTTCTGTTATATCAAGTTATACTGTGAGTTGACTGTATTTTATAAATATACGAATAATAATGAAAAAGTAATTTCAATAATATTATAATAATAGCAAATACTACAAATGAGAATACTAGAAGTTTGTAATTTTTTGGGAGATACTGTAACGCTAGAGAATATGGAGGTTACCTATAAAAACCCTTTAAAAATATATATAGTGTTGAATTGTTGATAAAAATTAGAATCTATAGATGGCTGATAGCAAAATATTTCATTTTAAATGTATTATTATTTATTATGTTATTAAAGAAATATAAAATATTAATTTAACTTAATTTAAAATTGATTTTTCTTTTTAATTAATTTTATTGTGTTTTAATCAATGATTTAATTTTTAAGGGGAGGGGGAAGTAGAATTTTTGTTGAGTAATATTTGATGACACTTGATTTTTGTTATCATTTTTTTGTTTTGGGTGGGAGTAAGGGGGGTGGCCTTAAGTTTTAACACCTATATCCGCCTCACCATAAAAATATGGTAATGAAAAGTAAATTATAGGCATAAATAATTTATAAAAATGATTGTATAAAAAAATAAGATTATTATAATTATTAATTAATAATAAACAATATTTAATAGTAATATGTAAAAAAAAAAAATCTGATTTAAATATTATCTAAGAATAAATTATGTACATTTTCAAAAAAAAAAAAACAATAAACAAATAAGCATATGCATTTTAAATGTTATAATATTTTAACCTAGTGACTTGACTTTTGTTTGCAAAAGTGTAGTATAAAATACTACTAACTTGCTGTGTGCTTGAATGTGCTTATGTTGTATTAATAGTTATAGTTGTGATAAAGTGGTTTTTTCAAGTGAATCTATACATCAGTATTTTTCAATATGGTCATCTATACATTTAATTTTACTGCAGTGTAACAATTATTTTACCAAATCTTTAAAATTACTAAATAGTTGCCTGTAAGTTGTTTTGCTTATCACTGATGCACATGCTCAAGTATCCACATCCATGACTAGGTTAGTACCACTGACCATAGCTTCGATAGTTGCTGAATTACTTGATATTTCCCACAAGCTATTTTATTTTTAAAAGTACTTTTTTCTTTTTTCCAATTGCCATTGCAATTTTTTTGTCGAATTGAAAATTGGTTTAACTTCTTTTACTGTATTTTCCAACAACTGGCAAAAATACAAACATTTTCAAATGTCAAATTTTTTTTTTTAATAAAATTGCCCTTAACTTGTTTCTCTTACCCCATACACGAACCTGTGTCTTAAAGTCTCTTCCTGAAATGAACCAAACTTACATTTCTGAGTTTTCGCTTTTAGTTCGATGATGTACTTCAATATACTTTGCCTTTCTTTTTGGTCTTCTTTGTGAAACTTATATCTCTTCGATATTTCATTCACTTCAGGCGTGTAATGTGTTCTGAGAACCTTTATCAACTCGTTGTATTCCAGCTCTTTAGGTTCTTTAGGGTAAATGATATTTTCTCAAGTACTGAGTAAGCATCATGTCCTATGAAGGTTAATAGCGATGCAACTTGTTTTTCTTTTTTGAGATCATTTCGAACGAAAAATTTTTCCAATCTTTCGATATATTCCCCGAAATTATGTTCTTGCACAAACTGTTCTATGCTACCGAGCATTTTAACTTTAATTTCTATTAAAAAAAAATTTTTTTTTTAAAATAACACATGATGGTATTCATCAGCGTTGCCAATGTTAGGTTATAAATAATATCATACAAAACAAGCAGAGCATTGTGTTCATGTGGACAGTCAGTGACGAACTGATTTATTTGTTATCATTATCAATACTACTATCAATACAACATATTTTATATGTAATAATAACCATTGGAAGTTGTGATAATAAAATATTTATACTAAACTAGTTCCCGATGGTTGTCAAAATATTGTATAACCTATTTATTAAATTATTAATTGACCTGCGGTCCATTTATCACATATTTTTTATTTCATCAAAACAGGTTTTGAAACAACCGAACTGTATCAAAACATTTCTCGTCGTTATTATAACGTTATCATAATCTATTTTATAATCAATGGTATTATTAATAATATAAAATTGTGACGTTGTACGCTATCTATTGTCAAATTTTACTAATTGCGTGTTTCCATTATGCCTATACCCGAGAACTATCTTTGTATATATAATCAATGTCGCCCTCCCACTTTCAAATAATCAGAATTGATTAGAATTATTGATAGCGATTGAGGCTTGTTCGTTCGCTATTTTATTTCCTTCTATGCCTGGGTATATTAAAATATTATATTAATTAAGGTTTGTCGTGTTCACCACGTTTAATTTGTTTTTCATTTTTGTTGCAATGTCCTGGGGATTGAATTGGTTTTAAATAATTTTAATAATGCTTAATGCATCATTGAGAATGATGAACTTAGTGTGTTATTTTTGACAAAGTACGTTTCCAACAAAGTACGTTTCCAACAAAATACGGTTCCTACAAAATATTTTTCCGAAAAAACACGATTCCGACAAAATATTTTTAAATGTTTTACGTTCCCGCAATTTGATTATAAGCATTTACAAAATTTAACTTAATAAATAGTTTTCCCCTTTTAACAAATAATTCTTTAACTTTTGTCAATTGGTAGTTATAATTTTCTAAATATTTATTAATAATTGTTTTATAATTTACACACAATGTTATTGTTTCATTTGGTTTTTATAATTGATAATAATAATGTAATCTATTGAGCATTTCCTACTTTCTTGATCAAATTTTATATTTTCAATCATTCTATTTTATCTTGTTTATATTTTCCTAATTTATCTCAAAAAAATTCCATAAATTCCTTCAACTAATTGTTTAAATCAAAATTAAAATTTTTTACTGTAATATTCAATACTTTCATTAATTGTATAAGAATTTCAATATCAAATTTTGACGAAAATTGTTTTAGTAAAAAATTATGTGTTCCAAATTGTTACAAATTGTTTCAATATAATATTTATTTTACTGTATGACGTATATATTGTCGAAAAAGTAATATTATTAACTGAGCTCCGCTCAGAATTATTTTTCAATAGCAATGATTAATTTTTGGTTACAGAAATACATTAAATTTCCCTCTATATTATATCTTCCCAACTTCTTCCAACTTCTCATCTACAACAGTGGTTCACCTATTGTGCGAAGTATGTCCGTCTTTTTTTCTTATCAATTATTAATATTAAATTTTATTATTTTACCTCCTTCTCCATAGTCAAGGTCTTGAGACGGTCCTGACATTGGGTCCCTAAAGAAATATTTATAAAAAAACTATCACCACATCTCTAGTATAATTGTTATGAATCAAATTAACAGAATGTTTTGGTAACTATAAAAAAATAAAATGTCAACATTAAACGTTATGTTATTTAAATATTTTACATTGATAGAGTGCAGCACCTAAATCGGTGAGCATGATAATAATTATATTTGATTCTATTTATATTATAAAAAATACATTTATTTGTAAAATCAATACATTCTGCGTGTTGGAATATTAAAATGTGCACTTTGCATTTAAATTTCAAATACGGTAACTTTTTCTAGATTATTACCCACAAATCGGTAGATATTATCAAATACGTGGGAGAGGGGTATTTAAAAATTAAAAAAATTTTAGTTTAAAAATCAAAAAATTTTTTTTATCAGCGATACCGGTTAATATTTAGTGGATCGAACACAGATGGACGAACGTTATTACAAAAAAAAAAACACAATAATTACCGTAAAAACTAAAATGAGCTGTTGGCATTAGCTCATATTGGTAAATAGTTATAATATTGAATTTTTTTTCAATTAAATTAAAAATTAGGCTAATAGATATTTTGAATACATAAATTAGATTCAAAATTAATTTAAAATTTAGCATCAACTTAATTTTAATTAATAAATTACTTCGTACAATGGGTGGGCCACTGTTGTTGGTGGAAGTTGGGAAGGTAGAGGGGAAATTTAATGTATATTTGTACGCAACGATAAACCATTGCTAATGAAAAACTATTCTAAGCGGAGCTTAATGAATAATGTTGATTTGTAATATTTTCAAATACGGTCGTAATATTTACGGATTTCATCAAAACGTGATATTAAAATTCTTATATAAAACCAAAAAATGACGTTCTAAGATAATGGGGTTGGGTGCAGTCTCTGTTACTGGTAATTTAATGTAAATCTGTTGTATAAACTATTGCTAACGACAAAACGATTCTGAGCGCAGTCCAGTTGATAGTGATGCTTTGTCAACAATATATGTCATATTATGGTAAAATAATTATATAGGCATAATATATTTTTCTTAATAATATTTGTGTAATATTGTACCGATTTTTTCGTTTTTCCTCCGTTTTTTCCATATTTTTTCCGGTTTTTCATATTTACTGGGAAAACTCTTACGAAAATCGAAAAATAACCTCTTTAAAGTACCTCCTCAGTAAGATTTTCTTTTAGAAAAATTGGTCCTAACGGGTCCTGCTCCGACAAACATACATTAGAGAAGACAATATTTAGTTATTTAATATAACATATAATATCTGCATATTATCAGAACTTCAAAAAGCTATAATTTCGAAACTTAGTCAGTTCATTCTATTCTGACTATACCATCGTTCTTAAATTGGCAATATATAAATGTTCAAAAAAAAAAAAAAAAAATTGAAAATTGGATTTGTTCCACATTATTTTTACTCACCGATTTACGTCAAAATTTAATATTAAAATTCCTTAAAAAAAAAAAAACTACATTAAACTCAAATTTTCTTTTTTTGATCACAAAGTAAGACTCTTAATGAACCTCCTGTTAAATTTTCACGCATTTCTGTTAAGTCTAACAGTTTTACCACAGAGTACCTACGGAATAAAAATTATGCACAAATCTAGCAAAATTAAAATGTTTATAAATAGCTCAAAAATGTCTTTTGAAAATTTTACCACGTCTAGTAAAGGAAAATATAAGTTTTCTATCTAAATTTCAAGTCTCCACGAATATTTTAAACTGAATTACAACAAATAACAAAATTGAAATACAATAAAAGCATTATTTTCGTGAATTTCCAGTTTTTCTTACGTTTTATCCTGGTTTTTCCCAGATATTATGAAAACTGCAATGAAAATCAAAAAATGGCCTCCCAAAAGTACCATCTGGACAATATTATTTTTCAGAAATGGTGTCTCGCGTAGATATCTGAGGAAGATTTCTGGTAGAATTTTTGTACACAGTAAAAAAAAAAAAAAAATAAATATCTTAGTAAAACCAATACATTCTCGCTACACTCAGAATTTAAAATTATATTTTTCGTAAAAATTCTATTTTTTTATTTTTGTTTTTATAATAATATTTGATCACTTTCAACAATCTAGTTGCTCATAAATTTACGAACGTATAATATTTTCAACAGACGATGGAAATTATTACCAAAGGTATGGAATAGTTGTTCTACAGGCTATTTATTGACCTTTGTTTTTTTGATTCATCAATCAAATGCTTTCAGTTATGTCGGTTATCCGCTTATTTTTCCAAAGTGAAATTCCTCTTTATTTCCATGAAAATTCTTTTAAGTAGAGATTATCCTGTTTTCATGATATATGTACTGGTACGTATATTTTTCTAGAATTAATTTTTAATTAGTTAATCATTTTGTTTCATTGCTTTTGATTGTTAAACCACGTTTCGCAACAGTGCTTAGCTATAGAGCGTAGATAGGCTATGGAGGTACACATTATACTAGGTCTTTTTGGACAAAAGCTAAGAACTAAACAATTTGTCTTATACATTGCACGATACCCGTGATTCAAGGCATTCGAAATCAGTCGTATTTCGTTGTGTAAAATATAATTTATGGAGCCATTCAGATTGACTCTGCGGCCCTATATAATTTAGTAAAATTTAGCAATAATGCGTAAGTATAACAATATTATGTTAGTAAATACCACACGTGGTTCTAACTACCGGAAGTTTGAGTGCTGTGTGACAGGACGACTGACTATATTATTGTATAGACTGTCGCGGGAACTTCGAGGACGGATTTATGTTCGACGCAGGAAAGAAGTGTCTTGGAGATAATATATTGTACGCACGAGCGTGTGTGTGTGTGTGTGTGTGTGTGTGTGTGAGTAGGAATATATACGACCGAGTTTTATGTAAATAAAAATAACAGTCGAGATAGGTGGACGCGAAGAGCGGGAATGACTTTACGTACCATATATTATTGTACAATTGGTGCCAACTTCACGTACGTATTATTTTATCAACGGCGCATGAAATTATTGCAGTCGTCTCACACACCCGCTTGTCCAAGCGATGGCTTCGATGGCTACGTGATAGCGATTAATATTGTAGCGATAGCGAACGGCGTATCGACTTGACGGGGAGTGGTTTCATAAAAACGACTCTGAGTGAAGATCACTCAATAGCGTTTGTTTGTCAACAATTTATACATATATTTATATGTCATATTATGGTAAAATAATTACCTATCTATGCGTTAAACATTTTCTTTAATAATATTTGTTTAATATTGTACTTATTTTTCCGTTTTTCATACGTTTTTTTCCGGTTTTTCTCATATATTACGAAAGCAGCTGGGGAAATCAAAAAATAATTTCACTAAAGTACCACCCCAGTTAGATTTTTTTTCAGAAAAAGTGCTTTAATTGTGAATCGGAGCAAAATTGCTGGGAGAAAAGATGTTCACAGATAACAATAAACAAACAAAATAAACATTATTGTAAAACCGATACATTCCTC